ACATGACCCAATATTATTAGTTCCCAGGACATTCGCGAGTGAAGATTTCAAAAGGTACTTCGGTATCACGTTTCAGACGCTGACATTCGAACATTCGATAAGTTACGAATGACATACGATAGTTTGCAAATGCAACTTGAAGATCAGATGAATCAAAATTTTTCCACTTTTGTCTCCGATGTCGTCTATAAAACGAACCTCACTCAAATCTCTGGGTGAAAACGCCTTGCTAAAACGGACAGTTGGAACTTTAGAAGTGCCTTCCTCTATGAACATATCCAATCGGAAATGTAGGCGCTTAATCTGACAACAAACTTTACTTCTGGTAAGTATTACGTAACCGGGTACGTGACTCAGCTTGTTTAGACCGCCAGGATGTTTTCGTGACACTTAGGAAAGCTAAGCCGGTATCCCATGATAATATATTAGTAAATCAATCGTCAAAATTTCCAACGTCGTGTGAAAGAGAAAAATCACAAAGTTCTTTAAATTTTAAAAAAGAATAATAACAAACTGAATTAACGGAGCATTAGTCTTACTTTGTAGCCGTTTTTCAGGATGTCACGCAACGCTACTCCTCCCGCGGGGCACCGTTGCGTGGCACTCAAAAGACGACTGCGAAGTAGACAAATTGTACGTATGAGTCTCATTATCTCAGAGTTCAACTTAGGTTTTGTCCAGGATCCGACGGGGCCGTCAACCCACCATAAACAATTGTTTTTTCACTCCCTCCCCTCAGTTTCCTTTCTGAGGAAAGGGATAGTGCTCAGCCTTTCCCCTCCCCCAAACTCGAGCGGAGGAAGGGAGCGATGGAGCAGAGGGTGGCGATAATTTAAAAACATTTTCAGCAAAATTTGTCTCCTGAAGACCTAGGTCACTACATTCGTGAGAAAAACCTTGATGACAAAGAAGATTTGAGTGATTAGAACTGAGATATAACAATGAGTAACCGGAGTAAGAAACTAGTAACGGAATTACTCGCCCTGGAAACTGTGCACTGTCAGTGAAGTGGAAGATCATCAGAACGCGAACTCCGAAAGTCTCAGGTTCGATTCCTCATGGGTCACCTTTTTTAATGATGCGCCTTTTTAAGATGCTAAGAACTTTTTCTATATCTCACGCTCTTGACAAGACAAAGAAAATACTTCAACACTAAGCCATTTTTGCGAAACGGCTTTACTACGTCCTTTTATCTTTTAAAATGTTACAAATTTGGAAGTAACCTCTGCCTGAGTGTAATCATCAAACCTACATGGTTGAAAATTAGTGGACGGGTATACCTTTTAAAATCAAAATTTTGGGCTTTACCAGTGACACTCGAGGAGCCAATAAGCTTGTACAAAATACGTGTTCTTACAGCGCACAGAGGACTTCTCGTATTTTCTCGAATGAAAACGTGAGGTTACGAATGAGAAGGTCACGAAAAGAACTTTCAAGGTCAACCGCTTATGAGCGATTGCCCGCTGTGCTTATCAGAACACTGTATGTTAACATATCAATTCTATGTATCAGTTTTTAGCACAGAAGAAGAACGGGTTATTATGAACTAGACGTCTTGATTTAGTCACTAAACCTGATTTATCAGGTTCTTTGCTTTACTCGATCCCTACTTTTATTCATCATGGCTTTGGTCCATCATCATTGTTTCACAAGTCCTTTAAGAATATATCGATATTCGCACGTTTCACAAAAATGTCTCAAATTTTTTTTGGATTCTATCTGTATTGGTAATGTGTCAAAATTTTATTCGAGAAAACCGCAGTTTCCTTCCATCTGGCAATTTCTAGCAAATGAGCAAAGCCAAACAAAGCGCCCGTCAATTAATGAGCCTACATAGACAACTAATCAATCCCTCTTGTAGTTACGCCCACGATACACTCGTATGTAATCTGTGAATATTTTTGCTGCTATTCATTCACATGTGACTCACAGTTTGACATTTGGACTTAAATGACTGCTACTGTGTGAGGAGAAGCTAAAGCCTCGCATGAGGAAAGGAAACAGAGATTTGGAAATATCGCTTTGAGAATGGATAATCGTCGGGGTAACTCATCTTACGAAGAATGTTTCGCAGATGACGAATCTGACTGCGGAATGCGCTCAGTCAGCCGTTACAATGACCACCATCAACGGCTATTGGGATATAGATATACCACTCTTTCACACTCTACAGAAGAGAACGAATGTGTTTTTGACTCTGAATGGGCTCTTAAGAGAAGATGTAGCCTTTCGTCGCTTATATACTCCAAATTTCTCATGAGATTGGACGACAAAACGAAGACTATTCAAAGATAAAGCTGTTTGGCTCGTTGACGGCCTGGTAAGGCAAGTGATGATATGCCCACCATGCGTGTGACTGATGTGGTGCCAACTTAAAGAATGACATGTTTACATGTAAGAGGGGATGTTTAAAAATTTTTACGCTGCTCAACCAAATCAGTAGACTAGGAAATCATTGGCACTAACCAATCGCCCAAGTTGCAATGAAGGTTTTAATAGAAAATAAACTGCGTGCGAGGTGTATGATGGTGTTAATTTACTCAACACGTGATTTAAGGATCAAGAATAAGGTAGACATGAGTCCAAGTCAGGAACTGTCCTGTGACGCAGAGTTGTGGTTGGCAAGGTTATTCTACAAGATTAATTATGGAAGGATAAGAGTACTTTATCGCGGTTTTGGGAGGATGACTTTTTTTCCTACAGAGATGACTGCTCTCACTGGTACATATTTATGTAGAGTAACTTATATCAGTTATCAAGAAATCATTGATATACACTGCTGATACAGCACAGAGACAAAGCAACTTTTAAGTTCTTTTTGGACTATATATAGATAATACTGCAATCAGCAGTATACGACACACCAAAACGTCTAATAAGTTTTTTATTTATTCAACGGCTGATAACTGTCGTCCATTTTTTTTTCATCCTTTGAACATGTTGAAACAACTCACTCACGCGTTTTCTTACAGTTCAAATACTGTTACCAACTGTCCAAGTAACCGCACGACATCGCGATATATTTGTCCTAGATTCGCGCGTATTTTGTTCCCTACTCAATGAGTCTTGAAGAACAGGCGCGCGTAATTTTGGGCCGCAGTCTATATTTAGTGCAGTTGATAATAATCTGCCACGCTTTCCGTTCCTGATAGCCTTGACATCTGTTAATGACCCTTTTTTCGGAGGATACTTTTGCGAAAACAAGTTTGGATAATTAAGGAAAGAGGGAAATTGAAAAATAACTCGGAATCTACAGCTCGGGGCTTTCTAAGTACAAAATGAGACTCATCGTAAGTGAAATATGCCGCAGTTGACGTCATATGATTGAATGATGCTTGAAATTAAATAGATTTTTTAATGGGTTTTGTCGTCGCTTACGACCAAAAGTATTTCTTTGTCTGTTATCTGTATTTATCAGGATGTGTGTTCTGAGTTGGGTCGACTGCCTGAAAACTGAGTCTTGACCGCAAATACTTGGAGGAATAAGTCCAATTTAAACGTATGCTTATTTACCGTTCGAGACCTGTACACTTTCCACAGATGAAAAAGAAGCATTTATTAGGAATAATTGGCTATCGAGGGAGGGGCGGAAATCATTAAATTCGAAATCTTGTGACTGAGAGTTGTTTTAAAGTTATTGATCACACACACGTGATTTGTGCAAAGGGAAACTTGCACAAATTTTGGCTTTGTTGTAGGAGATAGAGTCAAAGAGAAACTACCATGGTGATCTTGAAAAGGATTTGAAGACCTAGGCCTGCACCTCCTGAAAATTTCTGTCAGCGTAATATTAATTACTTTGAAGAACTACAAGAACTTTTTGAAAATACGAGAGGTTTTCAAGAGGGCACATGCATTGTTCCTGTGGTCTAAAAAGAGCTCCATGACGTATTTCACGAAAATAGTCGCGACTATTTAAAATTTTTAACACTTGAAATACTGCATGTGGTTATCATCTTTAAAAAAAAAAAAAACCCTAGTTTTTATGATGATCACAAAAAAGGGCGAATATGGGTACACTTTGAATTTCTGCTGGACAGTTGTTCAAGGGCCTCCTTAGCTTTGTTTGTTCCTTGCATTCTTTTAGGAAAGGAAAAAAATAAATAAAGAAGAAAATTAAAACCTGTCAGTTTACCCTAAGGTCAACTATTTTTCTCCCTTGAACTCCTGTTCATTTGTATTATATGTTTACTGCCGTAAAGATTATATTTTTGACAGAGTTTATGCCTACTTGATAAATGCATTGAGTATTTTGGCGGCGATTGGCGGCACTTAGTCCATCACTCGAGTTTTGTAGCCTACAGGTTCGTCAAAAGCAGACTCTTGATATTTTAAGCAATAACTTTAAATTGCCACGACTGTTGCCTAAGTCATGTTAACTTTGAACTGACTACTAAATATTACCAGAGAGAGACAGATGAGAAAACGAAGAACTAAGAGCTGGGAAAGATTCCCAAAGATAGAGAAAATTGAATATGATTGTGATCGACGAATTTGATTTTATACAAGGCTCCATATTTACAATAACCGACGCTTATTTTGGAATTCTTGTTTCTCATTTCAAATGAAACGAAAAGCTCATACTCGAGGCGCTTTTCTTCCAACAGAAAAGAGATTGATGCGGCAGCAAAGAGCAGTGCATAGCAGTTCGGCTCAAAGACACTGATTACGAAAAACTAAACTTGCTTGGAAAACCCATAGGAGATATTGAAACGTTACAATTTGATATTTTCTTGTAATTGCGGGGACCCGTCTTTGTTTACTTTCTGGAAAATTCAAGGGCTTCTCAGGTAATAACCGTGATGAAAGAACACTGTTGTTATGCTAATTTCACAGAACATCGACAGCGCATCTTTTATAACTCAGTATCACTTAATCTTTTGTTTTGTTTCACGTAAGAGCTTTTTTATCCCAATGCTGCTCCGAAACCCCAGTTCATTCCAGCACGTACCACTTAAAATAATTCTCTGCCTGACGGACCAAAAAATTTGAACGGTAAAATGCAAGTCAGTCGAGAGGTCAGTGATCAAGACTATTTACCGGATAGCGAGAGTTCTGGCGATGAATCTGAAGGCGCGAATATGGAAAATGCAGATAAGAAACTCAAACGTGGAGATCCAGTATTGTCGAGGAATTTGGACAACGAGTTCGTGTTTGACAAAGAATGGGCTTTCAGGAGAAAGTGTAGCCTACAGTCGCTGCTATCTGCAAAACTTTTAAATCTTACCTATGAGACCAAGAGTTTGGAGTTACCAATCAAGAGTCAACAAAACAAGGACGGGTCTCTCAAGGAAAACCATTCGACTAACGGTGAGAAAAACTGCGAACCTCCTTGTACACACAAAAGCAAGAAAATACTACATGGAGCACGGCGAAGGGCAAAATCTGAAGTTTAACTTGAAAGGACTGATTGCTTTCGTACTAGCGCTTCGACCACAAAGGTTTCTAGTGAAAAAGAGAGAAAAATTATAATTAAGGCTGTTGTCTAACTCGTGATCTTGTGTTGTGTGACTGTGGTAAATTTGCAGTGTGGCCCTGATCTAAATCTGAAATACATGTACAGCAAAACAGCCTGTTCAGTTTCAAGGAAGTCTTCAATGATTTCCAACAAACCGTTGGTGAGAGAAGTCGTCTGTTTGGATTACATGTAGAGAGCTGATAACTGTGCGTGTCAGCAAAAGAACTGATTATACGTCATCTCAGACGGTAACGTCATCTTGGATGAAAGGATCGCAACCAACGATGTTAACAAGTGACATTAAGATTATAATATCAACTAATTCCCCAATTATTGTGGTATTTGCTTCTTTCTACAGTTAAACAACAACTTCATACAATCTGAATGGCAAAATACACTTCCACTTCATTACTAATGTATTCAAAAGTGGCGGTCTTCTCTGAAGAACAAATCCAGTAGATGCAGATTTAATAGCGGCGGGGTTTCTCCTGTTTAACTGAATGCGAAACATGCTATCATGTTGCCAGGGTTATAGTTTGCTAACGGTGGAATTTAACAGGTGTACTTACCCTTTAACACCGAAGACTGAGTAAAATATTAGATTTTTCGCATTGCCCTGAATAATTTGGGAGTTTTTAGTGGTGTTTGGTCACCCAGGACACAGACCAGCCAAAAAATTCCTGCCAGGCTATGAAACTGCATCTATGAGGTCTTCCAAAGTCTAATTATGCACATTAAGTTCAGAGCCAGGTAATATCCTACTATAAACAAGGAGTTTGACATAACCTTTTACACCCTAACATCAGCATATTCTCCAAACTGTGCTTTATACATTTCCCAAGGTATTGTATAGGAGAATTTGTTTAACAATCAGCAGGAGTTTCTTAAGTTGGGGATCATTTTGTTTATTTGTGTGACCTTAATGTTTCATTAAGGGGTGACACTGTGAAGAGAAATTAAAAATTTGAGTGGATGTATTAGTAATGTGGAGGTCCAGATTGGGAAAGATAAAAATTTAGACTCCTGAATGTGACATGGCAAAAATAGCCAACAATTTTGACTATTTTTGAATAATATTTGTAAATTTTTATTGCAATATTAATAATATATTTTTCCATGTCCATTGCACAAAAACATAAGAGGATATTCTTGATGCTATGTTCAAACTTTGAGAATGAAATAATTTGAAATTGCAAAGTAATATAAATATTAATAATGAGAATAAATGGTTTCCAAAATACTAGTATTGTGAGTGAATGATTGTTTTGGTCATGCATAGAAGAAGCACAAACACTTGAAATATTGAAAGATGTTATTCCTCTTTTCATGAATGCCAAATGATGATACACTCCAAGTCCCCTGGAGGAATCAAAACCAAACTCTGCTGATATTTGATATTACAATGTTCTACAACTGAGATACAGAAAACTCCATCCAGCTTGTTACCAGTCAAATCACATAAATAATTTGCATCTGATGTGAGCCAAGTCTTCATTGGAAATTTTCTCCTATCTGAGTAGTTAACAAAAAAGCTAGTGTTTTCCAGACCAATCAGAGTCTAGTAAAGCAAAACCAAGACAAACTTGATAAACTCTCAACACTAGATTGTTCAAATTACTACCTGGAACTTAAAGTTCTGTATTACATTCCATGTGTAATTGAGCTTTCCTTTTCAACAATTGACATCTCAGAAGTAATCCCAGTGTTCAAAACTTTTTAGTTTTTATACCCTGAAGTTATATCATCCTTAGTAAAAGTCACACCATTTAGTTTCATAATGGATATAAGTTTACATGACTCTCTAAAACTACCAAAAAAAGCCTGTCAGAATGTTTTCAACATTTAGCCACAATTTTTCAGCTACAGTTTACCTTAATGGATTGGCAATGAAGGTTTGAACATTTTTCATTTATTTCATACATGCACATTGCAAGTTTCTACAATGTCTTACTACTTAAAGCAATACTGGAATTTGTTATTGAAAGTCCTGAACATGATTTGTTTAAGTCTTTGTTCTTGATTACAGTTCTTGTGAAATAAAGAAGAACGGAGGTCTCCATGCTTATTTCACCCTCTAACTCTTAGAAGTGATTTATATATAATTTCTCCCCATATTGTCCTCACACTATCCAGGAGACAGGTAATGAGAATACTCAAACTTATCAGGTAGAATGTGGTATTTTTATCTACTGATAACACCAAATTTCTGTTACTAATTTACTGGGAAATGTGTAACAGCTAGAGGGGAGAATTAACAATCAGATCTCAGGAGTTAAAGGGTTGAGAGAAAACCATGATTTATATCCCTGGCAAGCCACCAGTCATAAACAAAGGCTGCAAGTTTGTCTATGTGCTTGGACTTGTCATCCCTGAAATTACGTTAGGAACACATTAGTAATGAGCTCCTGATTACAAAAAGGCATTATGCACAAATGCAACGTAGACCAATGGAATTACCCCTAAACAGGCCTTGTACCACATGTCAGAGCTCTATGAAACATTTTGGTTCCTAATTTTCCAGCTTTTATCATGTCCTCTAAACAATTTGTGATGCTAACCAAAGCTAGTACCAATTCTATGATTAGATATATATCAGAAGAGCTAAGTTTTTCTTTTCCTGATTGCTTTTCTACACGCTGAAAGAAGTGACAGGAGAAATTGTGCCTACATTCATCTTAAGTTTCAACCAAAATCTTTATTTCTTTGAATCATTGATTCTTGGGTTAAAGGATTTTCCTTTACATTTGATAAACTGAACATGCCTCAGTTATTATCTAGTGACAAAAATGATTGAAAGTAATTAAAACACCAATCTTTGTTAAGTAGAGTCTGTTTGTGCTCTACACTCCATGAAGTTAAATGACATTTTCCACTCCCATTTGCTTTGAGAATCTTGCATGCATTATGCTCAAAGAAGGCAAAGGAGATTCTCAGGGAGAACACTAAATTTGGCAGGTATGGAGTCAACCTCAGCAGCAGTGGTACTCAGTCACGTTGTATGAGTAATAATTACCAAGCTATTAATTTATGCCTAACTTCACCGTTAACAAAAAGCTCAGCGTGTTTCAAGTTCCTTTCCACATTGTTCCCATAAGAGTTGATGGAATAGTAAGTTTTCTCTTTAAACCTACCAGTATTAGTTAAGCCTCCACCACTGAATCGATGCTCAATTATTTAGATGACTTTGCAACATGCATTCAGTAATAACACCTGAAGCACCACTTAAGTCAGTCGCAATCGAAAGCCATTACCACCTCATCTTTGGAGGCTTTACGAATTAAAAGTCGCTGTCCCATCGCTGGGTACAGTCTCTGGCTTATAGCCAATTCTCTCGTGAATTTTTGCAATTCTCTTTGGATCATTGTACGCCATAGGAGAATCGTCAAGTAAGCTTTCCAGCTTAGAATCGTCTTCCTCCTTCTTCTCTGTTTCCTTCGTCCACATCTTCTTTGCCTTTTCGTATTCTTCCACATCCTCTCCTCTTAGTTCTATTCTGGTAGGCTTTCTTCGTAACATAATTTTCAAGCAATAGCGGGAGAATTTCGATAAAATTCACAGCAATTCACAGTCTTAACTCTTTCGTGCAAGGCCTGGAAATGGCGGGAAGGTAGTTAGAGAGCCAGTAGTACCAATGATAAGCTGTATTCCTTCAAGCGGTATATCCTTCATGTATGAAATCATCTCGTGACAGGAAAAATAATTTTTAAAATGGCGGCGTTCGAGAAGCAAAAAGTGGCTTGTCTGTCGCAAGTTGATCTTAGTAAGAAGGGGAGTATAGATGACCAAATCAAGGACTTAGTACAATACATTAACGCTAAAGAAAACTTTTTTACGACAAGTTCTTGTTCTGGAAGAATATCCATTTTCTCCGAGGTTAGCCAGTTTGCAAAAACATGTTTGACTGTACATGTGTTAACCTAAAAAAGAATAAAAGACTTTAGGATTACCCATTTTTTTCTTTTTCTCAAACCTCCTATAACATTTTTTTTGTGCGCGCAATAGAACTACCTCATATTTTGCAGCTGGCAGATCAGAAGAAAAAACAATGCGAATGGCTCTATGTTACCCATGATGCAACTATAAAAGAAGAAGTTGTAAGTATTGACCAGTCAGTGTTATCGGTATGCATGTTCTCCATGCTACTCGCTTTCCATTTCCTAAGGTGTCGAGTAGGAGAAATTTGTTGACAATTAAGAGCTTCTTTAGAAAACTTTGGACTACCTTTTATAATTATGCCTAGCCTGAATTAATGGTACATATGTGTTTCTTGGTGTTGCCTTGTAACCAAAAACATCAGATGTCCCATGGAGAAGGGGTGATTAGGGGTTTGAAATTAAATTCTATAGCATACAACTCAATTTGCAAGCTGTCAGCAGGATAGGTATCTTGCCTTTCCCTAATTACCCAGAATGCAAAAAACCAAATTTGCATCACAACCAGGGCCAGTCAAAGACTATTAATAACAGGATCAACAACCTAGGCTTCCAGAAAGAAAGAAACCAAAATTCAAGGCAAACTTTTTGGCTCATCCTTGATCCATGGTGATTTTCCTATTCAAACAACTGCTCAGCTTTCTGTAACAGTCAGCGATCAGTGGAAAAAAAATCTCCATTCCTTTCCTCTATGAGGAGTTGAGTAGACATTTTGTACAGAAAGTTTTCCAAAGAACTTGTTTCTATCCACATTTTTATCTTTTGAAACTAGATCGATTCCTTGAAGGACTGTAAAGGAAGTGCTGTGTTCAAGTTTGAACCATTTGTTTTACATGTTCAGTGCAGGAATCTTGAATGTGGACGACAAATGGCAAGTAATTGAATTGATTTATGACAAATACTCTATCAAACTATTGATCAGTTGCATAAAATGGTCCTCCTGAGGCACTCCAGAAATCATACATATCTAACCCTTAATTGAAAAATGTGTGGGCAAGGCAGAGACAGATTCAGGGGGATGGGATGGTCTAGAAGTCTGCACTCCCCATTCCAATTGACCTGCCAGATTCTTTACTTCTTCTATCACCCTGAATTCCTGGCTATGACAGGATGGCATATTACGTAACCCTTTCACTCTGTCCCAAAATTCTCCTTAATGCCTATAGAATGTATAATTCTTATCATGTTTGTTTACTGAGTATAGATACTGTAAGGAGAAATTCTTTCTTGGTCACTAATGGGAGTTTAAGGGTTGATACTACTCAACTTTAAATTTTCAAAATTTACCTATCTTATAGTATTTTTTAGCTTGCTCAAACACTTCTGTTAAAGAAAAATTATGTCTGTATTTTCTAAGTCAAAGTCAACCTCCTTAAGGTTGGGACTTGAGGGGGGAGGGACACAACTGTGATGTTTGATAGAGAAGTGAGCAGATACTTTTTTAAACAACTCTCAATTTATATGATTATCACAGACTATTTATTATGTTGTTTATTTCCCATCTAGCTCAAAGCTGCACTTATATCTGGCTTTAAAAATTCTGGAATTGTCATTGGCAGGAAGGCCAATGTGATTGTGGTGGGTGTCATTCTTAGTTAAGTTTTAGATGGTTCTCTAATGCTACTTAATAAAAGTTCAAAAGATTTCTTCCTGAACACAGAAAATGTTCTACAAATGACAACAAAAGAAAAGAAAAAATACCTGCAAAATTAATGTATATTCATAACATGAATAAAAATCTTAAGAGTATATTAGGCATTACTTTTAGGCATTTTCAGATTTATTTAGTGAATGCAATGGTAGACATTAGGGCTTGTGTATTGCATTTTGCACTTGGCTCACGTAGCCTTCTACCAAACCAAAAAATTACAAAAAAGCCTTTTCCAGAGACTGCACTTGACATCAAACAAAATATATTTAATCAAAACATACAGATTGTAGCCTTAGTCAAGTAAATCCCTGATTTGAAATAGACTCAAAAGATTGATCTTTTTTAGTAATTAATATCTAACTTAAAATTTTTGTTTGCTTGCTCTTAGGGCAGGATTATTAGATTTAACAGCCCTATACTGGCTAAGAAATAAGCTTAACCCTTTAACCCTCAGAAAATCTAGCCTCTAATTTCTCCATACAGTATCAGTCTTAAATCAAATGAAAAGGTCATGAGAATAAAGTAACCTGAATCACCAATTTAAGAAGCCCCTGACTGTCAAACAAATTCTCCCTGTCAGTACCATAGAAAATGTTGCAAAAATCACCATGAAGAGAATATGAATGCTAATTTTAGTGTGTAAAGGGTAAAAAAATTGGTAAACACCATATCAGAATATTTTCTTTGGCCTGTTTTGGTCTATGCTTCCCTTTTACAGTTACTTTTTATTTTACTCACTGTATGTGGTATGCATAATTAAATGTGGCAACTAATGGGGTCTTAACCAGTCACAGGTCATCACATTTAGCTGATCTTTTTATTTTTTTTCAGGCAGTGAGAAGTACACAGAGCTTAGAAGTCCCACTTGTTCACTTGGGAGAACAAATGGTGTCACATAAGGTAATCTGGAAAAATCTTTCCCTACAAATCTACGCTTTAATTTGAAATTTAATGATTAGGGAAAAGAGATAGGTGTAGTGCAATATTAGTGTAATTAGATAAAAACAGGGATTGTAAATGAGGTTTTACATGAAATCGAGGTTTCAAGCCTCCTGTTTTAGCTGAAAAAATCCTGTTTTCAGAGTTTATTTTGGACCTTTCAATTTTTGCTCAATATTATTAATAATAATTTTTTAAAATTTTTCTCTGGCAAAGGAAGATTAAGTTTTTCCTGCTTCAGCAATGGTCTTTTGGTGTGCTCCTTTTTCTTTTGTTATTTTTTGTTTTTTTTTTGTTTGGCTCTATGGGTCCATTGTATTTTGCGCTGTATAATGCACTGTACGCAAGAAACACCACTAACAAAAATGCAATAGGAGCCAATAGGCTCAAAATGCAGAAAATGACATCATGGGATGGAATCTCTGCATGAAGTGAACCATGATTAGGTAAAAGAAATCCTCTCTCCACTTCCTAAGGGATGTACATGCATGTGATGCAATTTCCTTACTAAGGTTTACGTCACATGTTGAAATACCACTAGTTCATATTTCCTTGAGGAACTACCAACAGTTATTTGATTTGTATATGAATTCAATTCAATTATTATTTTTATACCCCTTGATTTTGACTTTTTTCATTATTGAGTATGTAGAGTTCCTGGTGGATATTGCAAACAATAAACTTGAAGATAATCAAACAAGAATAGACAGGTACACCTGATATATAAACATTGGTCAAAAAGACTACATTTATAGATAGAAATAAGAGAGATGGTAAATTTTGAGCCCAATAAAGAAATAGAGAAAGATGTTTTTTGTCTTGTCACGAGCATGGGACACAGAAAAAATTCGGAGTCCCCATGTGGAATCAAACCTCAGACTTTCAGATTCCACAAAAAACATGACATACTACCCTAAATAAATTATGTAAAATTACACAATGGTACAAATACATCAACTACAAGCACATTCACAACTAATGAAATATACCAACACTCACAGCCAATTAACTTGTAAATGTTATACACATGAGAAGCACTCTTTAGAACATTTGGCATTAACAATTTCATTAACTCTTTGACTGCTGACTGGCATCTAATTTCTCCTTACAATATCACCCCTGAACAACTTCACCAGATTAAGGGAAGTAATGGTCTATGTGATTCTTGTGAACTGTGTGAGTCTTGAGAACTGTGAGTCTTGATTGTAAGGCAAATTCTCCTTGACAGCACTGTAGGAAATGTAAAGAGAATGTGAGTCTTGTGAACTATGTGAGTCTTGAGAACTATGAGTCTTGATTGTAGGGCAAATTCTCCTTGACAGCACTGTAGGAAATGTAAAGAGAATAGTATGGAGAATGTGCATACTTATGTTAGGGTGTAAAGGGTCAGTAATCACTTAATGAGATAAGAAAGTGGCTAGGTGTTTGTCTGAGTGCCTTTTGATTGAAGTGAAGTTATATTTAATAGTATTCATTGTTTTGATGCTGATGTATGCAAAATGGTCATCATTTTATGTAACATTGCAGATTTTTCAAGAACCTCAAGGACATATTACATAATCATAGCCTCAGTGACAGCACATCTCAGAAAACAGGTACTTGCAATTAGTGATTTCATCACATCCATCCAAACATCTCACAAAATAGAGACAATTGGCTTTTCTGTGAGTTCCAATCCAATGCTTTATTATTTTAGAAGAATATGCTGGTGCATATCTACCTTAATAATTAATGATACCATTCACAATTATTGTGAATGGTATCATTTGGTTACATATGCTTACAAGTTCACTCAGTAACTTAGCAGTTTTAACCCTTTCTTGTACAGATAGCCCATACCTTAACAAGTTTGTACTTTTGATTTCAGACCCAAAACAAACTACTGACACCAGAAAAGATGAACTATTTACTGAAGTGACAAGATCCTCCCAGAAATCAAATGCTGATGACTTTGTACATGTAAATGATAATGATGTGCTTGACTGCTTGGCCTCTTTCTATGGGGATGTGTCATGATCTTTATTGTTTGGGCCAAGTTTAGGTAACTGTGCACAGTTGAGCCCAGATCAAAGAGCAACCTTTTAGCACTAAGAAAATTGGGAAAATTGGCTCACTTCTCTTAATTTTGGCAATTATAGGGGAAATTGTTACTTATCATCAGAACATGGCACTGTTGTAGAAGATCTTTCTTGCAATATTGTTTGATTCTTAACTGAGTGTTAATGGCAAAAGGACCAGTGAGGGCCTGATGCTGCAAGATTCAGTGCACTGAAGACTCTTTCATTTGATTCTGACTAGTCAGTTGTGTCATGACTGATCCCAATAAAGATTGAGAAAAGCAAGTAAACCTAGAGACAATGCCTGTGTGGAAGTTTTCTTGTGAAGAACTGAGATATGTTGGGGGTTCATTAATTTCCCGCGAAAACAAGTTGACGTTCGGATAAACTTTCTGCACTTTTTGCTATAACTGAAATACTTTTGCACGGCCTACATTTGACGTTTGACAGCGCAAAAGAGGACCACAGCTTCCTTATAATTGGTTATTATGTAAACACCTGCGAAAACCCTAAATTCTTAAATTTGAAAAGATATGGGACAGGGTTGACTCAGAGGGTAAGTATAGAAGATGGAAGCTCGGGTAATGGGCAAGCAGCCCCCCAGTCTGCAGGAGCCTCTGTTGATTCTGAAGCAAGAGTGTTGCCACTCTTCTAGAAGTTTGTCCCAATATCTAGGCTTGCTAGTCCACAGTTTCACACAAGGTGGGAAGGGTCTCCTTACTGACTGACCAAGATGAACAACTGGTTACATACAAATAACACAAGGCCTACATATTTTGTTATCAGTACTTTGTTTATTTAAACTGTTTTCAAATTACTATTTAGTATGATACTAGCACAGGCAGCACACCAGCATTTGACACAGAAAATCATTCTGTGATAATTTTAACTGCCTTAACTGCTTTAATTGTAACATACAACACGGGGCTTCAACTTTTTCTAAATGAAAAGTAAACTGTCTGCATTCAAACTCCAGAAACATAGTATCTTAACTGCACACCACTATGCTTCCATAATTTATCTAATAATATTAAACATAAGCACAATGCAAAAGAAAAAAAACCAAAACAAAAACAGTATGAACTTGGTGTATAAAACATTTCAAAGTGGCAATAATAGGTTCTCCCAAGGAAAAATTAGAAAAATAAGGTTTACCAATACTGAATGATGACTATTCAGTGATGGAGATGATAATTGCAATTCTCCTCAAGTATACCCACCCCTACTGAAATTACCCAATCTGCCAGGGAAAATTGAACAGTCATTTCTGTACGCATGTTGTGACTTCCCCTTTCCTTAAGCATTTTCCAAGTATGATAATTTTTTTTTAGGCCATGATTACACAGCATAGCTTTTTAAATATTTTTTGGTGTTACTTTCCAGTTCTTGTATAGCATATCCACAAGAACTAAGAAATATTTCACATCTGAGATGCTTTAAAATAGAGCATCTGTTTTCAATCACAAATGTTTTCATCTATTTTCATTACACCTACAATACACTAATGCATAAAAAGTAAACAAAAACTGCAGGGTATGTAAACAATGCTAATTTACTGCATGTGGCAATGCATTGCAAGAAACAAGCTTGAAGCAAGTGACCTTCATTTTTGTAGTTTTGATTCTTTTTTTCTTTTTACAAGTTAGTTCTTTTTGTTTTATTTTTTAGTTTGTTTTATTTCTTTTTGCAATTTTTTTTTTGTTTTTTTTCTTTTTTTTTTTTTGAGTCTTTGAGTCTTTACTTGCATTGTTTAATTGTTTGCATCACATATAAATACAATATATACTTCACTGCATGCAAAGTGTTCATTGAAAATTAAAGGCAGCTAAAATTAAAAGACCCTATCAAATGTGCTGCTAGTAACACTGAGCTGGTTTGCAGCCCCCACACGAGACTGTCCAGCAGCTGGTGGTTGCACTTGACCTCTGCCACGATGTGGAGGTGCCAAGAACTCAAACATTGAAGTATTGACCGAGCTTAATGTACGCGTCAGGTCAGATGGCAATGGGTCACTCCAAAAGAAATCATGATTCAAAGCTGTATCTGCATCAATTCTTTGGCCAGGATCTATGGTCAAAAACTTGTCAATTAAATCGAGAGCAAGGGGATCCTTCACATAGTTTCTTAATCTTTCTTTCACTCGTCTTTTCTGATTTGCCGGTAGGATCATTTTACTAAACAAATCCAGTTTCTCTACCCCTGGCCATACATCAGCTGCAATGGAGCCACACAAGTGACTTATTAAGGTTAACTGATTTTGTTCAGTATTCCCTTGCATGATAGGGTTTCGTGTCCATAGCTCTGCCATAATGCAACCTGCTCCCCACAGATCAATGGGAGGACCATAGTTTCTTTCTCCTAACAAAAGCTCTGGCGGTCTGTACCAAAGAGTGACAACTCTATTGGTGTAACGCTGGGTCTGCTCCTTGTTCAGGTGAATAGCACGTGCCAGACCAAAGTCTGCTAACTTCAGCACACCATTCTTAGTTATTAGAACATTTGCAGCCTTCATATCTCGGTGCAGGATTTTATTACTGTGTATGAAGTACAGCGCATTTAGCAACATCTGGGTAAGTTTTTTCATCTCTGACAAAGAGAACTTGATCTGATGGTTGCTTAGAAGGCCAGCTAAGTCATGTTCGCAGAACTCAAACACAAGGTATATACTTCCTTTATTGCGATTATAGGGAGAGGCTAGAAGACAAAAGAAAAAGAAAATGAAAAGAGTTAATGCACACTTCAACAGAGGGGACATATCTAAAAGTAGAGTTGATGCTCACTATTATCCCATTCATTTTGTAAAGGACACAAAATAAAACTTACAAATTTGTCTCCATTCAGAAAAATAACCTCAATTTGGAAGAGGAAAATTATTTTGAAATATATATTGCACAGATTAGTATGCAGTGGGACACCTCTTTCAGCATGTTAGAGAAAATCCCTCAAGCAATTTCATTTTACAAGCAACAGAAATCTTGAATCACCTAAAATTTGTGCTGAAATGTTCTGAGAATGGTCGTCTAGAAAACACAAAGCACCCACAACACCACATGCTACTGCACCTGAATCTATTACATTTTCCTGTCCCAAAAGAGTATGCTCATTTCAATGTTGATTACAACTGGCTCCTTGAGAAATTTCCCTTTCTTTGGAGTCATTCATGATATTTTTAGGTTCTTCACTTAGAAAATGACTAATTTTTCCCCTCAAGTGCTTAATGACTGTCACATCTTAGTAAAAGAACTCCACAACTTATTGATGAATATGTTGAGGATGCAAAATATAACTTGCAGAATGAGAAACAGTTAAAATACTTCTTGATAAGGAGAAAACCTCTGAAAAATAAACTGCACTACTTCCAAGGCACTGACTATCCTGACATCACAACCACGATTCTTCATAAAATGAGAAAATCTGTTTACATTGATTACCCTGAAAAATATTGTCCTGTTTGGCCCTCATTAATGAGTAAAATACTAGATGAATATTTAAAATAATTTAACTCTTAGATATTTTCAGTGACAATTAGTTGCAAATCTTCGAAGTAGTGTCTCTCTTATATTGTTAAACCACATGACTTCCGCGTAAAGTAAAGAAGGAGCAATAGACATGACATAACCACTCAAACAACACAAAGTATAGTTTACTGATGTTAAAAATAGTTCTGTTTCTTTGAAAATGAAGAGATACACCTGAAATTAGACTGGCAGCGTCATCGACACTTTAACTACGACGTCACGTCCATAAAAAGTATACTGGTTGGAGAGTTATTTCAACATCCAGTTGCTGGACAACTAAAACTTCAACTCACCTTTCGTTCGACAAATTTCCAACAGGTTGACCACGTTTTCATGTTTCAGCAACTGAAGTATCTTAATTTCTCTGAGGGCGGTGATCGGGAACTGAACAGTGGTGCAAAAAACACCAAAAGTTCAGTGACTAGAAAACAAGCACGGAAACTACTACATTTAGCAAATCACTCATTTACAACAATAATAGGTATATACCCCTTCTTTCTCGTTGTCCATGAGGACCTTCTTGAGGGCAACGATTTCTTTAAGATTCTTTCGGTTGCGTGCCTTGAACACCTCGCTGCAAAACAATTCTTAAAATAAACGACAAAGTCGAATTATCAAAATGGCGGACTGAAGCAGTCAACAAACCCAAAAGTTCCTTGACCAATTTTAACCATCCTTTCGTATTTGTTGACATCATGGCAGAAAGGGTAGTCCAAGAGGTCTTTACTCATCACAATTACGCGACAAACGAGGGTTGAAAATGGCGTTTTGGCAAAGAGAAGACAATCGCGTACGAAACCACGTTGTCCTCCTTACGCCGGTAAAATGAAGGTCACAGGAAGCAAGTTTCCCGGATGAGAAGAAACCCAAATAATCCTTCCCAGAAGTCAACGTGCTCACCTTCAAAATGGCGTCTTGTGACGTCATCGACCTTAAGATTCTCATTTTCCGAGAAACGCGTGGAAAATTTCAGACGAAATCTCCAATTTCACATTCTAATTTTGCATTTACACTCGTAATCTTGCTTAAGCTTAGCAATCAGATCACTAAACGTCTCATCTCTTGACGAAAATTGCGCCTCCCCAAGAAATGTCCCTCTCTGCATTACGAACTTCGACAAATCGTTACTGTCGAAAAAAGGCGCCGTCTTTCTCCTCTTATTTTCCTGGATATAATTGTCAAGTTGATGTCAGTCTCGAAATGAAAAGCCTGTGACAAGAAGATTTTTTCTCCATAGTGTTCTTGTTAGAGTGAATGCCTTTCTGATTGTAACTGAACTGAGAAAAGAGAATTCCCGTTTATATACTTGGAAGGAGCGCTTGGATTTCTGGGATTTCAACAAACCTTTGCATTGTGGGAAACTCGTAAACATAATTGTTGTGTCTCGACTTCTTGACCACATGAACAGCGAATGACCGTCGTAAACAACGCAGAAATGTGGCAGTTTAGGTTCTTGTTGCTATGTCTCCTGTTTCTTTTACTCGGACTCATTCTTCTATACAGAAAATCGCGAAGTTTTCGTTTCCGTATAAAGTATATTGGTTACAACTTTGTGATCATGTTATCCGCCATTCATTGGACCTTTGTTGGTTTGTGCCATCCATTTGATGTAGACAACTTTCATCGTTGCTCCGGCATCTTGTACAATTTCCTCGTCAGAGCCTACTCGATACGCGCTCAAGTTGAAGGACTTGAGATCTTTGATACTCTCAAAGAGAAGAATTTCATTATTGTAGCCAACCATCAAAGTTCGCTTGACGTTTTTGTGTTGCTTCAGACGACACCCCGTAGAACCACGTTCTTAGCGAAAAAGGAACTACTGTATGCACCTCTGTTTGGATTTGCGGCCTGGCTTTTTGGAATCGTATTTGTTGATAGATCTAACGCCAAGAGTGCGAGAAACGTCATGGATAAAACAGCAAAAACGATGCGTGATAAAAAGGTAACTGGTGATCGTTAGGTGGTCAACAGAGGGGGGCTGGGTTCAAACTTCAATGGTCATGCTAACGGCCGAGACAACAATCGAAGAAGTATTTAGAATTGTTTCTGATTATTTCAAGCCTTGAAGCAGTGAAACATCAACTGGGAAATTTGAGGTCCAAAAAGATCCAAATTATAGCTATCTTGGTATCTTTCTGAGGACCCCTAGAGAAATGCTAATGAGCAATTTTCTTTGTGCTTGTCAGCACAAACTTTGGATCAAATAAGCTGTTAAAATTTACCTTGCTCCCAGCTGGTAGCTTTTTGGCTTAATAACAGGGCCCTGTGGGTGTCTGGTGGACAGGGGCTCAAACCCTGTTGAAGCATGATATTTTTCTGGCTTCTTTTTCAGCAGTTTTTTTAATTATAATTAGTTCACCTGTGAGGAATTTTTCGCTGTTTGGTGAAAATTTCTCCCAAAGCTTTCTGGGGTTATTAAGCTTAGAAATATAATGTAACCTTACACATTAGATACACATAACCGCCAGTAGATTGAGCTGTTGACCAAGTCTTCTGCTCACAGGACACAGGTTTTACACTGTTATTACTTTATTTGTAACTTGCTAAAATGTTAGCAGTAAATATTAAATAAATTAAATATCAGATGTTCTCATGTAATTTGCAGATTAATCTTTGGATCTTTCCAGAGGGCACAAGAAGCCAGAGTGGTACGTTTCTCCCATTTAAGAAAGGTGCCTTCCATCTTGCCATTCAGGCACAGGTAGGTTGTCTGGATTCTCTCAAGTTGATGTCCATTAACACATGTGAATTTGGAAAGTGTTGAAAAGGGATAATGCACAGAGGGATGACTTGAAACAACTCACAAGATGGAGGATTAATGGCAGGACAAAAATGCAGGCCAACTTCATGGTTTGGTGTTTTTCATTAGACAAAAGTTATGAATTGAAAATAATTAATAGTCTTTGTGAACTTGATTATTCGTTAAGACAGTTAAAATATTCATCTATTAATAATACTTAATATGTAAAAGCAGTGTAAAAATTAAATGGAACATTTTATGGAACTTCAGAATGAAACAATCATGTGTGTTTTGTTTTAGCTTCCTATTGTTCCTATTGTAATCTATGACTACTCTTCAATTTTCAACAAGAAAAACAAAGCATTTGAACATGGTAAGTTTCAGGTAGCTTTTTCATTTTAGTGCTAAGAAAAATTTAACTCCCAGAGGTGATTAACATGTAACTTCTCCATAAATCCACACATTATACAGCATACAGGTAATGAGAATACTCAAATGTATCGGTAGAAGTTGTTACCTTCTCCTTTCCCACCCCTTAGATGATAGTAAATTTTGATTTTGACAGAAATATTTGATAATGAGGGGATTACTAGAATGGATGGGTGGATGGACTAGGGTTCTACCTCAGTGCAGGATTGCTGCCTTATTCCACTCACACCCTCTTGTCTGAATGTTTTTTTATTTTCCTTAGTCAACCATAGCCCACAGTTCTGCACTCATTAAAAACTTTTTTGTGTCAAAAGCAACCTTGCTTAAATGCCTTAGAGGGCACTTTGATTGATCTACACATCTTGTACCACCCTTAAAAACAGTTACCCACAAATGTAGAAAACAATCTTGAAGGGGCTAATCACTTTTCCTTTTCTCATTGGCCACCTCTAATTATTGGATAAGGTTGGGCATGATATCATGAATTATCAATGCTGAGGTCTGAGTTATCTGCCAAAACTGAAGAAATGCAACATGCCATGTTGGAGACAATTCTATAAGCAGTAAAATCACTGCATATTTAATTTAGCAAATAACCAAATATTGCTTACTGTCAAACAAATTTTAACATATCATAACACACCATAAGAAAATGCAATGATTATATATTCTTAACCAATATGCAAAAGAAGACACTTTTCTCTGAGTTGGCAAAAGTTTGAGCACACTAATGGACAAGGGGCTTGGAAACTAGGCAGACTTTGAACTTTACATGATAATCCAATATTTGTTGCAGGTATTGAGTTATCATGTCAACTTCATACACTATTGTATATTGACTGCATGTTCTTGCCCAATCAGAGTTTTCATAGAAAGCCTAATGTATAAAAATTTTTCTACATTATTTGGGAGTTATGATTACTTCGTTGAATGAATGGTGAAAAAGTAGGGATTACTAGAATTAAGGTGTTGATGATAACTTTATTCAGTTTGTCAGTGTCATTTACTGTCACAGACATTGACTCCCTTTGACTACTCTTTCCATGTTGATTGCACATCACATTGTGTATGAGGTAACCTAATTGTCAGTCACACTGATGCTGTCTTAACCCTTTAACTCCCAAGATCTCACTATTAATTCTCCTTACTGTCTGTCATTCAGTTCTTGTGATGTTAGTTTTGAGAATTTGGTATTGTATCAACTTATAATCCACTGATTGATATCTTTCTTTATTCTCATCACATGTCTGCTTGATATTGTAATGATATTGTAAGGAGAAATTCTGTCTTGGTCACTCATGGGAGTTAAAGGGTTAAATCATAAACTTATCAGTTAAGTTTTTCATGTACCATCTTGTAGGAATCATTAAAATTAAAGTGCTGGATCCCATTTCAACTGATGGCCTTGCAGCCGATGATGTTGGGGAGTTAACAGATCATGTTCGACAAGAGATGCTGAAAGTTTTCCATGAAAAGGACTCTTCAGGAAGCCACCAGAATTCAGTACCAGCAGGAGAGAAAAAGAATGAGTGACACTAACATTTACATGAAATTAAAGCAAGTTGAGCTTAAATTCAATTCTATGTGGAGTTTTAAGTGTGTTTTAAAAATGAATATGATCAGAAATGAAATTATTTTACTAAAGAGATGGATTGTACATTGAATTTATAGTTTCCAGTCCCATTACAATTTTTGGTGCTACGTAAACTATTGGGCTAAAATAGCCAATGATGCTTGTGGACCTTCTTTTGCTTGCAAGGTTTTGAAGTTTTGATTGTAATTCAATTAACTCCAATAATACAAACAGAGTGATCTTGGTGTTTACTTTATTTAATTTTGAAACTCAAAATTTTAAATCATAAAGAGATCTTTATTTTAATTTTTATGAATGAAATAAATCAATAACTTTATTTTAATTTTCAGACAAACATCTGGCTTGAAATACTTGTAATCTCTTTGAATCTTTTTTTATTTTTTAAACTATTGTGTTCAAACAAATGTTTTAATGGCTTTTATTTATAAATAAAGGATTTGTCTTTATCCCAGCATTTGTGTACTCCATTGAATTTGTCTTGTCTCAGCCCAAGAATCAGTGTGGATAGTACAATGGGAACTGCTCTTACTGAGTGATTAGTTTGTTCAAAAAATAATTTGTCATGTGGAAGAGTGAGCCCTTTTGGTGCCTTTAGGTGCAGGCTAAATGTTAACACTTATGAAACAGTCACCCAAGAAGGAATCTGGTATTCAGTACTTGTTTAATTGTTACTCCATCACAACCGTTTTTCAAATGCTAAATTAATTTGCATATGTTTTTTCTCAAATGAACACTTAAACGTGACCTAAAACACACCTTTAATAAGTAATATGTTTGACCTCAAGGACAATTAAGTAACATCCGTATCCATAAAATGTACAAGTCTCGGATTGCAATTGTTAAACTTTGAGGAGTTGTTTATAGAGATGAGCGCTTTGCAATTGACTGTCATAAAACCCAAACCAAAGTTATTACAGGGGCCAGCGGAGGACAGGAAAATACCCTGAAGAGCCAATCAGAACTCAAAGTAAAAACAAGCAAATCGCCTAAAGCGCGAGAAAACGCGGGCGACCAAGTCGTGATCGATTTTAGTTTTTCTTACCAATGGTCTGGAGAGTGGTGCGAGTTCCCGGACCAAACTCACATAGCAAAGTAAACCAAACCAATGCAAGCCTGGATTACTTTCGACACAATTTAATTTTGCCCTGGTAAGAAATATCTCTTTGCTGAAAAGACCTCCCCTCACATAAATTGTGACGTTCAGGCGCGTTAAGGGGTGTAGACAGGTCTTCAATGGACATGCAACTTTCAAAGAAGCACGCAAGATTTTGTTCGCCAATCATATCAACTGAAGTGCGATTTCTGTACTTTTCATCTATCAAAGAGGCTGAAATAGTTTGAGGCAGCTGTATTTACTGGCTAGTACTGTTAATGCCGTTTTCTTGCAGTGACTTTTCTGCAGAAGCTGTTAACCCGCCCCTAAACATGTTGTTCTCGCGGCACTTACTGCAATGAGCAAGCTGAATTTGCCCTGCCGGACCACACTACAAGAAATTTGCACCAAATTGGTAATGTAACCTTCTCGGGCGGCGTTTGAATACCTTTAAATGCATACTCGAAGATAGTTTGAAAAATGATCACGCGAGCAGATCTAAATTGGGTTGAATCCTGCGCGTAATCCCAAGCGATTCTGAACGATTCCATGAAGTCATATGTCCAACAGATTAAAAGCCTCTTAACGTGGATCAAGTTTGTAAAAATGTGCATCTCTTAAAGGAAAAAAGGTTGTTGCTATTGGTTAGTAAACATGGCTAAACTTGCCCTAAGTGTAATAAAAGATAACAAAACCCTAAAATTTCTACTTCTGTAACGACAATTTTCAGACTACTTTTCTGCTCTCTCAGAACTACAAAGACCCCGTCTCTCACCTAGTTTTGCCAAAGTTTCTGCTAAACATCCACTTTTCTTGCTATGGAGATTCTCTTTTTAAATTCACGCAAGAAACTCATTTGTTGTCTCATCGTTTTCGTTACCTTTACTATAAAGGAGACAGTAGGCATTCCAACACCTCATGATTCACCACATCAGGCGGTTTAGGCAATGTCTTGTAGAAAATCACAGCGTCTCTGTTGTAAATTCTGATTTCCTTTTCGTTACTCTGTACCGCTTGTGTACAAAGGGATTCGCTTAGGCTACTGTTGTTTACTGTCTTCGTTGCCTTTACTATCGAGGAGACAGAAGACTTTTTCCAACAGCTCATGATCCAACCAAGCCGGTGGTTTAAGCGATGCCTTGGGGAAAATTACAGCGTCTATCTTGAAAAATCTGACTTCTCTTTCGTCACTCTGTTCCGCTTCTGTATTAAGGGACTCGGCTAAGCTTCTTCGTTCCTCGTTTCCCCTCAGCGTTTCTTTAAAAGTTGTCAGCCAGGATAAGACAGCAGCTTTTTGGTTTTCTGACATGACTTTGTGTTTCTTACTCAAGACCTGCGCCAGAAAATTGACACAGTACCACGACAGGTCTTGCTCTGAACACAGAACGCTTGGGATTTTGCGGAGAATGGATTCCACTGCGTCTTGAAGGACATCGTTTAAGTAAGGCTTGCTCGGTGCGTACTGCAACACCAGCAAACAAAACAGCACCAAGCTCGGTGTTAGAACGTTAACACTGAGTACGCACAATTGTGACTCCAAAACGATTCTGTTCCAAGGATTGCATGCGAAGTCTGAGGTATTTGGGACATAACCGAGAAAGCTTGTTAAGCACTTAACTGCGCACTGTCTTACAGTCTCACTGTCATGGACTAACGAGTTCTGTATATAAACAAGCAAAACAAGGAAGTCTTCATCGGATAGTTTCTCGCGAGAAGGTTCGTTTGCGTCGTTACCATTCGACAATACCAAAATGGGGTTCACTAACTCCTTTCTAGTTTTGAAGAAGACATCCCAAAAGACAAGACTTGCAAGACCCAAAATGCTTTGCCCTTCATTGACAAGATTAATCATACATTTTTTGTCGAGACTGAACACATGCTGAGCACCTTCCTGAGACAACATCTGGGAGATTGCAAGGGATGCGATGAGAACCAAAGTGCTTGCGAGAAGATTGACGTCCTTGACAGAGTCCGTTCGCAGTTCGACAGTGTTTACCAGTTTGGAATTCAAAATGTGTTCGACAAAGCTACAGAAAGGCTTGTTGGATAGAAGCACCGCAGCCACCCGGTAATTTTCTCTATTCGTATCCCTAGCCAGCAAAACATTCAGATAATTTATGGCACAAACTGCAAATCTTTGATCACCGTCTGAGGAAGTCAACAAGTTGATGACGCGATACAAAAGTTTGACGTCAAATACCGGGTTGGCCTGCATCTGTACTGTTGTCATCACATTCAGCATGGTAGAAATAGAATGGCGTGCGAGAGGATGGGACTTGTGGCTTGAAAAAATCTTGAGGAAAATGCTAGTTATTTGGATTGCTGTTGATTTTAAGTGAGGTGCACTTATCTTGGCTGGGATAGACTTTGAATCTCCAGACATCAGTGCTTCTATAATGATCCCTACTCGACTAACAAGTGCCTCCATGTTATGATCAATCAGTGAGACAAATTCTCGAAAAAACGGATCGTTTGAAATTAAAAGTTGTTGGAGTTCCTCGTCAGTGGAACAGTTCTGAGTCTTTTCGCTTCTAAGAAAGCAAATCAAAGCCTGTCGACCAAAGGCGTGTGCTAGAGGTTCACGAGAAAATATCCAGGAAAGGAAGAGAATGTTTTGAATGTGAATTGACTCAAATTCGTTTGGTGTAAAATTCACTAAATTCTGCTCCAGAATGTTTTGAGCGACGTCCATGCTTTCCACGACGTCAGTTGGCAGTGTCAGTTTACTCAGCCTGCTGTAGGGTGCAATCCAAAGATACAGTAAGTGTTTCAGAGTGACACGAGGCAGAAGGCTGAGATCGGAAAGAAGCACTATATACTTGTGCAAGCTTGTCGCGAGGCTTTCGAGCGAGACAATCTTGTCACCATGAGTAAACGCCACGTACATCAGTTCAATGCAAGCACATTGTGAATTGAAGAGAGAGACGTCATTTATCTCAGTCGTGGCAGACTGTCTCACTGGGCATTGTGTAAGTATGTTTAGGCAAGCGGTTACGGAATGGATACGAGCAATATTGCTTGTCTGAAGCACTTCCTTTAGCTGGGTGGTGTCGCAACTATCGGCAAGAGCAAGGCACAGGTCTGTCAAGAAACGCCCTGTGACGTCTTCGAGCTCTTTGCCATCTGGACGTCTACAAAACCTCTCTCTGATCTCTAGGGAGAGTCGAACAAAAGAACCTGACGCTAGTTTCTTTGCAAAATCGTGTCTGTAACTATTCACTGAAGACACTGAGAGAGAGAGAATCTCAAAAAAGCTTTTGAACACTGCAAGACATTCGATAGATTCGTAGTTCAGCATCAAGGCCGGTACACATATCTGATCGATAGCTTTCCACAACGAATCAACAAACTGCTCAAGTATTTCATTCTCATATGAAACCGTTGATTCATTCCTTGTCAGCAGGGCTGCGTACGACGGTTTCCTTACCTGGAACTCTTGACCAAATAGTAAAGCCTTCTTGATAACCTCCAACAAAGCACCCAGAAGAGCTCCAAATGCTCCTAATGGATAAACAAATTTTGTTATGCTGAGGTATAAATACGACGAGAAACGTTTAGGTGGAGCGGCTTTCAAAGTTGTTTAGTAATATTTAAAGTGCAAGAAAAGGTCAGGCATTTGGCGATTTTCGGAAAAAGTGGAAATATATCTAATAACTTGTCTCGCTTAAGAGCATAACACTGCGACCTTGGTCATAGCTTAAATCTGCTCTACAGGTGTTGGCTAAACTTAACCTAGAAGGGGTGTGAGCTGACTCTTTCAAAAGGATGCGGAATTAAAGAATGGCTTACCTTTAGGAATATTTCGGAAATATATCCTTGGCTTTGTGAATTTTTTCATTTGGGAGATCACAGTTGACACAAGAGGACCAACAGCTTCAAACGACACCGATGAGAGAAAATGATTGATGTTTAGAAATTGCACCACAGCACAAGCTGCCTGAGTGATAACCCTGTGATCTGCAGACTTCAAGCTTTGGTGCAGGATTTCAGCACATTTCTTACAAAGCTCCTCGTTTGGGAAGAGTTGAACGTTGAACGATTGCGAAGATAAAATTAGGGAAAGCACACGAATTGCTTGCTGAATGATTTCAGGATTCTTGAACTTGATGGCTTTTGATACACCGACGATTACTGACTCGATGCCGTAGACAGAGTAGCCTTCGGTGTAGAAGACATCGGCTCTCACTATGTGATCCAAACAACAGAAAACCGAGGCCAGAATTATGTCATTTGAACACTCCAAGTCCTCAAGAAGCATCTCTCCTATTCCACATCTTAGAATGACGCTGGTAAATGATTTTTCTTCAGAATCATGTCGTAAAATACGAGTGATGCATTGTATAGCTCCAGTCTGGATTGCCTCGTTTTGTGATAGCATCAACTTCTTTAAACTTTCAAGAATATCGCTTTTACCTTCGTTTGGGGGTTTCAAAACGGACATTAACACATCTGGCTGTGTAGTGAACATTTTCAGGACCCCAAGGGCGTTAACTTGAGTATCGAAACTTACAGAACAGTTGATAACAGCGCATGTTTGTCGGCACATTTTCTCTCGGATTTGAAAATTTAACTCCTTCACCGCTTCTTCGCTGGAGCATACTTGTACAAGTATGAATAGAAAGGCGACTTTAATGGACTCTTCAGGAAACACAATGTTAGAGATAAAATATTCCAAAAGAGAAGACGAATTCTTGGCAAATACTTGAGACAAAGCCGGGATCGATTTTAAAAGTCGCCCTAAGGCGAGAACAAAAGGATAGGATTTCCTGAAATTGTTTAACCGCAATATTTGGTTCTCTAACGTTTCCATAACTTTCTCCACAAGTTTTTCAGAACGCAGCTTGACAGTGATAATATCGAGTGCCTCAACTACTGTGTTCATCAGAAGCTCGTTCTCTGATGACAACAAATCCATTATTGTGCTGCAAAGGTGCGAGACAATCTGCGTACTTTGACAGAAAAGCTCCAAGACATTTTGATTGTTCGTAAGAAGAAAAACAATCTCTTGAAGAGCCTTGCGTTTGCGAAGGTGAAGGACATTTGGACTCTCCAAAAGCTCTACAAGACACGCTACGCAGACTAATGTAACGTTTCTTCCTGTCATTCGCCACTGAGAATCATGCTTTGAGTGATTTGAAGTGAAAAAACTGAGCGAATTTTCGGTCGACTCCATTCTGCTAACTTGCGATACTTGCAGGAATGGCAACGGTTCATGTGAGCCCGCGAATGTAAAGAGTTTGTGTGTTTCACCTGCGCATGTGCTTTACAGTTTTTTTTCGGAGGGAAAGTTCAAAATAAATAACGAAGTAATCGGAGTACGATTTCCATAACCGACCAGAAATTTTCTTAACCTGTCGCAGTTTGTAGCCTGCTTAAGGATGGCATCTGACGTAACTGTGGATATGAGAGAAGGTAAGTACTATTTTGCTTGAATCGTGTAAAAATTTCTCTGTCGACAACATCTTCCATCGCCCGACCTCGTCGCAATGTTTGTTTTCGAATATCGTACATGAAGACCCAATAACTTTATTAGGGATACGATCTGTCCGTTATAACAGGGCTGGCTTGTAAAATATTTTGTGATAACTGAAAATAGATTCCGTTTGTATTAGTAAACTTACACTATCACACAAATATATGCTTTTGCCGAACAGTACCGCGTACGTCTTAGTACTAGTACTGTACAACTTGCTGTAAACTGTACGTGCCCCCGTTTGATCTGAGTTATCTGCTAGCTTATTACAGGCTCAGAGATGACACACGTATCCGAACCACAACGACATAGGAAACGCAAATTAGAGACTTTTTTAAGCAAAGTCAATTAAATCGATATATCACTCCAAGTAAACACGACCGTTACTTTGTTGTATTTCAGAGGAAAATCCATTAATATGCTCAGAGAAAAGACTCACAAAGGTAGTTGTTAAAGTTTTGTGTGTTTTATTCCTATTTTTTAAGACATACACAAATTTAATCCCTAAGATCGACTAGCATCCAATTTCTTCAGACTATATCACCACTGAATCGAAAACTAAGGCCATGATAATCAAAGAAATAATTGCTTATTGATTTGATCATCAGAGCAATTCTCCTACTCAGTAATGGAAAATATGTAGAGAACACTTTGGAGAATGTGCTTTCTGATGTTATGAGCATTGTTACCACCTGTGGGAGGATGGAAGTCTGATGGAGGGTTACTCCAGGTTTTGGCAGGATTCCCTGACAATGTGCTGGTCCCTGTTGTACTCCTCTGGGTTGTTCAATTAGCTAGGTTAAGATAACCCAAGATTGGTGTGAAATCTGACCAGAAAGATCTGATAGCTTTAAAAGAATATTCAATACAATTCTTTTGTCTACAATTTGATGCTTGAATGCTTGAAAAAGAAAAGAGAAAATTAGTGGAAAAAGACTTAAAGAAAGAAATAAAGAAACCCAGATTATAACTTAATCCTGGGTCAGCACTAATTTGGCCTTGACATTTTGACCCCTAAGAGTGACTGGCATCTAATTTCTCCCTACAAGATCACCCCTGAATAAAACATTAAGGTCATGAGAATAAGGGAAATGACTGACAACCTAAAAAGTTCTTGATGGTTAAACAAATTCTCTTTGTTAGCATCTTAAGAAATGTATGTAGAAAAGTGTGGAAAATATGCATACTGATGTTAGGGTGTAAAGGGTTAAAAAAAGAACTGGGCATAGGGTAAAAAGAGGCACTGTGAGAGTGCTTGTCTTGCGAAAGTACACAACTCAGTAACCTGGCTATGACTCGTAGTCTGACCTGGACACTGTGTCTCCAACTGATAACAAAATTATTGCAATAAATAATTTCTTGAATACAGCATACTGTTTTTTGAAAAAAAATTAACATTTTTTGTGTATCATCAACAGGTACAGCAAGCAAAACTGGAGGCACTTGCTGCCTTTGGCAACTGCACATTTGATTCCTTGGTTGTTAAAAGGGAAAGCTTCAAGTCAAAACTCAATTCAACTGCGAAGACTGCTGCCACAAGAAAAGAAAATGTGAAGAGGCTTACTCGGTAAGGACTGACAATTTTGTGTTTTATTGAGGCAATATCCCTTGGTTGAAGATTTTCTGTTTTTTCTCTTAACTGCCTGCTTTAAACTGTATTAATATTGCCAAAGAGAATTTTATTGCAAGTCAATCCTGGGAGTCCAAATGTACCTGAGCTTAGTTGATAACAATGTTTATCTTGGTCTCACTCTTATCAATTTTCTTTTTGTTATTACTATTATCTTTTGGTGAAAAGACCCCTCAACTGCTTAAGACTGAGTATCAATTTCACAAGTTGAGTATCAATTTCACAACCTGAAGGTTCCTGCAACAATCTCATGTTTCAATTGTTTGCCATTTCTACAATCATGTTCTAATTGAGTTGCTTGGGGAGAAGTGGCCAAACACAGAGAGTGACACCAAAGACTTATCAGTCTAAAGTTTCAATATGTGAACTTTGCTAGTTTTGCATGTAGAACAGCACATACAAAAATTCTCAAAGTGCTGAGCCTCATGCTGGATGCCAAATTAAGCTGGTTTAACAACACATTAAATAATTAAAAAACTGAATGTGAGTCTTAAACACCACCTCCTCTCTTGATCCACCTCTGACTTAATGTAACTCACCATAGCAGCACAATTTGAACAAGGAATCATTACCCAAAAAATCAGAACGGAATGTTAAAGACGTCAATTGCTCCCTGTAGAATTACTCTGTAGGGGTACCATTAGAAATGTAAACTCCAGTTACATAGCTGCCTGTTATGGGAACCTTTTCCCATGGAATCGATGTAAAATATGAGCCTTATAGTATGATTTCTAAATCTTAAAACAAAAGTGTTTTTTTTCTCTACTGAACCTTTATTTGTTATTTTTATGAAATAGCAAAGCGGTCATACATAGAATACTTTTGTCCTCTAGAATGGAAAAAGCCAGACAGGAAGCCAATGAAGCATTCAAGAATATTCGTCTCGGCCAGAAACGAAAAATTAGTGTGCGTGAGAAGAAAACAGAAACACATGACCCCATCAATGCAAAAAGAAAACTCACAAGACTTGAACAATGTAAACTTGAAGCACAGCAAGCTTTTGGAAATGTTCCTTTGGGTACACTGGCAGAAAATGTAGAAAAGAAAGATGGGCAAAATAAGATTCAAAGACACAGATCGAGTGCAGGAACCAAACACTCAGGACTTGAGAATAAAGATACTGCACAGAAAAACACTAAAAAAAGCTTTGACAAGAGATCTTTGGAAAGAATTACAAAAGAAAAGAGGAAATCTATAAATAAGGGGAGACAAAATAGAAGATCATCAACTTTGCGAAGAAGGAGTTCAGCCATGATGCGAAGACGAAATTCTGCCAAAAGTAATAGACTTACCAAGGTCCAAGCCTCACAGTTAGAGGCTCTTCATAGTTTTGGAGGCCTGAGCCTTGACAAGTTGAGTTCCTCCAACAAGAAGGCCTGTGAAGCTGAAGTAAAGGGTGACCCAGTGGCTGTTGACTGTGAAACTGTTGAGGAAGGGAAAGTTCAAAGTGAGGTAAATGAACCAATAGTCATGGAAACCCATCATGAAAGTGATTCTGGTCAGAAAGATGGTGAGATGGATGTTGAGCCAGCACTAATTGCAAATGCTGTCGATGTCCTGGGAGAGATGTCTCTGCAAAAATGTCATTCTGTTGATGAAGTAACTCAAGTGACACCCAGTGACTGCAGCAATACTGAGATCCAGACTGAGAAGGTCCAAGTGTGTGAAGATCATGTGAAAGGTGTGAAGAGTAAGCACCCTAATTGGGAGGAAAGTCTTCATGAGGCATCCCCTCAAGCCAAAAGTATAATCACTGAAGCAGCACCTAGGCTCTTGACACGCTTGGAGAGAGCACGAATAGAAGCACTTCACAGTTTCAATGGGCAAGCTTTTGACCATGTGATAAAGACATCCACTAGAAAAATGGCCAGATACTTGACACCAATGAAACATCAGGGAACCAACACAGAGCTCCAGCCAACAAAGAATACACCCTGTCAGACTGATGATTCCTTTAGAAGACACTACCCATTTCCTAACAAGTCCTTCTACTCCAGCCTCCAGGGCAACAGCTTCCATGACAGGGATGCACTATTGGAGAGTAGCAAAAAGGTTGTGCAGACAGCCAGGTCCTTGGATACACCTTCTCCAGATCACTCACCTGCAAACTTGTGATTTTGTAGACGAACAGGAGAAATGCCATAATTTTAGCATACTGTTTTGTTTGCTTGTCTGTTTGCATCCTAAGGAAGAGTTTTAACTATTAAAACTCAAGTTTTGTTTATTTGCATTGAGTTTGGAAAAAAAACTTAATTGTGTGGTAAGTTATTATTACATTGAAGATGTTCACATTTGAGTGTTATGTTGGTGTTCATGTTTGCAAAGAGATGCTGTTCACTGGGCCAGCAAGTTCTGACAACTAATTCCTAATAAAAAGTGACTTGTGACTGCACATGCAGGTTTGTCATTAAAAGGCAGTAGGTGGTGGAAACCCACCTGCTGTCAGACCATTTTGTGCTGTTCACTTTGCACACCAGCCTTTTGTGATATTGAAAACTGTTGTCTAAACAAATCATTTTGTTGTTGTTGTTGTAAATTAGCAATTTTCCTTTTTTTCTGATTTTATGGAGGAAGGATTAAACTAAAAAGTTGTATTTAAAGTGAGTACAGTGCAAGAACTGTCAGTGTTGTTGACAGCTAACTTAAAAGACAGAAAATAAGTATTTGTGGTATTAAGATTTGTCATGTGATGAAATCTTTTTTTTTCTGGTGAGTTAGTTTATTATGTTTTTTGATTTTATATAAGAAGGATCAAATTAAAAACCAGTACAGGAAGTACCATGCAAAAACTGTCAGTGGTGTTTGTTCACAGCTATCTCGAAAGACAGAGAATACTTAATTTTTTAACTGATTTTAACATCAATGTCTGGTAAAAAAAATGTTACTCAAATATACTCCAGATGATAAAAACCATTTTTCAAAGAATTTCAAATTTCAAATTTTCCATCTCAGAAGTGTTGTGTCACACACTGAGAGGTTCCATCAGTGTAGCTCACTATACTCTATGGTCCAATTGTTCAAAGGGCAGGTGAGTTGCTATCCAGTGGATTAGTGTCAAGAAAAGGTACCACGTTATCTAATGGATAGAGATTTATCCAGTGGATAGCATTACTTCAAACAACCATGGTCTGCAAGTGTATTAAGTTTCAGTTCTCAATACTTCCTTAAACTGCCTACCTTTTTTCTGATCAGCTGTTATGATTACTGAGGTTTTGGTCTTTTTGACATGCAACTTGAATCTGTAAAGTCATTCTGTCACACTTGATAATATACTTCAGGGCACAACCCAGTAAACCCTGATGTTAAAGGATAAATTCGATTCAGCTGAACTGGCCAGTTTAGTCAAGATGGCAATAAAATGCTATGGATCCTATTGGCGCTCAGTTAGTTTATGATCATCTGTTTAGAAAGAACTCTAGTGTTAACATGAAAATAAAAAACAAATGCTGATCTTTTTGTCCCTGATTTATTTACAGAGCAACAAAACAGCACAGAAACTGTCCTTCTCAACTCCTTTACACTCTAACATCAGTATCCACATTCTCTGTGCTTTTCTCTATACATTTCCTCAGGTGTTTTACAAGGAGAATTTGTTTAACAATCAAGGGCTTCTTTAGTTGGTGATCGTTTCCTTAATTCTCTTGACCTTAATGAGTGATTCAGGGTGATATTGACAGGGGAAACTTGATGCTTATCACTTTTCAGGGTCAAAGGTTTATTAAGTGGACTATGCCTGAAGACTTGGCCTGGAGCTTAAACAATGATCCTTTGCTGCCAGGTTACCACATCAAAGATGGGTAGAATTTTCTTTTTTTTTTTTTTTTTTTGTTTTGTTTTGTTTTTTTTTTGAGGTGTATTGATTGAATCTGACTTGGTTTAAACATGAAACTACATAAGTAAAAGTTAAGAGTTGGTTCAAGTATCACTTACCTTACCAATGAAAAGGTATGCAATGGCACCATTTTGCCAAATTCATGGGCACTCTTTGAAATCCTATCCTTTTCTTGTTCAATGTATCTTCACTTATTCGATATCGCAATATATCTTTGGTTAGGGTCTATTGGAGACCAAAGAGTTTCAGTTCGCTTTTCGTAGTAAAATTACGTGGAATTATATTTTAGAGGCAATCAACTGTAGGTGACTCATTTTGATTTTCTCTCTGTTTGAGGAATGGCAGTAAGCGTTGTCTCTTTCGTAACTGTTATTTGGTCTCATCACGCAACACGCACTCCCTCTCAAACGGAGAATATATGACGTTGTGTGACGAGACTAAACAACGGCTGCGAGGGAAACAACAATAAGTGTTGCACTAATGCATTTTATTTTTGCTTAGAGGTATTTAGACAATAAACCACAAAATACCTGGTGAGTTCAGTTAAAATAGTAATATTTTCTTTCTCTTAAGGTGAAGCAATGCGATATTTTCGTCCGGTTGAAAGTTACACAGTGTCCCAACTCAATTGGCCCGCCTAGCCGAAAAAATAACCCTTGCTTACTACGCATGACTATGTTTTTTTTTTCGTTTGTGTGATAATGTCTTTTTTTTCTTTCCATTGTTTTCAATTTGTTACTTGTGTGATCGAAAAAATTTTCCTTTAATTTAAATCCAAACAATGAAGACAATTGACTGTGGGCACCACGAACCGTTCGTGCGATTTTTATTGAACGTTTTTTCGGCATTGCCTGTAGTATTCTGTTCATCTCACGCCTAGCTTACAATCGACATCCGTTCCGCAAAGTTCAAGAATGCGTCAATGCAAATGAACCTAGCTAACCGCACCCGAACCAGGTGCGGTACGGTATGGTTTCTATATATAGCTCTTATTGGCTATGAGGAACACGGCACAATGATTTATAACCGCTGGAGACTTGATTTTTAACAATGATCTCAGTAACGAGTTGCGATGAAGGAGTTGTTTAAGGATAAATACTGACATAACCTTTTGGAAAATCTATCACCAAACGATAGCTTTACTTCAGCCAAATACTAGGTCTGTCAGAATTAAGGTAAGGGGTGTAATCTCCGTTGGTTATTGAAAGCCAGCAGTACTGTTTTCAAATCAATCAGAGATTAATTCTAACTTTACATGTTCGCTTGAAAAATCAAGTACATTTACGATGTGAAATGTGTCCTCTGGTACTGACGCTGACTTTTGTAACGCTTTGTGATTTTGTTTTTCAAACGAGTCGTTTTCCTGCTATACCTAGTTTACCAAAGAAAGAGTCACCTTAACATACGCCGCAATCTTTGGTTAAAATAGAAACTACGAAAAAAATTCCAAAGAGAAAACATCCTCTTAGCCTACTTCGTTCAAAATTGCCATCTGTCACTCCGTTTGGGGAGCCCCCCGCGGAGAGTAGGAATTGAAACAAAAATCAAAGGCCAAAACATCTGATGAGGCCGAGTTCCTGAGTAATCTATCTTCTTGCTATCTGAGATGGCCGTCAGCTCCTGTTGAATAATCACCTCTGACTAACGAGTCTAAAGGAAGTGTCCTTCGACAGCAAATTGGATTCAAGTGGAAGTTGTGTTAGAAAGATATTTGCTTTACGTACACCCATACAAAATCTACTTCGATAGGTCCACGCAGATAAATGTTATGATACGCAGACTGAAAGAGACTTTTTTAACATTATCATTTTGTCGGGAATTGTGGCACATTTTGCGAGCTAAAATAGAGAATTTGACACGCTGGCGTGATAGTTCAGGCTGTTTTGTTTTTGTCAATTTTCCAGTTTTATACTTTCTTTATGCCATCTAAAATAATAGAAACAGTATTTACTAGACTATGTTTTGGGCTAAAAATATGTCTTGGGGCCTCCTCATTTTAACCCTCGCTTAAAGGCTCGGGCTAAAATTAATCTAATGATTTTTAAGGGATCACACGGTTTTAAGGGGGAACAAAAGGGACGTCAGTCGTCTCTAACAGAGTCTAGAGAAAACTGATCACCAGTGAGGGGAATTTCATTAGAATACTGTAGAGCGTTATGTGAGGATTAGGTCATTTTCATTGTGACACGATTAAAATCGTCACCCCCCAAAATGAATGGTCCCTTATTTTCATTGTTTCGCCCTCAGAGATGAAAGGTTTTATCATCACCAATGCATCCAAAGATGAGAGATGGTTTGAGCATATTGTTACCGGATTCTACATTGCGATCTTCGTGATCACATTTATGACGAACACGTTCCTCTTCATCGTGTTCCTGAAGAATAAATCGTTCCGCGACCTCAGCACTTACTTGATCGTCCAGATGGCGGTAGCTGACGTGCTGTATCTTTGCGTCACCTGCGCCATCATTGTCATAAAGAACTTGGATGTACAGCTTAGCCGGCCGATGTGCAAAGCCTTGTTATATGTAGAGGGAGTGGCCAGATTTGCATCTTCGCTCTCTTTGATGTTGATCAGTCTTGAGAGATCCATGTCTGTTTGCTCACCATCGATGTGCTATACAATCAGGAAAATTTCTGGAGTCAAGAAAAAAGTGAGTGTCTTGATGTGACTTCAATATGAGATGATCAACTTGTTGAAGCTGCCATTATTGCAATGACCTACAATTTCTCCCTTTCTCATCTCACAGGCTTTCTTAAGCGTTTTCATCAGCGCTGTGATTCTTCGTTTAGGAGTCCTTTTCGTGGCGTGTGACTCTGAAAAGTGGGCCCCTGGCTACAGAGTAGCTGTGACTGTCGCTACTTACACCCTTCCCCTGGTGGTAGAGCTGACTGCCTACACCATATCTTACCACAATATCAACCGAAGACTTAGAGCTTCAGCAGGTAGCAAACAAGTTCTGTTGTTTATCAAGAGGTCGCTGAAGGTTTTTGTGCTGATCGCTGTAGTCTTTGCAGTCTGTACGCTTCCTGCATCAATCATGGTGATTCTTCAGTCACTCCGTGTTTACACACCTAGCTATTTTGTTGGATATGTCGGGGACATAATCGAATGCATTCCCTGTGTCACAAACGTAATCTGCTACCTGGTCTGCAGTCCAAAGTTTCGCATGGAAATCAGGAAACTCTTATCAGGTGTGTTTCTGTTTGGATTTACTGCCCCATAGTTAGAATCCACAACCTCTCAATTACTCGTTCCGATAGTGAAACACGGTTCATTCTCTTTAGCATTTTCCGACATTTTACGACTTAAAAACGTACTTAGAACATTTGGACTGAGTTTTTAGCGTAAAACCAAATCAACTTCCCAGCGACAAACAGCCAATCAAAGGGAAGGAAAACATAAAAAAGACAATGAGACCTGACAGTATGAACGAACAAACCGAGTTGAGATGATTCCTCAGCATTACACTGCATATCCTATACTGCGCAAGGCGAATAAGCACGCGCGCATTCCGAGAACATGGAGAATCTTTACGAAGCGATAACGGAAATTCTTCGGAAAAAGGCAAAAATACCGCCAAACGGACGCGCGGTAAACTCTTAATCTAAAACGAATAAAACCCCAAAAGCGAAACGACCGAAAAAACTGAAAAACTAAAAAAACTCGCATACGCGAAAATCGTACGCGTCACAAATGCTCACCGCGTGTTTTAAAATTCGAAAAGTCTCAGAGCGCGCGTGCTCGCTAGTGGACTTCTTTTCACCAGATACGACGGTCTTTATTTCTTGAACGAGCACGGTGACCTATATTTTTTTATTCATTTGCACCTGTATAGGCTTAAATGGGGTACGCTTGGCCGATAAAATCTCTTTAGCAAGCACGCTTAGCTATCTTTTTTCATCGTAGTTTTCGAAACAGAGTTGGTAGGAAACATTAAAGGAAAAATTCAAAAAAGAATCGTTCAACAACTTTTATTTCTGAGTAATCATCTTAAGCGCGTGCAACCGATTGATTGGAAAGTTTAGTACGAGTTTTGTAGACAAATCGTTGGTTAAACATAACCGAAGTAGCTCCGGAGTACTCTCAGTACTCAGTTGAGACCTACTATATGCCCAATCGATAACGCAGTGACCGGAACTCTGATTACACACATTTTTTTCAGTCCCCGACTACAACTCAATACCAGGTTTTAAAGACCTTTCCTTTTCTAAGTACAATATCTCTTTCCACTCCTTTTTAATCAAACTTGAGAATGGCGACTAATATTCATAGTTACCTTGCCCCACTTGATAAGACGCCAGTATTGTAGTTTACACGATAAGTTGAAAGAGGAGCACCGCCGGGTGACCCACATTAGAGCGAGGGAATACCTTAATTCAAAGAGGGAGTATACTTTTATCGAGGGCAGAAGTGAAATTATCTGACCGTAGACGTAAATAATTCCTTAATTACAATTTTTTTTTAGTTCGATGAAATGATTTATGATTCATCGACAACTTGTTTACGGTATTCATGATTTTTCACTGACTATATCTTATAATTCATGATTTCTTACTTATTCATGATTCTGGCCACCTGATTTAACCCCTTTGGTCAATGACTCATGATTCCGCCTCCACCTACGAATGTTTGACAAAGAATCTAACCTTCTTACCTTTTACCCAACCCTTCGCCTTTTCACATATCTCGCACTTCCATTGCCTCTTACTAAAAGTTTATTTACATCAGTACTCAGATATTGTAACAATGGTGAAAACATTTCCAAATCAGCCTCTGCAGAAGGCGCAGAAAACGTAGACGGCCTTGATGACGAAAAGAAAAACAAGCGCGCCATTGACAAGACCACTTTAAAGTTGGATTGGATTCTTGGCGATGACCCATCTCAAGTCGTCATTCCAGGATCCCCTACTCTGAGGGTAGACACACCAGCTAGTGCTGTACCCCCTGACTCCATAGAAGTACCTCTTATGGCCCTAGAAACCATTGCAGAGCAAGACGAAACAAGTCCCCGACGGGCAGCTCGAAAAGGCACCAGCGTTAACACTTGGCCACGCATGCGTCAATCTCCAAACGATCGACGTGTCCCGGAGAATCTTGCGGCATCCAAGGACTCCGTTTTTTCTGGGTCAAGCTTAAACGGTGTGGACATTGGAGTTCACCAATCTGGGTTTGAGACAGGTTTATCCACGGAGACAGTGGATAATATCATGCCAAAGATCTCTAAACATACTGTCAAGAATGTGGAAATAGGAACCCAAACTGAGTTCAGCAGAGTTGACGTACATGAGACTGTGAAAGAAGGTAGATCATAGTAACATTTAATATCTATTATTACCATTCAGCAATCAATCTCACATCTAAGAAAACAAATTTTGGGGATATTCAGCAAGCCGCAAAGCGGCAACGTAATTATCCACAAGTTTGGACCACTCGTGCTCGCGCAGAAAGAGCGGGGCCTCGAGTTATCAGAGCAGTTCGACGAGAAAATTCTTCAGGTTCTTACAAGAGTAAGTCATTCCGCGTTAGAAATTTCCCCTGTATGCATGGGCACATGCTCGTCGCAACTGGTCTGTAATGCGCAGAACAACTTTGAAGCTTCACCCCCACCCCGGGCTACCCCCGGGAATTTCACTGTCGTCCGTACCGTCACTCACTCATGCTCAACATGCCGTGTGGCACGTCGGGCGGCTTTGGTGCCGTTTCCGTAACATGAGTGTTTGTGGGACAGGGTTGTTAGCCGTTCGTACCGTGGGGGTGGTAAATTTGAAGCTTGCCTGGGTGGGGTGGGCAATTTGAATTGTTAAGTCTCTCCAGCGGAATGAACATGTTTTGCCTTTTAATATGGAGGTGTTTACAGCTAAAAATTTCACTTTCGCGAGCAGATGATCAGAAGAAAAGGTCTAAAAGAAAGTCACGGTTGCTATTTATCTTGCCGTTCACAAAAAAAATCGACAATCATAACCGGTACTTGGGTGAGGCATTTGAACACAATTTTGGCCGGGGTGGGGGAGAAGGCGTTTCAGAAATTTGAACGAACCAATCTTCAAAAATTCAAACTCTGAAGGGTAGGAGAGAGGGGGGAGAGAGTGGCCGGGGGGATCTTAAAGCTTCGAATTGGTCGACACATTCAGCTTCTCATTCTCAGAGTTCTCGTTTCTTCAGGTCACGTGGTCATTTTTACTTCTAAAGATGCGTAAAAACGAGTGACTCTGGGGATTAAAATGAAACTAAGTTTCTTTGACTTAAGTTTTTTTACAAAAACGACTGCTTTAAATTTACTTCATTTTCTTCGAGGTTCCTTATTTTCTGGAATGTGATAATTTGTCTCAACCACTCAGCTTTTGTCTTGTACGTCAAACATTGCTCCAAGAATTGGAGTTCATCATGAAATTCGTATAGAGATTTAAAGAATGTGACTTCTCTCATATATCTCTTTCGCAGAATCATCATGGCTCTGACGTGAAGGAAGAAACGTACTTTACATTTACTATTGATGTATGCAGGAAACACGATAGTTGTTCGATGGCAACAATTTTGGGTTTTATCGTAGCTATATAAGGAATTGGGATCGCACCTTTAGATCAGAGGCTCGGTTTTATATATTTCACATTGTCAGTGAAGCTATTTAATGAAAAAAAAGTGAAACAAAAGCGATTCATTGTACATTCGCGATAATTATTGTATTGTAAATAATCCGTATAATCATTCTGCTAAAGAAAAAAAGTGAATTCAAACCAAATGATTTTTTTCATTAATGTACATAAAACCATAATTTCCTACTGCTATTTAATGAAATAAAAGCAACTTACAATTGAGTGTGAAAAGCTATCCTCTTTGGACAGCAGGAAAAAGAACAATGGTGAGGTCAAGGGTGATGTCAAAATCACTAATGGTAATACTAGTGATGGCTCGAGGCCAGATTCCCCTCTGTCTGATGAAAATGATGACGATCTTCAAGCTAAAGAAAAATTGATTGCACACTTTAGAAATGAACTGAAGCAAGAAGAAGCCAAACTTCTCTTGTTGAAACAACCACACAAAATGATATCAAAGGTAGCTCCATATTTCAAAAAGAAAATGTGGAGAAGGTACAGACACAAAGAGCCTCTTCCCAACCTGTGAAATCCTCTATGCAGCTTCCACCTAAAAAAGGTCAGAATCTTCCTCCCCCACCACTTTTGAAGGCCTCAGAAGTACTAGCCATTTCTACTTTCCATCCACCCAGGGATGTTCCAGGGCAACCAAGGCTGCTTCCAAAAGGGAGTAGTAATGCTCAATCACAGTTCTCAAACTCTGGATCTTCAAAGATTACATTGATTTTTATTGACTTTGTTTGCGATTGTTCTGTAAAATTTCTTCCTTCCTCTTTTCCTGGGTCCTCTGGGTCCTCTGCCTTCCTCCTTCGAGAAAGGAAGAGAGGGGACCTGGTAGCGAGGTTGAACTTCCTAAGTTCAAAAGTTCAATAAAAATTGATGATCATCCCGGAACTTTCAAATGCGCGCGCACGATGAAAAACTTGCCCTTTCATTCATAACATCGAGACTACATCGGGACTCAAGCGATCATTTAAGACTTCCATTCACTTCACCTGTACAACTTGTACTTATTTAAAAAAAAAAGTTATATCTTGGCGAAGGAGGAGGACGACTAGCCTAGACTAGACTAGGAATGGCGAAACGCATCCAAACCGGTTGCTAGACCATTAATATTCTCAATCATTCAAAGCAGTGGGCAGTTCGGAAAGCTGCAAAACTCTATAACAAACATCGGCACCCTTAATCCCCATACTCTTTTCATTTAATTAATTTATTCGTGTTTTTCTTGTCACCACGTTCCAATTTCTGCATATAGGACACACAACCCGCTCTGACGAAGAGCGAACGCTCGAAACGTCAACTTTAAAACTCTTTACGGTGGTCAATTTTCATTTTTAACTGGGTTTATAAAACCAAATTATCTTCCTCAACCTTCTCAATAAATCAAATGCACTTCTTATCACTGGCCTTCTCAGCAGGCGTTATTTATTATTTATTATTTATTAATTTTTTCGGCGTTGATTAAAAGAACAACAGCGAAGTTGCATAAAAACCAGCGGTGATTCGAGTGATTTCCTCAAATATTCTGTATCAAACCTTAAGATGATTCCTCAGTTTTGCAACACGCATCCTGTATTGCGTATAAAGATCACGTAATTAGGCAATGAGCGCGCGCAAGAATGGGCTCCTGGCGCGCGCGCATTTCGAGAACACGGTATTATTTTTCAATCCACGGACCAGGTGACCTATCTTTTGTATTATGTTTTTCGAAACTGACATTGGTAAGGAAAATTAAGGAAAGTTTAAAAAAAACTTGTGTTCGATAACTTTTTTTCTGAAGAATTACCTTATGCGGCGCGAGAGATATCCATGCCCAGGCCGACTGCCCTCGTTTCAGGAGGCTTATCATGAGACACAGAAACGCAAGCCTCCACCGCCTGTGAGGCAGGCGTTCACAATCGAGTAGATTTCCGTATAACCCTATTCTTCATTATGGATACATTTCTTTGACAAAAGCAAAAAAAGGCGAAAACAATGGACGCCTTCGGGGTTATGGATTTGTTTCAGATTAGTAGGGAGTTGGTGGGCGCTAAAAATAAGTCTTGTCCAGGCAAACAGCTGTTTTACCAGCCCCTGCTCGTCAGATATTTCAAGTCCTCAAGAGAAAATATGTCTACCCTATCTTACATTTCTTGAGGTGAGCAACCATTTGTTTTTGCTGTATTCAATGTTGAATATGTACGCCAGACTCTGCATGGTGGCGTACACTACGTGGGGTTTTAAATGAAGAACAGTTGAGCCAAAGAATAGCCTCTGAGCTATAGAGGACTCAATAATGTCAACATTAAAGATGGCAGACAAGAGTGACAAAAAAATCTAGGAAAAGGTACCTTGAAATAGAAACTATACATTTGCGTAAAAATCGCTTTCAGTTATATAATTTGGATAATTCAACACTTAGACGACTCAGGTTCTCGTTTTCTTTGGTTGTGCTCTTTTACTGTCCTGTGGGTCCATAAAACGGATTTTGTCCTCTCTTCGAAAGCGGAACATCTTTACGGTACAAAAAATGATAGAAATATTTGAAATTAGCTGGAAAAGAACTATTTTCTGACAGACTAACGGAGACCTAACTTAGATTTCAAGCTGCGTGATTATATTGAGCTTGGTCACAAAGATAAATATGAAATCAAATGAATTAAACCGAGCGAAAGAGGTTGATAATCAGAGTCTTCATTCAACAGTCGCTAGATTTGGAGATGTAATTAAAAGCAACGATTTGATGGAAAATGAGTTAAAAGCAGCAGAAACGTCAGTGAGTTTATGTAATGTGGACAGTGAAGTTGATTTGGATGTCACGGCGTTTGGCTGCCAGGACGATGATCAAGCCCATGGCCTATCTCAAAATGAGTCCAAAGATTTAGATGAAGACAGAATTTCTGAGAGAAATTCTAGTGAGGTTGTTGAAGAAGTTGATGTGATAGATGTTGGATTTAATGACTATCCTTGTGATCAAATTTCTGGCTCACAATTAAGAATGGTGGATCATGACAAGTTGGGGAAAATCAACAGCAAGACCTATAATGAAAGGTTATTTCAGTTGCAATTTGAAACATTGGATAAGAAAACAAAAAGTGAAGCTCATGGTGTGGAAAAGGAGTCCCCTACTGTAGAGACTAACCTGTGGCATGACCAGTTTTTGAATGGCAATGGAGAGGATGATGACTACAATCGCTTCTATTTTGAGTCTGATCATTTGGCACTAAAAGATAATAAACAGTAAGTATTACTTAGTCACTTTTAGTAATGCAGTAACTACTTTTTAACTGTGAGTCTTTCCATTTTTAATTCCGACTTTCCAATATTTACCTAAAAAAAAACTCCATTTTAGTAACTTTATTGAAAATACAACTTCACTGTAGTAAATCTCATCATGAAAATGTGACGCCATCCAGCAGCACATCTCCAATAGCCTATTACTCAGAAGAAGCCCCCCCCCCCCCTAGTGGCTGGGTAAAAGAACCAAACAAGCAAACAGACCAACATATCTTTCTGGTCTGAATTTATTTTGAAAAGTAACAAGTGGGTGCCACTTTTTTTAACTCTTCCACACCCAAGATCTCTTTAATAATTCTCACTAGTACTGCTATACAATTCTCATGATGCCATTTTGGGAGAATTTGGTTTTGGGTAAACTAATAATCCCCTAATTGATATTTATTTTTCTCTATTCTCTTCACTTGCCTGCTTTATGTTGTATTGATATTGTGAAGGGAAACTCTGCCATTGTCACTCATGGGAGTGAAAGGGTTAATATGTTTTTGTTTCTTTTTACTATTTTTTATTACTTTTTTCATTTGAATGTGACTTTGTGTAAAGTGTCATGAGTCTTTTGTAATCACTCTAACTCTTTTAAGATTAATGAGGACCTAGATGTAGTTATAGAGGATTTTTATAGAGGATTTTTTATCTTCTTTTGCACCAGCTATCATTTATTGTTACAAACATTGTTGGTTTTGGAGTCTCAGAGGAGTCAAGCTGTCAAGGTAATCAAAATTATTATTCTTGAAATAATGTTTCAATATTTGTGAGACATAACCCACCACCAGGTTTGAGGTAAGGTTGTAGAGTGCCAGACTGCAGTATTCAAGCCCCAGACCAGGCAACATCCAGGTTCTTAAAATAACTGAGGAGAATGTGCTACTTTTGCTATCAAATCTGCAAAATTCAACATTGTAGTCTTTTTGGAGATGGATGAGAAAGCATAGCCTCCTGCATTTTGAGGGCATCCACAGGTTGCCCACAGGCCCCACTTTATGTGTCTTAAATAGTGAAGCTAGATATGCATCTAATAATGTATGTTTTGGCTAAACTTGAAGCATGGGTCAATCTTTTTTTCCTTTGTGTTTGCTAAAGGGATTATGTTGGCTTTGAGACATGTAGTTTCAAACTAACTAATCCATAGGAGAGATTTTGTTCATGATGTACTGGTATAGATACCTGTTTATGGTGTAACTCTTCTCATTCTTTCCTATTTCAAAGGATCTTGATAACCTTTATGAACAGCAGGTGAAAGCTCTCCAGGATCCTGTTAGCTTTGTGGAGAAGCTCCAAAATAAGGTGATATTATATTCTAAGAAAATGATTTTGGCTTTTGAAGATGATCTCTGTCAGTATGTTGCATAAGTTTTGATAAAAAGGCAACTTTTTAACCATTTGACCCCTAAGAGTGACAAACATCTAATTTCTCCTTACAATATCACCCCCGAATACCACATAAAGGTCGCGAGAATGAAGGAAACAATCAGCCACTAAAGAAGCTCTTGATTGTTAAACAAATCTTCCTGGTCAGCACTTTAGGAAATGTATAGAGAACAGTACAGAGGATATACGCATACTGATGTTAGGGTGCAAAGGGTTAATGAATGGTACTCAGTTTGTTCAATTCTATCAAAGCCACATCTATTTATTTAAAAAAAAATTTGAAATAAAGCCCTCCTTTTAAAATTAGGACCTGCTGCAGGTAGTTACAACCTTTGTCAAGTTTTGTTGACACAGGGGGAAGGGGAAAGGTATTATCAATTGTGATGAGGAGGGTGCACAGTTCAATGTTTTTTTGTAACATCTTATAAATGTTACAAGGACTAGTGGAAGATTTGCTAAAAGAAGCCCTATAAACTTGAGGCAATTTTTGTTTTAACTTAAGGAACACTTAGATCTCCCACCGCGGCAGAAGATTGTGAAGCTGCCACCAGTTCCTTGGGAGGAGTATACAGTATCACTGAGTGCAATAGAGAGACAGAGATTGAGTAATCCACACCTCACTAGAGCCAGTGCAAACAATGTGGGAAAAGGTACAAAGAGACAATAATTGTTTTAATATATTAGACTTATTATGAAAAAATCTGATTGGTTGAGAGCTTCAATCAATAAACAATAGCATGTGAAGTTTATATGATAACCCAATATCTGCAGCAGATAATGCATTTATCTTGTTGAGTTCAAAGTCTGCCTAGTTTCTAAACCCCTCTTCCATTTAATGTTAGCAAACTTTTGCAAACTCATAGAGAAACTCAAAATGGCTGAATGATTACAAGTAAAAAATGTATGAAAAAACAATTATTGAATTTGGCTTTGGCAAGATATCATGAAGTATCAGACCTGGTGTCTGTGTTACCTGTCTCAGCCTTAAGCCATGGTTGATGACTCAGACTTCTGTTTTAATAATTTATGATATTATGCAAAAACTACATCCACTTATTGCTTATTATAATTGTGATCAGAATATAAAATTTATTTTTGAATTCAAGAGGCTGACAATAATGCACATCCAGTAAACACATGTATTGTGAAAATTGTAACATACAAGTTCACTGCAAACTGTTCAGCCAAGATTAATTTGGGATAATTATAATTTTCTTCTGCCACGACTTTGATCTCAGAATTTTTGCCAATATATACTGTATACTAAAGATATAGTAGATAATTAAGAGAAATTAGAATCTTTTATGCAAAGTTTACAATCATTTTAGAGAATCTTTGCAAGGAATACAAAAAAAAAAAAACTCTTTAATGACAGTAATAGTGAACATTCATGAATGTCAAGGCAGCTGTTAGGAATGTTTCAATTATACAAATGATAAAGTTGTGACACGTGCAAATGAAACAAGACATTTCAAATGATACAGTTTATAAAGTTGATGTTTATCACTAGTTCCATGTACCAGCGCAAGAAACCTTAGCCAAGTTTAAGCCATTTTGACTTAGTGCATTGTCAATAACACATCTTAATGCAACATTTCATATTGATAGTGAAAAACCTTAACTCGTTGGAAGATCTCATTTGCAATTCTCCTTACTTTCTGGTATACAATTCTTATGATATTAGTTTGGATACTTTGATCTTGAATGAACTTATTATCCCCTACTTGATATTTTTCTTAATTTTTTTCTAATGTTTGTCTGCTTGATATTGCATTGATATTGTAAGGGGAAATTTCCTTCTTGGTCACCTGTGGGTATTTAAGGGTTGACTTACCTACCTATACTTGTCTGGTTGAAAGACCTCATCATTTGGTGGTCTCTTAATGTTTGAAAACATAATGAAATCTTTCAGTAAAATCATGATGTATCGGCAAGTACTATGAATGTGTAAGAATAGAAATATAATTTTTTCCAGCAACTGAATCATCATTGCAAAGTTCTGATGCAAGTGAGACCTCCTCAACTGCACCTTCAGAGAGCAATGTATACAGTGTCTTTGGAGGAGGGTTTGTGGCAAGCAGGCAAGGAAAACCACTAGAACGAGAAAGGTGAGTGTCCTGTCAAATTTTAGTTTAACCTTCAGCAATCCAAAACAATTGGTGGAGAACAAGTTATTGTTACTTTCCATAGTGCAAAGTAGCTCATAGAAGGGCAAATAAGGAAGAATCCCTCTGAAAACACTTAGAATGGTGTTGCATCTGGTTGTCCAAGACATCATGCCTTCCCTGCTGGACGATCAATGTTTTTGCTTTCTGTGTTTCAGATTTTCAACTTTAAGATTTTAAACCAATCTTAGATAGCAAGCTAGTGTGTGGACTCTCTCTTTCAGCATAGGATCACGAAAAAGTACCTCCCAGGCCTGTAAACTGTAATGATGTTAATTCTGAAAACACAGCATTACTTTTTGTAATGTTGTGCAAGTTTAAGCCAAAATTTTATTTATTTAAATTGTAGTTAGTCACAAGTTTTCAAGGCAACAAACAATGTCATAATTTATCTTTTCTCTGCATTGTGGGCAAACATTATTTTTTTCTTGTATTTGTGACCATTTTCTTAATTAACAGTCTGACAAGTGCCTTCACTCCAAGAGGTGGTGACTTAAAGAATGGACAAAGCGATATGAAACCAGTAACCTTCAATCAGCCATGGACTACTGAAGAACAGGTTTGTCTGGTTTTACCATTGCATGCTAGAACAGAAAAAATAGGGGAAATTTGTGTGTAGTAATCAATGTCAATCTTTTAATGAAACTAGCTGACTCTTGGTATGTAGGTTTATGGTTTCTTTGGCTTAAATATTCCACCTATCATTTCCCTGTGGCCTTTGAGGCATCAATGTGTTGCCAACTTGTCAGTTAACATTTACAACCTTTCAACTACCTACTATAAAAGTTTACAGCAGAATGTACCCTCAGTTGCAATGGAATTTAACCTTTTTTTGAGGGGTGATGATGGAACTTTTGGACACCAGCCTTACAAGATGCCAGTGGATTGGACATTTGACAAATTTTGTTTCTCTTTCCAGGCTAAATTGGAAAAGTTGTTGCAAATGTATCCCCAGGAGGAGATTGAATCCAAGAGATGGGAGAAAATTGCTGCTGCCCTAGGGAACAGAACTTACAAACAGGTTTTACTCCAATTCTTCATATTATTATAATTTGTTACAGTTATTATTATTATTTTATTAATTACTCTTTGCTTTATGTACCAGCCACAGACAGAGATTATACATGTAGGCATCATCAGGGCTAATTCTGGTGCATTTACAACAGTCTCAATGAAACTAATTAAGTTATTTTTGCAATATCTGTCCTCTGACCTTATGTCCAATTTATGGCTCTAAATATGTGAGGGGTGAAGGGATACACCTCTGTCATGCTTTGTTCATATCAGTGTTTTATGGAAAAATGTAAAAATCAGAGCTGTTAAATTCTTTTAGTAATGTGAATATGAAAGTGTGGTGACAGACAGAAATTTAACAAAATACAGATGATCATCTAAATGGCCAAAAGTTTTTATTTTATTTTATTTTCTTTGTCATTATCTTCAAATCATTGTGTCTTAGTTGTAAAAGAATCTTTCTGAGAGTCAAGTCTCTGTATCTCAAATTGCGTACATCTTTAACATTTCTTTCCCAAGATCTCATTAGTAATCTTTCTTACTGCCTTCCATATAATTCTTATGATGTCAGTTTGGAGAATTTGGTATAGGATCAACTAATAATCCCCTAATTGACAATTTTCTTTATTCTCATCTCTTGTCATCTTGATCTTTTAATGATATTGTGAGGAGAAATTTTGTCTTGTTCACTCATGTGGGTCAAAAGATGAGGTAATCCTGGTATTTATCACAAGCAATTAAGTATTATCAACTCAGTTGATACCCTGTTACACTCTCCCACCGACGCACCACCACAGTTTCTTTAGAAATTTACGTAATCAGAAGTGCCTTGCTTGATCAGAGAATTCCCTTCGATGGTTGAGAAGTACAAAATTGAGGGAAAGCTCTAAAACCAAGGCCTCTTCAGTTTTTGGATGTACCTCAAGAGAAAATGAGCGGAAGAGAGGAGCAATCATAACGTTTCCCTGGATATGTCGATTCCACAAAAATTTTTTCGGTTCAGAACGAGACGGAAGTACGTTTCTTCAGACCCCAGGAACTTGAATTCTCACCAGTAACATTTCTTTTCTTTCTGAGTTTCTTTTCTTCGACAATTTTGTAATCCGCATGCTGTCCGCCAATATTGTAGTTTTCACTCAAACCATAGGGATCGAAGTTAGACTTCACGCGCACATGTCAGAAAATAGTCTGAGACTTCCGTTCGAGAAAATCCTAAAGAATAGACCATTTTCGAGTTTTAAAACCTTCACTTTTTTAAAATGAAGCTAAGAGCAAAACCATTCTTGTGAAAAATGAGTCATGTTTGCACAAGAATAAAATTAAAAAAATAATTTCGACATGAAATACTTGGCACCTACCCTTATTTCAAAACAGACTTTGTGCATCTCGAAAATGGTCCATAGTCACATCTCAAGGCCCGCACTGGGGTTTTCCCTTCTTTTACTTTATTTTATCTTGACTCACAATAATGGAAAGCGTCCTAACCATCTTAGAATGCTCATTCAATTACTCTAATTCCTCTAAGGTTGCCAGTCGAGTTCAGAAATACTTCATCAAGTTAGCTAAAGCAGGACTACCTGTACCTGGTCGTGTGCCCAACATACCTCGGTTAGGAACCAGGGTAAGAGAGAAAACTTGATTTATGTTCCAGTTTTTCCGTTTTAATGATTTGTTTATTTTATTCATTTCATGTTTGCTCATTACAATGATTGATTGGGTGGGAAAGCAAATGCAAGTCGTTGCTGAAAAGGAATGAGAACATCTTAGAAATCACGTTGTTGATATGTGAAGAATGAGTACTGATTACACTTGCTTGATACCACTTGTTCCTTGAGTAATCACTACTAGATTCATCTTTTAAAATCTGTTTATTGAAAGATCGGGATATCAGCAAATACGTTTGTTAGCTCCAGGCTTCACTAGACTAGTGAAATGGCGAGTTTTCTCCAAAAATGCTTATTGCACCTTTACTAGCTTTGCGAGTTGATGTGTGATAGATCGACCCCTAGGACACAAAAAATGAGCTACTTTAAAGTGTCCAAGTTATCCTATACGATGGCACAACCTTGACATGTTCTTTTTCAAATCGTGTGGCCAATTGGTCTTGCAGAGTAAACGGTCCTCCCATCACTATCAGACTCTTGGGTTTCGAAATTCCACATTTTTCCCTTCCTATCGACCAAAAGTTTTAATGGACGAAGATGACGAAATCTCAAGTGTAGCTACGGATGATACGACCGGATATCCATCGGTAAGATTAGTAATTTAGCCTTTAGCTACGATATTTTTATTCTTGCTTATCAAAGCGCCTTTATTAGCGAATTAAATATCCAAAGAGTGTCAGAGAACACTTTCATATTATGAAAGCTGTGACGTCTTCTTGACGTTATCTATTGCTGTTGTGTGGCTAGGAAAACAGCGGTCAAACATGCGCTTGTGTAAACGTTTCAGCGGCCCGACATGGTGCCCCAAGACCTTCAAGGCTGTCAGAGCCAAGTTGTTGTACAGTAGGAGTGTAAGAGAAACACACTAAGCTCATAAGACAACGTTGGACAAACGAGATACACAAATAAGCTTTGTGTTCGTTAAGTCCCAAGTTTTCCTTTTGCCTTCTTTTGTTACCTATTACAGACTTCTTTGAAGTTTTCCATTTTTTTTTTATAACTTTTGCGTGAAACTGCTGTTTTCTTATGCCGTAGTTTTGATGGAAAGCATCGTTATGGAATACCGTAGACGCAGATAATTGTGACCCGACCTAGGGCTAGATGCAATTTAGTTAAAATTACCATGAATTCTCATTTGGTCTTTGTGGTTCTTTTAATATGCACCTTCATCATTGTGATTATTATGGTTTTGATTTAACAGCACTTTTGTACGAAGAGCGCCATTTTGTGTATAATATACATTCTTGTAAACAAAAACACTTACTAACTTACTTTGTATACTGTGTTTATGATAGGATGAAGAAACTGTGCCAGTAGATCAGCGGAATACAGAGGAATACAGAGAACTTGTGGAGCTGAAGAGACTAAAGAGGCAGAAACTGACGGAATATCAGGTACTGTATAGATAATCACTTTTGAGAGTGGTAAACGTCCTTTGAATATTGCAGTGAAAGAAAAAAAGGAAATTTGAAAGTTTACCAGAATATATTTTCTAGGGTGGATATATCTTTTTTATTCTTTTCATTAAGGTTCTCTTTCTCATTTCTAACACAGCATCAATTGCAAAATATTTCATTGCACCCCTTTATTTATACGATAATTATTCCGCAAGGCATAGTCAGTGGTCAGGCCTCAGGGATCCTTTTCATGTTGTTACAAAGCCTGCAGAAGACTCCTTTAGGCAGGTTTTGTGTTACAGAAACATAAATTTTTGGGACACCGTCTTGCACAGTATGCGCTCAAAATAAAATGTGGTCAAGAGAAAATAATTTCCCTCTATTTTGTCTTTCTGTGGCTAGACCCGTCTTCTTTTCTGCATTTGAAGTCATATTTAAACCCCGACGTTTGCTAAATCTTTTTTCGCCAATTGTTTTGTTTAAGAAAGCTCTACAAGGAATCAATCACTTGGCCCCGACGTTTGCTAAATCTTTTTTCGCCAATTGTTTTGTTTAAGAAAGCTCTACAAGGAATCAATCACTTGGCCCCGACGTTTGCTAAATCTTTTTTCGCCAATTGTTTTGTTTAAGAAAGCTCTACAAGGAATCAATCACTTGGCCTAAAATAGGTGGCTTATCCAGTGCAATGTTTCTTTAACATCACTTACTTTTCTCGTTGATTTTTTTGTGATGATTTGATTTTTATTACATAGTTGTGGTAGACTCTCGGTTTTTCCGTGTTCTGCGAATTGGCCCGAATGCGTGTGCTTCGTTAACTACCCAACGGTCCGTCTTTTACGAATTCGTCTTCTAAAAAATATATAACCATTGATAATGCCTGGTATTTTTCTTCCGCAAAAAGAACCCATTATTACCTGATATTTGTCCACCTTCCCTGTGAAAAAGAAAACCTTCTTTGCCTTCATGACTCAATGTTCCCGAGACTTGATCTCTTCTTAAATTATTTTTATCTAATTCAGTATAATGTAAAATGTTATAAGAAGAGCGATGACGCCAGTTTGTTTAAACCGGTGACTTATCTTCACAAGAGACATTGCATCATTTTTCTTTCATACTTTGGGGACAATTAACTATTTTGTTGGCTCTATTCACACGCAACTGAGATTCAATAGAAGATTTCTCAGAATTTCTTTCACTGCAATCCTTATTTCTCGTATTTTCCAACAATAAAGCAAAGGGTTAAGCGTTGAATTCAGATAAAGCAACGTTGTTGCAAAGTAGCTCATGATCATCAATGAAACGCTTGCTGAACCGGCGGCGTGAACAATCCAAACCAAACCGAAGGGAAGGTAGCAAATTATCATTGTAGCGAAAACCCACAAAGTAGTGAACACTGTTTTTCTGTATCGCAACAACTGCAAGGCTGAAATTCCTTTGGGTTGACACCGTGGAGTAATCTGAGCTTGGATATGATTTTTGAGGCTGAGATAGATTCGGGTATAACAGTAAGTGGAGATTATTAGCCATGAAGACCACATTATGGTGTTCAAGATGATGAAAGCGTTGACGCCTGAAAACACTGCCATGCAGACGGCAATGGACAATAACAAGAACAGAGTAGCGACCACTCTTGCTCGCTTGATGGTTACAACTTGGCGGTACCTGATCCTTAACAGCAAGGCGAGGTGTCTGTCCACGCTAATTGCGGTCATCGTCGCAAATGAAAATGTACTTGAGAATATGCTGACAAAATTCCAGATACTGTCGCTGATTACACACAGATTCCAACTTTGGTTGAGAGCAGTCAGAAGGGAAGCAACTGTTGCTGGTTGCACGAGAAGACCAACACCGAGATCCGAGAACACCATGCAACGAAGAAATAATTTGGATGGAGGATTAGGGGATGATTCTTTTTGAAGTGCAATAAGGATGAGCGCATTTCCCAGTGTTGCTGTTATGGATGATGCGATGTTTAAAGCCACAAAAATCGGTGTGAAAGTGGCAAACGGCTGTGGGAATTCGCGATAGAGGCGACAGTGCAGTGCTTGTAGTGAGTAATTGGACATACTCTAACGACGAGGTCAAGATAAGTGAAATTCTAGAGGTGATTCCTGTAATTTTAACAGAAACTGCTTAATCGGAAGAAAATGAAAGGAATCACCTCTTTCCTGTCTTCGTAGTAACACTGCTTATTTCAAAGCTCGCGTTTGATATTTGAAGGAATACATCTGCTCTTTCACAGCAAATAAAATACGAGTGGTAAGCAATGAGTTCTTTTGTGAAAAATTTCACCCTTATGTAATTGAATATTGTATTGATTATTAAGTTTACCATATTGTACTCTCAACAAAGAATAAAAGTCTTTTTTATAATATTTAATCTAAATGAAAGGCTGCGTTATGGATTAGAATGTTTTCCAATTTTCTTTCAAAGTTATTGTGATTTTTTGGCTCAATGTCGCCAATTTTTATCCTTTGAAAATCAGAACCTGGAATTTGTGGTTCCTGTTCAGTACTTATGTAAAGTTCAGTAATGATTCAAAGGATGAGCTGATAGCTATGGCGTTTTCGCTCATCGGAATCAAGGGGGCTTTTTTGTTATTGTCACTACGTGCTGTCGTTGTACTCTTTAAATTACTTTTGCTTGTATTGTAATGAAAGGAAGTTTGCTAACGGAAGAAAGGAAGAAGCTATGTTTATTGAGATCGTGTACTTTCTTCTTTTGAGTGATTGATGGGCCTGTTCTATTTCGATAAATGTTTTTCAGGAAATTGTCGTCCAATTCATATTTCATGTTGTTCGAGTAATACGCCTGTTAGAGGGAACTCTTTAGACATGAATGTTATTTGTTGTAATTATTCAGAAAATTTAGATCTGGTAAATTCTACTATTCTTGCCTTAAAAAAAATCTAATGTTTGTGAAAGATCTCTTCGGGTATGGAATACTTACGAGTGTTTACGTATTTGGTGTGGATAGGTGTGGTGCTATTTATGTTATACAGTGAAAATATGCAGAACACAACATTTAGCCCTTTACATCCTAATATCAGTATGCATATTCTCCACACTGTTCTCTATATATTTCCTAAGGTGCTGACAAGGAGAATTTGTTTAACAATCAAGAGCTTCTTCAGTTGGCGATCATTTAATTTATTCTCATGACCTTAATGTGTGATTCAGGTGTGATATTGTAAGGAGAAATTTCATGCTAGTCACTCTTAGGGGTCAAATGGTTAAAGTATTTTTTTTGCTTGGCCTTCTCTTTCCCTCAGTTCTATCCTTGTTTTCGTTACTATTGCCCAGAGAAGTTGCAACTCGATCGTATTTTGGAACTTTGTTGAGTAAATTTTGCAGTATGCCAGTTCTAAGGTATATTTCTTGATAAAAGACCGTCTCCTTCATGAAGGCATTTTAGCTGTCCTCGCGCGAGGTGATTATAGCGAAATATGACGCAATACTTGGCCAATCAGTGTGTGCATCTCTATAATCACCGAAACAACTATAGTAAGAAAAATTAAAAAAGGTGTAGCATGTTAAAACTGTGTGTTCCATTTCTTTTTCAAACGGACACTCTGGAATTTGTTGGCACATGGGTACTTGATCTGGTTCGATAGAGGGTGATCATGTTTGTAGTTTACATCAGAACCAAGAGTTTGCCTCCACTTGCGAGCATGTGTGACATTGTAAGACTTCAACTGACTTTAACTTGATATTTCCGTTCTATGATCCGCACAACTATCAAGCCAGATTCCTGAGAATTTCTTTTACTGCATTCCTTATTTCTCTGATTTTCCAGCAATACAGCAAAGGGTTAAGAGATGAATTGAAATGAACCAATGAGATCGCAAAATAGAATATCATCATGGATGAAATGGTTTGTGAAGTGGCTGAATTAGCTATGAATACCAAAGCAACCGGAAAGTAGCAAATTATCATCGCAGCAAAGAGCCACAATGTAGTGGACACTGTTTTTCTGTATCGCAACAAGTTCTCGGGTGAAATCCCATTGGGCTGGCCTTGTGGAGTGATGTGAGCTCGGAAATGAGTTTTGAGAGTGAGAAAGATTCGCATATAACAGTAAATGGAGAGTAATATCCATGAAGACCACATTATGAAGTTGAAGATAATAAAAACGTTGGTGCTTATGAGGACTGTAAAGCAGTTGGCAGTAGACGCGAACAAGAACAGTAGAACAACAATTCTAGCTCGCTTGATGGTTACAACCTGGCGGTACCTGTTCCTTAACAATAAAGCAAGATGTCTGTCCACACTAACAATGGTGATTGTTGCACACGAAAATCCAGGAAAGACTGCGTTAAAAAAAAATGAGATATACTCGCTGATTAGACACAGATCCCACCGTTGGTAAACAGCGAATAAAAAGGAAATAACTATTGCTGGTTGCGCGAGAAGGCCAACACTGAGATCCGAGAATGCCATGCAACGGAGAAATAACTTGGACGGAGGATTAAGGGTGGATTCTTTTTGAAGTGCAATAAGGATTAGCGCATTTTCCAGTGTTGCTGTTATAGATGATGCAATGTTTAAAGCCACAAAAACCTCAGTGAAAGTGGAAAAATTTGAAAAGTTGCGAATGAGGTGACAGTTCAGTCCTGCTTGTTGTGAGTAATTGAACATACTTTAACGACGAGGTAAAGAAAAGTGAAATTCTCAGTAGAAGTGATTCCAGTAATCATAACAGAAGCTGCTTGATCGGGCAAAAATGAAAGGAACTGCCGTTGTGCTTTCCTCTTTTTGTCTTCTTGGTAACACCTTTTATCGCAAGAAAGCTGGCGTTTGATATTTGAACTGAAAAATATTTGTAATTGGAACATCTACTCTCAACAATGAATAGAGCGCGAATAATCATAAATGAGTTCTTTAGATCAAGTTTTACCCGAATTTAATTGCATATTATATTGAATATTAGGTGAGCATTGTATTGATGACGGTTCTATGGTCTGATAACTTTCCTATTCGGGGATCTCACGAGTTTTGGAAGAATTGTACACGATTGGTCAGCTTGATGCCCCAAAATAATTGTCTTCTAAGAGTTTATTTGGCGAATTCATGTCAATAGTGTGGTATTAATGAAAAATGTCTTGAGGGCACAGGAATAACGAGAACAAAGAACTTCTCTATTTGCATATTTATTAAAATCAGCAGAATAATCAATGAGTGCTGGTAGTCCAAATTTCACCGAAAGAAATGGGTTGATTATTAAATCTCCATATCGTAATTTAAAAATGAATTTAGGATCTTTTTGTGATATTCATGGGAATTGAAAAGCCACTCTACAAAGGAGGGTGGTGTTTCCTATTTTTTCTTTTTTTAGAAGAGATTAAGGTGATCACTTACCTCGATGTCGCAAATGTTTATCTTTTAAAAATTAACGGACACAAATTCTTGGTTCCTGTTCAGTATTCATGCCAAGTATAATTTTTGATGCAAAGGATAAGACAGTAGCAATGACCTTTTCGTTTATTGGAAGTGACTGGGAACTATTGTGATCATCACCACCTGCTGTCATTCTACTCCTTAAATTACTTTTGCATGCAATGTAATGAAAGGAAGTTTACTAACGGGAAATGAGATCCTGTATTGTGAAAGATCATAATTTTGTGTTTTACACCATTTTCCATTTTTTTTTCGCTTTTGTTTAAACATGAATGGCCTTTTTGTAAGTTTTTAGAAAATTCATGGCGAACTGTCGACTGAAGTTTCATGTTGAAGGGAAGAAGCCCATTATTATCTAATACTTGCTCATGGTCTTCTTGAAAAAGGAAACTTTTATTGCCCTAATGACTCAATGTCTGCGTGATTTGACCACGCCCTAAAAATGCTCTTGTATTTTGACCTGTTAGAAGGAACTCTTTCTACATGAATGGTCTTTATTGTAATTTTTCAGAAGATTTATTATAGGTTAATTTTTTTATTCTTGCCTTAAAAGAAACTGCAATGTTTGTGAAAGTTCTGTTAGGGTATGAAATACATAGGAGTGTTTATTGATTTGGTGTGGATAGGTGTCGTGCTATTTATTTGCTATACTAAGAATATACAGATCACAACTTTTTAGGTCATTCTTTAACCTTAACATCTCTTTTCTCGGGTCCTATCCTTGTTTTCGTGACTATTGCTAAGATACTGTGCGGCTCCATTGTATTTTGGAATTTTTTGGAGGACATTTTGCAGTATGACAGTTGTAATGTATGTTGCTTGGTATATGTCGGTCTCCTTGAGGAAGACATATGAATGCAGCCAAATTGTCCATTGCCAGATTTCCTCGACTGTTGGAAATTTGCGATGGCATTCGGAATATAGGAGGGGCTGGAATGTAGTAACTTTTATTTAGGAATATCTCTCGCGAGAGCAATTCAGTATTCTTTCTGCAGTTTGATAACAAAAAATTAATCAGTGAATCGTGCTAAAGCTGTGTGTACCATTTCCTGTTTAAATGTGCCATTTGGAATTTGTTGGAACGTGTGAGCGTGATTTGATTCGACACAGGGCTGGCCATGAATCAGAAGCTATTTTGTATGACATCATAAGAATAAAACTGATTTTTACTTGATGTTTCCGTTCTTGTGATCCACGCACAACTATGATGCCAGATTCCTGAGAATTTCTTTTACTGCATTCCTTATTTCTCTGATTTTCCAGCAACACAACAAAGGGTTAAGCGATGAATTGAAATAAATCAAAGCGACTGCAAAATATTGCACCATCATCAATGAAAGGTTTGGTGAGGTCGCTGCATCAATAATGGTAACCGAAAAAACCGGAAAGTTGCAAATTATCATTGCAGCTAAGAGCCACAATGTCGTGGACACTGTTTTTCTGTATCGCGACAAGTTCTCGGGCGAAATCCCATTGGGCTGGCCTTGTGGAGTGATTTGAGCTTGAATGTGATTTCTAAGAGTGAGGTAGATTCGCGTATGACAGTAAGTGGAGATTATTAAGCATATGGACCACATTGGGACACTTGAGGCAATGAAAACGTTGTAGCTTATGAGGAATGTCAAGCAGTAAGCAGTAGACACTACCAAAAACAGAGCAACGACCACTCTAGTACGCTGGATAGTTACAACTTGGCGGTACCTGATCCCTAACAGCAAAGCAAGATGTCTGTCCACACTAATGGCGGTTATTGACGCAAAGGAAAATCCGGTAAAGAATGCGCTAACGAAATTCCAGATAAAGCCGCTGAGTAGACATAGATTCCAAAGTTGGTACGCAGCGCATAAAAAGGATGTAACTGCTGCTGGTTGTACGAGAAGGCCAACACCGAGATCCGAGAATGCCATGCAACGGAGAAATAATTTGGACGGAGGATTAAGGGAGGATTCTTTTTGAAGTGCAACAAGGATGAGTGCATTTCCCAGTGTTGCTGTTATGGATGATGCAATGTTTAAAGCCAAAAAAACCCCAGTGAAAGTGGAAAAGTTGCGACTGAGGTGACAGTGCAGTCCTGCTTGTTGTGAGTAATTGAACATACTCTAACAACGAGGTCAAGATAAGTGAAATTCTAAAGTGATTCCCGTGACTATAACAGAAACTACGTGATCAAAAGACAATGAAAGGAACAACCTTTTTACTCTCTACTTTTCTGTCTTCGAAGTAATACTGTTTATCTCAAGAAAGCGGACGTTTGGTGATTGGAACGAAAAACATAATGGCGCATCTGCCCTCAAAAATCAATAGAATGTGAATAATTAATGAGTTCTTTAGACCAAATTTCAACGGTATTTAATTGAATTTTACAGTGACTATAAGTGAGGATCATATTGATAACGGTTCTATGCTCTGATCTTCGTTGTAGAGATTTTGCAGGTTTCGGTAGAATTATGTACGATTTGTCGGCTTGATGGCTAAAATAATTGTCTTGTAAGATTAAATTTACAAAGTTGGTGTCTATAGTTTGGTATTAATGAAAGATGTTTTTGTCTCGGGGTACAAGGACAAACAGGAAAAGGAACTTTTGTATTTGCTTATCTGTTAAGATCAGCAAAATAATCAATGATTGCTGGTGGTCCAAATTGCACCGAGAGAAATGAGTTGATTATTAAGAGAGTGTCTCTGTAAGAGCGGTCCGGTCGATTTTGCTTGAGACACGGATTTCGCTCGTTTCTTGTGTGTTGTAACACATTCATGTACCTATACTAAAACAACAATCAGTTTGATCGGATCTCTTTATTTTTCAGAGTTTTACGGAAATTAAATTTCACTCGAGCGAAGGCTTGTCGTAACACTTTTCAAGACTTTAATTTCATACAACTTTGGAGGATAATTTACAAAAAACTGCGGAACTCAGAAAAAAACAAATACCACAGCCATGAATATTAACTTTATCTTATCTATCGAGGCGACTTTCGTAAAAATCACGTTTCAATCAAGGAAACACGAAGACTTGAAGGACACGTTATCGGTTCGCCTAAATCACACACGCCAAAACCGATCAGATTCAAGGTAATTTTTTAAAAAAGTGAGGCGTTCTAAACTGATCCAACTAACATAGCTAGGAAGTAGTTATCATAGAAAAGGTAACTTCAGAAAAAAAACTTTGCGGCCCGACCTTTACGAGAACTTTATAACTCCGTGAACTTACCTAATTTTTGGTAATCTCCAAGTTTGGCCGCCATTTTGAGGGACTTGTCAACATGAAGCGTAACCGATATAAATCGAGCAGGTAGATCAAAAACCGTCAAAAATACATACGAAAGCAATCCAAATGAACTTTACTTTCAATTCAAGCTGCAAAATTTGAAATTGTTCGTTAAACTTACCATCCCCATGCGACCATTTCTTCCAACAATTCAAACACTACAACTAGTGTTCGAATTCCCCTCGTCGATTCCACCGTAAGAAATAACCTGTGCCACCCAAGCTTCGACTCGAATGTGAAGTACAAATCAAATAACATAACTGCTTCATCTTCGCGGCAATATCACGCTGGTATTTTGACATTCGGATCGACAAGAACGGAGATCAGGTAGCGATCGCCATGTTTACTTCATAAACGTGATCGCTGACCAGCCGCTGAGTGAAAACAGTACGGTTCAGTGGTGAGGGTGGGGTGAGGGGTGGGTGCGGGCAGATTATCAGAAGATTTTTGGGAACATTCGAACATATGCATTAAAGTATCACAATCATTTGCGGTCAGTTTTCCTCAGTTTGTATGATTCTCATTAACCAGTATGGTTAAATTTGCAGGCTAAAACACCCCTTATTTGATTAAGAATAATAAAATTAAACTGTGCATCACGGTTTTCAATTCCTGATGGATGCTACGGGGCTTTACTTTAACTGAGAAGTTTGCAATCGCTTACCTCAGCTCTCTGTGTCCCATACCGTAAGAGGCACAAGAAAAAAGTTGATGATAGTGAGTCTTGGCTGAGACAAGAAGAATCAGAGAAGAATCTACGGTCCCCAGAAACGCCACTTTTAAACACGAGACAACTAATGTAAATTGAATTAAGGGGTATTTGTTTTATTGAAAACTATCGTTTAGGTTATAAGATACGCGAATAACTCTCCCCACCGATTTTTTCTTACATTCTGATAATCAAAAGTTTCAATAATTATAAAGGCTTTCTTGTTGATCGTCTTAATAGTAACAGTTTCCAGGATCCAAGGGGAGCAAAAGAGAGAACAATTTTCTTTTGTGTAGTTGTGTAGTTAGGTAAGGCGACATGCCGGCTTTATACTTCTTCCGGCGTGATAACGATAATGATGACAACAATGGGTAAAAAGCACCGTCCGCTATTGATGACGATTATCATAGTTATAAACAAATCTCAGTTATAGTCCTGAAAAAAATCTCAGGGGGTCCTTTGAACCATCCACTTCCTCTCGCCAGAAGTCAAAGTTGCCTACACTCATTCTAAGGTTCGTGCGATTTTACGATGAATTTTCAATTCCGGTGTGTTGCACGCGCGACTTTTGATAGGAAAAACCTGCACGCGCCTTAACTTGAAAGAACGTGTCGGTGGAATGAATCAAATCTCTATCATTTTGCATACATTCTTGGGAACGGCAAAAATTACTTAGTACAAACATTCTAAGTATAGTGTTCATTCCGTGCAATGGGGCATAAATAAAAGGTTCTGGTGGAAAATACACCTTATTTTATACCACTGATGACGGGCAAAAAGGTTATATGGGTACCCCGGTTAAAAATATATTGTTAACTCTATTATTTAATACCAGCTCTAATTTAAAGGAGAAAGTTATGAAAATAAAATAAAAGTTGTCTGTACCACGAAGCATGCCTTCATTGTTTAGACTGATGGTCCTAAAGCTTTTTAAGCATGTATTCGAATATCATATGACGATAAGTCCGCCACCCATCCCACCCTGCGCTACACTGTTTTCACTCAGCGGCTGGTCAGCGGTCACGTTTATGAGGTAAACACTCCGATCCATTCCTGATCACCGTGCTTGTCGATCGGAAAATCAAAATACCAGCGTGATATTGCCGCGAAGATGAACACTAGTCGTAGTGTTTGAATTGTTGGAAGAAATGGTCGTATGTTTAACGAACAGTTTCAAATTTTGTTATTTTTGAATTGATTTTTATCTACCTGTTTATATCGGTTACATTCGAAAATGGCGGCCAAACTTGTCCGAAAATTAGGTTGAGTATAAAGTTCTCGTAAACTACTTCCTAGATTATTTTAAGATCGGTTTTGATCGGTTTTGGCGTGTGTGATTTAGGCGAACCGATAAGGTGTCGTTCAAGTCTTCCTGTTTCCTTGATTGAAACGTGATGTTTACGAAAGTCGCCTCAATAGATAAGATAAAGTTAATATACATGGCTGTGGTATTTGTTTTTTTCTGAGTTCCGTAGGTTTTTGTAAATTGTCCTCCAAAGTTGTATGAAATTAAAGTCTTGAAAAGTGTCACGACAAGCCTTTGCTCGAGTGAAATTTAATTTCCGTAAAACTCCGAAAAGTAAAGAGATCCGATCACACTGATTGTTGTTTTAGTATAGGTACATGAATGTCTTACAACACACAAGAAACGAGCGAAATCCGTGTCTCAAGCAAAATCGACCAATTTCCAATTTTCTTCAAAGGTTTTGATTTTTTGGCTCGATGCCCTAATCTTCATCCTTTGAAAATTCGTGGTTCCTGTTCAGTATTTATGCAAAGAGCACTAATGATTCAAAGAATAAGCAGATAGCTATGGCCTTTTCGCCTATCGGAATTAAGGGCTACGTGCTGTCATTGCACTCCTTAAATTACGCTTGCAGGCAATGTAATGAAAGGACGTTTGATAACGGAAGAGCCAAATAATTATGAAGCTGCACTTTCTTCTGTATGGATTGTTGAGCCTGTGTTAGTAATTAAATGTATGTCAGGAAATAGTCCTCCAATTCATTTTCCATGTTGTTAGTGTATTTAGCCCTTTGAGAAGGAAGTCTTTAAACATGAATGATCTTTCTTGTAAGGTTTTAGAAAATTTACAACAAGTGTTTCTTTTTATCCTTGCTTTTTATGAGACTCCAGTTTTCGTTAAAGTGCTCTTAGGGTATGGAATACGTTGGAATGTTTATAAATTTGGTGTGGATAGTTATGGTTATCATACCATAAGCAAAGTATATTGCCTGGTGTATGTCGATCTCCTTAAAAAGGCATATTAGCTGTGTTCTTTATTATTTCTGAGTTACGAAAGGTGAATGAAACAAAATTTTCTATTGGCAGATTTTATCGACCTTTTTGGAAATTTACTGTCGCATTCCGAAGATAGGGGGTGCTAGAGCTCTGTAGTTTTTAGCGAAAAATATCTCTTCGCTTGGATCAAAGGATTTGGATTCAGTATATTGATTTTATCCCACTGATTGATTCTATTTTGGACTTGAATTGGTAATTTTACCCTGGTTTATGGTCAAAATAATGTGAAGATCATTTTCATAATATTTTTGTGATATGACGGGCCGCTCAAGGAAGAAAAAGGAAGCCTTCCGTTATTTTCGGAGGCTGAGATGATTTTTCAGCTCGATGTATTAAATAATTGTCCTTTAAAATTTCATTGATTTAACGTGCTGGTTGATTTTAGCGAAGTGCTGTTATTTTCTCAAGGATAATCAGTAATGCTGTATTCGTGTAATGGAAACAGTGGAGTACCTCTATGAAAATTATTTCTGTCGTCATTGAACACCTTAAATTACTTTTCCTTGCGACAGATTAACAGGAAGGTAGTTAAAGATAAATGGAAGTTTCTCCATAGGGAGCATTTTGATCGCAGGGCCTGTGTTATTTATTACTTTGAACACTAGGAATGAGTATTTTTATTTTGAAAATTAAAACGTTGCTTTGTCTCTGAAAACCCTCGCATTTGCACACTCTTAGTAATATAATTAATGAGCTAGTTGGACAAAATTTGGCATATGAAGTGAAGACAAGTGAAACTCTTTTTGATATCGGTGTCTGTTGAATCGGTCTGCCAAGGAGTAAAAATGACCCAAGTCTTTTCTTGGCGTCGCTAGTTCTGAGGTTAGTGTTAGCTTTCCCCAGATTGAATTTATTTTTACTGCAAGGTTTTATGTCAATGGTTGACTTGACAACGCGCCACCAATTTTTGTTTCTATTGAATTGATTCCATCGGACTTGAGGAATTAATGTAGTGTGACGTAATTGACATGGAATAATTATTCAGTAATCTTGACATCGCAGCCGAAACACTTTATTTACAGCCTAAGATTTTCCAGAGTTTCTTTGACTGCATTTCTAAAATCCTTGATCTTCCAGCAGTACAGAATGGGACCAACTGTAGAATTTAGATAAAGCAAAGTTTTGCAAACAAGTTACGTGTTATAGGAGAAAAGCTTAATGGAGAACTGACAGAAGAACCGGCAATATTAAATTAAAGATTGATATGTAAGGAAGGTAACTGATTATCATCGCAGCTAAAACCCATAAAGCGCTGGACACTGTTATTTTGTATCGCACCAAGAGCAAGGCTGCAATATCCCATTGAGGTGGCCTTGTGGAGTAATTTGAGCCTGAATGTGATTTTTGAGAGTGAGATAGATTCGCGTGTAACAGTGGGTGGAGACAACTAGCCATAAAGAACATATTATGACGTGAAAGACGAGAGAAGCAAATTCGTTCGTAAATAATAGGAAGCAGGTTCCTGTGAAAACCAACAACAACAAAACAACTAGAAAGCGAGCTCGTTTTATTGTCACAACTTGGCGATACCTGATTCCCAAAGACAACGCAAGAAGCCTGTCCGCACTAATTGCATTGGCAGTCGAAACTGAAATCACGCACATGAATGAGTTGGAGAAAAGCCAGAGTTTCTCCATGAGATAACAAGAAGACCAACATCAAGATCCGAGAATGCCAAGCAACGAAGAAGTACTTTGGGAGGACACCTAGTAAAGTACAGCCAGGATTTATACATTTCCCAAAGTTGCTGTAATGAATGATGCAATGTTTATCCCTGTTAGAACCAAAAATAGAGCAGAAACCTGCGAAGAGTTGTTATGACTAACGATAATTTGGCTACAGATCGCTGAGATATCGACCGTAATTAAACTGTGATCTTTCCCTGAAACTCTGGAATGAAAGTTTTGACCTCAAACCTCTTTGCTGAATTTCCAGCTTTAGATAAATTTCCTTAGCCCAACAAAAGCTTCTTCTGATCTTTGTCAAGATTTCATGGCAAGCTTACGTTCTTTACATCTTGTTGAAAGCTTACAAGTACACGCACTTAAGTTGTGTAGAGGTTCACAACTGAATCTGCCGTTTTTAATGAAGGAGCTGAGACCCCACTGCTGTTTACAAAAATGTTCGGAATAATTTACAAAAGGTTTTTGGAAATGAACATTTACTCTTTGACATTCAATAGATTTTGAGGGGAAAATATTAACTTATATCAATCGAAACCTGAGACGCAAGAAAGCGATAATTACTTGGACACCGCTGTATTTCAGATTGACCTTCCTTTTGTTTTCCTGATCTGTTTTGTTCTCTTTTACTCGATTTGGTAGTCGTAGGAAAATGTATTTTCCTTAATTATGTAATAAATTTATTCACGTAACGTGCCATAGTGACCTCATAAACAGATTCTATCTTAAAATCTCACTCAAAATGAAGTATTCAAGTTACCATTCCCAGTAAATAGGAAGAATAGCCTATTAAGGGGGTTAAAAGAAAAATTACGCACTCTCGTTATCTCAAACGATATAACGAGAAATTAACGCTCTTGAATGATCTGCCTGTTTCTTAGGAAAGGAAAATGTTTAATTTTGTAGCATGGTGCAAATTTGGTGCAATTATGTTTATTTATGCGGTGAGACGATCTTCGCAAGTGTTAGATGGCTTACTCAACAAGCAGAATCGATTCACTTTTAGGAAACGGGAAACAGAGAAACTTTTAGATTGTTTGCACAGTACAACTCTTATGCAATAGGTTAGTTGCGGACAAATGTTATCAGTTCATGAACGTTTCCCGTTCCGAAGAGCAACAGGTAGCGCCAACCTTTTTAATTTTGCTTGAGATATGCAAGTAATATTAATCCAGTCCATGTATCTTATTGCGTCCTTGCCTGACTACTTTTTCTCATTTATAGCAAAGTGAGATAGCTGTCCAGCACCATGGCTTCATGGTAAGTCAACAAAATTGTGTTTGTTTGTAAAATGTTGGGAATAAGAGAGTAGTATTGTACTTACATTTACACGCGACGCCATTTTACGTTACAGTGTGATGGCTGTGGAATGAATCCAATATCAGGCACAAGATGGCACTGTACTGACTGCTCAAAAGATGTTAGTGTTGATTTGTGCACGGAGTGCGCAGAAAGGTAATTGAGTTGTAATCGCCATCTTGAAATTTTACTACTCGTGTTTTTATGCTTAATATCAAAGGGAAAAGAAGGGAAGTTTTTCTTGATAGGAGAATACCCTATGACCAGACGTATTTTTCAGCACTGTTCCTTTTCATTACCTTCTTCATTTACATGGTATCGCTCAGTTAACATCACAGTGACAACAAAGCTCTTTGATTTGCACAGCCTGCTCACAAATGTTTAATCTGTTTTACAGGGGAAATGTGAATGTGGGTGTTCACACAAGTGAACATCACCTGGAACCAGTGTATTCTAGTTCTACGTTTTTCGTGGATGGAGACTATCTTGGACTCAGCAGAGGCAGCACTAGTGCTGGTTATAATTACCTGGATACCAATTTCCTACCCTCTACTGCCAGCTAGCACAAAAGAGCACAAGGTGTAAAGCGCTTTACCCAATCTGAGCCAAGACAGGCTTGTATTCGGCGTCCTACGCGGGAAAATTCGGAAACAAGAAGTGGCTGTCGTGTTTCGTCTAGCTCCTGATTGGTTACTTCTAGAGCATACTGATCCTGATTAGTCGGTCCCTATGAGATTCGCGTTCTTAAGTGACAAATCGTGACAGGTCTATTAACTTGTTGAAAGAATAGGTTCCAGATGTTCAGTTTTCGCCTGAAAAACATTCTGAGCAGTTTTTGTCACTGATTCTTTATCATTCTCTTTACTAAGGGTCTGAAAACCAGACCTAAAGATAATGACGAGGGCCAGTCACACGTAAGCTGAACACATCAATCTAGTTAGGAACTGTTATTGAGTGTATGAATTGACCATTTCACATCTGTGTACTTAGTTGCCAATCCTTCGATTTGGAGTGAGACTGAAGGTGACCTTGTTTTGATAGAGACCAGTATCTAGTAAGCATGATAAAAAGTTAATTTACTTTTGAAAAGCAGCACATTTTGTATCATAACGAAGTCACCCTTAGCCTTACTCCTGTTCAAAGGCGTGGCAACCTAGCACGCAACTGTAAAATGGACTTCCGCAAAGCCAAAGTGAATGAAAAGAGCGCGCGGTTTTATATCTAACGGAGAGTACTTCATGTCCCTGTAAAGTGTTATATCTCGGCAATTGTCCGTGCAAATGTATACCGGTACTTAATTAGACTCCTATGTAATTTTTCATACATCATATATTTTTTTAAGCCAAGTTGTAAGTGTGGAAAACAAGCGGCAATTTAAAGAATAAATTATTCTGTTCGTCCTTTACGACTGTGTACCCTGAAAATGTTGCCGTAATTTTATTGATCCGATTGTTTCAATTTATACGTGTTCTACACGAACATCTCTACAACGTTGGAGATAACTGAAATTTTAGCTGGGAACTAAATTTTGCGCTATTAGCAAAACATTATTTCGCAGAGAAAGATTATATTTTAAATCTTTTTTCTTATCGCGTTATGCAGAAGGAATTACATGGTAAATGATTCATAGATGGTTATGTGGGATGAGTAAAAAACTAAGAGTGCGAATCGACATTTGACGCGCAGGCAGATGTTTTGTTTTGACTGGAGTTTGTAAATTATCAATAACTTTTGTTTTTTTTCGGCTGGGGGGAACTACTGTCGGATCAAGGACTATCCGCAAGTATTGATACCCGCAAAATTCTTCTACCTCACGGTTCATAAATGATCGCTTTGAAACGAAAAAGAACAAAAACCTCTATTTATTCGGCAACGTACGTATTTAGACTCTTCCTTAAAACCTACTGAAATTGAAAAAAAAAAAAAACGAAAATCGTTACAAATCAAGCAGCCCTTGAGTTGTTTAAAGATGCGCCGCGAGGTCACAATTTTAATGGCGTTGTTGATATCTGATGACATGCCTATTACTTGGCCAGCATTTGCGCATGTGCCAAATACATTTAGGATATCAAACAAAATCGCTTGTTCTACTACACGTCATTAACCACGTACCCGGGAGCCACTCGGTATGAAGTTAATTAATCATAGAGATCAGAAATGCTTCAAACCCAGAAGCTGCTGAGAACGAGACAAGATTTATTCAGGGGATGGCTCCAGTTGGCTTTTTCATAACCTTTTTGTATTCCCATAGCTCGATGAACCGCGGCCCAGCTTGGTTCCTTTCGATATCTTCCTCAATTATCTACAGAGGGTAATTGATGTGTCGGTATCGGAGCAAAAGAACCTCTTCTAGTTGGTTACGTATGGAACAATAATCTATTATTTAGCGCGTCCCTGACTTTTCCCAGCTTTTGGTAGGGAAGGTTTAAACCAGACTGATTGCGTAAAGACACGAAGCTGTTTGTCTATTTTTAAATGTGTTCGTTCGTTAGTGATAGCGTCTGAGCCAAAAAGTGACTAAGGTTGACTTTTTGCCAGATTCATTCTTAGAAATGATTGTTTACGATTGAAAATGGGAGTCGATAGGGAAAATATGGCGTTTTTCACGTAATGTATTCATTACTTACTTGATCAGGACAAATGCACAGATCGAGTACATCCATAAACAATCTTAGCTCCAATTTTCATTTATTATTCATAACTTTATTTCAACTGGAGTCTTCAGTCGTCTAGTTTACTTTCGTGATTCTATGACATGAAATGGAAAAGAAATTCAACGTATCAAGAAGCATAAAGAGCAAATTCGAGAAACTGCGTCCTTTCAGAATAATAAAAAAAATAATTTGAGCTTTTTAGGATTTTAATCTACACAGGAAATTAAGAGACGCCTTGGGTTGGTCCCGCGGATTCTTTTGGCTTTCCGTCCCGCGGATTCCTTTGATTTTTCTTATCTCCACGGTTCCCTTTAGGAAGCGTGGTTCCCTACGTGAAATTGTCTCGTTGCTTTCAGTGATACACCGCTTCCATTTGAATTATTTTGTCGTCTGGTTTTCCTTAGCTCTGTTTACTATCACAAGCCGCTGACAGGCTGTCGTATCACGTAGAGGCTGTCTTTGTCCTCTTTATGAAAAGGAAAATCCATTAGCGTCTACATAACTATCTTTCGTTTTCGTATGTTTTTTCTGTCGGTAGGTAGTTTTCTCAGAAACCAACTGCGTCTTAGTATTACCATCGCTTTAGGAAAAATTTTGTCTTCAAACAAAAAGCAACCTCTGTGAGTGCATGTATAGGCTACAAAAAGGGCCAGTTTGTTTACAATGTATCATCAATTTGTATTTTATCAAGTTCTCATCGAATTCGCTTGAGACACGCTACATTTCTAAAAACTTGTATTGGTACAAGTAATAACATGATTTCGAGTGAAATTTGATGTTAATAAGCACGAGTAAATGTTTCATCGATAGTCAAAAAAATTGCACTACCATAGTCAAAAACCACGGGTTTGAGCAATTTTGTAGTCTGCGGAAAATTTCGGTTGCCTTTTCACTTCGTTGGCTTTAATTCCATCCACCCACAAATGATCTGTATTGGACTTTTTTCTTTTTTGAACAATGCTTAAGATGTTAGCAATCTACTCACAGCAATTTTTCACTTCAGTAAAAGGTCCTTCATTTTCAAGGCATTTATCCCAGAATATTTAGGTAATCTTCATAACAACTTGACCTTTAGGCTTTTTGCAGTTTCGATTGGTCGTTTATACTATCTTCCGTAAGTACTTGCAAATTTGATTCTCAATATCAATAACGGGATGACAAGTTTTATTTCATAAATTTGGTCGTAAAAAATTATTTCTTGCCCATAATGCGGAATTTTCTCTTCAAGAAAGTTCTTTCGAGGGTAAGAACAAGAAATAATGTTTTAATTCAAAATATCCCTCAAAGCGTTGTTCAGTACCATAGAAAAAAAATTGTTTTAAATATAGCATCGTTCCTTTGTTTTCTCCTCACCTCTGTCCCTCTTTTATGGTATTATATTAAAAAGTACTTCGACAAAGTTCATTCTCGTTTTAGGTAGATGTTATTGTGTCCCAGAAGTATTCGAATTTGGCAAAATGTATTCAATTTACTGGCTCCGAATTGGCTTTCCTTATTACAATCGGCAGAGCCATTTAAATAAGTGTTGATTCAAAACTTTACTGCAAAACACACCTGTCGCCAACTTAAATATGCATGCATCCCCGATCGCCTTCATTTGAGGCAGGGAACGCCTAGTTTGAAGACTACAGAGCCGTAGAGATGTTGCCACAGCTTATTGCAGCTTTGTTTTTGCTGGAAAATCACGGGCTTGCCCAGGAAGTTAAATTGAATCAGTCCAGGTAATGGAAGCTATGTCCTTTGCAATTTCAATTTTTTTGTCCCTAGTCTAAACTTTCCTCGCCAAAGATATATTCTTTATTGTAAAAACGTTTCGTGTTGACGCGGATTTTACTTGGTGTATTGAAATGTTTAAATGGATGTGTATAAGGTATATTTATTTCCACTGTGTACTCCCAAGTTTTGTAACAACGTTGTATTTACCGAAATTTGCGTACGTGACCTACTTAAATTCTGTTTGTAGAATGAGTTTGTTTCCTTGTCCATTTTGAACAATTAATTTCATTCGGTTAGACTAGTCCGATTCTCGAAAGAGACAAATTATTCAGCTGTTTCTATTTCCTTCCCTGCGATATTTTGAACAGATTTTCACCGGCAGAGTATTTTTTTAAGATGTTGTCTATAATATTTACCTTGTAATGAATCAAATTTGTCGGATTGGTTATGAAAACCGCTGGTTTCGTCCTTTATTACGGGCGTTGTTTTAGCTTACAACATCATATCATATCATTATAACACGGCAGCGAGCTCGGATATTTACATATCGTCATTTAACTAAGAAATTGCGGCAGAAACCACGGAATTTCATAACCGGCTGGCTCTCGACTTCTATGGCCTAATTAAACTGAAGCCAATATGTACTGGGCTCCCTATGGCTTTGAGCTTAAGAATCTATACAATTCTTTTTAAAAATTTATCTCATTTTTCAACGATTCTTTAGATTCTATGTCAGATGTGTATACAACCTACAACTCGGTGCTCGTGCTGTTTAATATGACAAAAGTTAAACTGGGTATGGTAGAGCGTCACTTCTCTGCTAAAGTTGTTCGGACATCGCAAACAACTGTTTATCACTTTGCGTGCCGAAGAAAGTTTCAGAAAGGCGCTACAGGGGTCATTTCCCCTCATATTCAATTCTTCGTTTGTTTTTTGAACACCGCACTGAAGATTTCATATCGACTTGTTTTGTGTACAATTAAAACTGTTGCATCTAGATCCAATGTTTTCTTTTTTTTGCAGTAAAACATCGCATTAAGAAACAGAAATTGATGTTACCCGACAAATTTTATTGGCAAAACAATTCTTGTGCTTTGACAGAGCTGAAAATTAAATCTATGTAAAACATCGCGGAGCTTTTTGTATGTAGTCAAAACTAAACGAAAAGCAATTTCTTCCTTTTCTTTTGAGATAACAAGATAAAAATAATTTGTCTTATCTTTGATCTTAACTTTTCTGTTTGACATCATTATGATTTAAAGATTTCACAAGTTATACGCGAATACTTTCAAAATATTACGAATAACACGTCGTACGACGTAAAATAAACATTGTTATTTTGATGGAATTCGCTTGGCTAAAATGGTATGACAATAGGTTTTTTGGTAGCTCTTGTATTTCAAAATGTTTCTAAGTGATATTGGAGTCGAAATAAGTACTTTATTTTAATTAGCAGCTGCACGTTGTAGAGATATGTTGTTTTCAGGGATGAGAAGTATTTTTCACACAATTCTATTTCAAGCCAATTGTAATAGGAGGTGCTAATTTCGCTGATAAATTGTTTCAATTCACGATTATCACTAGCAGTAATTCATCGTCGAGCTTTGATTGATCTTCGCATTGTAATTTCTTGCCAATTACCACGGAAAAACCCCTCAACCTTTCAATTCCACGTTTCCTTTTTTCATCTGTGGTTGTCTTTTTCGTCTAATGGAAATCCTAAGCTCCGAATGAGAAACAATTAATGCTTCAATTACATTTAGTGAGGTGACTTTTCTTGAACTATGTGAATCGAAATCTTGATTTGCCGGAAGGTTTGTCAAGACAAACTAAAAGAAACCTTAGTTGAAAATTATCAGGAGAATTAAAATCCTAATGATTTGAGTAATTTTCCAAAGCCGTATTGTATTTTCCCATCTTCTCTAATTTGAACTAATTTTCAAATTTGAAATCGGCTCGGACGAAATAGAGTATTCAAAATGTCCGAAGAAAGTTACAGGCAAGACCAGCGCGTAATGCTTCACGGTTAAAGATAATCCCAGGCTGCCGCACGGACCACGCTTAGCGAAAGAGCAGCTAAAAAATTATGAGAAGGGTATCAGGTATCTTTTAGAAAGCAAAGAACGAAAAAACACATCTCATGATTCACTGGGAACGAGTTAAACACGCATCAGTTTAGTCTTGGCTTTGCATGAATTTGAAAAGAATGAGCGGACTGAAAGGAGCCGTTGCATCTGCCCGCAACTGTCTGCTGCGCCGGAGTAGATGTGAACGCAGCACTATCAAGATTTGAGTTCCTATGATGCAAGAGTAACGTTGATGCCAGTTACAAGTAAACCGAAACTCGTCTTTCTTTTTGTGACAACCACGTCAACGTAGGGTCATCTTCGGTGTCTTTTACATCACATTATCAAAGAACAAGATATTCTTCGGACGAGTTCGACAATGAGGACAACATTTGAGCTCAAGCTTCCGGTAAAATACTATGATCAGGATATAATAATTTTCGGGAACCTTTATCAAGCTCCTTATGACCAAGAAAAGATTGCACTGTTATTATTATCGGCCAAAATTGAACCCTCCCATACAGAGTAAATCTTTAAAACTACTAATGTGCCGGAATCTTGCCTTTGTAGCGATGTACGTCAATTTCACCGAAAAACGTCCTATAATGTTGATAACAATGAAGGTTTCCGCAAATGTCGCAGGTTTGTGCATACCCAATGTTTAAACGTTTGAAAATCTCGAAATCGTCGAAGGATTCGTCGTGGAAATCCAAAGGACCATCATGAACCGTTATCATATTTTCGAAATAAAAACATTAAAAATATTTGTATATAAAGCTAATAAATTTACCCTCTAGAACGTCTTTTGTCACCTGTGCATCGACAGAGTAACTAGTATCTGTATATTTTTCTTTTTGATCCAGTCCCGTGACCGTTGCAAAGCCTGATACTACGACAACTCCGAAGTCAATGCCAAGTTCATCTAGTAATTTCAATGTAAGCCAACTGATACGTGATCTTCTCGACGGTTATGACAAGAGACTTCGCCCTAACTTTGGAGGTATGAAATAGTCTTTTTTTTTTTTCTGAAGCTATCAGTTTTTACATGAAAAAGTGATCAGTAATATGCCAACCAACCAAACCATTTGTTCCCTGATGTATTGACTGTTTACTGGCTGCCTAACCTCGAAACTCTCGCATTCACTGTTTGAAGAGTTAAAGATTTAGGTAAACGTATGCCTCTAGTCGCTTTTAATGTCACAGAGATTTTTCTCTAGATGAAGTGAAGTAATACTCGTTATCGAGGCGCGGAAAGGATGAATGAAAGCGAAGGATGAACTGCATTGCAAATGAAGACATTAAAAATTTTGACTTAGATGAACTCACTATAACGAAGCTTGTTTGCGGATCACGTTGTTGGTAAATTTACCCGAATCAAGAGAACATTCAAAGTTTGCTCCTTTACCTAAGATGACTTACTGCATAATTAGTTTACGGGAGCACTACGGGGCATAGCCAATCAGGTCACAAGATTCCACGGGGGTACAAAATAACCAATCATGTCATTTCTGTCCAGCATAATAGCTTTGCACTTGCATGACGGCGAGATTGCCTTCCAAATCAAATCGCCGTCTTGAATGCCAACCCAGCCATGCGATTGGTATATTCCTACGTATAATAAGTGCACGTGATTCAAAACTTTGTAACCTGAGTGGCCATAACCTATATATATTGTCCGTGTATACTACTGACATAGAATCAACCTCTTTAGTTACAGTTAGCCAAACAAATCTCGCAACGTGTTGTCCTCATGTGAAAATTTTAAACTTTGTTTTGGCCTGAATTTGAGTTTGAGCCACCAATCAACGAAGAGGTACGTTTCTTACAGTGGATATGATGATTTTAATCCCTCTCCAGGTCCCCCCGTCAATGTGTCTGCGACTGTCTTCATTGAGTTCATTGGTGATATCGATGAAATCAACATGGTATGTTTTGATTTTATTTCTTTAGGATTGAATTTTCTGGTTTTCTTGAGAGAACAGTTGTGCGAATCAATTCTTCTCTACCTTGTTATTAATCTTTATAGACCATATTAGGTCGATTTTTTCTAAAATTCCAGAGTCATAGAGATTTTTCTTTTTGGAAAAACTATACATCAGAGGGAAAGGGGCAAGTGATATCGAGGGAAGCAAGATATAAGAGCTCCAGTAATTTACCCAATTGTTAAAAAGATAGTAAGTGGTTCAGTGATGAGAGATCAAATGATGCCCATCTGTATGTTGCTCAAAACAGGAATTTACGACAATTATGTACTTCCGTCAATACTGGAAAGACGAGCGTTTGAAATACAACCACAAAGGATACAAAAAGAGACTTGCTTTTAATCCTGAAATGCTCAAATTCATCTGGGTTCCGGATACACATTTTCCTGGAATCAAGGATGGGCTTAAACACGACATCACAGACACCAATGAGGTGGTCCGACTGTGGCCTGATGGTGCCGTACTGTACAGCATGAGGTAAACTTAACAAAATATAAAGTTCTCCGGGTGGGAGGGGAGTGGGTTTACTTAGGAATAGAGAGGGTAGATGATTTGTGGGTTTTGAATGACTTCTTCTTTTGAAGAATTCTGGGGTAACTGGAAACTTTAAGAATATTGCTTCAAATCTCCAAGAAGGTTTTTTTTTGACAACGATGCATTTTTTCAGAATTTTCTTCGAATTTTCCGTTGCTTGATATTCGTCGGACTTACCCACCCTTCCCTTCGATATCGATAAGGCACGCCCTCAATTTGTTTTTGGCTCATGTTGTATCTTTACACTTTTTGTTTCATCTTACTAAACAAAGTCTTATGAATCGTTATGAATCTGTTAAAAGACCTTAATTCTCAGTTGATCAAGGTGTTGCAGTAAAGTTCAAATGCACCTATTTCTAATGCAATGCTATTGAAATAGGAGAGGCGTCGGGTATTAGGAAATTAACGACCGTAAATGACAAATACAACTACAAGTGGCATAAAAACTACACCCGGGATACCTATGCTGGTCAGTTAGTGCATGTGCAGACTTTCTCTTTTTACCCGCCATTGATAACTTCATTATGTGGATGCTGAGCGAAGAAACCAAGCAAATGATTATCCTGTAGCTCATTATGCTTATAGTATTTGTATTTTTTGTCTTCTTTAAGGCTGAAAATAACATCACAGTGCCCGATGAACCTGATAAATTTCCCAATGGACAAACAAAAATGTTATCTAAACATTGAAGCTTGTAAGTGATATTCAATTTTTTTAAGTGTATCTTGTTTTCCTGAAATCTATAGATGTTTAACTGTTGCTAACCAGCTGTTCTTTGAGCTACTCAGTCAGTTACGATGACCAAGAGTTGATCCTTCAATGGTATCACAAAAACCCTGTGACGGTGTCAGACAAAATTCAGATCCCCAGCTACACTTTGACATCTTATGATCATTATTCAGACACTGAGGACTTCTCGACTGGTACGATGTTATCTTTTGACGTCTGAAAGCTTTTACGCACTTTATTACACCCATTTTGAAATCACTGGTGGCCCCTGTAATCTGATTGGCTCTAATTGGAGCGATTTATTCACGAATCGCACCATTTTTTGCTTTAAATTGCATCATTTTCCCAGCCAATGAGGAGGCTACACTGAAAACAAAACGACCAATCAGATTTCAAGGCTTGTATAAAGTAACCAATCTAATTGCAGGAAAATGAAAGACAAAGAGTCTCATTTGGCAAATTCTGCAACCTTTGTTTCCAAAACTCTTGTTTTTTCCCCCCCAAAATCGGATGAATTTAATTTCAAGCTAGCTCAGTACTGCATCAATGAAATTTTTGAACTGACCAAGTCCTGTATTTGGGCGATTTCAAAATGGATGCAATAAAGTGGTAATTGAACCTTGTGCCGTGCAATTTTGGTCTGAAATCATACTTGTGATTTCAAATCGAACTCGTGCTGTGCGTTCGTTCGATTTTGAAACCACACGTATGATTTCAGCCCAAATTGCACTCCACTCAATTCAATTACCATTATTTAACACTGCGTTCATAATGCAAAACATGTAGACATGTTTGCCTTAAAAGGAAATAAATGTATGTGACTCTGTATGCATGTGAAAATACATTAACTGCGTCTAAGAGCTTTATCCTTTATACACTTTTATAAAGGGGGAAAGTATCTAGGGAAACTTTGGTGCTGCGTCGTAGAGAGGTAATTTGCTATTATCAACTGAGTTGATAATCGATATCGGCCACCGAAACTCTTGTTTGAAACTTTTCAGCACCGTTGGCCAATTTACCTTATCAAGTCAGTTGATAATACCAAAATACCTCTACACTCTTATATTGGTATTCATGTTCGTCGCACTGTTCTTTTTACATTTCCTATGGAAAAGGAAAATTTTTTTATTTGTTTGTTTTTTCCAGGAACGTCCTAAATAAGTGATAATTTTCTTTGTTCTCATGACCTTTACATTTGATTCAAGGATACTGTAATGAGGAATTAGAAGCCAATCACTCATATGAGTTTCAGGGTTGAAGTGTCTAAGTGGTACTAGTTTGCATTTGCTGCTTTCGCACGAGTAAACGAACGAGTGGCTTTGAGCAGGTCTGACCAAAATGACAAAGAAAGGAATGTAACAGCTTGCAACTACAGATAAAACTGAAGGTCGTTTAACATATTTACTAGAAGTAAGCCATCAGTGTACCAAACCCACTACTTATCCACTAAATACGTATGTTTGTGTGTTACAGGAACTTACTCACTCTTAACTATTCAATTTGATTTGACTCGTCGATTGGGATTCCACATGATTCAGGTATGAACTGAAATGAATTTTCTTTCTGGAGAGTTATAATGAGAAAAGGCTCTCAAATATTCTTATGATCCCTCGTCATTGGCAGTTGATCGGCAGTCAATTTCCTATACTTCCCCTTTTATACTATGTTGACGACGAATGACCCCCCTCCGTTTCCTCAGGAAATTATTTAACCCTCCACCCCCCCCTCCCCATTAGACAATAAATAAAGACAGGCCCTTTAGTAATTAGTATTAATATTATGCGGGATCAAATGATTGAAGAAAAGTTGTGTTTTACTGACGTTTACGTCCGGCCAAATTAAAGTCCTTGGCACTTTACATCCTAAACTCAGCATGGCACCGACAAGGAAAATTTATCTATAAATGAAGAACAATTCAAGTCTGGCAGACCAATTTTGTTCTTTAGCCTCATAAACTGATGGTTTACAATTTCGCAGATTTACTTGCCGTGTTACTTAATTGTGGTCCTGGCTTGGGTCAGTTTCTGGGTTGATCGCGAACAAACCGCCGCCAGGATTGCCATGGGAATCACTACTGTTCTTACAATGGCAACGCTGATTGGTAGTGCCAGGACTTCTCTACCGAAGGTACATTTTCATTCTTTGGCTTTCAGGATAGTTTCCTTATATCAACCAACAGCGGCTCGATCTGAAATTACCCTTGTTGCCTGAATCTAATTATAAAATCGGGCTAGTAAATATGTTTTAGAAGACTGTAAATTAATCACTAACTTTTAGAAATAATTGAAATCAGTTTTGAATGTTTTTGTTAGCCGTAACAGAAAAATTTTTGCCTTAAGAGCCATTACCCTCTTCCAATAGGACGTGGTTAACAATATGTCGGAGATTTCTTGATCGTGAGGAGTAAGTGAATAAAAAGTTTATATTGTTCGTTTCAGGTTTCGTACGTTAAGTCCTTGGAATGGTTTCTTATGATGTGCTTTCTGTTCGTGTTTTCCGCCATCTTGGAATACGCCTTTGTGTCTTATCTGGTGTTCAAGCAGCGAGAGGAAGAGCGAAACAGGGTTGCAATGAGAAAGAAACATGACGAGGTAAGAGAATGACAACACATTTACAGTTCATAAATGACGTAAGGTGTAAAATCTTCTAACGGCTACTGGTGGCAAAACCTCCGGTATTTCCAAATGCATCCAGCATTTTGGTAAGACCACGAACGCCTTACCTAAATTAGGAGAAGGTAGACACATTTTCAAACCAGATCAGTCATTTGCAAATAAACTGTTCTCCCATTTATTTCATCTTGTTACAATAAACAAGTATGTCCGCTGGACACGTTAGTGCATTCGCTTTTTGAACGGTTAGTTACCACAAAACGTTATAGGAACTAGTTTATAAAAATAAACATTATCTGCTGTTTACAAGTGTTACTATAAATTGACTTCTATTTTGTTGCTGATGTTTTTCTAGGACAAAGCTTCCGAGGCAGCAGAGGTATTGGTCGATAATGACAAAACGCCTCCGTCGCCTGGTAGCCGCCCCTCTTCAGGTCAAGAGGCGGTCTGGATACCAGGGAAATCTCAGGTGGAGACTGTGACGAGACCGGGCAAGTGCCGAGGCTCCAAGAAGCCTCCATCGGAGGATCACTATGTCAGGATTCTCAATACTGTGGAGTTTTTCTCCAGGCTGCTGTTTCCAGTGGTGTTTGTCTTTCTGAATATCGCTTACTGGCTCTACTACGGAGGAATTCTGTAAGAGGAGACTCTGGTGGCGAATGGTGGAAGATGTGTTGGAGGGGAGAGGCATATATAGCTCTCTTTTCATAATTAAATGGTAATGGATTTGCTTTACTGAGCGTTTGTTAGGCGGTTTTGTCGTAACTAAGTACTTTAAATGGTTATTATCCCAAAGGCTTATTGAAACTGGTTTTTGTTTTTTTTCGCTTGGAGTCAGAATTCATTCAGATGCGCATGTCCAGTTTATTCTTGAGTTTGAACGTAACCAAAGAGGATGTGAATTTTTTTGAGATACAGAGTGGATTTCTTGAGGATTGAACATAACAAAGCGTGGAGGGAGCGTGTAATTTTTGACAAATTACGTTTAGGACTTTATAATATAGCAGTAATACCTACACGGGACCTGGATTGAAATAATGTTTAATGTAAGTCGAAGCCGTCGCATCGTTCTCTTTACGACGAATGATTGAAACAAAAATAGGGATCGTTGCATTTCATAAATTATTTGATAACTGTTCTTTCGCCTTGTTACCGTAAGTATTATTTTGTCTTTGAGTAGATATATCGAATTTTGATCGTATTATTAAAGGAAATACAGAAGTAAAAGGAAAGTTATAAAGGCCAAATAATGCAGCAATTTCCCTGAATCTTTCCATCTCAAAATGTAATACTTTACATTCGTTGAGTTTGACAGGAAGGCGTTCACTGGTAAAATCGACTTAGTATGCTACGCTAGTAAGCCTATAAACGACTGGGGAGTGTTGTTAACTTTTAAGTTCTTATTATTGTAAAGGTTTATATAACAATGATATTGTAGTTTGGGGCAAGTTTTACAACTCTTTTATCGTTTACTTCTTTTTGTATTATATGCTTTGTAGACCGTTTTTGCAAGCTTTAGACAACTTTCGATCGATTGTTAAGAAAATCGATAATTAACTACTCATTAAGCTTTCGTGAGTAGGATCAGTGGGTGAGCAATAATTGCTAAAATCAACGAAATTTCTGGTTCAGTTGAAAAAATTCTATAAAAATTTCTTAGGTAACTGGAGACATGGGGTCTTCTCCTACAAGTAAAATTGACAACTTCCTGTCTCCTTTTTCGATTTGACAGGTCCTTAAAATGATTTAGCTTACACTCATTACTAGTACTAGTTAACACACAAAGATTCCTGGAACCTCTTTGATTTTATTTTATTGGAGGGGAGACTAACCCTTTTCTTTAAATAGTTTAAAGTTTGTTTAATACTTATAGTACTAAAAAAGGATTTAGTAGCCGGGTAAGAATCTTAAAATTTCAAGTTTGATACACTTGTCAAACAATTTTGCTGTTATCTTTATTAAAAGAGGGAGGGGGTGATCCTCGCCTAAAAGTGAGACCTTTATCAAAAAATAAAATAAATTTCGGGGGTTAAATCATCAAGTTTTCTTCTTTGTATTTTATTGGTCAAATTAAAGAGTGTGATTCACTCCTTGACCATGCTGATATTGCTGACGTGATTCGAAAGAGCTGGTGTGACAAGCATCATGTAAATCTCATAAGCTTTAACACTCAATCTTTCGTGGCCAGGCAATCGCAATTGGGAAATGTATATGATAAAGAAATCATTGATTTCGTCTTTCTAACTATGTTATAATTGTTGTTAGGTTTGCTGCTATATATAAGAACATTCGTGTAGCGTTAGCGACTAGATATTACAGCTATCAAATATTTATAGTAAATTTATTGCATAGAAATAAAACTTGAAGCAGCAAGAGGTCCCTTATTTTGTTTATATTTTATTTATATGACAATTGACACCTCTTCATATGTGAGATAAAATACTTTATTTAGGCCACACTCCACCTTTCAAGAATGCATATGCAAGTCGTGTGATAAATTTGTTATCATCAATACAGGAAAGTGTAGGGCTTCTGCTTGCACAACACAAAACCTCTAGTCTATGATGACATTTTAAATACATGTACTTTATTTGATGGTTAAACACATAACACGTGCGGATATTTTACGAGTCGCGCGCTATTTTTTCCAGCCCCGTAGAGGCGAGTAGAAATGCGAGTCAATGAGGCGTGCGTTAAAGACAATAAGACACCAACGAACTTCCCGACTTAAAAATTTATTTCTCCGGCAACACATCTTGGTCATAAACCTTGAAAAGACACAAAGGATCCCCTGGGTTGTCTAAGCACAGAAGATGTCGAATAAAGCTGAAGAGAAAAATCGGAAACGAAAAATTAAAGAAAGAAGGTAATCATATCTCCATAATTTTCTGGTATTGTCATTGTTAGAGAAGCAAAAATTATCTAATAATCTTTTAAGTGGACCAGTAAAACTGGATGTTTTCGTTGGACTGGCTTAATCTTAAAAATTTACTGAAAAACAACATGAACGGTGCTGGAGATATTGTATCCTTTTGCAATATTTTTACTTACTATGGATTATCAAAACATGTTGTCTTCAGTCCCCTTGCCTTGGCTCGATTCTGCAACTCTAAAATAGTCAAGCTATCGCACCTTTCTCTGAAAAGGAGATAAATTACAGTCTCAGATTGTTTTAATACGATTCACGTAACACAGACAATCAACGCCCTCTACGCTCAACCCATGCCTCCTCATGCAAAACACGTGTCAGATCGCGCACAAAGCATTATGCACACAACGCCCGCACAATAAGTCAGCATAACGTTGAAGCACCCTGAAAGTGCAAGACATTAACATTGAGTGATAAGAATAATCTTTGATAGAAGCACCAGGATCGACACATGATAATAAGAAAATAATTTCACATTATCATTTTAAGTGTACCCTGGTTAGGAATTTATAACACCTTCGTTTGTTTAACAGAAGGGACTTCAGAACAAAATAAGTATGGAAGACGTTTCTAACGTAACCTACAAAAGAAACATTTCAGATTCGGTTTACGCAAGAGGTAAGTGACTAACACCTTTGAGAGAGAGATTCTTTTCTTTTAATTGCACGATTCAGCGCTACCATTCAGCCACCGAATGGTTAACAAAAAGACTCAAGCCTACCAACACATGATAGAGGTAGAGCTGAAAAGTGTCTCTATTTTTCACGTAAGGAAATATGATTCATGAAACTCATTAGTTATTCGAAGAATTGAAGTTGTTTGTATCCTAGAGTTTGTTTGGATGTCGGGAATCAAAATGGAATTTAGATTGAAACTTAAGTTATCAGTGTCGTTTACCCTTGTGCCTCAATAAAAGAGTTTGTAGGAATAAGAAAATGAGACACCCGAGCCTGCTGTAGTTTTTAAGAACACTCAGTACTCTTTTCGTGATAACTTTGCCTCCTTTTAGTGTAAGAAAAGAGTGGTGTAAAGAGTGACGTAGAACAAATGGAACGAACAAGTCAAAACAATAGAGCCTATGAAAATAATTAAGAAAAAACAAAGGTTCTCCCAGGTTCTTACACTGAGGTAAACCCTTGCTGTGCCACAATGCTTAATTTTTTAGGCAGAGGTAGGGAGAGATAAAAATTTCAAAAGATCAAACAGGGTGGCCTCCAACGCTAACTTGCTTCCCTGATTAAACGCTTGAACTGCAGGCTGGGAACGATCTTTCAGTGCAGCTGAAATTGTATTTACTCACAGAGATTTGTGATGAAGAGTATGGCCCACAAGAATTCTAAACTCTTTGACATCCCGTACTGGAAGACTTGACAGCTGATTCTCTGCTAAATAACTGTGAAAATAATATTACTAGGTATAATTAGTTGTGTGAAGTGGAAATCAACTAGTAACTTCCGTTTTACTGACCTTCTCCAATAGCATCCATACTCTATGCTTGACCAAGTTATGAGCAAGGTTTATTTAAATAATGTTTGTATTTGCCAACAGACCCTGAATTGGCACTACTTTGATTTCCCATAGATTCATCGGACACCAGTAAGAACAATTTCCCCGCTCATTTTTCTTTTTTATTGACTAAAATACAGGCTTTTGTGGCGAATAGTATCTATGATTAGAAAACAAAGGAGATATCTAACCTGTCGTCCATGAATGAAGGAAATATCTGTCTGTCCACGAGGTGCTGTCTTGTACCATTTAACATGACGTGGACAATGCCTCTTGCTCGTCTCGCCAGCTGTTGGAAGAAAAAAAAAATTTTACCTAGATTTATGCAAGGTACTATTTAAAAGCCATTTACTTAATTTAAGACCAGTCTCGGTTACTAAATATCAATTTGATAGAGTCAAAATTTGGAAAGCTTTAAGTTTTTCCCTAATTTTTACAAGGGGAGGGAGAGGAAGGGGGGCATCGAGGCATTGGATGATGCAAACGAACTCAGTAAAACTGCGAGTATCCTTTTAAGAAAAACTGGAAGACCACAATGCTCAAGTGTTTACATATAATGTTTACCTTTGCCGCGGCCAGGCCCCAGAATGCTTTCTGCTTGCTACATTCATATGGACACTCTTTGTAGTCGATCCCAGGATCCTCTTTGCTGCCACACCATCTCAAGCCGTTCAGCAAGTATCTAGTAGCATCAGGATGAACAAATCGTTCAGAATGTTTAGAGAGAGCTGGATTCAGGAAAACATGTTTTGGTTATTCTTACCCTGCTAATGTATCCTCTAAGGTTGTAAATTTGTCGTACAGTCTGGTGTACGCATGTGTTAGTTCTCTGGTTCCCGACCAAAACATGACCTGCAAAACACACGAATAATAAGCAGGTTTAACAAACGAAAGGATAATGAATCAGTAGGCCTTTTGAGAAACTATGTCTGCGATGTCTATGTCTGTCAACATAATTTCTAATTCATTGGAGAGTGAGTGCACGATGAGATTGGCACCTCCACGTCACTTTCGTGATTTCATTTAATCATAAAATAAAAAGAAAGAAGTTGACTGAAAGCACATTAAGGCACTTACTTTGTCGTTCAGCGGTTTCTCGTCATATAAGTCGAAGAAGAGTGCATAATCCTTGGAAGTAACATCACAGGGCCCTTTAAAGGCAAAACTCTTCGAAAACGTTTCCCATAACTCGTTACAATCCACTTTGGACGGGTTTTCAAGATCTTTTCCCCTATTTTCAATAAAATCCCAGCACCTTCCCAAGAAGATTTCTTTCAGGTGCAGGGTGGTACCTCCGATTGGCTTAAACATCCATTTGTTCCTGTTTCTGTTAATTCTCTGGTCGTAATATTCTTGAATTCTTCCCTCTACAAATTTCGTGTCTTCATCAGCGTTATTCCGTAGTTTCGTTGCTTTTGCTAACCGATTTCTCGATCCTGGATTTTGAACTATGTTGTAACCTTGAGGTAATAGCGGTGGATGATATGTACTGATACTGCCTATAGGGTATCTCCCCCATAAATTGTTGTATCGCTTTGCAAGCCAGTTATTTTGTCTGCTGTAAAACAGCGGCTGATTGAAAGTATTTTGATAAGCACGATTTGCAAAAGACAGGGGAATCAGGCGTCTTTTGCTGGTTTGAGCACTCGGCCATTCAGTGCTGGGCTCTTGTGGGAATAGAGGAGCAGTAGCGTTCTGAACTTGTCCACTTTGGGATCTTACTTTTCTTTTACTGTGTAGTGATGTGTGCCTGGCATCTAAAGGCATGGAGTGCATAAATATCATTTCAAACAATTTTAGATCATAATAGCGCCATAACAAGAAGGCTTTTCTAGGTAAAAAGGTCGAGGATTTTTTTTCTTAGGACCTAGAAATAAATGTTTTCAGCCGTGAGGATTTTGCCTTTTGGTTGTGACAATGCGTGCAAGTTCGAGGAAAAGGTCTTTATCTTTCGTTTGTTTTATTTCTTAAGCTTTCGCTAACTTGTCGAGAAATACGCATTCTACCCATTTCATCTGAAATGGATATAGCTAAAACAAAACACTGACAGGTTAAAAACACAACAACAATTGCAAAAAATGCTCACGATAGACTTCTCAGATAGTGAGGATATTTGACATGAGTAAATGAAGAGGATTTAATATTATTAAGAATTTAAGTACAGCCGAGCTAACATTATCGTGATTCAAGAAATCCAAGACACAACAGCAACATGAAAATTGATGTCAATAATATTATTCGACCATACAAACGATTTTTGTTATCCTAACCTGGGTCGATACAACCATGACAAAGTCGCGTCAGAATAGGTCACCGATGGCATAATTGAAGAGAAGCAAACAACCGTCCTTTTTCCGTGTTGTTAACCAAGCTTCTGTAGCTCCAATTACCAATTCGTATGGATAACCGAAAGGGTATTAATTACACTATATATGATATATACAAAGTGATACTCCCGACGATAAGCAAGGAGTTTGTTTTTGAATAAACATTATCACACTGATACCTCCTGCCAGTCAACCGGTAATCAAAGCCTACGGGGGCGGTCTTAAGTATCACCAACGAATCGAGTTGTTTCATAAGTTCAAATGCGGATCAGAAGGTCGAATGCCGGGCTTGCTTTTATTGAAATAATTCGGTCAGATAAACACTTCTATAATTGATATCACAAGGTGCCATACCTGTACAGACAAGACACAACTGTAAGAGAAATATGCTGGGAAATGCGCTCCATAAAGTCATGGCTACACTCCAACTGGTGTCCAGAAGACGGAAACGCTTGTTGAAATACGGTGCTTACCTGTTGAGGAAAAGCATTTTTTCACGTATGCGTTATGGTTGTAAAATGAATGGGATAAACTAAAGGTCCGTTATTAGGTACTTACTGAAATCTTTCGTGTTATGATTAAGAATAATAACAGGCTTTCATTTCATGACCTTACGGTGCGATGCAAATCACTATAAATTCTCTGCGAGATGTAGATAGACTATGCTGGTCTATAAATTTGTAATAGAGTGTCGTCGATTTTTCTTTACAAGTTAGAGTTGATCGTTGGCCATTGTCGAGAACGAAGTTTTTTCATGGCTTTGTTGTGTGGAGTCACAATTGAACAGGTACCAGCCAAATAAACAGGTTTGGCTATCACCGAGTGTCAGTTGCATGTGGAAAAAATCGTCGTTTGAAACTAAAAAAGTAAAAAGGAATTCTCTGATCGGTTTTAACTTCGATTCTATAAGGTAAAGAAGTTCTGGGGAACAAAAAGAATCATTCGCATTTCAGAGACGACCATGATACGAAGCAAGCTCAGTAGGGTTACATCGTGGCACGCAATATCTTTCTTCGCGTTAAAGAAATAAATGTTTGAATTCAAGAGGAAGTATGACTTTTTTTCGATATGACAACGCTATAAAAAACTCAGTAATGTTGTTGTCTGTTAACAGATTTGTTACTCATATTTTTCAGCCTTTGATGAATCGTCAACGGATTTTGATTGGTCAACAAGGTGAAGATTAAATCAACGTTTCCCCTCAGATTCCATCACATTCTCAGTTATTCCTTTTATTTCTGTGTCAAATTTTTCAATATTAATTAATAGACAAGATTGATTAGTGTCTCGATTAGCCAGCGGCAAGTACATAATCTATTTTTCTAAGCGGAAGGCTAAGGAAATCATTTATGTGCAAGTTTGTTTTTCATAATTGTCTTCGGGAATCACTCTCTGACAGTTTGGGGTAGCGATCTCTCATTCTCCACGGAGGAGCGTGAACAGCACTCGGTATGAAGAGATAAAGATCTGCTGCAAATACACAACATTTTTTAGAGGTGTACGCATGAGTTGACCATTATTTGGAAGCAGTTATTTGCAAGTCACGTGGTGAGCTCTTGCCGCGAAAAAGAAAAAAAAACGCCAAATGATGAGATTTTAACGTCGCTATGCCCCTTTCCCCCTTCCCGAACAATGTTGAACTTCTGCCCAAAAGGAGGATTAGAGCATCTTCCCAGGAGGCATTGCGCATCTGCTTTTATTGTCTGGTTTCTTCATCAAGTGACGGTTAATTTCATGATCGTAATGTCTTATGACCTTGTTCCCAAGTTGAAATCGAAAAAACTCAAAATTGTGTCACGGGTGGAAAGGTAGGGGGGAGGTGGTGAAAAGCAATGCGACCAGAAAGGAAAGCATGAAGGGTCCGTGGCGTTTTGCCACCGATTGTAGATGGAGTTTTTAATATAAAGACTCATGTTTAAGAGCCTAGCTATAGTTTCAAAAGTAAACAGTGAATAAAAGATTATTTAAAACGAGTTTTATGCCCACTGAATGAACAAGGAGCTCCACTCATTCAGCGTCTCTTCCCGTCAACTATTTTCCATTAAGTTGTTTTAACTTAGCCTTCTTAAATGAAAAAAAAAATAGCTGTAATCAAGAGCTGTTTCAATCAATCGATACTAAGTGGAAATAAAGAAGGGAACAAAAAACCATTTAACCAAATACAGAACTTTTATAGAGGTAACTGTGCTCGAAATTGTTTATCGCATAAGGGTGAAGCCCGGATCAGCATTAAGCATAAAAAATTGAGAGCTGATAAGCAATTTTTATTTTGTAAGGACAGGACAGCCCCTTTCTTTTTTATTATCGAGTCTTGTTAACAAACACTTTCCTTTATTCACTCTTCATCACAGAATAGTAGCGAGTGGCAAAGCCAATCAGATTGCAGCATTTTTGATAGAGCGCTTTTCGATAAAGTGTAGGAAAACCAAAATCGAAGTAATTACAATGGCCAATCAGAAGAAAGGAATAAAACCTTTAGGAGCCAATGAGAACTCAACGTAGAAAGAACCAAACTGCCTAAAGCGCGGGAAAACGCGAGCGACTAAGTCATGGTTGGTTGTAGTATTGCATCTGATTGGTTGAGAGATTAATGCGAATTTCTGGACCAATTGCAGAGCGAATTAAAGCAAAAAAAAGCAACCCCAGATTACTTTCGACGCTCAATTTTGGAAATTTCTCCGGAACATTAATAGATTTATATACTAGATACCATTAGATGCAGGCCACACTAGATGGCCTTCATTTTTTTTTTCCGATGAGTGTCCAGTTATATAAGTGGTACTTACATCGACGGAAAACCCAAAAAAACAAACGAAGTGTAAAACCAAACACAGGCATGAATATCTTTTCAATGTTCGTATACTGTAAGTTCGAAATGAAAAACTCTCTGAAAAGATAAAAAAGGTTATCTTGGAATAATTCTTTGACAGAGTAGTATGAAGGCTCTCTCGGGGCTGAAATTTTCGTTTACTGTGGAACGTTTTACTTTGTACAAAACGAGGGATACATTCCGAAAAATCGCAGAGACTTATTAGCAAATTTGTTTTCATCGTCACTGGACCTTGCCCTCAAAAGAGCGTAATCCAATTATTACAAAGCTCGACACGAACCGTTATTCATGATTTCACCGGCTTCATGTGTATACTACCATTAATTTTGAGGGCTTTTGACTTAAATAGGGGACAGCCTCTTAATCTCATCAAAGAGGTACCGTTAGCTTGCGTAGCTGGCGGTTTTGTGGGAGATTTGTGTTGAACAGACCCGCAGAGTGGGCAGACCAATACACCTTTAAGTTTGCTGCATAACCTTAGTAGCACAATCGCAGGAAATCACGTTATTGTTTCGTTTGCTTTAAGAACAAAGACATGGAAATAATAGTAATTAATCATAGAAAGAAAACAGTGACGACACGAATGTGTGACTTAAGCCCGACTGTTTCATCGAACGAGCGTTAACGACGAATTTCGTTGTCAAAAAGAGACCGAACTCTTCAGCCTGTAAGATTTTAGAAGAGTGCTCTTGATTAAAGACGTTTTAATTCAGTGTAACGCAATGAACCAAAGGACTGTCATTGGAAAAAACTGCTTTTCTGGCTCCTCAACCGGTGGCGGTAATTTGAAACATAAAAATCCCTGTTGTAGTGTGACAATTCAGTGAATTACCTCATTGGTGCTCGCTCAAGTGAATCAAAGACATAAGGTCATTAATAAATTTAATTCGATTTTTTTGCGTTTATGGTAGTCAAAATATGACTTCTTGTTTTTGAATTTCATTGCCATTTTCACAGCCCACTGGTAAAAATTTGGGAATGAGGTTATTCGCAATTTTTGCAGCTCTGTTGTCTCTCCAGCTGTGTCTTATCTTGGCCAAAGGTCAGTACGTTGCTTAAACGGAAGCTTCACATTTTTGCTTGAACGATTATGCTTGAAGGCACAGACTGTTCAGGCTTCACCCAACGGTATCGAAAGCAGATGACTTGTTCTGGTTCAAAGAAAATTTAAGTGTATTCCTTCTTTAAAATTACCCGTATGTTTGTTTAAATCCATTTTAGCTGGTAATGTATTGGAAGTACCAACTGAACTTGCCAACTGTGATGGACCTAAATTTCTCGCCTGTTTGTCTTTCTATGCTTCACTGGATGCATCAACTTGACATAGAAGCGTTTAGTAACGCTTTGAAAAGGGTTTCATTCCATGATTGCCCTATGTTGTATCCCTGCTTAAGATCATTATCACGAAGGGCGCTTTCGTAACTATGTTTTTTCGTTAGGAATGAATCTGTTACTTTTCGTAAAAAACATGTATCATATTTCCACCTGTAGCAGACCTCCGGCTTCCTAAATGTGTCAAGATAGTTTCTATTAACACCCCTCTTGACGATCCAACAAGAGCGGCGGAGAATTATGGTGTGCGAGCTGACAAAAGGAGAGCAATGCTGACTGACAAACCAGGAATCTTTCGGATTCGTGAGGGGCTCACAGATGAGAAGGGAACAGTATCTTTGGAGGCACTGTTTCACCCCAGGTTTTACCTGCGCCACAAAAACTACCACTTCCATTTGGAGAAGGAGGTCAACAATTCAGTGTTCTGTAAGTGCAAATTGCGTTGTTGAACTGTTCATTCGGTATATTTGTAAATGGTAAGGCAAAACAACTGAAATAATTTTTACGACTGACATGTTAGCCTGTTTAATGCATTTGTTATCATTCGCGGCCAACATAACCCACCTGGAATGCCGACGAAGCTTTTAAATTGCAAGCACGCTAGTAAACATGTAATGATGAAAGATGTTAAGCGTCTCGTCACAAATGTACGACAAAGAACAAATGTGGCACAAATATTTTCATTGGGGCTCGATTCCTAAAGAGGAAGTGCTAGATTATTTTCTTTGACGAGGCAAATACCAGGTTTTTTTACTTCATGTCCGTGCTCAGAAGTTACCAACTTATCGATTTACCCATAAAGACATTTAGTTACGAATCCACGCATTTACAGTCTTCTCCTTAGAAAAAAATGACGGCTACATCGTCACTTGTTCTGAGGTTGGCGATAGATCAGAGATCAGCTTACCCTAACAACAGTATGACTTGTGATTAACATAACCTTAATGAGGTGTTTATGAAAACTTCATGATCGCAGCTGTTTTTTTCGTTTTCTAGAATAATGATTAGGTCGAAACAAAATTATTTTTCACATCCTTCTGTCGACCAAGTCAAACGAGTCATATTCAACTTGTCATCGTAATACTGTAACTGGGTTCTTTTACAGATTCTGCATTACGTCTTTGGCCGACGTGGGAATCAATAAATATTATTACATCCATTTTGAGATCACTGGTGATCCTTATAAACTGATTGGCTCTCATTAGTGCGATTTATTCATGAAAGGCATCATTTTTTGCTCTAAATCGCTTCTTTTTCCTGGCAAACGAGGAAGCTTTTAAAGAGATCAATCAAATTGCAGGTAAAAAGAAAACAGGTTTTGCAACTTTCTACAAATTAGCTCAATTGAATCAACAAAACATTGTTTTGCGATTTCAAAATGGAAGTAATAAAGTAGAGATTGAACTTCGTGTGTTACAATTTGCGATTTCAAATGAAACCTTGCCACGCACTGGTTTGATTTTGAAATCCAAATGATTTTAGACAAAATTTCACTACACCCAGTTCAATTACCATTATATAGCAGGAGAAAGTTATAGTTAGCAGGCGGCCAGAAGTTGCCCAAATAATCCATTCCTTGTACAACGGTGTTGTAACGAAACTACTGATATATTTTCACAGATAAGGATGCAACTTTCTTCATTTTGAAAGTCACAGAACACCCAACCCTTTATGCGTTTGAACTATACAGTCATCCCACGTGGTTCATGCGACATTTGAAACACAAGCCTTACACAATGGTTCTCAGGAAAGTTAATGAGTCGAGTAAAGACGTGTTGGACTCCACTTTCTTTCTTGCCCCTCATCGTTGTTTTCCAAAGCAGGGAAATGGTAATCATCAGTCTGTTTTCCTTTTTAGATAATTCTTATCTTTGAAATGATCGTCAACAACATTATCCACAGGCCATTACGCAGAGGATGAGGTATTCATTAAGTACAAAAACTAGAGATTTTATGTGTGCTTCACAAAGCGGACACTGTAATTTAATTCATGGACAGAGTTAATGTTTCATCACAGTCGATAAACAAATATCAGGAATCTTTTCAGCTGTCTTTAAGTCTCCTCGGTCAAAAGTATGTACATATTATTCATTTTCGCCATATACTTAGCAACGGGCTATAGAAACTGCAAAAGAGAATATATTACTTGCAAAATAGAGATGCGTTGGAAAATATTTAGAGTCGTAAATGATTCAAACTGTAATTTGACATAGATAGAATATTTACCTCATCGGAGTTTCATAATAATTTTTTTTTTAAGATGACCTTCGATCAACGGATAAATTGTCTTAAGCTTTTTTTTCTTTTAGAATACATGTCCCATCATATAGTTTCAATTATTCCTTTTCCTCTTCTCGTGACTATAAAATGAATTATTGTTAGATAGTTGATAAAGGTCATCTTTATGAATTCTAGATAGCAATGCTGAAAAAAAGACGGTTTTAGTTGGAGACGGGACATTCATAGGTGAGTTTTCTTGATCAGTTGTTATTCGCGGTTTGCTTTATTTAGGCTGATTTCTTTGAAATCTTTCTTAGCAAAAGATTTTGGCACACCAAACTTTGGAATACCTATTTCTACCTGAAATCTATTCATTTCTCCCTTTCTTTCCGACTGTTGTTAGACACTGCGGATGAAGATGCTGATATTGCGACTGCCAAAGCCAACGATTTAAACGCTGGTAAGAATTGAACGTTCCATTGTGAGAAATTCTTCCTTTTTTACAAGGGAATTTTTTTGTTAACTTTATATTTGTCGTCCTTCATGTTGCCACGTGCAGAGGATTTTGAGAAGGCGTATTTATCAAAGGAAAAAGGTAAGGAAAGCCATAACAGTTGTTTTACGTGTTAATCTTTCACAAGAATTGAGACCACTCGCTTTTTCCTGTCTGCGAAACTTTCATCAAATTAATGCGAGTCGTAGTCATTGCAAACAAAGAGTCGTGGTCTTGAGCTACCTTCGAGCATCCGCCATCTCTCCATGTGATGTTACGTTAATCTGCGAGAAATAATCATAAAAAAAAACCTCCGATAGAACTTAAACATGGCAATGATAGCTCTGATTGGCTGAGATGATATCAAACAAATCCTTTCTTGCTTTCTTTTCGAGCTCGGCCGAATAATTTAAGGATGTGAAAGCATCAATTTTTTACATGTAACAGAGTAGTGAGTCGTTCATACATCATCAGAGCAGGTAAATATCGGTAAAAATAAACTCAGCTTGGAGTAATGAGGATTGTTTTCCTCGATCCAGTAAAAAAAAAAAAAATTAACAGGTCATTGTCATTGGCTTTAGATAGTCAATTTTTATTTGCTTCAGACTGAATCAGATGACTGGCCAAAAAAAAATCGTTTACTCGTTTTGAAATTCAATTATAAATAACTGAGTGGTTTCGTAAAGTAGCTGTCCCATAATATACGGTGATTGTATACTATGTCACTTTTGCCATGTTTATCGAAAAATAAATATTCATGTTTCTCAATCTGATCATTTTTCCTTAAGATGAAAAAGACGACTCGATTGTAATACACACTGAAGGTAACTGTTAAAAGAACTTTAGATGTTTTTGGCACTTTGATACTTGCAAGGAGTTTTACAGTGTTTAAATACCGTTATTATGTAATTCACAGATGATAAGACGGATGATGGGGATGATAAAAAGCCTATTAAAATACACACAGAAGGTAGATAAATTATACCCATTCATTCTTTAATGGGCTTTTTATTGGATCTTGATTATGCCTATTGTTATAGTTCAGATTTCGAGCTTTTCATGAAATACTATCCATGATGAATTAAAATTCATATTAGAGCTCTTGTCTAACTGCTTCGTCTCCAAATGTCTGGTGGGTATATAATCTTCCGGCTTTGACAAATGAGTTACTTTCACGTTTTCTCATAGCAGATTCCTCCGAAGAAAGCCAGGAAGAAATTCTAAAGGAAATCGAGGACGGTACGTTAATTTCTCTCAAAATAATGATAAATAAACACTCACTCAAGAGAGCTCCTCCTTAACAGCTTCGCTCTAAAATTCGTCAAGGCAACCATTACAACTCTAGGATTTATTTGACGGAGCACAAAGCCCTAGGTCTTTTTCCCTCCTCGATGTACCCATGATGCCGCTGTAAATTTTGCAACTTCAGTCGTTTTTAAATTTGTACAAAATTTGAGACTTAGCTCTGGAGCAGAGCAGCCAACTTACCGATAAAGACCGCCGAAACGCAGTCTATAGACCCAATACGATACACATTTCCATAAATACTTCTCAATTTATTCTCAGCTTTTAGAACTGCCCAGAATACAAACAATTCTACGTACCTCGAGAAAATAGAGAAAGACATCGAGGAAAAAGTGAACACCATCGCGGAGAAAGCTTCAGATTATTTAAATAAGCCGTCAATTCACACTAGAAAGAAAAATAATGGCAAAACAAGTGCTGTTCACGATATTGAGATTCATACCGAGTCAGATAAACCGGACAACACGAAAAATATTGACCCTGAAAGCGATGTTGATCAACCAAGCCATGAACAGGACTCAATACACAACTCTTCAGAGGACAATAAAACGGAAAGAACACAAAGGGTAGAAGTCCTGGGTCCTGTGATTGATCTTACGAAGCCTATGGATCAGAACGATGAAACAGATATTGACAAGGAGATTGTAGTGACAGGACAACCCAAGTTGAACGGAAAACTTACAATAGACACAACATATCAGTATAGCCATCCTCCCAAGCTGAAGAACAGGGAAAAAGAGAGACACAAAGAGAAACTTGCCGGGTTTAGTATTGATGACGTTATTACCCCCAAAACCCGTTCAAACAGAACGTCTAAAAAGACTCCATTGCACCTGCATGTTGTGCGGAACAAGGCTTACAAGGATTTAACAGTGGCAAACAAAGCTCTGAACTCGAATATTGAGAAATTAAGGAATGTTCTGGAGGCAATTGAGGATGTTCCAAGCGATACCAAAGCAAGTGAAAAAGGAACTGTTATTGTAAAGAATATGCATCCAAATGAATTATACCATCAACAACATTTAAACAAAAATAAACGTCCAAGTCTGGCGCTTAGTGGAACTCCAGAGGTCCACCAGAACCCTCCTTACTTGCCTCAGACTCCATCGGACTTGAAGGTGCTCAAGTCGCAATCAACTGTACAGACAACTGTAACGGAGTTGCCGCACTCTCCGTTCACAACATCAGCTGCTGACGAAAAAGCGTCTACGCCGATTCAGAACTCGAGAGCAAAGGCTTCTCCCTTGAAGAACAACAGCGTAAACAAAACGCAGTTGGCAACGGTGGATGTTAATCCCCAGGGGGCAAATACTATCCCACCAACAAGCACCCCAGGATTACACGTGATCCAAGGCACTAGAGACCTACCCAGTGGTAAAGCTGGTAACAACTTGTCTTACGAGGTATTTGATCACCTGGCCAGTGAACTTGTTGATCATGATACCACAGGAAACCCAACTCCTGTCACCGCCGGCAAAGGCACAAGAAACACTGTGACTGACTGGATGAAAAATCTTAAGCCCCACAACGCTTCATTACAGGAGACGTTTAATGAGCTGAATCCCGTGGATTCTGCTAAGATATGTGAGTCTCATAAATTTTATTATGCATATAAGAGTCGTTTGAGCCTCGACGTTTTTATTTTTAATTTCATCCGATGATATGCTATTGTTCAGGAAGGGAAAGTGCAATTTAACTTAATCTTCGTGAATCTCCGGTTTTTTCCATTGGTAATACGTATGTTCCTTATTGTAATTACGTTTTGCACTAGTGGAAATAGCTCATGTGTTTCCAATTTGGATTACTCATCTTAAACTCATTTCCATAAAAAATCAAGGAAACTACACATAAACAGACATTTTCTTTCCCTAACACAGTAAATGCCCGATATATTTAATCAGGTGGTTATTAGAGTAACTGCTGTTGTCGCTATTCTCGTTACCTATCTCTCCCCCAACAAGTGAGAAGCAATCAGTAATGATACGCTACTGTCTTCTAATGCTAGTTGATTACATCACCTTTTGATTCCATCCAATATCGTGCCTAGCGAGAGTTTCTACGATAGTAGACAGGGATAGTACAACAGCCATGCTTTGATTATGATGGTAAAAACATACCCTTTGTTCATGAACAGTTTACCTTGACAAATGCGAGGACAAGTTCCCCAAAGCCTGTGAAGACTGGGCGGCCCAACGATATTGTTTGACTTTCAGCGAGCTGATGAAGAGATATTGTAGAAAGGCCTGCAAACTATGCAGTAAGTTATTATAAGTTATAAGAATCCTTTATGCCATAAAATGGATACAAGTAGAAGCTCAAAGTGTTCCAGGAACGAAACAGAGGGTGAGCGAAGACATGCGTTATTTTTGGTTGGAACGCAATATATTTATCATCCTCATGGGCCGATTTAAGTGAAAGTGGCGCAGTGATGTAAACAAGACAACACTGCGTTTGAAATTTCGCAGATGACCTAAATTTTTTTCTTATGACGGGACTATGTAAAAATTTAGTTAGCTACTGTGACTGTGAAGTGTAGGTCGCAGTTTGATGCTTGACTCTGGTGTTGACTTTGACCAAAGAGAACTGGACAATTTCACAGAACGCAAACATGTTCTTTGTTAACACATCTGTGAATAACCTACTGTGAATAGCCTACTGTGAATAACCTACTGTGAATAACCTACTGTGAATAACCTACTGTGAATAACCTATTGTGAATAACCTCCTGTGAATAACCTATTGTGAATAACCTCCTGTGAATAACCTACTGTGTTTACCTCATAAGGTGAACTTTGAGGAAAAATTCTCGTTATGTTATTTTCAGATCACGTGTTAGCAACGGGTTTCACAACCTGTGATAAAACATGCGGCGGAGGAATCAGACTGCGCATGATCAAAGTGAACAACCGACAAGTGTTGCAGCGAAGGTCGTGCAATGTGCAAAACTGTCCGGGTAAGGAAGCGGCCATTTTTTTACGTTTGTAGAAAAAACATTTGATCCAGCCCTTTACAGACAAAAAAAATCGTCTACAAGCGATAGAAAAATCTGCCGTTTTGCCAGAGCATTGCCTCACAAATTCGTTGAGAGATCAGTGCTAATCATTTCAGGTTTAAATTTAGGTCATAAGAGTCTGCTTGAACGCAAATTTATCACTTTAAATTATCGATCCCAGGCAACTATTTTTTTTCATCTTACAGTTAATGGAGGTTACACACCTTACTCAGACTGGTCCGAATGTAGCGTGACATGTGGTGAAGGAGTACGTTACAGACACAGGTCATGCACAAGTCCTAAACCTCAGTTCGGTGGACGTGACTGTAGTCATCTCGGAGCACCAGTTGACACTATGCCGTGTGTTAAGGGATGTAAAGGTAAGTAGTTCTGTACCAGTCTCTTTCAACTTAGCAATAATAATGTAGTTAAATCAACTCTAACGCAGTTGGATGACGTCAGGGAGGGGATGACACTTGAAAACTCATTTTACATTAACCAAACCTTTCTGTCCCACATGGCAGAAAGCTTTTGGACGTTTTCTGCAAAAGAATGCGCGAACTGAATGTACCCTTTTGGTTGACCAGTACTCCCCACCCCTCCGACCTTACAGTGTCAAACTGACTTGTCCTTGAAACTTAAGCTCAGCATTAGAGAGTATTTTGTGATAATTTCAAGTTATTAAGAGATTTAACTGAATGTGACTTCATAAACTGATCGGCTCTTGCAATTTCCAGACCACTACTTAGCAAAATAATAAATGCAATATAAATCAGTTAATGACCATATGCATTGAATGAAACTGTAATAGCTATGATTTTTATATTATTAAACAAAAGTGTTCATTTCTATATTGTTATACCTTCACTAGGATTTAAGCCAAGCAAATACCATTCCTCTCTAAATTCAGGTGCGTTACGTTTCACACACATCTTCATAAAAAAAAAAAATATTGAAGCTCAACGAAAACTTAACGTTAGACCAGCTTTCCCTTTTGTTATGAACAAGTACACCTATCACCTTTGAAAACGAGCTGTTAAAAGTTAAGACGAACGGGGTTTGATGTACTGATCGGCGCACGTAGTAAATTCATCTCACCCCAATTTACGTAACTAGAGTGTTGCTAATTTTAGGACAGTTTGCTCGACCAGAAAACCCCTCTTTTGATCGTTACCGAAATGCTTTAACGTTAACCTTTCTTGGAATTTCTCATTTAATAATTGTTTAAGATCTGACGTGCATCACTATTCAGTGAAAGACAACGTTACAATCCTCGCGCGTTATGCTTTTTACTAAAGGAAATCTTTATTCTTTTCTAGGACTCAAGAAAAGCAAACATCATACTGACCGTCTAAGTATGCTCTGATTCTTAAATCTTCTTGTTAATTTTCACAAACGCACTTGACAACATGCATGAACACTGTCAACAGGCCCTGAGGAGTTTCCTGAATACCACGCAGAAGAAGCAAATCCGAAGGCTTCAGACCCTGGTAGGTGATTGGTTTTGACTAAACTTTCCAAGTAATAAGCCTAACTGCTTCTGTTCATGTAGGCCTGATGGGACCAATTTCGTATTTTCGTGCACAACTAACTTCCGTAAATGAAGTGTCTCGCTTTAAATGCAGTAACCTTTAAACTTTCTCACACTTGAAGTTCATTTAAGGGAAAAACGATCGTACCATATTAAGGCAGTTAACTAAAGAGCGAGTGTAATCACACAATGGCAATATTTTGACATTTTTGGGAACATAGAGTATGGAAGATTAAGGACAAAGAAAAAACTGTTAACCTAGCCTGTTGCTGTTGGGAAATTAGTTTTACTCATTGCAAATAGACTTCCTCTATATGTTAGACAAAGGAACGTCTACGAGTGTCATAAAATAATTTTCAGTTTTCACCATTTCGGTAACAAAAGGCAAACGAACGTTAAGCTATGAGCGCATGTTAATTAAAGAATATGTATACTGTACACCTCGTGCATGCAACACCAAGTGGGCGAAAAAGAGGCCGACTTGGAAAACGAAGGGGACGAAGAGGAAGACTCTGCAAGTACAAACGAACCTTCCAATAACCAAGGTAACAAGTTCTCTCAGATAAAATTTTATCTCGTAAATTTGAAATGCGTGAAGAGATAGGACGACTTAGATCACCAATTCATCGTATATAGTCATGGAGTGAGAGAAATTTGTAGCGGCTACAGAGGCCTACACTGATGAATAAACAAAAGAAGGCCCTTTTTTAGGAGTCCTCCCCTTGTATAAGCCTTTAAGGAGGTATTTGTAAATTCCTTAATTTCTTGAAATTTTTACTTCTTTCGGCCTTCGTCATAGGCTGTAGGCCATACATTTGAAGATCCAATGTCAGTAGAGTATAATACCTTAAATCAAGTTATATTTATCTGGGCTTACGATCATCGGAAAAAGTTATTACGCGACGGGTTGTTATGGAATAATGCAAAGTGATATTTCGCCATGTAAAGGAAGCCCTGTCAAGCCTTTTTCTGCTTTTTTGTCCGAAATTGAAATCATTTTATACTTCAAGCATATTTACTCACTAGTTTTTCAAAGCTTGTGAATTAGTTATGACAATTTTTCATGGCAGATTACGGTCATGAGTTTGAATGGCCCAACAAGCACCACCGTCACAAACCAGTTGTCCTAAAACAGGTGCACAAAAACGTCTACAAACACCGAGATGACTATGGTAACAATCATTATCTAAACGTCGGTAAGTTGTAACACAAATGCTAGCTAAATACAATTTTACTGCCGTGCCGGTATTCTACGATTTTCTCTATAGCGGATACATTTGGTTTGATTTAAAGACAATTTCTTATAGGCACAACCGGACAAAATTAGATTTCTCTGATCCGGTCTTCTTTCTGTCACCAACACTGCACCAATCATTAGCACCGCCATGGTAATCATCTATCCACGGCATCTTTCTGGGAGAAAATCCAAGTTACAAAAGGTTAAAATAGAATAAACGTTCACTGAATCTCTGGTTCTTCCATCTCTGAGAAAGCAACGTTTTTCTCGGTCGAATGTAAACAAACAACATAAGTAGGCGAAAGTGTCTGCGTCAGTTTCTGATGTCAAGGTTAGAGTCTTGTGATGTGATCGGCTGATAAAGGAAAATCACACGCGCCACGCATGAATACAAAATGAAGTGCAAAGGGGAAGAGGAAGAGAAAAGTTGTTATTTATAACATAGCTAGTAAATTTGTGTAATCAATTCAATTGCGCGAGCGTGCTTCATATTCCTATTGTGCACGCTCATGACGTCAGCAAACAAATCCCTCGAGAAAAAACAAATTTTCTATCGGGTTGAAAATGTTATAAAACAATTGGTTCATACGTCAGCTGTGCGTTCATCGAGATATGAAGCACTTGGGAAGTTTGGAGAGCACTCAAGAAGCTAGAGGCTACGCCTCGAGCAACTCTTACGCATCTTTCGTGCTCTCCAAACTTCCCGCGTGCTTCATATCTCGATGAACGCACACTGACGTATGAATCAATTGTTAAATGAAGTGCAAAAGGGAAGAGGAAGAGAAAAATTGTTATTTGAAATATAAAACCTAAAAAAACTTAACAATGACGATGACGATAACATAATCGGCACCATGACAATGATAACGACAACGATACCAATTTAATGATTGTCAATGTCAGTGTTCCTGTAGCAAAAATTCATCGCCCTCCTTGTAACAAACAAAATTTCACCTAAAGGGAAGTAAGATAACGATTTCACGGTTATCAGACTTCCTGTTTGTAAAAAATTCATTCTCGAAAAAAGAGGCTAAAGTTCAAACTCCGTAGAAAATATGTATTAAACTTGTAAAGGAACATCAGCATTTAGCCAAAACAAAAATTCCGAAACTTTTTAAAATTCCAAACAAAGTGTAACAAACTTGCGCGAACGAAAGCTCAAAACAAAGAAAAATTACGCTTTGCAATGTCAAGGTCAGAGTTCTTTGACGTGATTGGCTAATTTGTGTATTCACGCGTAGCTCGCGTAAATACGAAGAAAATACAAAGAGGGACGGGAAAAGATAAATTTAAAAACGAAAGAGAATTTGTACTATGTTTTTTTTTTTTTAAGATGAGGAGCAGAGTCCATATGATCAACTTCAAACTCACGTGGTGCGATACCAAGGCCGCCAAGGTCAGAAGCTTCAGACGCTACCCCTCTCTCTATAAAAGATGTTTTTTAATGCAAACTTGCCCACAGCCATTAGTCTCGTTTGTACCATAATATTATTTATAAAGTAATATGGCTGGACGGACTTTAACAGTCAGCTGCAGAACCATCTAGCAGGCCAATACAATGCCTATACAAGGCCAATTTAGTTTGGCCTTGACTTCATAGCCGACGGTACTCTTCGTCATTTAGTGCAATAAGTCAATTGAAGTCCATTCTTAAGATAAACATTACGTACCGATTTTGCAGAGTCAAGAAGACTGATAATTTCAGCTCAGTGACATCTTTTAGACTACTAGAAATACCTCTTACCAACCTTTGATGTTCTTTCAGTGGCAAAAATGCAGTGCAGTCCCTCAAGGCTGCTTAATTTCCAAAAACATCCTTCTAATAGTCCCATGGCGTTTAAAAGATCTAATCCGTACAAGCTCTTTGACGCTGGTGGGATTGTTTATGATAAAGATGGTGTACCCAGTGACACTACCACGAATGTCGTTCAAGCTTTTGACTCGTAAGTTATTTCAACTGATTTAATTATGCGAGTGATTAAACTTGTTCTTCTTAGTTATGGGAAATCGAGCTCTCCCCAACCAAAGGGGATGCCAACAGGGATTCCTCCCAAGTGATATTTGTATCTTAGGAATTAGCCCTTACATCTCTTAAAACTATTCAATTTTTGCAATCAAGTGATAAAATTAGTTGAGACAAGACATCCATGTATCCACTTAAGATCAAGTATTGACTGGATGAAATTTAAATTGAAATGCAGATCATACAACACCCCATTCCCCCACTGTACAATCACGAAAAACAAAGTAAAGCATTGCACAGGGGAATTAGCAAATTATTAGGGATAATTCATTCGCTATTCTAGCATATTTATTGTGATTTTAATGATAATGTCTGAAAAATTGTGTCGCCGATTGAAGCATCGTTATTATGGACTAGACATGAATGTGATCAGTTTGTAACTGATGTTTAACAGGGATTTAGGGCATGGAAAAAACATACTGAAAAGGCAATCTTTTGTCAAATAGTTATGGTCGTGAATTGAATAAATTTTTTTTTATAGATGACTGGAAATGGAAGGTTTGCTCAAATTTTGTGGATTGTGTAGCACTAGTAAAAAATCTAAAATCGTTTCCTTTCCTTCGTAGACCTTACAAAATAATTCTTCAAAAAGGCAAAAACAACCAAATGAAAGTGTTAGAGCAGTGCATTGAGTCAGGTAGGCCAGATGTTATCTATTTTCAGGCAGCAAGAAGTTAAAAATAACTTCAGAATTTTTGATAGCATTCTTAGGTTTGGAGACGAACACAAGATAAAGAACGAAACCAACAAATATACGAATGACTTCAACGTTAAGTAATATCTTGAGTCTCCAGTATAAAACGAGACACCTGATAGGATTCATTTATTTGTTTTTTCATGTGATTTTGTAGTTTCACAGTCTATTCGCAGTTTCCGGGGCTATCCGCCTCAATTTTCATCCGAGAAGCTGTGTGTGCTTGTTCCTCTGTTTTGCCTGAGCTCATTTGTATGAATGTTCAATTCTGGTCGGCTGATATTTTCAAAGTGAAAGCTTTCAACTATAAGCGAAATTCACACGATGCATTGTTAATAAGTTCTTGATATAGCACGTTGTTCCTTTTTTACAGATGCCTCTGTGAACCCTGAGGCGGATTTAAAGCTTGGTGAGCAGGGTCTTGGTAAGAAAGGCAATGAATTCCTTTTTGTGCTTCGTGTGATTTCATTGAAGATGTTATAGAAGCCTCACAGAAAATAGCCTTGCGAATTATGTTACCTCATCATCTGTCATTATTATTATTATTATTATTATCATTATTATTATACTGAATCAGAATGTATTTCCTAATAGCCATGGCAAGTGAACAGCGGTCACTCCCGACAACTTCCGCTTCTACACCAGCAGCGAATAGTCTGGCATCCAATCGCTTCGCAGAGAATGGTTAGTGGGACAGTCAACACAAGATTAGACTCCTTCCAAAAGATCCTCATAGACGCACGTGATCATCACACAAGAAGAGCATTATAGAATCGATCCAGAATAATCAGAAACTCACGTCACTTTCTCAATTAATCAGGTTCCACATTATAACTAACCACGACTTAGTCACTCGCGTTTTCACATGCTCCAGGCAGCTTGCTTGTTTTTCCTGTAAGTTCTCGGCTCCTTTGTGTTGAGTAAGGTGCCGTTGAAAACGCAATGGAAAACTGGTAAATGACCAGCAGCGAGAGACAACGTGATTGATTATGCGGATATTGGTTTGAATTTTGCCTCTGATTGGTCAAGAAGAGAGCATAAGTTTTCTAAACCAATTCAATGAGGTAAAATTGATGCTATGTGGATTAAATCCGACACTAACAGTATTGTTGCAAGAACAACCTTTCTCAAAAAGTTTCTGCTGCCGCTAATTTTCCACACTCATCACGACTCACAATTGTTTGGCGTATTCTATAATTTGTTTGTTTGTTTTTTTGTAAATCAAATTCAAGGTCTATATGAGTACAAGTACCAAGACATAGGAGAAGGTGTCGATGAGAACAGAATAGGTGAGCTAAATCGAAAAAATATTATCTTGCAATGAACTTTTTTAAACAAGTTCACTGTTTATCCCTTAAGAAATTTCGTGAATAATTTGCTTTTTATGAAGGACTGACTAAGTTGCAATCCTATTTTTAATCTACTTTATCATGCACTATTACACATTACTCTGTTAACGATTAATTAGATAATGACGTCAGTGATCAGCTGACCAGGGCAATCAAGAACGAGGAGGCAGAAATCAGTCAGAAATCTTTAAGGAGTCAAGGTACTAATTTGGAGCTAATTGCAATGTAACATATATATGCGCATGCATTTATATAGTATTGTGTCCGACTACGTTCTAACGAATAACTAATAAGATGGCGTCTTGACGGAGAGTGATTCTCCTTAAAAGGCAATATTCTAAAGGGAAGCTCTCTGAAGTTATTTTTCCATCACTCCCGATTTCAGTCAACCCAGAAATATTCAGAGATAACCAATTTATTGTTGCAAATGACGGGCTCACTTTAAACTTTTCCAATAATAACAATACAACAATATAACAACGTTTTGAGATACTAACAAAACTGAAGATAGGATTATTAGCTTTCTTGACTTTTTGGTCAAGTTACAAAGCCATGTATCCTCACAAGTCATATTGACTCAACAGGCACATGATTCATGATTTCCTTGAACCGGGAAATAAGGCGAGAACCTCGTGTCGTACAGTTTACTATTTGAGTCCCTGCTGTATTAAGCTATTTATTTTACAGATCCTAAGCCCACCCTTAAAGAGGAACTGTTTGCTGAGAAAGAGGAAGCCTGGAGAGAGAAGAAATACGAAGATTCCCTTGCCAGACGGGCTAAGGTGATGTCTTAATGAGAACATAACGTGGCTATGGTAAGAAACTTTCCAGTGTGATTTGATGTGCACTCGCGTGGTGTTAACTGTATGTCTTATTTTCAGGAGGTTAATTGAGATCACAGCAGGGATCCTCAGCTTACACATTTGACGAAGATTTCCTGCAACATAGACGGTTGGAGCTCTACTGACCCTCATTTATGGAGTCAACCTATGTAATTTTAAATACTAGAGAAGAATTTCTATAAGCAGAAAAATTACACGCTCATTTAAGTTAAATTTACAAATTTGATTTCTCCTGAATGATTCTAAACACGTTGAGTAGATAACATAATCATATTTCCTGATTGTTTCTTTAAAATGGCGGGAGGCATGTCACCCGAAAGAAACAATTGAAATGTTTCTGCAGTCGCCATAATATTAGATAGGACGTTGCGTGGACGACTGAAATTAGTCAGTTGATGAATGGGAACCGCTAACATGCACTGATTAATGAGAAAAAACAGTACCCACCCTTTGTAAATTCAATTTAAGTGGAAATAGGTCTCAAAACACTTTCGAGTCAACTTTCACGCATAGTGTCCAGACTCAGAGAAAAAAAATAAGAAGCATAGTCTCCTAATTAATGTGAAATAAGAATATGAAGAGAAAAACAAATACAATTTATTTACGAAAGTGTCTCTACTCATACAAAATACTAAAAATAACTGTAGAGGGAAATAAGAGAATTTACTTAAGGATTGATAACTAGTTTATAATAAATAAACTATTCATATGACCGATAACAAGATATAGTTAATTTTCCGGAACATTAAAACAGTATTGTCTACGTAGGTGTACCATTGTTTCTAGATAAATGCACTCATTAACATTGTTCATCAGTAAAATTATTTTCAAGTGCAAGGATATAATAAAATTTTCATTTGTTCATCTCTTCATCGAACCTGTTTGATCAGGAAGTGGAGCAAATCTTTTATAGAGACATTCAAGTTGAGTTTGCTCTTATCCATTACCAACTGGCTTTTAAGTCACATCCTAATATTCAGTTCACTAGCTGGGGAACCGCTTTTGGCGTAGTGGGTGTTGGAGAGGAGGGGAGTGAAGGTAAAACAACAATGCTATAATTTGGTTTTATGAACCAAAATTTCTGGTTTCAATTTGGACTAGACAGCTACAGCACAACTGTATACAATTCAATGGTTCGGCCTTTTTTATCGCCTTCTGAACATGAAAATTGCCCTGGGAACAAAGTACGGAAAAAAAGGCCCTAACGAGTAAAGAGGAACCAAGCAAATCTTTGAAGTTGTTATCAAACCCACGAGCTTCATCTAATATTCCCTCGGACTTGGAACCAGTAATGTCCTTCTCTTTTGTGTTTTTAGGTAATTTGCTTTGTTTGGGGGATTTAAGGGCTCCCCGTTTCACCGTAAGGGGTCACCTCAGGTGCAGCTCTGTGCCGCTTTACCGACGATCCACTCCTTGCCATGTTCCTAAAGGAAACGTGCACTCTTGTAGCGTATGGCGTGTTCCAGCCTTCAGAACACGTTCAATCCTTACTGTTGATGGGGAAGGAAAGTTTGTTTCGTGTTGCGTGACGAGACCAAAATTAATAACGGCTGCTGAAGATGCTCTGTCGCTAACCAAAGACGTTTTTGGTTGTTCAAATAAACAAGCAAAAAATAAAACTGAGACAAAAAAAAAAATTGGAAACAATCTCCAAAACTTTTTCCCGTTGAAAAAAGCATGCGTGGACAAACCTGCTAAAGCTCATTTTATATTATATTTGATTAAAAAAGAAATTTTAGAACCGTAGCCACAAATTATATTTCAGTAGCACTGGATGATTTCCAGAGAACAAGAAAGTTTGACTAATGAGCTAGTAAGTGTTTAGAGAAACTGTTGTGCTTTAGAAAACTGGCGAGAAATTTGGTGGTTGCCAATTGGAAGTTGTTAAACAGTGATAAGTAGATCTCAGAAACAAATTTTGAAATGCTGACCTCTTAGTTGGAACAAATTTCCTCCGACGAGGTGCTCTCCTTCATGAAGAAACTTAGCGGAAATTCCTTTTAAGAGGGTATATCAAAATTACTGAAAATGTGAAGGAAGAATGTTGAAACCCTTCCTGATATTTCTCACCATGTCAGGAGATTGCTCTGCCTTCCTAGAAAGATTTCCCAGGCTCTCACATTTTGAACCAATCTCTTGTCTTCATGCTTTTAACACTGTTCAAAACATATATGTTTGCTTATTTGTCGATAAATGACTTAACCTTTGTAAACAAACGTTGTTTCATCTCGCTGGTGGTAATCTTAAACCATTCTCTTCGATTTCTTTTGGTTTTATTACAGGTTTCTTTTTTTCACTCATTAAGTATCAGAATTGTGATTTCCCTTACTCTTGACGTTATGATCGGCTGGGTTCAGTCGTAAAAGTTCACTATGGTTCGTTTAAACAGCAATTCTTTTGTATGGCTTATTGCAATAGTGATTCCACTTTATGGTGCCGACCTAGGTAAGTGCTAGTAATTCTTAACATAAACATAATGTAGCCTTGAACTTTTTCACAGTTTTCCGTAAAAAAAGGCTCTAGAAGGTTGTTTCAATGAATGGTAATAACATGTAGGTCTGATATTTCGGCTTTCCAAACTTTCAACTTTGCTTTGATAGATTAAGTGCAAGATTAAGAGCTAAAATCTAGATACAGCTCCTGCAGTATCGTTAAACTAGTCTGTAGTTTTGAAATATCAAGGAGGGGATGTCATAGCAACTTTTTTCCAGGTAATAAAACCTTTAGGTATTCATTACTCTTATCTAAGGAAGGAATAAAAGTTTTTAGTGTACAGTTACGTTTGCTCTGAAAATAGAACGTTTCATGGAATATGACTCTTACTTGGTTAAAAACACAAATCAGACTGATTTTCTGAAATTTTTTTTCCTCCTATTGAAATTTTGGAACACAGCTAAGTTTCTTGCTCAAGTTTTATACCACATGTCTTAAACGGAAAAATATTTCTGTTGATTGAAAGAAAAAAAATTAATCAGCCGGTAGCGGGTTATGTTAGCACCTTGTTAGCTGGTGTGAATCACTCACGGATGAGAGTCTATCCTTAGGGAGTAAGGGAGTAATCCTCTCTTTTTTGTACAAAGCTTGTCAGGCTGATGAAGGTAATGCCTTTAAATAAGCTCCTCTCTACGTGATGATAACTGCAGGCCAGATGTCGATATATCGGAAGAAATGATAACGAAAAATGTAGCAAAACTGGCTGTTAAACTACAGTTAAAAGTTTTAGGTCATCAGAAATAGTGTTAATACAAAAAATTATGACCTACTCTTCTCTTTTGAAACTCGTCTGCCATAACAAGACAAGAAATATAAGGATCATCGAGACGGAAAGGAAACTCTGAAACCAAACAACAGTTTACGAACCCTCAACTTATTTTTTTTATTTTGTCAGTAAGACGACAACATTTCAATCTGAAACAAATCAATTTTTTAAAATCTGAAAGTTACGATCCTGGCCCTCCTCACACCTCAAATAACATTATCGACATAAAATCCCAAACTGAAAATCAGTTAATGAAAACACAAAAACAAAAGTTGCTCAAAACTACTTCCGCAGTTCTTGCAACTTTTTGTGTTGCGTGAAAGATGCTTATGCTTTCCTTTTCTCTGAAAAAGTTTTTCTTCTAGATCAGTCAAGTAAAATCACTGTTAAGCTAGATAAGATTTAGAACTATGTTATAAACGTTGTGAGATTCCTAAATGTATGTCTTTTCTGCTTGAAGACCCAAATGCGGCGGTTAAGTCACATTCTCGGACGAAACGATCTTTTGGAAATCCTGGTCCTCCATGCAACAGTAAGTAGTTGGCGATAAAAAGCTTTGCTCGGGCTCAAAATGCTCATTTCAGTGTTTCTTGATGTCAACATTTAGCAGTTAATTTTTCTAGGAGGTTAAGGAGACACTTGAATTCTAATTAGTGCGCCCTTTCATTTGTTGGAGATCGGACGGAAAGAACAGTAACGTCAATTTTATCAATATCTATTTAAAAGTTAATGTTCTTTTTCTCATTTCAGTGGAACATGGGGTGTACCTGGAAAAATGGGACAGGATTGATTACAACCGTATTAAATTCTTGCTGACCGATCCTCGTTTTCCAGACCTACCATCTTACTCAACTTGTGTGCCCTCATTCGAACAGCCTTCTAACTGGGGAGACTTCTTTGGTTCTCGTTTAAGAACTTACTTCGTCCCAATTCAGACCGGAAATCATTATTTTTTCATATGTAAGGGTTACTTTTTATGAACAGTACAACAAGAGGTATATCCTGATTAATCGGTTGAAAGATCTTAGCCAAACTAAGTTGGATGACGGGAACTAAAATGTCTCACGCATGTGACAAACGGTCAACATAATTTTTTTAATAATAATTTACAAAATTGCCTATACACGTCTGAGCTGATTTAAACTCAAACGGAACACAGGTCTGAAATATCAAACATTCCGATTAAAGAAGTCGGTCATGGTAAAAGAGAATTTTGAGAGCGAATAGACTCGTCACTGCTATTGAAATGAAGCGTGTTGTGGAGTGTGTAGGATGCCATATTCGATGTTATTCATGGCACGCTGATATAACTATAATAACCAGATGAAACTTAAGAGTATTCTCCAGAAACTGTTGAGACATGTTTCCTCATCTTTACTACAATTTCCTCGTGCTTATTATGATGATCACTTTGCCTATATGAGTATTTAAATCCAAAAGCTCAATAAATCTCTAACATTTTTCCTGGATCGCGTTTTATCCAAATGTATTCGAATAGTTTTATCACTAATTCGCGCAAATGTTTTGCTGTTACTCATCTCTTTAGCATCTAATGGTGGAAGTGAACTGTTCATCAGTACAAATAACCTCGAGACGAATAAAGCAATGATCTGCGAAGTTGACGGAGGCTTTCCTACAGAGAAATACGAATACGACAGGTAGTTGTAAAGTAATCAATGTCTACTTTACATTTAGTCAGAGGCAAACATGACCGACTTATCACTCAACTAAAAAGTTTTCAATGTTTCTTATTTAGTTCAACGAGTCACAAAATTTTGTTTTGCCATCGTATTCCAAAGGTTCACCAACCAAAAGTCGAATGCCGTATACTTAAAGAAAGGACGTTATTATTACATGGAGGCCATAATGAAAGATGACCATCAGATTGATCATTTGGAAGTTGGTTTGCAAACTCCTGACAAGACTATTTACACCGTTATTCCATCCAAGTTCCTTTGGACAACGCAACGTTACGTAGGTAAGAGATATTCTACCTTATATCCCGAAAGACTAATAAGTTCAAATAAGGGATAAATTAAAGGCGTAAAATAAGAAGCGGTACAAAAAAAAGTTATTGTCAGTTTAGACTAAAGTCCAACATTGTTATACTTTGACACCAATGGCTACTACTACTAGTAGTTGTAAATTTAGAGTATTTTCCAATCATAAATTAGAATTACAAGATGTTACGATCAACAACAACTCACCGCGTTGGCCGCCATATTGAACAACTTCAACGTTAATAATTTATGCCACAAAACTAAGTCTGAGTTTGTCTAAGCATCACAGTTCTCAAGAAAAGCAAAGCTGAAAAATATGTAATATGAAAAATATACTTTTAGACAGTATATGACTTACGTTTTGTTTGTTAACAGTGCACAATATGACACAGCAGTCGCTTTTATTAAAAACTGCGGCAGGAGCTGGTGCAAAAGCAGGTCTTTCATTTGGAAAAAAATTAGCGATGGCAAGTGGCAAAAAGGCAGGAGAAGAGGCTGGCACCCTGGCTGGAATGCAGGCGGGAGCATCAGCTGGTGCTAAAGCAGGCGAAAAGGCTGCTATTGAAACAATGACAGAAGCACTGGAAGAAGCTTTAAATTCCTTTCACGGCGACAACCTGCACAAATTTAAAATCAATGTTAAGGATGGAAGGGTGGTTTCTGTAACCGGTCCCGGAATAGGGGAAGTTACAGTCAAAAGGAAAGAGAAAGGAATGATAGGAGGTAAAGTAGGAGAGGGGGGAGGTGGAAAGGAAGGAAGTGTTGGAGAAATGAGGGGAGGCGTTCGTGAGGCTGCGGGTAGAGGTAAGAGCGGTGGAGCAGAGGCAGGTGGAAACGGTGGAGGAAGGGAAGAAGGAGGCAAAGGAGGAAGAGGGGGAGAAGCAACAAAGAAGGTAACAACAGGAGAAGAAGCAGGAAGCATAGGTAGTGAAAGGGCAGAGGGTGGATGGGGAAGTGGAGGAACCGGATGGGAAGGCGCAGAAGGCCTGTCCGTCACAAGTAATGCGGGAAAACAATCAGCTTTTAGTTCAAACAGCAGTGCTATTGCTAGAGGGGGGATCAATGCCGCTGCTGGAAAGAGCGCAGGAAGACAAGAGAAGACAAAAACTAACTATACTCCTTACCGAGATGTGACGTATATTCCAAAAGTAGGAGAGCTCCCTCAGGAAATGGCCGGATCACTTGTCTGGAGAGTTGGAGCTGCTTCCAAAAGTGAGTTTTTCTCGGTCAGTTTCAATCTTCAAAAAGCTTATCTCTTTGCAATTGTTTTGACAGTTTAGTCATCACTAACATAAGTCCCCTCATTCATCCTATCTCAGTTGTGGATAAGGCTATGTACACGATTCACTCATGGCACGTACCGTTCTCTCAGGAGAACTTCACCTTGAACTATTGTTGGAAATCAACAGATGGCCAGTTGTTCATAAAACCCGATTGTCAGGTATTCATCGCACATGTCCCCGCTTTGTACCAAAAAACTAACGAAGACCGAGACAGTGTCTCTTTTGAATCTGCTTGCTTTCCTGGTTATTTCCTGAGGCAAAAGAACTACCACTTTCTGATACAGAAGAGGGATGGATCAGAACTTTTTGGTAAGAAGAGGGTCACTTTTTTTAAGAAAAATATTCTAACTTGGATAGATTAGCAAAATGTAGGAGTGAAAAAAATTTCATCTAGAAATTTGAAGTGCACTTGAAACAAATAATTGGAATTAGCTGTCATAAAATTTCATAAAAATAAACCAGGTAATATCCAAATTACTAATGAGTTTTATTTAGAAAGAATAACTGATCTTTATCTAAACTAGAATGATAACCATGTTTTTGTAGAAAAATTTTGAAAAGTGCATGGGCATTTCTCAAAATTAGCCCCAGGAATTCTGTCTGAAAAGAAGCTCACATGATTCTCAGCGCGAATATATCTAGTTTGTTTTCATCCTATATCAGCCTGCTCCTGGAATTCTTTTTATCACTCATTTTAAATGTTTGTTTTCAGAAAAAGACAGTTCATTCTATGCTTATTCAGTTATGAAGCATACAAGAAATATTTTGTTCAACTCGATGCACAATGACTGGTACATCTGCGAAAGTATTCCTGTTGGAAAAACGGAGACGAGACTTAGAATCGAACTCATCCTGGACTTTTACAATGGAGATCCGGACGTTCTTGATCGCTGTACCTTTTTACTTCATCCTATTCCTCAATCAGAGAGCAAGTTTAAAAACTGTAAAGGCATGATTGGCCCAGATCCACGGCGCATGATTAACGGCCAACCACTTCCTAGCGCTCCTCCTCTGATAACGCTTCCAGAGGCAGCTTCACAGATCATTGGTGTCAATAATAAACCGTTAGTCACAACACCAGGGGTACCACCTGGAAATACCAATGCATCAGCAATAAATACCGCGAAATCTGCTAGTGGCGGAATTGCTCCGAAGCCAACTATCTCAACAAAAACCAGTAAGTGTCCTTATAATTTTTTTGATAACTAGGAAACTTAGCGCGTATTGACGCGGGCGAGATTTTAGCCAACGATTGATAGTCTGGGAAAATAATTTTCATAAACTTTTAAAGTGACCATTTTTTCTTCAAGCCAAGTGTCTAAAACAAATGAAATATAACAGAGCGTTTCGATAGTAGGGAGAGCATAAACGTAGTCTCTTTTCCCGTTTTCAGGAAAATGGTGCGTCGCATTACACCTCATTAACAACTTAGGATCTTCATTCATACTTCACTCATCTCTTAAACATGAAGGGTATCTTATCAGTGGACGTGGTTTTAACCTTAAGCTTCTCACGGACCGGCCCGAACTACATAGTCATGTTATCTTCAGTGCCGAGGATCCAACCAGAAATAAACTTCTTCTGAACGGCGGCCTCACTCTTTCAGAGCCAATGGTACCAGGCTGCCCCGTATTTTGGGACGTGTACGTTACATCCGCGCAAGGTGTAAACTTGAAAGGTAAGCCGTAAATGAAAGATAACAGAGGATGAATCCATATGTTAATATACCGAATGGTGATCTCTTTTGTACTGGCATCTTGTCGGTTTGAATGGCATTAAATTCCTAAGCTGTCTTACTTTCTACTTTCTATTACGTGAAATCGAGATCTTACTCCTGTTCAAACCAAATGACCTGTGGTTATTTATGTGATCTATTACGGTAGAGCCTTTTCTTTAACTAACGGTAATAACAAACTTTCCGATAACAACTTGGCAGGTGAATTAGTGGAAAAGAGGAGTTCTTTAATGTAATTATAATAACTTTCACTACAACTTACGGTCTGTGTTCAGGTATACTTTTTGTTTAACAGGAGCCATTTCCTCGAGTACTTCATTTCCTTCATCTTCTTCCACATTGTCAATGAATATTCCAGCTCCAATCAATCTGTCTCCTGTTCGTCCCAAAGTGTGGTCATCAACTATTCCTGGCACCTCGTTCTTGCCTAGAATTTCTTCAGCCTCTCAGATTTCCGGATTGATTTCAAACTCCCAAACAACCGATAACCAGACTCAACTTCCGATGAAGACCTCACCACCGACTTCTTCTCCTGGAGAGACTTTAACCCCTGCTTCGTCCAAATCTAGTAAGTTTCCCTCAAAAGGGCAAACAAATGTTTTGTACAGAGCTTATTAGGACCATATTTTTTGAACCAAACACCCTGTAGCTCTCTCAAAAACATACTGTGAATCAAACAACAAGAAAGAACCTGATATCTGAGGGTTTTTATTTCCAAATGTCTTCTATATATTTTTCTTTTTCAGGCTTGTCGAGTGCTTCTTCAGCTTCCTCCTCCATGCCGCCGCTCAAATTTCCGGCCCCAATTGATGTCTCTTCCGATCACCCCAAAAAAGAAACTCGATTTGTTCCCTATAGGTCACGTGGCAATCCTCCCCCAATTTTTAGTTCCTCTCATAATTATTCAGCTGCAACCAATTTTTCACCCACCCTGTTGAATCCAAAGGTCTCACCGTGTCCAAATCAATTTGGAAGATGTGATATTCCTCTTACGTCGTTATCAGGTAAGTCCACTGAAATGATGGGCAGAAAACCAGTTATGGCACTCTTCGTATGTCGTAGATACCCATGTGCTTGTTGAAAGGTCAGGATAAAAATTCAGATCAAGAACCGAACGAAGGTAACAGCGCACAAACACCTGGTTTAGCATTCCTTCGTCTTTGAACATCATAAAGATTTTTCCTTTATATAATCCTGCTGTTTTTTAGGATCAGGTGGCTCCACTCCACCGGTCACAGACGCAGCCCCAATTAAAATCCCTCCTGCGTCCAAAACATCGTTATCTGCTAAAGTTACTAACTTTCCTGGTAATACCTCACCCCAAACAACATCTTATCCTCCTTGGGAATCTGGAGTCATCTCAAAATCTGTAAATACCACTGATGAGGTTGTAAATCCAAAGAAGACGTCACCCTCTACTTCATTTCCTTCCAAGAGTTCAGCCGCCGTTTTGTCCATGCCTACTGCGCCGTCCTCGGAAAAGGGTAAAAAAGAACCGTTTTGTATATCGTAGAGACTCATTAACAATTCAGGTAAATTTTCACAACTCGAGTTGAATGAGCTCCTGTCTCCATTGTAAAATGTGCGAGCAAAAACCATATGATAGCAACTGTGAAGTTAGTTCAAAAGTTATCCGTTTTGCAGGATCGCCAGGTCTTTGGATTCCGCTCTGTCTGTTTCCTCCATCAGCACCCATGAATGTCTCTCCTGCTGTCGCTAACCTAAAGTTGCCATCAACCCCCTCTCCGCCTTTCCATAATACTTTAACCTCTACATATATTTCCTCTTTTAACTCCTGCAGGTGTCATAAATTCTACTGCAGCCGAAAATGTTCAGAATCTAAAGAAGATCACGCCACCTACCTCGTTTCCTTCAAACAGTTCAGCCTCTTTGACGCCTGAACCTGGTGCGTTGTTATCAGAAAAGACTAAAGTATGATTGTTTTACATGTCATGAAGACTGTTACTTTACCCTTCGCGTGAATTATTTTTCCTTAATTTAACTAGAGTTTTGAAACGTTTTAATAATCAAGGTACAAAATATCTCAGTTTCTTTTCTATTTCAAATTAAAGGGCACTAAAAGATATGCCCGTCACCAGAAGGTCATAGGTGTTTAAAATAATAGTAAGCTCTGCGTTCTAGTTTTCTTAAATTCAGATACCGTTCTTTTAAGTAACACGCGCACAGAAATTTTATGTGACCCTTAGGTTCTTTGAGCACCAAGATCCCTGCAAAAGTTTGGACTCCACTTTTTTTATTCTTATGAAAACAACTTGCATATGTACTTTCACGCATTGCAATATGTTGCAGGATGCTAGAAATAGCTCCCATGGTCAGGAAGCCCCAAAGTTTCCATAATTGTTATATTTAAGGGAGCCATAGTTAACTCTATTAGCAGTTGCCAGTAACCGTTACAGAAGAAGACGTGGTAGAATCACAAGGAGAAAGAGTTATGGTGGCATGTTATTTAAACTTACTTCATCTTGTTACCAGGTACTGCTTCGTCAGGCTGTTCATCGGCGTTTCCTGCGTCTCTGCTGAGGGTACAATTTCCTCCACGAGTACCTGTCGATAGTTCCGCGCCTTGTCCTTCTATCCCTCACGAACGTCCTCCATCTTCTTCTAATGGCTCCTTCCCGCCAGAATCTTTAGGTACTCCAGAGAATTCCCCTTCTTACTCCTGGCATTTTGTTCCACAAACTCCATCAAATCAAAACAGTAAAGTCAAGCTATTTAGCAGTTTTACAAAATTATAAAAAAAGTATTTAACTCATGAGAATTACAGATTTTGTATTATCAATTTTCACAGAAGACTCGTCAAACTCCACAGCAGTCCCTTCCTCTTGGTCACGGCCAGTAAAACGTCCAAATCCAACAGAATCTCCACCTCTCAAGAATTCTTCCATTCTTCTACCTGCGGGTCGGACTGTTAACTTATCATCGCCTCTTCCTCCATCTAGTTCCCAGGTAACCTCTTTCCCCTCAGCAGTTTCTGGTTTCCCTGAGGCTCCAGCAGATCTTGATGACCTAATGACTATTGTTGCTCCGCCCCGGATGTCGAAGGCAACATCTTTAGCATCGTTCCCTTCTGCAGCGGGTTCCCCTTCTTATTCCGCTTCAGAAGCTCCATCCACAAAATGTGAGTAAACAATTTTTTCAAAATAAATTTTTATCATTTGTTTTTATAATTGCTTGACGTTGTAGATTTGCAAAATATTCCACGCGGTTTTCAGTTTTGTAGTTCAGAAGAGTTCGTAAACAAGACAATACATTGAAGAGAAATACTGAAAACCAAAAAGATATTAAAACTTGACACTGATAATTCTATTCTTGCCATTATAGTTTGAAAGTGTTATGCATAAGATAGATATTTTCTGAGGGATACTGTTTTCATTGAAGAAACACACGATCATCCTTAGAAAAGGTTTTGCCCCCATTATGGATCAGCCAGGCCACAGAGGCCATAAAGCCCTTAATGAATTACATACCGTATCCAATATTCCACGTCTAGGTTTTGAATCTCATATAACGTCAGTACTATTTTCTTCCAGCGTGTTCAAACAGATGCAGCAGGACAAGAATATGCCTTCCTTTCTGCCCGATGCGCTGTTGTAAACAACGTTTGGTCAGCAGCGATTCAAAAGATAACCAATCTTCCACATTGTCGGTGCCTTCCATGGAAAAAAAATGAACATAAATAGAAAAATATTTATTAAAAAAAGGAAGTGACCGCTAGTTTTAATAATTTTCCATTTGAACCGACAGGATTTAACTTTGAAATGATCAACCAGTGAACTGTAATCAATTATTACAATTAAAGTATGAAAATCGCTTTGGCCATCACAATCATTGAAACGTGGCGACTAAGATAGTTGACTTCTTTGAAATTTGAAGAAAGTTCTCTATCAAACTATCAACAGCTTGGGGTGCGTCAAAAGCATCGTGAACTAAATTCAAACTTAACACTACTTTTGCCCACAATGCATTTGTTAAAATTACAAGCAGCCCCTTACCAGCTTTTATTTCATATTAGTAGCATCGAAATTGTGATATTGATGATCTTCGCAATCAACTCAAATTTGTGTCAAAATTGGTATTATTCTAGGCGAAGCAAAATCAAACAATACATCTCACGCGAAAAAAAAAACATAGTTAAGTTATGTGACCCATGTAGCACCAGGACCACCTTCCTTGAACACTTCCGAATACAGGTGGCATGTCAAGCCTATTCAAGTGCATTTCATCGTTTTGGAAATTGCAACTTGGGATGAAGTTTTCATCGATCATCGTCTCTTTTAAACTCTACTTCTTAGTTATCTTGTCATTTTCAAGAGGTGGGGAAAAAGGAAACAAATCTAGAGATTCAACAGGTAGGATGTTTTTTAATGTAGTTTTAACCAAACAGTGATCTGGAGACTGTTGAGATTAAGACTTACCCAAATTTTATAATATCGGAAAAAAATGGATGTACCAGATGATCAATCGAGTGCATGGACACTAGATTACGTACCAAAAGCTCAGATTTGTCGGCTTAAGTGTAAATTACTCTCGTAAAAACTATCGATTAGTAATTAGAAGGAGGAAGTTTGGTATTCTTGTTAAGATATCAGCTAAAGTCCACTACTTGCATAAGAAATTCCTCAAAGTAGTAAAGCTCGTGACCTTAACTTAGCTAAACGCTGGAAATCAAAGGACAATAAGGGAGAATAGGAATGCGGTTCAACTGCACGCGTTGAAAGGCACAGAAAATTAAGAAAATAAGTACATTTTGTTACTTTGGTGTTTAACACTGTATTTTTGACAAGGTTAAAAAGTTCACCCCGGCACGCGCAAGTTAAGGAACCGCACGAACAGTTTCAATTCAAAGCTATTTCTTGGACACCACGGCGGTTACATTGTGTGTCAACCTCGCGCTTAAAATCAACCAAGTCAGTCGTAACCGCTTCTTTCCATTTTATTTTAAATAATATGATTATTTTGCTGAGTTTACAGGGTTATTCAGGAATCACACTACACCTGCACAAAAACTAATAATTAATTAAGTTTGAAATTAAAGATAACATAAACATCCTAATGTAATTTTGTCTCACCAAGGACATAGAAAGTAAGCAGAGAAAATAAATTAATCAGTTAAAAGAGGAAATGAGAAGGGACAATGTTTAGAAAGTTAACAGTCAAAAGAAGGCAACAATATTGATTTAATTAGTATCCGTCATTTTCATACGCGCTACAGGGAGCTTACATTCCGTGACTGGAGCGGTTTTTTGTTTGTCTCTAAATCACGGCAGGTGATGGCGACATAAACTACTTTCCATTGTACGATTTTGTGCCTCCCCTTTGATGACAAAACTTTACCGAAATGGCAACAACGTCACTCAAGTTTACACATCTCAAAAGCCAAACATCATTGACAAACCTCGTTATGAGTTCGATAACTTGTTTAATTAGGCAACAAAACAAAGGTTGAAATTTAGAATATTCAAAAAGTTATTCTGGAGCATTTCGTTGTACTCGATCGTTCAATACAGGTAAAAGCAACAGAGGGCACTTTATGGGACCTCGGAAAGGGTGACCATGACTACCTTCATGAGAGATAAGGTATAGAAACTGTTATATTAAATTACTTTAAGGGGCGATTGCATAAGACAGGTTTGCTTTATAGAAGTAAGAACGACATTTTTGAAGCATTTATTCATGAAGTTTCCACTGACAGTTGACGGCCAACATGGATTGATAAGACAACGGCGAACAGCGTCAACTTTTGGCAGCATCGAAAGAGGACCTTGTAGACACAGTGAGTATCATCGTTACAATCGTTAAATGAACGTTTAACATTGCATTGTAACACAGCATGACTTTTCATCTTTAAACTGGGTCGGTTCAGCGATTATGGGAGAAGTGGGTAAAATCAAAATTAATTTTTGGCTGGATAAACTTTCTATTTTTTAAAAAGTTTCATAAATGCTGCGACATAGTTTGAATAAAGATAAAGTTCACTTCGCAAGCAAAAAGGTTTCACTCTGTTTTTTTCACACTTTCCTTTCAGTGACCCATGGCGTATACTTGGAGAGATGGGACAGAATCGACTACAAGCGTGTCAAATTTCTACTGGCTGATCGGCGCTATCCAAATCTACCAAGTTTTGCGACATGTGTTAAAACATTTGAACAGCCTTCAAAGTGGGGAGATTTCTTTGGCTCTCGTTTAAGGACATACTTTGTTCCTCTGCAAACAGGATACCACTATTTCTATCTTTGTAAGAAACTTCTCCTTTTCAAATAACTAAGTTAAAGAGACGGCCCATCATAGTTGAAATTGAGAGCTAAACCGCATGGAACGTATGAAGGAACACGTATGCTCTGTTAACCTTATTGGCTGGTAGTCAGGTGAAACAACAGTTCTCAGCTTGTTTAAATACACTGCTGGAAGATAACCATCATACAAATCACAAGCTAATGGTTCAGCAGTTTTTGATAATTCGCTAAACAACTCATAAGGCAGGTTCATACACTCGTGAGACCTTCAACCTGTCATCAATCGTCTTTTTCGACGCATGAATCTCTCCAAAGGGATAATCACTTCTATACTATATAAGCGAATAATATTCTTAACGTTTTTAAATTCAAACACTTTTCCCCTGCACGTCCAATGATCCGTTAATCCGTTTTTAATGGTGTTGTTTGCACGCGTGGAGCAGGAAATGTATCATGAGTTTCTTAGCGTATTTCATCCATTAGTTTCCCATTATTTCAATCGTGATCAGGACAAAAGTTTACTTTCGCCGATGAACAATTTACTCTTTTGGCTTACGGAACAGAAACGTCCTGGAGAAAGGTTCCTACATAATCGATGATTATCATTTACTTTAGCATCAAATGCTGGAAGCGAACTCTACATCAGCCAAAACGAAAAACCAGAGATGAAGTCAAAGATTAGTGCAATAGATGGCGGGTTTGCCACTTATCAGTATGAGTTCAATAGGTGAGGTAAATTAAAGTATCTATTATATGGTGATAAGTTTCTATGTTTCTTAGGAAGACTTAAGCGCAGAGGCTTAAATTTTTTTGAACGCATTGGAAATATTTTCAGCTGTGGTGTATTAATTTTTTTAATGGTCAAATCCCGACATGAATAATTTCAAGCAACATTTCAGTGGTGGTACCTTTGAAAGAATAAAAGCTTAGTTTTTCGTTTCATACTCTGAAACGGTGGAGGGGCGTGCATGCATGCCCACAACACCGGACACAAGCTACACTGGAACGAAGTCAAGTTTATTGATAGTGACCCTTATTACTACACGCGCAGGGTCAAAGAGGCAATTCATATAAGAGCATCATGCGTATAAGGTCACGCATGACCAGTCGACCTCTTCGCCTGAAGAAGACTAGCAGTATGCAGTCGAAACTTCGCGACCTACATCACACTTGACTACATCGTGAGACAAACGAAAAACGTAGCTTTTATTGTTATTCACCACGATGAATAACCACAACCTTTTCTCGTATTTTCACAACTTGTTTTCGGAAAAAATTGAGTACGGTTATTTAAATTCAATTCCAGGTTTATCAGTCAAAAATCTCTCCCAGTTTACCTAGTAAAAGGTAAATATTATTACATGGAGGCTGTATTCAAAGATGATCATCAAAACGACCACCTAGAAGTGGCTTTAAAGACACCGGACGGAACTTTTTACAAAGTGATTCCCTCAACGTTCTTATGGACTACACTGCCGCCACCGCCTGGTAGGTGAATTTTGTACTCTTCTTTACAATAGAAATAATACACGCAATCACGACTGAAAATTGCCCTTGGGCCAAAGGATAGGGAAAATAACCTCCAGTGAGGCAGTGAAATTTCCGTTGAGTCGTGTATTATTTTCTTTTCGGAGCAGCTTTTAAACGAGTTGCTATTTTACCTTTTCCCCATTTTAATTCTCAGCCAGAAACTTTACCAATATAGCCATTTTACTCCGAGTGGCCGCGCGAGCTGGTGCAAGAGCTGGTCTTGCATTCGGAGCGAATTGGGCGAGAAAGAGCGGAAAAAAAGCAGGCGCTAAGGCTGGTGCCGTTTCTGGGGAGGAAGCAGGAGCATCAGCGGGAGCCCGCGCAGGTGTAAAAGCAGCGATAAAGATGACAGTAGAGACACTAGAAAAAATATTTAATAAACTTCATGGAAATGACGGGCATAATTTTAAGATTCTTGTGAAGAATGCCACTGTGGTTTCTGTGAGTGGTCCCGGGATGAAAAGTGCAGGGAGAGCTGGCTCTGCTGCAGCAGCTGTAGCGTTAGGAGCAGCTGGGAGTGCTGTAGGGCTAGGGACAGGAGAAAACACAGGAGCTGCTGGATCAGCGGGAAAGGCTGGAGCTGTTGGTGCTGGAGGAGCCGGAGAAGGTGGAGGAGCTGGAGGAGGTGGAGGAGCTGGGGGAGCTGGAGGAGGTGGAGCAGCTGGAGAAGCTGGAGGGGCTGGAGGAGCTGGAGGGGCTGGAGGAGCTGGAGGGGCTGGAGGAGCTGGAGTAGCTGGAGAAGGTGGAGGCAGTGCCGCAGCTACTGGTGGTGGTGGAAATACAAGAGGCACGAGCGGAGGAGTAATATCAGGGAAAGGAGGAGGCGGAGGTATAGCTGGTACTGCACCAACTAGTAGTGGTGTTGGTGTAGCAGGTGGAGGGATGGCAGGTGAAGTCACGGGAGTTTCTCAGGTTACATCAGGAGCAAGCTCCATAAGCAGTGGTGTTGCTGCAAGTGTTGGTGAAGTAGAAATAGACGGCAGGACGTTTTCTCCAGATAGGCCGTTGGTCGTGATTCCGAGACCAGGAGAAGATCCACAGGAACTTGCCAATTCAAAGACGATGCTTTGGAAAGCTGGTGGTGCTACAGCAAGTAAGCAATTCAGAATGTTAAACAAATTTGTGTATGTTTATTAAATGATTTTCAAGTTATCATGAAAATATTGTTTCAATTTTTTTTTCGCTGCACGAGTTGTTTATTTTTTTCTGAAGTCTTAGAGGTACAAGCCACCTTCAATTAGAGTCGATTATTACCGTTTTCGTTCGTTGACCATGTCTGAGGTTCACTATTAAGTATTCAGGACCGTTTATTACTTAATTTTTAAAAAAAGTTTTGCCTATTGAGTCAATTGAAAATTCCTTTTAACCATTTCACTTTCTTGAGTGTAGCCCAATGTAAGGATTCCGAAAGGGTTGTTTTCAGGCTTCAATTAAGTCTTCACATATAAAGTACCTTTATTTTGGCAGTTGTGGCAGGTGCAATGTACACCTTTCATGCCTGGGACATACCATACACACAGGAGGACACCAACTTGAATTACTGCTGGCGATCAATAAATGGCAACCTTCGCATGAACCAGTTCTGCCAGGCATTTACAGCTCGCGTGCCTGCAATCTATAGCAAAGCCACCGAAAAAAACTTCAGCGTATCTTTTGAGTCTGTGTGTCGACCCAATCATTTCATACGACAGAGGAGCTACCATTTCCATCTTGAAAGGAGAGACGGATCGGAGCTCTTTGGTAAAATAATGATTACGATTTGAATGACATATTTCCTATTATTTGTAGATTGTAAATTTTCCATTTTTACATTTACATTTTCATTAAACTAACGGGATCTACTTAAAATATATAATGGGCAAATGAGAGCAAATAGCAATAAAATTGCACATGAAGGAAAAGCTTATATTAGTGCATTTTTATCGTTTTCCTCTTTACCTTCTTTCTAATTTCACTGAAAAGCGTGATGTATTTCGTTTGCAGAATCCAAGCGAAACAATTCAAACTAATATTTCGGCAGTAAACGATGTAAATTTAAAAAAAGTATATATCTATTTTGCCGCTTGTGAATATTACTGTTGTCGTTGTTTTTATTAGACAAAGACAGCTCCTTTTACATCTTCTCGGTGATGAAATATGAAAGAAACCTTCTTTTCAACGCCATGCATAAAGATTGGTACATATGCCAAGAACTATACAAAGTAGAAGGCCGACAGATGGTTTTAGACTTTTACAAGGGTGAACCCGATGTTCTTCAGCGCTGCTCCTTCTCAGTTTACCCTCTCCGGCTAGGCAGCAACAAATTTATGAACTGTAAGAACGTTCTTGGACCAGTGAAACATCGCGAAATCAATGGTCAACCACTTCCTCATCCCCCACATCTGATTCCTATTCCTCCACCGCCGCCATCTGCCTTGTCTCTATGTTTGCCAGTTTGCCAGGAACAAAAGTTTCCTTCCTCAGTTGAGGTTTCTAGCGTCCCTAAAAACGCACGTATGTCTTATTTTTTGACATTAAAGAATGATTATCGGATGGGTCTGTGTTATCTGCCGAAGCTGAAGGCTATTGTATATTGATTGAATGATCTCGTCCATCAGATTTTTCATAGTAATTCTAAAGGATAATCAAATTATGTATACGTATACACGTATACATTCATTTGTACGTATGAACCCTTTCGGATCTATCTATTTTCATACCAAGCAAGTCCTATTTTGTGCATACAATTGGTGGGTGTAAGCTCCTTAAGAAGGATTAAGTTTAAGGGTAGCGCCATTCAAACTTGTGAGAGCCTTCGCAACAATTTTTTCCATGCGTGTGTGTGGATGTCGCCCACTGGCTATACAGTTACCCAAGGGTACCCTGAGTTTCTAAGCGCTAACCCAAGTGCCTTTTAATATGATTGACATACAATTACATTTTTGGACCAAGAGAAAACTCACAATTGATTATAGGCTCTCCATTTTCACCTCAGGGATATATGATCAACAGAAGATTATAAAGAAACTTTTTCACGTACGATTCCGTATCATTATATAAACAGTTTAAAATCGAGTTATGGGTTATTGTTACATTCACGAGATAATCTCTTGTTACGACCCATTTTTGTTTCAGCTATGTGTGTTGCATTGCACTTCATCAATGACTTCGGTAGTCCATTTAAATTGGACTCTCCTCTTAAACACGACGGATATCTTGTCAATGGGTCAGAGTTTAAACTCAGATTCATCGTAGACCACCCCAAGTTGCATAGCTACGTAAAATTCAGTGCCCGTGACCCGGCAGGTGAAAGCAGCCTTGTCTTGAATGGAAAATCCACTTTCTCGGAGCAAGTAGTGCCTGGCTGTCCCATCTTTCGGAAGATTTCAGTGAAATCCCAACAAGGTGATTTCACGGTCTGAAAAATTAAACCATACATATCTATAATCTTGATTTCCAGAGGTTTACTTTGTGAATATGACCTTGATCCATTTTCTCTAATTTCTCCCCGGATGAAACTCCTTATGAGTATTGAATGATAATTAATAACCTTTCAGTTTGATATGCATGAGATGATAATTTAAAGACAAATAATTAACACAGTAACTTGATACCAAGTCGTAGTGTGAGGTAAAACTGCAATTTCAATTGACTTTGACTTGCTTGGTCTTAATCTCTTAGCACCTTGTAAACCGTTCTTTGTTAATTACAGGACGTTTCCAAGAAAAAACACCATTACCATCAGTTACATCTCAAGTACCGCAAGAGGAATCTGTAGGTCTATCACCTCAAAGACCATCATCACTTCTCCCATCCCAGCTTGCACCACCCCTTTCACCTTTACCTCCGGCTTATTCTGCTTCTCATCCTATCTCACCTTCAGTATCAAATTCTGCCAATGTTTCTGCTGCCTCAACAGCTTCACCTCTTCCTCTCTACGGTCCAGTATCGCCAGTGCAGCGAAAAGCAGGTAAGAATTCTTGGAATTTTATTTTGATTAACCTTGGCCATTTAGCTTTCCAGGCCCCTCTCACATCCCTCCACAGTCCAAACGGTATTTCTCTAACTAGAACGTTCTTCTGTTTTTACAGATAATGGATCCGTTCACTATCATTTCCACTATTATCCAACAAAGACGTTTCCAAATGGTAAAAAAAAGTATTTGCCTGCGAAATAAGTGTTTCACTGTGTAGATGCATTCTACAATGGTTGGGAGACGTATTTTGACTTATTCACTCTAACTCTATTATCTCCCCTCTGGAAGTAAATTTCCACAATTTTCGGCGAAAATGACCAAGTAAGCCGTACAAGATTACGACAACAATTAACGTAGAAAAAGGTGGAAGCATTAGCTCCTAGATATATTATGGACAATGGGATGGTCTTTTCCAGTAAGATTTCAAGAATGCTAAAATAAATTTGCATAGCACATCAAAGCGCATTGGGAATTTATTGGGAATTTAAATGCAACATAGGCGCGAGTAAAATGTTTTTGCTTACAACTAAATTTTTCTTGAATTCGATAATTTTCTCCTATTTTCTCCTCCTCCTTGGCAACTTAACATACTAAAGTGAAAAGTGACCTTATTGTTTGATCAAAAATTGTTTTAAGTAACTTTCATGTTGCAACTTTCTGCAGAAGTTTTACTCACAAACAAATATATCCCTTGCAGGTTGTCCAAGCAGATGTTCCAATTCGGCCCTATGCCCTTCTCTCTCCTGTCCGTTACAATGTTGTAAGCCAGATCTTGACGAATATATTGACGATCAACTTAAGAAATAACCACTCTATCTAATCTGATCAGTTTATCATTGGTCTATAATCGAACGTCGGCAGCCAACGTGCAAGGAGGGGGATTTGTTTTAAAAATATATAAAAGGTCAATCACTAATAGTAGGAGACTCGTTCCTCTCTCCGCCTGCATCTCCAGAATTAAAAGGCTCAGGTAGGTCGAGCGGCCTCGAATAAACTGACGTGGCCGCAGCAGATGTTAACAAGGCAACGACGTACAGAGAATCTACCAGAGGAGCCATCCTCTTTTACTTCAGTTCCATACTAGAGGAATTATCTTAAATAAAGAAATCCAAAACGATACCTTGAAAGTGCTTTCTTCACAACGGCTGCCATACGACATTTTCTGCTGAAAATAGTTTTTATATTGTTTGTTTTTGTATCTAGGTTGTCCATTTAAGGCCAACCAATCGATAAAAGGCTAATTTAATGACTCTGTCTGGTAATCGAAGGTATCTTGAGTAGCGATTGGTTTTAAGGAACTCTTCTTGGGTTGCTGTGTAACAGTTTAACTTGCAGCTAGTTTCATGAAATAGATAGCAAAATAGAATAATTTTAATTTTCACTCTATTTTCAATGACCATTCGTGTCCATGGACACATTTTGTTTTTTTTTCTCAAGTGATAAGCATCTTATTTCTCCTTATGCTGTTTAAATAAGTAAGCAGCTAGACTGGTGGTCGCCATTGAGGTTGCCTAGTTTCTACGGTGAGTTGCGCTAATTTAAAGGAAGGAAAGAAATGTCCATCAAATACTGTTTTTTTTGAAAGAGAAAACACAAGAACGCCTCCTTTAACATGTAAATATTCGATATTAATAAAGATTACTAAGGAAGGCCGTGATGGAAAAAAAAAACTGGCAAGTATAGCTACATAAAAATCGTGTTTTACCAAAATGTTAACGTTGGACGCTCTGATGAGTCACAATTTATAAGGGTAATGTATGGCCGCATTTGGCAAACTGATCAAGTTTGATTCACTCCAGAGACAGTTGTCAAGTTCTTTTCATGGTACTCCACAAACATTTCACTGCACGTTTAAATTTGGCTAATAGCAATTCACATGAGTGGTATTACATGCCACGTACGGTAAAACGGGAGTTGAAATGCGATTCTTTAATCTAGTGATAATTTTAAAAGAATGCGAAATAGCGTCTATTTGTGACCACAAGTCATAAAAAAAAGAATCACATACACATTCTCATATTTGATGTATCCATCAATTTACAAAGAAAAACTCTTGATGAAAAATTGTTCGCGAGTTACGTGACCAATCAGAAACCCTTTGTTAGTCAGCAGGTGCCGGAAGAAACTAAGTAAATCTGTAGAAAGTGCGATTAAATCGTTACATCTTATGTCTATTTAGCCATCTGAAACCTGGTATGAAGTTTTCATCTATCATTGCTTATGCTGAACTGTACGCTTTGTTTATGGTGTTATTTTCAAAGGGTGATAAAAACGGAAGAAAATCAAGAGATTCAGCAGGTAGGCGTATTTGTTGTCACCAGCGAAATTTTAGAATCCATTCACTGTTTTGTAAATCTGCGTACTTTTCGAGTACTGGAAGTGAACGCCTCCCCTAATTTAAATACAACTATGGGCATATAATCAAATATTTGAAAGTATACTTTGCCGCCGACTCGTTCGAAACATGAGGGACCCCTGCGGCGTGCTCTTAAGTACCGTGTCAAACACAGTTAGAGTTAAATTTAAATTTTATCGCGTTAGAGAGTGTATGTGGAAACATGAACATGGTAAAGTGAGCTTATTGATTTAGAATAAAGGGATAGGTTTCTAAGAAAACTGTGGTGTTGGGTCGGTGGGAGTCAAAACAAGATAATTCGATTTTATCAGCTGGGTTGGTAATGTGAATTGGCCACCGTACAGCGATTCTAGACCTTAAGTTTCGAGCGCTAGCCTCTTGTAAGGGCGAATGGCCAAAAACTAAAGGCTCTGAAGAGGGATTAACGCTCATTATCAACTCAACTGATGAAACCAAATAACCTTATTGACTTAGACATTGATCAGACTTCCTTTTGTATCTACTCTACTTCTACTTGATTTTAGTCTAGGATCAACTGTCTTCGTAAATTTGAAGCTCTTTCCGCTTAAATTATCATCATCCCTAAATATCAACTTCTCATACTTCGTAACTATATTTACTTCGTTAGATTCTCCTGTTTGGTTAGCACAAATTTTAAAATGAAATATATAACTCTAAGCTTGCTCTAGACTGGATTGGTGAGAGTCAGGAAAATAATAAATTATTTTAGATTAGATTTAACTCGAACAAAAAGATGTTGATCTAAACGAATGATCAACCGTATACTGCAGGTCCTTTTTTGTATGGTCAACTGAGCGCTAACTCTTAAACTTCGTAAAGCATAGCAAGCTTCATTTCACAACCATTGACTGCGTTTTGAGATTGCTTAGGAACCTGGTCGCTAGATTGTAAAATAAACGATTAGCTCGTGACATGGTTGCACACCAATGTATCAATTCAAACTGAGGCGCGTAGCTGACTTATCCAGAGTTGTTTGTTAACAGCGCAATTTGGTTTTCGCCAGTTAAGTTCATTCCTGAGAAGTCGTGCACTTGCGGCCAGAGTTTTCTTTGGATATTTTTAAAATTGAACCACAGCATATACATTTTAATGCCGGGGATGGTGGAGCTTATTCCTTCTTCAAAGTACGAATTTTCTCTTGTTTTTGATTAAAGTATGTAATGCCCACACTTACTTAGCTTGTTACTGACAACGGAGTCCACATTATTTCGACTGATACTTAAGCATTTGGTAAATTTTGTTTTCCTTCATTTTAGATATTGTAATAAAAAAAATTCGGATTTCTGTCTGAACTGAGCCTTGGAAACGAATTTTTCTTCCACTGATAGTTGACGACGGACTGCTAAGACGAAGGCGGGCGTATAGATTTGGAAGCACGAACGAAGGACCTTGCGCTAACAGTAAGTTACATCGCGAAGACTTTGTCCTCAGAAAGTTCTTAATTCCTTTACAACATAGATCAAAATCTTACAAACTCTTTGATTTTTTTTGCCACAACAGAGCTGTCTGAGGTGCTTGCGTCTGCAACAAAAAGCCACAATGTATTGGTTTTTTTTGACGAGATAATCGATGCTATCTTGACCAATCGGCTTGCGATCAATATCTCTATTACTTCACAATAAATACAATGTTATAGACAGATTATTCCATAAAGAATGTAGTGTACCGCTTTTTTCCTACCTCGTTAATTTCTTGCTTTTGTTATTTTAGAATAAAAATCTACTTGGTATTTCCGCATGTAAAGTGTAACTTTTTGCATTTGAGATCTACATCATAGTAGACGTTTTGGTGCGTAGTATCGCTGAGTATTTTTACGACTTGTCCTGTACTTTGACGAGCCCGAAGGCGAGTCAAAATACAAACCACACATGAGACAGGACAAGCAAAGCAGATACAGAAGCGTAGAACGCGCAGCTGACAGGTTAAACAAAGTTTTTACAGTACAAAGAGAAAACAGCTGTCCTAATATCGCATAATATTTGTGCCCGATTCGCTTGTTATCTGTATTCTGCTTACTGACCAATGCATTACTGGCCAAAGAAAAAAAATTGAAAATGAATTTAAAATGAAGTGGATTTGAAAAATCTACTCCAGAATAACAGAACTACTCGTTTCATGTTACACACAAATAAAGCTGCACTCTTCCTTATAATTGATTAAAAGGAGTTTTATTTTAATTTCAGTGGCCCATGGTGTTTACCTGGAGAGATGGGACAGAATAGATTACAAACGTGTCAAATTTCTATTGGCAGATCCGCGATTCCCAAACCTGCCAAGTTTATCAATATGTCTTCCAACATTTGAACAGCCTTCTAAGTGGGGAGATTTCTTTGGGACCCGTTTGAGAACTTATTTTGTTCCCCTTCAAACTGGAAACCACTATTTCTATCTTTGTAAGACGTTCACACTTGTACTAATAATCTGCGAATATAAGAACATAAACATAGTATTGCGTGATGCATTCTCAATGGGCTTAATTGTCATGGGCGAGTATCGCGCACGCATTAACAACGTGGCCGTCTTCATTATAGTCCGAGGTTACCAACGAGGGAAACCGTGATTTTCTCGTAGACGGTCGCGATGATAGCACCATTTGATCAGCGTTAATTACCCCAAACGGAAAAACATTTACTTTAAGGAAGAACTGTGATCAATAGGAGCTGAATTAATTACTTATCAGGATGACATGGAACCCTACCTATAGAACTAGAGGGGGAGAGAGAGAGTTATTTAAAGTTTGAAACGAATGAACTGAAGGCCAAGGCTCCAGCTCGCGGAGATAATCGTAGTTTTTATCGTGCAATTTCGATATTTCCGGTAAGGTTATTCGAGTTTTGCACGTTTTCCGTGTACGTGGGATACTCGATAATACTGCCTTTTTAGATGTCTTTGGTACAACTATCAATTATGCCGAGTAGGAAAGAACTTGGATAGTTTGTTTATTTAAAGAAGCTACCAGAATACAGTGCAGCAACTAACCAACAAACTAAGCAGAAAGACAAAAAGCATCTTATCATCTTTTAGACCACAACAGGTGCTTTGAAGGCACTGATCCCGTTGTGAGTTAGGTATGCAAAGATACAGGAAAGGACCTAACGCTCTCTTGCAACGACATCCAAACGATTCTTATCAGACTCTTGTTAAACGACGAAATTTTTTTAAATTTCCCTGCTACGTTCTAGCATCTGATGCTGGGAGCAGACTCTACCTCAGCCCAGACGAAACGCCAAAGATGAAGGCACAGATTAATGCCATATTTGGTGGCTTTGCCACGTATCACTACGAGTATAATAGGTAATAGTAATTGAGAAATTACTTCTTTGTACAAGATACTTCAAAAAATGCCGTTAAGTAATACCTTATTCCTTTATGCAATCTGATGCAATTTCTAAACATTTTTCTGTTTTACTTCATCGTTAGATGAAATTTGATTGTTATTTGACTAGCTTACTGGCTTCCGTGACGCGCATGTCATTTTGAGAGTGAATATGGGAAGTACATGGCCTGTTCGACAATCTCTGGAGTTCAGGGCTGTTGAAGTTTTTTTTGCTAAAAGTCAGCTATTTATCAATCATCACGATTATCGAAGTTAACACTTAAAAATCCGTTTTATGTGATGACTGAAAGCTTGTTTAACGTTGAGTAATTTTTTCATATCTACTGCAGGTTCATTGATCAAAAATCCCAACCAGTCTATCTATTTAAGGGCAAGTACTATTACATGGAAGCTATATTCAAAGACGACCATCAGAACGATCACCTAGAAGTTGGATTGAAGACTCCAGATGGAACATTTTATAGAGTAATTCCATCAAAGTTCCTCTGGACTAAACTTCCTCCAAAACCAGGTTGGTCGATTTTTATTGTTTTTCATTGTTAATGTTTTAAATGTAGGGTTTTCTATCTTTTTTAAATGTACATTTTAGGATAACTTAGTGAAGTCACACTAGTCCAATTGCTATTTTACCTAAGTAATGTCAAAACTCTCACACGTTCGAGGGCTTATCGCTCACACTTTCCTGTCATTATTTATTAGCGCAGAATGCTACTTACCGGGCAATTTTACTCAAAGTGGCTGCAAGGGCTGGTGCAAGGGCCGGTTCATCATTTGGGGCGAAATGGGCAAGAAAGAGTGGAGCCAGAGCTGGAGCAAAGGCTGGTGCAATAGCAGGAATGAAGGCTGGAGCATCAGCGGGGGCTCGTGCAGGTGTTGAGGCTGCAATAAAAATGGCATCAAAAACCCTTGAAGAAGCATTTAACTCTCTTCATGGTAATGACGGGCACAAATTTAAAATTGTGTTCAAAAATGGAAGTGTTGTTTCTGTAACTGGTCCGGGAATGGAAAGTGCTCCTGGGAGAACAAGCGCCGCTGCAGCATCAGGAACTACTGGAAGTAGTGGTAACAGTGGTGTTTCTGTAACCCCTGGAATCGCTGGAACGGCTGGAATAGCTGGGAAAGCCGGCACTCCGGGCACGGTCGGGACCGTTGTAGCTCCTGGAACTGGAGGTGGGGGTGGAGGAGGAGGTGGGGGCAGGGGTGGAGGAGGAGGTGGGGGCGGAGGAGGAGGTGGAGGGGGAGGTGGTGGAAGTGTCGCAGGCGCCGGAGGTGGAGCCACTGGGGGTGGTGGAGCGATAGGTGGGGGTATCGCAGGTGGAGGTTCAGCAGGTGGAACTGTGACAGGTGGTGGTGTTGCTAGTGGAGCAAGTGCTGTTATTGCAGTGTCAACTGGTGGGGCTGGCACCTCTTCACAGGTTACCTCAACCACGAACTCAGCAAGTGGGAGCAGTGTAGCTGTAGGGGCTGGTGAAGAAGAAGTCGATAGTTACGCCCTGTCACCTGAAAGGCCATTAACGATAATTCCAAGATCAGGGGAAGATCCCCAAGCCCTCGCTACATCACAGGCCATGCTTTGGCCAAAAGTAGGGGGTGCAACAGGGCGTAAGTATCCGATTCTAAGAATCTTTTTTTTCAATCATTCACCACCTAAACTGTATCATTAATGAACCTCATATTCTTACCTAAACTCAACATACAGGAGTGAGGCCTCATACTAAAGACCTTAATTTCTTTCAGTCGTCGCAAATGCAATGTACACATTCCACTCATGGGGCATACCATACAGACAAGAGGAAACCTATCTAAATAACTGTTGGCGGTCAGTGAATGGAGTCCTCCACATGAAGCCATTCTGCCAAGCCTTCATCGCTCGAGTGCCTGCTCTTTATGTCAAGGCTACCTCAAAGAACTACTCCGTATCCTTTGAGTCCGCGTGTAGGCCTGGTCATTTCTTAAGACAAAAGAACTATCATTATTTTCTGGAAAAGAGAGATGGAACGGAGCTGTTTGGTGAGATATTCAGTACGATTTGTTGAATTTATATGCGCTATTTCCCGATCACACTGTCCGAGCTGTTCCTCATATTTGGACGAGCGTATTCACGATAATAATTAGTAGATTCAGATCTTTGGGTACAGTATACCAAAGTATAAAAATCCAAATGTGACTATGCTCACGCTAATGCACCAGTCACTAGAATGCGGCCTGCTGATTGCCATACAATCGGGTCTTGAGAGAATCGGGTCTTGAGAGAATGGTTTGAGTTAGTGCGGAAATGGACTGCATTTAGAGGAAATAAAATTCACCCATCCATGTTTTCATCGGGCACGATGACTCAAGTTTTCTGACCCGGAGTTAAGCAGCAATGAAACTTGGTCTAGCACTCTGCCATCTAGAAAAATTAAAGACAAGGTTCTCTTGACTTTCACTTTTTGTTCATTTCAGATAAAGACAGCTCCTTTTACATCTATTCGGTGATGAAATATCATCGGAATCTCCTTTTCAACGCCATGCACCAAGACTGGTATATATGCGAAGAGAGTAATTGGAAAGAAAGGGATCCTGCAATGGTTCTTGACTTTTACAAAGGTGAGCCGGATGTTCTACAACGTTGCTCCTTCGCTGTTTACCCGCTCTCGTTAAACAGTAACAAGTACATGAACTGTAAAAATGTCCTCGGTCCAGTAAAGCACAGAGAAATTAACGGACAGTCACTGCCCCACCCACCACCTTTACTGCCACATCTTCCTCCGCCGCCTCCTCTCTTGCCTGTATGTTTGCCAGTGTGCCCGGCTCAAGAAGCGGGAGGAACTTCTGGAGTGGGAGGAACATCTGCTCCGAATTTTCCGTCCACAGTTGGAGTTTCAAGCGTCCAAGAGAGTGCACGTACGTCTCTATTTTTATGCAGTGTAAAATATGGTTTAACTCTAATGTGTCATTGTTACCAAAGCTGAGCTGCTCGACATTTCCTCTTGGATTGGGGTTTACCGCCTCCAGAAAGGCTGTCAGCCATTGGTTTTAGTTACCCCTAGCCTCAAAATGTGGGTCAAGTAGCACGTTCAAGCATCGAAACGCCTGTTGCAAAAATATAACTCTTAACTCTATCCAGTGTGTGCGAAACCATATCAATTCGTTTGTAAAGTTGATAAATAAGTGCATTCAAAACGTGTAACAGGACTTGCAAAATTTTAATTAGTTTACGTATCAGCGTTTATTGGTTTAATGACTGATGAGCCACAAATAAAGTTTGAATGGCATGAAAAGAGTCCAAAAGCTGCTAGTTGTGCCACAGCCTGCTGAACAAACGACCCCCCCAAAATCCCTATTATTTGACTTACAATTGGATGCATAGGTCACTTTTAAAACATTAATTTAATGAGTTGAGCTTCGCATCTCAGAAATATAGCAAAAGAGGTCTGAAAGCTTAGGTCTCTGATGGTTCACAAAAACAAAGCAGAAACTTTCTATCGACCAATTTACTGAGATATAATTCTGTTAACATTATACTTTCTCTTTCTTTTTTCAGCCATGTGCGTTGCGTTGATTTTCATCAACGACTTCCACGGTCCATTTAAAATTTATTCCCCTCTCAAAAAAGATGGATATCTCGTCAGTGGATCAGAATTTCAGCTAAAATTCATTGTAAACCGACCCGAGCTGCATGGCGTTGTGGAATTCAGTGCCCAAGACCCAGCAGGAAAAAGCAACCTTCTTTTAAACGGAAAATCAAGTATTCTGGAACCTGTAGTGCGAGATTGTCCTATTTTTCGGAAAATTTCAGTGACATCCCTACAAGGTGATGTAAAGTGCTGGAAACTTAACAATTTCCTTAAAATCATTTCATAAAAATGAGATTTTAGATGGGTTTATTTCCTACTATCACAAATCTCACATTTTTCCTCTGTGCAATGAAGCTGGATAAAACTTTCGACAAAACTGTGAGGGCCGGAGTCAGAAATTATATACTAAGCTGAATTAAACAGGCAGTTTGATGTGCTTTTTACTATAATCTAACGTTGTACAGGCGCAGAAGAACATATTGCTTCTCTTTTACATGAAAGAGGTGAAATGCAAGTATTATGTACTATTATGTACGCACAGCCGCGCACGCCCAGAGGTATATGTATCCACTATGATGGCTCGATGGGAATGAGAGGAGCCAAGTGTGCTCTGGGCCACAAATGAAGTTGTTCTTTGTTGCTGGTGTATTACAGGTTATGATCTTGATGAAAAGATTATCTTCAAACCTGAATTTTACCGTGTCCTCAAACATCCCTAATTGGAAATCTATTCTTAAACGATCTAAAAGCCACAATGCATTATCCACTTATAAAGTGTCTACCAGCCGCTTAAATAGGCATCTCAACTGAGTAAATAATTTGTTTTAAGTTTCAGGTCCATCTCAGGCAAATACATCGAGTAGTTCATATGCTCCGCCGGTGGAATCAGGAATTCTTTCACCTCAAAAACCAGTACCGTCCCTGCCGTCTCAATATGGACCCCCATCACCACATTTGCCTCCCGCTCCGTCACCTTTTCCCTCGCCTCCAGCAGAAGCACCTGCCTCTTCCACTTCTCATACTCCATCGGCAAATGAACCGTCGGTTGCTCCCCCAACGGTACCAGCTTCAGCTCCTCCTTCCCCGGGTCCAGCATCGCCATCGCACCACAAAGGTAATGTAATTTACAGTCGATGACAACGATTCATTTAGCTACTTCTATACTTTAACTTATCTATCTCCCTATTCATAGTAATGCCAAGAGATTATAAACTATTTATAATCTCCTGTTAGTGCCCAAACCTTTCCCATGATAATTTGCTTCCTTTTTTTCTATTACAGATAATGGATCCTTTCACTATCATTTCCATTATCACCGGTCGAAGAATCCTTTAAATGGTAAAGAGATTATAATTGTTCTTATACGAATAGTAGTTCTCGTTATTTAGGTTTTTGTTACATGAACAATACTAGGACGATTATGACTGAGTAATCATACGGTAAACTGGGTAAAGTGTAGTTATTAAACTGAGAGAGGAATTAAGTCAAAAAGCCTTCAAGGTAATGGTTCATATATAGACGGAGACGTGAATTAAACGCCGATTGCTAGAAAAATACTGTACAAAAAGCCGTAGGTTTCAATCGCAATTGCATTACACCAATGCAAATTGCGTATTTTAAAAAAGGCATGCTATTTAATATATAGAGAATAATACATGGGCGCACGTAGATATGGAATTTCTCTTCTCGTGTTCAACTCGATAGCTCACGAGTGAGATGTTGAGTTGAACACGAGAAGAGAAATTCCATATCTACAAGCGACCATGTATTATTTCGTTTGTCATATAAACACAATAGCCCTTTACTGACAAGAAAAGCCGACTTCCCCAATGAATGAAAATAAATGAATCGACAATCCCCAAATAATAATGGTATAGTGCGTTGGCGCTAACTTTTAAATGGAAAAATGCGTTGAGGTTACAAAAACAACAATGGTCATAATTCTTAATTTACCAAATTCTCATTTATCGACTTTTTCCTTACTGACAGAAGAAGTCTTTCAGGTAAACGGCCAAAATTGGCCAGTGGCAAATCTTCCAGTTGTCGATTTTCATTCTCAGCCGAAAGAAATGCCAACACCAAAGCCACTGAATACGTAACTTTCAGTTTTTCTTTCAGTAATTGGTTTCTTCCCCTTCTAAGAAAGTTTGAACCTCGCTGTCTGTCAGCAATACGGAATTTTTAGTGTTTTAGCCGCCATAATTCGAGAAAGCTCCGACAAACAACTTGTTTTGAGAATCATGAAAACTTTGCCGTTCATTCATCAACCTGACCGAGTGGCACCAAAGGCGAGTGACGTGTCAGCAGCTGATTGGCTATATCAACACACGTGAAAAAATACGATATATTTTCACATGTGTTGTCACGGCTTTTCTCAGGGCCGGAAATCCCCGTATAACACCGCGGTTTATGTGATAAAACATTTTTAAACATCGTTTTGAATTTTTCACGTCGTCAGTAGTTCCCAATTGCAATGCATCTTTATACACTAAAAAAGATACTTACAAAAGATCGAAAATGAAGCTCCAATATCTTATAAGTTTTTTGGAACTGCAAGTCTCCCACTTCATGCTCTGGTAATTCGCTCTCTGTTACATTTTATTCTTGACAGTTTTTTTTAGCAAATTAAAGGGTGACCTCGCCAGTATTTTTCAGACTAGTTTCAGTAATTCATCTCACGGTGCGTATTTCCGATGGATTGGTCACCAATAAATTTATTTCTCTTGCAGGTTGTCCAAGTGAATGTTCTAACTCGGTCCTATGTTCTCCTCAGTCTTGTCCGTTACATTGTTGTAAGCGAGACGAAAACGATTACATTGACGACGACGAACTTATACAATAACAAGACTGCTTTTTTAAATTATTTTTTATTGATAAACGGTATTCAGTGAGGGAAAACCTTTACAGAAAATTAATGGTGGAATGAGAACGTTGTAGTAAGCTTCCCTCTCTACTAAGCCCTCCTTCTAGCACTAAAAGTTAGTAACGAACCCCACCCCCATCCTCTTGTAAGCTCCTTTCCTCTTTGCCCTCCCTCAGTCTTGTCCGTTACATTGTTGTAAGCGAGACGAAAACGATTACATTGACGACGGCGAACTTATACAATAACAAGACTGCTTTTTTTAAATTATTTTTTTATTGATAAACGGTATTCAGTAAGGGAAAACCTTAACAGAAAATTAATGGTGGAATGAGAACGTTGTAATAAGCTTCCCTCTCTACTGAGCCCTCCGTCTAGCACTAAAAGTTAGTAACGAACCCCACCCCCATCCTCTTGTAAGCTCCTGTCCTCTTTGCCCTCTCTCATCAGAAGTTTTTTTAATGGTCGTATAGCTATCACTCGTTTGGGTGGGTGGCTCTTTATTGTCAATTTTACCTTTATTCAAAATACTGGATTAGTTTTCATCGTGAATATCCTAGGTTTTAAACCAGAAATTCAAATTATATCACTTTGTGTCATCCAATAAATCTGGGCGACAATTAAAAACAAAAAATAGATCCCCGAGGAATCATTAGAACTTTTGTTTGTTCGAAAATTGAATTTGTTTTGTGCAGGATCTACTAAATATTGGCGGCAAGTTATTGTTATTTTTGTTGTTTGTTCTCTCTCTCTATTTATTTATCCCTGTTTGTTGAAGAATGTATGGATATTTCAGGGAGAAGTTTTATGTTAATCATTTCTAGGAGTTAAAGGGTTAAAGTAATGTTAAGTAGTAACGTGAGTACTGTTGGTATTTTTTATTGTGTTGGACTTAGTTGTGCAAATAATAAATACATAAAACGGTTTGTTTATCGCGTACTCAATGTTAGTTTGGAAACACTGTTAGTTTTACTAATTTCCTACAAACTTCCTTTTAATTTATGTTTAGTTATTATGAAGTCAATTCCATGGTCTAAAATGAACGCGTCGGTGGAAATCGAGATTTCCTGGAATTGTATCATAACTTTGGATCTTTGCTGCCTGGGAAGTAGTTCTTATTGTGGGCGCTACATTTTTGCAACACCTTAGCCTTCTTCACGTATCATAGCCTATAAAAGTACGACGCGCACCGTTAGTTAGTAAAAGCCTGAAGTTAGTTGAAGCTACACCGCTACTTTTGCTACCATCAGAAGGATACGAGCTACCGCTACCTCAAGTGTCTTTGATTTCAGTGAGCCACAACCTCTAGAATCTTCACATTTACACTCAGCGTCCTCATAATTCCGAACATAATGTGCAGTGTAGTATGTATCGTGTAAAGAAATGCGTGCTGCAGAAAATGAAGAATAATTGATGGCATTAAGTACCTTATCGCGAACATAGTTTACGCTGCTTCATCCTCGCTACTTGTAAGGTAGGCGCTTATAATCCATCACGCATTTTTGCTGCACCCGATTGGTTCGCTAAAAGCATCACGAAATCGAATATGCCTCAGCTAAGATAATTGAAGGAAAATAAGCACAAAAGGCTCCATTTAACTCGAACATATATTTGTATATATGTCTTAAAACATTATCTGTTCCTTGAAGCCTCACTCTCGGAGAACTGTTCGCATCTCGGAACGGATAATATCCGTGGGCAAATATCCGTGCAAATTTTCGCGCCAAATGAAGGCTGTTGTTTACTTTAAGTCTACCGTTTGAATTTATTTGTAAGTCATAGAAAACCATCCTTAACGACTGTTAATTGCCTCTGTGCTTACCTTTTTTTTCAAGTAACTGTCATAAACTATAACTGAACAGACTGCAGCTATTCTTTGAAAGCGAAGACACCATAAACTTAGCTTTATTTATGAACTTCAAATGAAAGCAAAGCTGCAGAACTAATCGACAGCTTTAAAACATGCAATTGGCAAAAAGAACAAGAATTATGTCATAAAAACGAAATATTTCAATCATTATAGTATTCTGTTATCGACGTCAATCTCTTGAACATTTTTCACATAATTTAAATGACTATAAAAGGGTAACTATTTTTCAGTTAAAGAAGAGTAACCTTTGGAACAGATTTGCTACAATTGCAAGATTGTTGGGAAATGTTTGTATTTCGTTTGCCAGGCTGTAAACGCCAAGGTATCATTTCTTTCGCTTTACAGAAAAATCGATCACCTAGTAGAACAGAAGATTATCTCCCATAATTCTTTTCACTACTAGATGAACATCATATCTTCATAGTTCTCTTCATCCTCCTCATTTACATAGGTAGGTGCTTTTGGCCCGTGATAATGGTAATGATAGTAAATTGGATGATTATCACCTGATTGAAAGATATCAAAGAAAAATAGGTATTAGATAAATTTATAATTGTAGTTTTATTTTTCCGATTAAGGCAACTGATTTAGCGTGATTTTCATTTCACCCATTATACATTCATTCAGGTCTTAATAAGTGTTATAAGTGTAGATATCTTTGTCATTGAAATTATATGGAAAATTGCCTTTCTTTCTCGTGTTTGTTTTTCTCTTTTTCTTAATTTTAGCTCCCATAAGCAAGCTCTGATTACCAACGGGCTTGTTGTATTCTTTATTAAATTTGCATCTTTAGTTAGTTAGAGCTGCATCTGTTAAAAAAGCCTGGCAATTGTGACTGATCACTACCACTGATACACGCAAACAATCAGGCTCACTGAAGCACGTACCTTCCTGAGATGTCGTGACAAGAACGTTTGGAGCTTCAGGAGGAGAGGGCGAGGCTACTGGTGATGGAGCATTTGTTTGTCCCGGGGGCGGGGGAACGTGAACTGAAGAAACTGGAGGATGTGGATCTGGGATGCAAGGGGTGACAGGCACGGGACACATAAACACAGGAGAAAGATGAGCCCCAGGTATAACGGGATTGGCTGGAACTGCTGCGGAGACACCTTGTGATGTAAAGTGCAAGTATCCATTAACACTTATAGGCTAATGGGACCATACTCCTTTGCCATCTCGTACAGGGGTTGTGGAAGAAATAATGTTACCTAGCGAGATCTACCTTAACTAAAATTCACACTCATGTTGGTGCAGGTCCTGGCTTATAACGTTGTCAGGATTTGTGATTCTACTCTAGATAGTGGATGCCCAGTCATTTCTCAAAAATTTTTCTTCACAGTTGTAGTTACCAAATCAGCTATGCAGCCTAAAAGAAAAACCTTAACTTTCCTTCTTTGTGTTGTAACTAAAAAACGAGCTGAATAACTCCCTTAGTTTATATCTGAATTGCATTTATTATATCAAGATTCATACTTCGGCAGAATTAGCAAAGGAATCTATATCTTACAAGTAGGCGCAGAGCCACCTAAAATTACTCGATAATTTGTCTTGCGCTAGCATGCAGACTAAGTATCTTGTTACAAGTTCGTGTTTCGCACCAACATAAATTCCTTTCTTCCCCAGCCTGCTTAAGCTGTAAAAATTACAGAATGCAGCTAAATTTTTATTAAGAAAACACTGAGCACAGCAAATTACGCCTGCTATGCAGATAAACACTTCTCTTAACAACAAATTGCCATATCTTCGTGTGTCTGACTTAAGCATAAAAATCTAAGTGAACGGATGTTCGATTCTAACTTACCTGCTTGAGGTGGAGGACGTGGAGCCGCAGGCAGAGAGACGGGAGCTGATGGCGAGGGAGCGGGAAGGGGTGGCGCCGAAACCAGAGAAGACGAGGAGGCAACGGCTTGAGTTCCTACTGAAGGAGAAGGTACCTCTGATGCTGGTTGTGGTGCCGGAACTGGTATTGAGGGGGATACTTCGGGTGGAACACCAGTTAAGTAATTATGATGGTAAGGGGGATGAAATGAAGACGGAACTGGAGTGCGAAAAAGTAAAACGGAGTTAGAAAGGGTTGCTTTTAAGTTGAGCATCGATGCATACTGTTGCTGCTGTTTGGTAACAATGATTGTGAAATTAAATGTTGTTGCTACACCATATCACGATCGAGTACATTACTATTTGACTGTAGATTTCTTTTACGTTGCATTATTTGGGTGAGTTTTTCCTTCCTAAAACAGTATAACAATGCATGTAAAAGTATTAAACCCAAATTTGTTCTAGTCAATTTTTTATCGAAATCCGTTTTAAATCCACATGAATTTTTATCGTTCATTATGCCATTCGCCATATTTTTGCACTCCACTTCAAGCTCACCAAAAATGAGGGAATCCCGGCTAAAGTTAAAATTATCCGAAAACCGTAATTTTGGCGGGCGAGTGCTCAGTATTTTCTAAGCGATAATTACAGCCGCCATCTTTTATTTTTATTGGAAGGCTGGGGAGCGAAGGAAAATTGTACCAAGGGAGTAAATATTATGCCTGTCCGAGGTCATTGTTGTCTTGCGAACCTTCGTTCGCCTATGAATGGAATTCCTAATTGGCGCTGTTAAGCTTTAGCTGTCAATCACCTGCGAAATATGTCATTTGGACGCTTCGCTCTCGGGGGGAAAATCGTCAAATGGATTAAGGGCAGTTACACTCAAGAATCGTCGCCTGGAAAATGTAGAGCCCATGTTTATCAGCTCACATTTATGACTGCGGAGGAGGTTTTTTCGAGGCCATTTCTTTCCCGGCTGAAAAAATTGTCTTACCGTTTCACTCATTGGCTCTGCGTGTGTTTGTTTTTGTCCGAAGGTAACCAATCAAAATGATTGGTTACCCACTAATTTCCGGAAATGAAGCGACGCGCAACTAATTAGGGGATGTTTCGCTTCCCAACAGCCTTTTCAGGCGGGCGTCTTTTCGCATTGCCCGCCTCCTCCCCCCACCGCATGGCGGGTTGAATAAACGGTCTCGAACTTCTTAACGAAATTAACTCGCCGTAATAAGACGCCTGTATTGCAGATTATACTTTTTTGACGCCAATCATTAATCTACGTATTGCATTGGGAACGAAAATATAAGTTGCATATATATATTATTATAAGTGAAATCACCAAAATATCTCCTTTTGATCATACCTCGCTCTGCCGTAACAAATACGTCCTCGAATTGGAGACAATCAGCGACCACTGGCTCTGATATGCTTAAGCGTTCATTTAGAAGAATTCTTTGTTTTCTGGAAAGATCTTCGGCGTAGAATGTCACTTGACTATGCAGTTCGGGTCGATTTATTATCAGTTTTAATTTAAAGCTAGGTCCAATGACGAGATATCCCTCGTGTTTAAGAGACGAGTAAAGTTTAAAGGGAGAACCAACTTTGTTAATGAAGTTTACCGCAACACACATCTCTAAAAGGGAAGCAAACATGTAATTTATCACAATTTACAATAAAAATACACCAATCTTACATCTTTGAAGAGTTTAGAGTGTTGGGTGTGATAACTTTAACATACGTATCCTTTACATTCCTTTCCTCAAAAAAAATCAATAGCAATATATCACACTCAGCTGTCTCCTATCCTTAACGCTAAGCGATTAAGAAAAGACGCCTTGGATTAGGAAAACATATACAAGAGACTCCCTTCCCAGCGTCTTCCCTCTACCATTTGATCATGGATAAAAGTATCGCCGGTCTATCAATCATTGTAAAAAGTGTTGAACACTTACTCGGGAGGAAAGATGGTCCATGTGACAATTCAGGTGGTGAAGGAAAAATTGGTGTTAAGGGTCCAACGCTTGTTTCCTGTTCAATTAATCCACCCTCAGTCCCTGGAGGACATAATGGTATACAAGAGGGAAGGGCAGGGGCCTGGGCTGTTGCCGGTGGAATTAAGAAGGGAGGATGAGGCAGCGGTTGACCACTTATAGACGGAAATTCTACTGGTCCTAACACGTTCTTGCACCACGTCAGTTTATTTTCATTTTGAGCGATGGGGTGAAATAAAAACGTGCAGCGAGCGAGGACATCTGGATCTCCATTATAAAAGTCCAACAGTATGGTAGGGTTCTTGTGAATAGAATTGCCTTCGTTAGGCTTCTGACACATGTACCAATCATTGTGAAATGACTGCAGCAGAAGATTCCTGGTATACTTCATAACAGAAAAGGGAGTGAATGAACTGTCTTTATCTGTAGGGAAATGATGTCAGGAAAATATTGAGGGATAAGAAATGCAAAGAAATATTCATTCTAAGAATAATTTTTGATTCCTCTTTCAAAGGAGAGGTGAACAATGTAGAATAAAAAAAAATATATTACCCTAACGCCAAGTAAGATCGTAAATCAAGAAAATGCTACGTATTTATGATCACGCCTATCACTTGTGAAAAATAAAATTGGTTCCAACGTTGCAAAATTTCTTACCAAATAGTTCTGATCCATCTCTTTTCTGAAGAATAAAGTGGTAATTTTTCTGCCTCACAAAATATCCTGGTAGACAAACTGACTCAAACGATACAGTGGTATTTTTTTCTTCAGCTTGCTTGTACAGCCCAGGAATATGAGCTCTAAAGACATGGCAGAAGCGATCTAAATTCACGTCACCATTGAGCGATCGCCAGCAGAAATTTAGGGTTCCGTTCTCCTGCGTGTAGGGAGTGAAGTACGAGTGGACACTGTATAATCCTCTGTCTACAACTAGGGGCAAAACGTGGTTTAAATAAGTTACTTCACTTAAGTTATATTTTTGTACAATTTCAGTTCTTGTCTGCATAACCTGTATATCTCTGGACCCGAGTAAACTTTCCTGAGAATTTGAAGGGAAATACAAATGTTCGCCCACTGTGACCTAATGATGAAGAGATGTATCGTCCTTCAAACCTCGCAGCAATTTGAGTGGAAATCCTTCTTAGCATCACTCGAACACGACAGTTTGAGCATCGCCAAATCACATACTGATACAGTGAAAATAAGTATTGACAATAGGCCTCTTTAAGGAATGTTTTGGTATCAGAAGGTTTAGTTTTTTTTAATAAATTACAGATAGCCCAGACAAGAAATAAGTCCATTACACTTCACCCGATTTCCCCCCTTTTTTCCGAGGTACATATATTTATTTGTCAATGATTATATTCCCGTGCTAGTTATTGGCATATTGATATCGTCATTGACTCACTTTTGCTCGCAGCTCCTACTTTCCAAACTAGCGCTCGAGCAATGGTCTGTGGATCTTCTCCTGCTTTTGGTATGTAAGTGACTACACGCCGTGTTGAATACCCACTCGTCGCTCCGCTGGTTGAAACCACACCTACAATTCCTTCTGCTTCAGAACCACCAACACCACCAATCGTGCTCCCAATCCCTCCACCACCAGCTGCGCCACTTGCTCCAGCACCATTTCCACCAGCAGCTCCACTAACAGCTCCACTACTAACACTAGTTTCAGCAGCAACTCCACCTCCTGCTCCACTTATGGAACCTCCCCCTCCCTCTACTCCTGCTCCTCCGCCTACAACTTCACCCGCACCTCCGCCTGCAGCCCCACCTCCTGTAAATCCAGGCATTCCCGCTACACCAGCAGCAATACCAGCTGTGCCTGATGCACCAGCTGTTCCAGCCATACCAGGCGAACCAGCTCCAATCCCTCCTCCCCCTCCTCCAACACCACCACCTCCACCGCCACCACCGCCACCACTTACCCCAACACCAACGCCAGCCCCTCCCCCGCCACCACCTCCACCCCATCCCGCACCAGTGCCTGCACTTGCCTCTCCAGTTGTGGTGGTACTCAGTCCACCCATTCCTGGACCGGTAACGGCCGTGACGCTTCCATTCTTTACGATTATGTTAAATTTGTGCAAAGAGTCACCATGAAGAAGATTTAGAGAATCCTCTAGCGCTTTCTTTAATGTTCTGATGGCAGCATGCTCGCCTGCTTTAGCTCCAGCCGATGCCCCAGCCTTCACTCCTGCCATCGCACCAGCTTTAGCTCCCGCGTTTGCTCCACTCTTACTCGCCCACTTCGCCCCGAAGGATAAACCAGCTGCTGCTCCGGCTCGCGCTGCTGTCTTAATTAAAACTGCCAGAGCGGTTGTGTTTTTTGCTAAAAAGAGAAAGAAATCTGAGTGTCTAAAATGAAAAAAATGACGGTTAAGAATATCTCAGCGTTTAGTGATGCAGTCGTCTAATGTTTTTGAATGAAAGCTATTGCTTTGGTGGACGTAAATGGGATAATTAAAAATCCTTCACACTCAAGCTGTTTTAAATTGATAAAATGACATGTTCAGTCTGTCATAATTTATATACACATGTTTATCCAATTTAGCTTCTGTAAATTTACCGTGCCATAGAAGAGGAGACGCCTTATTCATGGTTTAAAATAAGAGATGCTCTAAAATCCTCCTGTGCCGGAGAGGTCCTCGAAATCATATTGTTTTGAATGGAAAATGTTAGCATTCTTCAGGAAATCTTGCAATTGTTGCTAATGTTTGCAAAACTCAGTGAGAAAAATACATTTCTTTGAGTCACATGAAAGTGGCTCATTTCCTTCGAGATTCTCAGATTTTCGGATTCTTAGATACACGCATGCCATGAAAAAAGATTAAAAGACACATTCCATGATCCAAATTGGAGGAGCAAATATTTTAATATTATGTGGCTCAGAGAATTCAGTTGTGGTAAAAGCAAAAGTAGACCAAAAGGCACCAGGAACTTTAGAGATTGAGGCTCAACGCTTCATGACGCACCAATTAAGATGAAAAGAAAGTCACTTAATGTAGATTCTGCATACTTTATCATTAAAGATGCAATTTTGACATTGTAGGTACTCACTAGATTTCGCGTCGGTCCATAAAAACATGGAGGGTATTACTTTGTAAAATAATCCGTTGGGTGTCTCTAATCCAACTTCCAGGTGATCCTTCTGATGATCGTCTTTGAAAATAGCCTCCATGTAATAATATTTTCCTTTGATCAAACGAATCGGCAACGACTTTTGATTGAGAAACCTGCGGTGAAGATAATTGGGAATTAAACAGAGGTATGCGTAGTATGCAAGAGATATTTTTTTCAGCTGGGTAAGTCGAGATGAGACACTTTGTGTTCCTGATGTTTTCATAACTTTCAAAAGAAACGAGATATCTCATTACTTTACTTCAAGAAAAGGAGAAAAAACATAATTTATCTTAATTCACACAGGTATTTTGTGGTCTATTGTCTCTATTGCCTAAATATTTCTGAGCAAAAATAAGATGGATCGCTAACACGCTTACTGTCTCCTTCACCGCCGTTGTTTGGTCTCGTCTATTCCCCGTCGGAGAGAGAGTCATTGCGTGACGAGATAAAAAACGATTGCAAAAGAGACTACGCTTACGGCCGTTCCTCTAACAGAAAGAAAATCAAAATTATTCGTCAACAGCTAGTCGCCTAAAATATATAATTCCACGTAATTTTTACTGAGAAAAGCAAACTGAAACTGTTGCATCTCCAATAGACCCTAACCAAAGATACATTGCGATCACGTAAAAGGGCAGATACACTGACATGAGAAAAGGATAATATTTAAAAGAGGGCTCCTTGATATGTTGTTGCCTATCTGGACTTTGCCCTCTGTGTGTGAAATACGTATTAAATGCAAGTTGTTTACATTTGAATTAACACGCGATTGGGTTAATTCCAAGGTTGTTAAAAGCGAATTTTATTCGTGGAAAAAGTCAAAACGCAGGGGAATGTGTGGAAAATTCACTATAAGTAGCTTAAAGTTTCATGTAAATTGTTTTCAGTGGTGTTGGACGATGCGGTTAGAATACGTGATAAAATGCAGGTTGTTTACAAGGAAATGGTATGTGATGGAGCGAAGTCTAATGTGGTATAATGGAATGAATTTGAATGGTAAAATACAAACCAAGCTCGTAAAATTGTCTACTGTTCATGTAGTGCAATGATTGGGTATGTTCTGATTGGAATTTGAACGTTGTCTTCATCCTACGTGATGGAATGTAAGTTGTTTGGTGTGTGCGTTGTGAGAAAGGAGCGGAAAACGCGTCGACTCCACTTGACGAGGCTCTTGCAAAGGCCTTAATCATAACACTTATTGAATGAGTCCAAATTTCTGGTTAACATCATTCCTTACAAATGAAGATGATTGCAAGCTTTGAACGATATCTCAAAAGAAAAAACTATCAAGCTCGTATCATCAACGATTTAGCGTATAAGAAAACACGCAAGTTTGCAAAACCGAGGGTGTGCCATTTTCTTTGCAAGTTTTAAACTTCAAAATTGCAAACATCTGCAAATTCGCGATGCCATTTATAAATTGAAGTTAAAAAATATGAATTATCTTTGTCTCTCTTTTAAAAGTAAAGTCACTCCTTTGGCAAATTAGTTTGAAAACAAATAAGAAAATGGAATATATAGTTGTCTACAGAGATTGAATATCGCGCCACGTTGCGGATTTGGCGGTGTTTATAATAAAATTTGCTCTTGAATTTAGATAACTTGCCATCTTTGAAATGTGTCGGTCAGTAAGGAAAAATCTCAGTATGTATGAAATAGAAACATCTCGTCGCGATGCATTAAAAAACTCACTCGTTCGTTTTTTTGCTACATCGCAATTAGTGAATAAAAATCGTTCGTGCGGCTTTCCGTGGAATTATCTCTGTTTACGTCACTCGTCATTTACTTCATCCCTGAGTGGTGCACCCCTTCCTAAGAAAAATCCTGGATCCACCGTTAGAATGGATCCATTAGTTAAGAAAATCATGTTTTGGTTTGATCAGTCATTGAATCAAACAGATGTTCAATCAGCCAATGATCTAGTGACTTGCCAACTCAACCAGCCAGCCAGTCTGTCAGCCGGTCAATCAGTCAGTCAGATAGCCAGTCAGTCAGTCAGTAAGTCAGGCAGTCAGCCAGCCAGCCTGCCTGCCTGCCTGCCAGTCAGTCAGTCAGTCAGTCAGTCAGTCAGTCAGTCAGTAAGTCAGGCAGTCAGCCAGTCAGCCTGCCTGCCTGCCTGCCAGTCAGTCAATCAATAAGCCAGCCAGCCAGCCAGTCAGTCAGTCAGTCAGTCGGCCAATCAGTCAGTCAGTCAGTCAGTCAGTCCGTCTGTCAGTCAGTCGCTCAGACCTTCATTTATCAATCCATTGGATTATTCTTCCATCAAATAAGTCAGACACTCTATTGTTAAGTTAGCTTGTCAATCATGAGTACAATAATCACTCTCACCCCTCAGAGCAAAGGAAACTTTGGAAGAAAAAGCACGACCGTAGTAATCGGCCAACCAAAAAGCTAAAATCTTTCACCAAAGGAAAAAAAAATATTTTCTGTATTATAATAGTTTTGGTATGTTAAGGATCTTAACTGATCGTGCCTGTCATACTCATACTGGCCAGTGGGAAATCCTCCATCTACGTAGGTAATCATTGTCTTGGTCTTTGGGTTATCGTTTGTGCTCATAAACAGTTCGCTCCCAGCATTGGAAGCTAGAGTAAGTAATGGATAGCAATCAGATGTGGCAATCAAATGAAAATAATACAGTGTATAGTATGTTTTGCTGTTCTTTCCCAATTGAAGACTCTAGATACAGAAATAAATGGGCTAAACAAAACGAAAATATGAAAAAAAAAAGACAATTCAGAAGCGTGTTAAAAACCACTTGATTGATGCGAACAAGTAAAAGATGAGGTAAATCGTGACACCAGAAACTATTTGGAGCATCTAATAGCTGAGCCACGAGGACAAATGTTGGGGCGAGGCAAATTAAAGTGGGCTCTTTAATCCCGTGCAGGAATCTGCTCATACTTAAATGATAGGCATGTGATGATATGATCTACGCATGTGTACTTCATTTAAAGAAATGGCTTCCCTCCAAAATGTGACGTCGTGGCCCAGCCAGTAGCCGAAGCAGTGTCTGGGAGGCGCGGGTTCGAATCCTGTCGAGTCCTGAATCTTCTCGGTCATCTTTTCTGGGATGCTATCAAATTCAGTTATAGGTATCAATTACTACATTATTCCTTACAAAGAAAGAAGTAGTGGTTTCCAGTTTGAAGAGGAACAAAATACGTCCTCAAACGTGAGCCAAAGAAGTCTCCCCAGTTTGAGGGCTGTTCAAACGTTGGAACACATGTTGAAAAACTTGGCATGTTTGGAAATCGTTCATCAGCCAACAGAAACTTAACGCGTTTAAAATCAATTCGGTCCCATTTCTCCAGGTATACGCCATTTTTCACTAGAAAACAACATACACAAATAAGTGAGAAGTACGATATCATGACTGGGAACTGAACTGACGATCACCATGGTTTTCGAAAGTCCTTAGGTAAATATTACTTCAAGTACAATCAAAATGAAGAGCCATTTACTTACATCCACAAACTGCATTTCTAAAGCCGAAGCCTCGTCGCAGCCTGACGGGCTCATAGTTATCTATTGATGTCAATAAATGAAGAATGAAAATTTTTATCATTTTGTAACTTTCGTTATACAAAGAAGTCTATATCTTTTTCATAATTCATGAAAGGAATACACTGTTAAAGAAGATTAGAGCTTAGAGCGAGAAAGAGTAGAGTAAATTTAAATGTCAGTGAATCTCAACAGACATATAAGACATCAGGTGCAGGGAATCAAACAAAAATTCGAGAGATCTCACCAATTCATCATGCCTGCTCTCTCTTATCCGCATTTTGGTTCAAATTAGGACCGAAAGGTGCATTTCTATTTTCACTCTTCTCTACGTTCGTTAAAACGAAATTGAATTTTACGAACATAAAATATAGCAGAGAAAAGAAATGATCAGCCTGTGTCGGCGGGAAAAGGTTAAAACACGTTCGACTTCAGCTAGTTTCCCTCCCCTAGAATTGCAATTCAATTGACCTGAAAAATCTGATATTGAAAACTATTACGCTTTGCGCTTGAAAAGACCCATAATCATCTGAAAATCTCTGTATGAGATTACACTTGACCCTCTCAAAAAAGTGACACAATTTCACTCTAATTACTACAACACTTGAATAACCCACCTGATGTTTCCATTACTGTAGTGATTACTTTGGAGAATGGACCAATGAAGAAGCAAAATAACATAAAGTACACGATTTCCAGGGAATTCATTGTAAGTGAATGGGGCCCAAAATGAAATCGCTGGAACTAAGTCATTTTCGTCATTCAAAGATATTGCATGGTTGCATTTGAAAAGCCACCTGCTGTGAAAGGCGAACAATGAAGGCTCGAAACGGGTAATCTGACTGAAAGACTCATCGTCCTGACATATTATGTCCTGTGGTGTTATCAATTAGTAGAACCGATTTCACCTAAGTAAATATTTTGTCTAATAAAATCGATTCACCGACATTCACATGAATGTCGCACCCTGGATTCTCTCGTTAAGTCAAGAACAACAAATGAGCTTTTTCGTTAGAGAAGAGTACCCAAATATACGTAAGGGTGTATCTTCGTATTTATTAGAAACTGAAATTGGTAAATTGATTCTTGCTTAGGGTGTTTATATCTACAGCACCACCATTAAAATTCGTTTAGCTTTAGAGAGTTTAAAGTTTTAACTTTCATGCGCATGCAGTCAAAACCCTTTCTACGATTCTTATAACACTAGGAACTACAACATCATTTGACGAGAGAGATTCTCCACTAATTGATCCTCTTTGTTGCACGGGAAAACAAGAACAGAGTAAGTAAAATGACACCATGCATATCACTCATTTTGGTTTTTATGATAAATATTATTGTGGAGCGTTCTTGAAACTCGCTACAAAAACAAAAAAGGAATCATCAATTCAATTATAAAAATTGTCGATTTAACAAATCGAAAGTGGCTTAGCGTGTTCTGTACACTTATCGACAACGATATTTGTCATGACAGTTGTCAAAATGTTGCGGATTCACGAGGCGCAGCAGCATAATCTCGACTCTTATTGACAACGACAAATTGGCCAATCAGATTGCGACATTATTGCCAATTGTGGTAGAAAAAGTTTTAAACGCCACCTAGACCATAATACGCAAGTTGTAGTTTGAAGCTGATGCTGTTATGTTCAGATAAGGATCCATTAACTCACGTTGTAATTTTTCAGTTTTAATTTGTATTCGTCTTTGTAAATATATTTGTTTCTTCATTTATCTATTAATCTATTAATTGAAGTTTGTTTTTAGCTTAAAGTAACTCTTGGTTAAAGATATTTTTCAGGAACAACAAATGTTACGGAAAATGCTGAGCTTTCAACACCTTAACCTAAGGAAAAGAACATCCTATATCTCAAATAGAAATGTTAATAAAAAAACGCATGTTCCATATAAATCCGTGAACGTTTTAGGTTTACGTGTTTTATACAACGCGTGTTCTAGGTTGATGTAAACTAGCACATTTCGTCAACGGATTCTCGCTGAGAGCGAGAATAGCAATGCCCCGCAAGTATTGTTTGGTGATTTTTCAGAACATGTAAACCGGTTAAAATTGCTCATATCATGGTTTTACGAATCTACTGCCTGCTTCCTACATCTGGAAAGTGACAAGCAGTACAGCCACAATAACTGCGGCTTCAGCGACGCAAGAGCAAGGTCCTTTGACTGATTTTCTTCCGTCCAGTTTATAACCACATTGAAAAGGACGATTTTATGTCCTCGTTCAATCTGCACTCCAGCGTAACAAGGATTTTACCGACAACAGGATGGCGGACAGGAAACTGGGCACCCAGTGGAGGAACAGCTCGTTGGACAACCTATTAAAAAAGGTGTTAAGTGTTTAAATAAATTTACATTAAAACGACTAAACAAACAACAGTCCGAATTTTCTGCTTTGCAAGATGAACTATGAATTTGTGAAAAATCTTATGATCTTAATTTAATTCAACCGCCACGGAGACAAATATACCGATAGTTTTTTTACACTTATTTTTCTCGTTAGATCTGAGTTCATTTGATTTAATAAATGTTGAAACTCATAAATGCGCACTAGGGCCAAGAATTTTTTTTTATTCAATGTCGTAAAACCATCAGTTTCAAGTGCAGGACAAATGTTGCATTTTGATAGAAAAGAGAAGATAAACTAAAAACCTCTTTTCTATTTCTTTGTCCAATTAAAGAAATCATTCGCAAACGCTAAACGTCTTCTGTTTAATCTATCTTTTATTGACATCAGTATTTTTCATATTAATCTTTATAATGAATTATTTAGATCATTTGTATTTTGGAAAATATTTCACCTACCGAGAGTACGGAAGGGTGTCCTCGTGTAATGGTAGTGATAATGAATGGATCCAGGCCCTTTTTCTTCAAAAAAATAATTTTAACTTTCAAACTCCCCTGAAGTCGCATATACTTTAAAGGGTTATAACGTTCTAGTGAGAGATTAATGGATGATATCATAAAAAGGTTTACCTGGGTATGGTTGAAAGGCATTAGTCTCTGACGTTTTTGAAACATAGGAAGTGTCACTTGAATGACAAATGATATTGGTCGGTTTGTGTTTATCAAATGAAATAACCTAAGTCTCTTTTTTGTCTACAAAATATGTCTGTGGACATGGCTAACTTCAATGCTATTTACAGTTTGATCTCAAAATTTATTTTTACCTTACTGCTCCTATTGTTTTATAACTTGCTGTTACGCGAATTGTTCATCCTTTTTTTGTTCGTCATTGTCGTTTATCTTAGTTTGTAAAAAGCACTCTATTTGCTGATATCATTTCATAGTGCAGATATTCAAATCTTTTTCGAGAAAATGATGACCATGTAAGCCACATCAAAACCTTGCTTTTAGATAAAAAAAAAGCGATGAAATAATTGTGTTAGCTTGCACAAAGTTAATAAGTGGCTTACCTGGAATTTCCGAGGCTGCAGGGACTGCTGAAACGACTGATGCAGAAGAGGCTGGTGATAGTGATGATGGCGGTGGAAGAGGGGACGGTGAAGGAGGAAGAGGAGGAGGAGGTGTAGGTGCAGGTGCAGGTGGAGGAGGAGGAGGGAAAGGAGGAAGAGGAGAGGAAGGAGGAGGAGGAGCTGGAGCTGGAGGAGAAGAAGAGGGAGGGCGCAGAAGTGACAAAGGTGGTGGAGGATGAGGTTGAGAAGTTGATGTCGAGACGCGAGTGCCCAAGGAGAAAGGCTCATATTTCCCAAGCCTTTCTCGTGAATCACTACCTGTAGTTCAGAAAAATAGTAATAATTTATCGGTTTTCCATCATGAAGAAGTTTTAAATTTGCCCTTACTTATCTTCTATACAGTATCGAATTGACTTTGTTGCCGTATCGTCATTGTAATTTAGATAGGTATTCAGTGAAGTTAAACGTTAGTAGCGACTGACTGGGTTTACTGATGTAGTGGATACAATGTTCAAAACAACGAACGTATAGCAAACGCAGCGAACTCGAATCACATATGTATGATGTTCGTATATTTATAGTCATTTATTTACCACTTGGAGAGTTTTTTTGGAACCAACATAATGATCAGCACCCAATTGGAATTTTGACTCGCTTGACTGTACAAACTTACCACCTTGCTTGACTCTACTAACTTACGAAATATCCTAGGAAACAATCGAAACAACGCGCGAGTGCGTGAGATATTTCTAATGCATTAAAATTGGGACAGGTACGAATCGACTAGTTTGAGTACGAACGAATCCCGTTGATATGTTAATAGCTTTGAGACGCGAATATCTACAAGGAAGACTTTTTGCGAGGTCTTTTCCTATCAGTGCTAAGTATAGAAGAAACAAACCACGTGTGGGACACATGTAAAGTAAGCACAGGAAAATGCCAGCTTTTGAGAATAAATGAAAAAAAAGCGCCTAAATTAGACCGCTTAGCTGTCCTAAATTTTTTGTCATGTGCTCGTATTTAACCATTAGAGGCTGTTATTAATGCCTTAATAAAATTACTTGTTCGCAAGCTATCGCAGTTAATCGAAATTTTCGATCTAAATATTGCCCTTGAGGCCTGCCTCGTTTCCTAATGCTGTAAAACTTCATCTCCGTCTGTCTCGAAACAATATATTCTGCTGCTTTTAACATGATGAATCGCTGGAGCGATATTTCACTGGAGCAAATAATATTATCGTGATGATGTACTGCGCGCTCTACGATAAATGTATGCTAGAAATATATCGCCGCAACTATATATCGCTTAAACTATTCAATCGCTGGAACAATATATCTTTGAAACGAGATATCGCAGGAAAACTCAGATGTCTCGTCGATATATCGCCGGAACGATATATCACCGCAACGATTTATCTTTGGAACGAGATACCACAGGAAAGCTCTGATATCTCGTCGATTTATCGTTTTGAGGTGTCTATAAAATGCAACATAGATCGCTGATATATGGGGAGAACAAAGCCCAATATTCGACGATAATTGTTTGCATTACCTTTGCACAGTACTTTCTGACTTTGTTTTCGGCATTAACTGATTGAGGAGGATCATGCTTAAGGCTGAAAGATTGTCCACGAAAATCTATAGCTGATTGCCTAGGAAGAGAGACTTAAAGGGAAACTGAAATATGGCTGCAATGAATTTTCAACCGCGGGGAATTTCTTTCGACATACCAGCAAGCCAGAATGCTTGAATTCTCTAATGGTTTCTGATAAAGTGAGGCTCAAAAGGTAACCAAACTAAATAAATTTTAACGCAAGTTGATTATCCTGCTCTATTGACACAGGACAAGTGTTTAATTTTGTATACACATCACATTGTTATGTTTTCCTGGACGAATGATAAATCGAAAGGGGTATACCGCTTAATACATGCCACAGGATAATTAATGCGTCGTACCTTGCCTGGTGACTGAAATATCCTTAAACACAGGACAACCAGGGACAGGTGATTCTGATATGCTTGTTTCTTCATTCAGAAGTAATTTGCTTTTTCCAGTCGGATCCTCAGCGCTGAATGCAACATGGCTATGTAGCTCAGGTCGTTCTATAATGAGTTTAAGCTTAAATCCTGATCCAGTGACAAGGTACGCTTCATGTTTAAGAGAGGAGAGGAGCTTAAATGAAGGTCCAAAGTTGTTTATGAAGTTTAATGCAACGCACATCCCTGAAAAAAGAGGGACCAAAATGGGAAACAGTAAGTGTTAAATTGATTGGAAAGCTTTACATGTTAATCACTGGAAGGCATTTCAATGAATAATAATTTATGGATTGTGATGGAGAATCCTCGAAGACATTTGTTGTCATAATAATTGTTTAGTTCGTGATCGCTTCAAACTAATTGACTCAATGGTCTGTGTTTGTTAAGTCTGACTAACTCCTACACCTTGAGTCTGAAATTTGACCAGGATTAAAATGGTGTCTGCAAATTCAGAAAGAATCATGCATTAACATGCACCATGAAAAAGAGCAATGACAGACTAAACATGTATTTACTTTTTCCACTTGCGACAGAAGGCTCCGAAGGACCATTTATGCCTGTTCCTTGAAACATTGCCGGTGCCGCTGGTGTTAACCCTCCAGACGAACACATGGGGATGCAGGAGGGTTGGAGTGGTTGGGCGCTGGTCTCTGAAACTAAATGAGGAGGATGGGGTTGTGGTTGTCCTGCGATGGTTAATGGTTTCTCCGGTCCAACAACGTTCCGACAGTTCTTTTGTTTGTTTTCGTATGGTGGAACTGGCCAAAATGAAAATGTACACCTCTCGAGGACGTCGGGATCACCATTATAAAAGTCCAGTTCCAAAGGTGTGATGTGATCACGTTGCCGATCTCTACTTTGGCAAATATACCAATCTTTGTGGATTGATTTCAGCAGGAGATTCCGACTAAACTTCATCACTCTAACTAAGTAGAAAGAACTCTCTTTATCTGTTGAGGAAGAATAAGTTATACGCACTTTAACAATCACGTTTATGTTATTGTTCATAATTATACTCTGATGTGCTCAGTTGAGGCTAAGGTCGTTTCTTTACCAACAAAAAGACAAATAAAACTTTAACCAGCAAAATACGCTAGACAAAAACTTAACTACGATGAGAATAGTTCAATTAATCTGCTCGGTGAAGCAGTTCAAATTGCGGCAGGAAAAGATTGTACTATCAAAAAGGAAAATTGACTTAAAGATCTTAAGAAATGCGGGCGTCAATGTTACTCACCAAACAGTTCTGATCCATCACGTTTTTGCAAAATAAAATTATAGTTTTTTTGCCTCAGGAAATAACCTGGAAGGCAAACTGATTCAAACGAAGCGGTTTCTTTCCCCGCTTCAACCTTTTGATGCAATGCAGGAATTCGCACGGAGAACACTTGACAGAATGGTCTAAGAGCCATTTCTCCATTGTAAGAACGCCAACAGAAGTTAAGGCTGCCATTTTCTTGTGGGTATGGTATATCCCAGGAGTGGACCGTGTAAAGTCCATCTTGAACAACTGAAACATGTAAAATGCAAAAATTAATTAAGTGAAGCTTCATGTACAATCTACTATTGTTAAATATAGCCCTCTAAACGTCTAGTTCAAACTTTTACACCGGACCCGGTCTAGTAGGAAATTGACACGGAAACAAAAATTATCATAGGGAATCTATGTTCTGAGATCGCGTTCGCTCAAAACAGTCTTAAGCTGAGACTTCAGATGGATTAGGAAAATCAAAAAGGGTCTTCCAGAGATTTGATACCACCTCATTAACAATTTTCAAATAATAGTTGTGTTAATGTTAAGAGTTTTCTGAGCTAAGACATCCACTTACGTTTGCTTGCAGCCCCTTGTTTCCACACAAGCAGTCTTGCCATTGCTTGTGCGTCTTCTCCAGGTTTTAACATATATGACGCCTCCATGAACCCCAAAAATTCATCTGGTGGAGAGCTAGCTTTGTTGCTACTAGAAACAGGAGAAGCATCTACTCCCCCACCGGCAGTCACTTGTGAACCTTTAGCAGAAACTGATGCTCCATTTCCTGCTTGTCCTGATGCACTCTCACTACTTCCAGCACTGACTTGTCCTTGGCCACCTCCGTTCACCCCTACAGTAAGTGACGAGCCACTTCCTCCTTTTACAGCCATCGATGCTGCTGCTCCCCCTCCATACGCTTCGCCCTTTGAGGCTTGCGACCCCATTGCGCCTCCTGTACCTCCGAACCCTATACCGCCCTCGCCCTCTGCTCTTCCTGTGCCTCCTGTGCCACCCCTGCCTCCTACGCCAGCTGCACCCCCTGTTCCTCCTGTAGCACCTGATCCCCCACTTCCAGGAGTGCCTCCTGAAGTTGGATTAGTAACGGAAACCACGTTCCCATTCTCTACAACAATCTTAAATCGGTGCGAGTTCTGTCCATAGACGTTATTGAGTCCATCCTCGATTGTTTTTGTGATCACTTGTAGGGCAGCTTTTTCTCCTACACGAGCTCCGGCGGATGCTCCTACCTCCATTCCGGCCAAGGCACCTGCTTTAGCTCCTGCTTTCGCCCCACTCCTCTTTCCCCAATGAGCTCCAAATGCCAAACCAGCTCTTGCACCAGCTCTTGCAGCAACTTTGAGCAACGTTACTTGATAGGTTGAGTTTTTCTCTGATAAATAATAATGATGGGTGATAATACTTTAATCGCTCCTGTTCTTTATAGTACACCATACGTAGAAAATAAGGAAATAACTGAAGTGATGAACTGTTTGAATATTTGCCTAGGGTCTTGTTATTTCAAATATTGTTAGTGAAAGTTTTTAGTGATGGCTCTTTACAAAAATCATCTAACTGACGAAAAATGCCGAAGTAGCTCTTTTTAGATTTTGGTACACTTACCAGCCACCGGTAAAATACAACTATCAAAATTTATTTGAAAATATACCAACCAGGCGGTGGTGGCAAAGTTGTCCACAAGAATTTTGAGGGTATAACTTTGTAAAATTGTCCGTCTGGTGTCTTAACAGCAGCCTCCAGGTGATCTTTCTGGTGGTCATCTTTCATCACTGCCTCCATGTAGTAAAATTTACCTTTCTTCATGTAAACAGGTAGAGATTTTTGATTTGTAAACCTAAGAGCGCAAAAAGGAAAAACATCATTACGCTGAAGTGTGGATGTAGTGGATGCTGCGTTCCAAAAAAACAAAATTGAAATAAACGACCAGCAAGGTTATACCACGTGCCTGTATTAAAGTAATAGAGAATATTAAGTGGCCATGACGGAATATGAATCTTATCTTTGAGAGCCAGAGATATTCCACAGATGAGAACTGCGAATTAGCAAGCGACTCTTTTAATATGAGAAAACTGCAATTCTATTTTGAAGTTATTTTCATTTGTGTAATGAAACAACCAAAGAAGAGATGCAAATTCTTACAAGAGAGACAAATAACTTTCATTCGAAGTGATGGTTCAATTTTCTGTTCAGTTATACTAATCACACTTCTGCGAATAAAAATTAAAAGCGCAAACGCCGTTTTGATACCCGTTATCAGGACGACATTGTTATCTTAACATGCACGCGGTTAACGTATCATATATCGAGAGGGGAGATATTTTGGCAATATTCATGCAACAGTTTTGTTAATTATCGAAGCAAAACCAATTGCGTTCTGTATATGCATATGGCAAAACCCGACTCTATCAATACGAGATGAACTTGTAGGAAACTATGTTACATTATTGTGAGATTTGCGTTACTGCAACAGAGATGAATATAGCACTCTCAAACTGCATTTGTGCTCATGGTCTCACCTGTCGTACTCATACTGATAGGTTGCAAATCCTCCACTTACGTAATTTATCAACGACTTAGTTTCTGGTTTTTCATTCGTGCTGAGGTAAAGCTCACTCCCGGCGTCTGATGCTGAAAAAAAAATCAAACAGCAAAATTTTAACACCCACACATTGAACTGCAAATGAAGCATATTTGAAGAGAGAGAGCAATAGAGAATTTTGGGCCATTGAAGGGGCTTGAAAGTGTGCCTCCCAAAATCGATTGTTTCCTTCTACTAGGCAGAGTGTAATGAGTTATTGTCTACCTCGTGAAAGAATTCCATCTCACAATTGAATTAATTGGCCATGTTGAAATGAGGATGAAAGCGAAAAGTCTGATGTAAAAATAATTACATGAATCGCGTATAACATTATGACGAACAAAGTTTAAGGAATATCGTACAAAGATAGAAATAGTGGTTTCCTGTCTGTAGCGGAACGAAATATGTTCTTAAGCGTGACCCAAAGAAGTCTGCCCAATTTGACGGCTGTTCGAATGTTGGAACACATGTTGCAAAACTCGGTAGGTTTGGGTATCGAGGATCAGCAAACAGAAATTTGACACGTTTATAATCGATTCTGTCATATCTCTCCAAGTAAGCGCCATGGGTCACTGAAATGAAGACAGAGATGGTGAGGTAAAATGGTGTAAGTTATAAGAGACATATCTATTGTTCAGAATACTTACTAATGATATACAAGCACTACATACAGAGGGTAACTTACAGTTACAAGTCGCATCTTTGACGCCAAATGATCGTTTCTGTCTAAACGTCTGGTATCCATTTCCTTCAAAAAAATGAAAAAAGAGAAAGAAATGTACTGTTGATCATAAGAAACGTTGCAAAATTGATCGCTGTGATTGGAGTTGATAGCTACTCGTAGATTGAAAAAATGACTAAATGATTGCAGAATGCTGATCAATGATATATAGTGTTTGGGGGCTGAATGGCTGAGAAGAAAGACATGGTCTTATCGCGAATCACGTGTTTAAGCGACCGCTGGTATCTGGTGCCTCCTTAACGAGGTCATACCCTTTCAGAAAGGAAATTATGGAGTCGTAGTGACTAGCGAATGAACCAGAATGATTTTTGTATAAAATAAAAATAAAAAAAAAATAAAAAAAACCTTGCCAGCCCCAGGGCACATAAATCCAATATTTAGTGTATCTGGCCCTTTAAAATTAAGTTATTGACATCGTCTTTGTCAAGGTTACTTCGAGCGTTTATCGTACACCATACAATCGCAAGGATTTCGACATTTTTGCTTTACAGTCAATAATTGTTCATGCAGAGTAATCAGTGATGACAAAATAAGATCTTTTCGAAACTGCATTGGATACTTAAGCCCTTAAAACCTCAAATTGTGGAAATGTGAAAAAAGAAAAGCACATAGTTTCGAATGTCACATGGTTCGTTATGCGGGTGGCGTTAGTTTAGTGGCTGTCTTCCTAATATTTCCTACTGGTGCTCTATACATCATAAAATTTACATTTTGTCCTCTTCTGCCCCCATCTAATATTGATAACAACTCCAACTACAAAATTAATAAAGATTCATGTGATTGTCCCTGGAACAAATGTTGTCTCTGCATTGATAGAAAAAAAGGAGGCATCGAGTTAAGATTCTTTTTCTTTTCAGCAGTTCAATTCAGCCCCTCCCTCCCTCCCCCCCCAAAAAATAAAAATCCATTACGTGATCACACCGCGTGCAATCTATGCCGGAGATAGTTTTACAGGCTTTGCTCTAATTGCAGTTGCATAGGAGAAACACCTAATTTGGTCTTTTGAGATATATTCAATAAACAAAATCTGGTAAGGCAAGAAAATAAAATAACAAAGAGGTTGATGTTCATCAGGAATGCTTCCACAATTTACTAAGCATGTATATGTGAGCCCTTTACCTTATGTCTTCTATCCCAAACTCTCAATATTTTTTCAGTAAGGATCGATGTAGAATAGAATTGAATTAAGGAGGTTGGTTGGGGTTTTAGGGAACGAATACGCCATTACAAACTACGAAGGCAATGGATATATAGATAGATGAAATATAACTATAAAAGTAAAAAAGAGATGGGGAGATAATAGGAGAAAGACCGTTTTAGTACGCTCGAAAAATACGAATATCGAGTTGACAAAAGGTGCACAGAAATTTAGCACTGAAGGAACACGAAGCCAACTCATTGCAGGCTGTGCTTCCAGATTAACGGCCGTCGTATGTGATGGATAGAAATTTTTCATTATGCCAGCTTGGAGACTTCAATTGAACCTTTCTCGATGAGAAAAATGTACTGGAAAATTAGGAAACTGCTCCACTCACATGGGCGATAAACATTCCTCATAAATACCTGAAGATTTTTTTAGAATCATGGCTTGGATAGAATCGATTTCTTCAGCTCTGGCCCGAGATTTCATTAGCAAGTAGGTTTTTTTAAACGGGAAATAGATAAAATAGCACTTAAAGAATAACAGCGATTCGTTACATTTGCTAATTCAAGAGCATAAAGTCTCCTCACCTGTTCGGGTACCGTTGTGTGACAGAGCAGTCAAAATATGAAAGTTCACTATTGAATAAACAAAAATATTTGGAAACTGCATTTAAATCGATCACTTAAATCGGTGAGTCAAAAACTCGAACAAGGAAGTTTGAGTTAATTGGATGTGTTGGTGCTAAAATGTAGGAAACCATAAAAACCTGGCCACCTGCAAAAATAAGCGATACTGTTTCATATAATGGGTAACGTAGGTCTAGAACTATTTCCTTTTATCTTAAGCGCTAAAAAAGTTGGGTACTAAAGAACATATAACATTTTTGGGATCTGCTCTACCGTCATTTTAAAGATACTTAGGGGAAACTTAATGCCCAATTGAGCCTCTATTTACATGGAAACTTGTCACCCAAGTTGAACAGAAGTTTAAACTCCATGTTTTGGTTGATTTCAGTGACAGCTCACTATCTTTTAAGTGTGTTTCATTTTTCGTTGAGTGCTAAGTGTGAATTCGCGCATAGGAACCTAAGAGGGTCGATAAATAACCGTTAAAACCCTAGTTATGGTCAGAAAAAAAAATTCTCACCTGGGAAGCGTATAATGATCCATGAGGTTGTCATTGTAAAGCGAGAGGACTCAATTAGCAAGTGTACGGAGCCCAGTTGGTGCCATGCAAAACTCGCGCTCGATTTTTTTTTCACGGGCTCGAATTTTTTTTCACACGCTCGATTTTTTTGTCGCGCTCGATTTTTGCCGCACTCGATTTTTTTTGTCGTGCTCGTCTTCTTTTTTTGTTGTCGCGCTCGACTTTTTTTCTCTGTAACGCTCGGTTTTTTATTTCTTGCGCTCGATTTTGTTTTGACGCGCTCGGTTATTTTTTGTCGCGCTCAATTATCTTTTGTCGCGCTCGACTTTTTTTTTGTCAAGTTCGACTTTTTTTTTTGTCACCCTCTACTTTTTTGGTCGCACTCGACTTTTTTGGTCGCATTCGACATTTTTTTTCTTGCACTCGATATTTTTTTGTCGCGCTCGATATTTTTTTGGTTGCACTCGACTTTTTTTTGTCGCGCTCGACTTTTTGTTGTCGCGCTCGATTTTTTTATTGTCGCGCTCGATTTTTTTTGTGCTTGTTTTTTTGTGACAACTTTTTCATTTTTTTTCTCGAGAGGAAGGGTTCAAGTAATACCTTTTTCTTCTCCTGTGATCTTTCCGGTTTTGCAAAAGGCGATTAGGTTCAATCTATTTTCTGCCTTAGAAAGTCCTAACTGCTCAAGATACCCTTCAGATAGAAGATAGAACAGCAGAAACATCCATCTAAAACATAAAGGAAATGAATGTGTAATTGTACATCCTTCTACATTAGATGTCATCATTCCACTCAGTAAAGCTACTTTACAGGAAAGCAGTTAAATTTAGTATGATTAAAAATAGTTAACTCTACAGTTATTTTAGGAAACCAATATCCTTTTCCATTTAATTTCATTGCATGTACAAGTAAATTTCCTTCTTGTCTTTGGAAAGGAAGAATTATAAAGTTGTTGCTGTTCTTTGAAGAACCCCCTCCGTCTCTCAAGGTCCCAAAGAAGATTGATAAGCAGGGTCTCAACATGGAATTCCAAAGGGTCAAATTCCCACTGCTCCCACCACACCACTATAAATTTTCTATTGATTTTTTTGGGTCATGAAGCTGGCCTTGTCAGGTTTTCAATCTGAGGCCCCCTATCAGCTGGAACACTGCTCTCTCCCTTGGAATTCCAAGATACTGCCCATGGATATTTCCTGGAATCACCACAGCAGTAAGTACATAAAAAATGAATTGCAAATTTTTTTCTACCCTACAAACTGGGATTACTCTGGTGGACGGCTGTGTAAATGTTGTTATAATTATTATCTTCTGTTTCACAGTCATTGCCATTTGATAACTTGCACGTCTTTAATATAAAAGACTAACTAATGGACCTCATAAGCTTTTTTTACTGTTTTCCTCAACTGTTTCTTTGAAATTTTGCCTCATTACTATCCAAATGTATGAATAACATAAAAAGGTCGAGTATGTTGAGTATTCGTCCATTCCAGTTCTTTTGTGTGGTTTCAGCAGCTAGTTCGGTAAGAATGCATTGTGTAACTCACCCTCTCTGATCTGAACCTCTTAACCACTTAGCTTGCTCTTCCACACCTCTTTCAGTGAAGAGGGGGGCATGGGGCTTATAAAAACCGCAAAACCGTAGAAAAAATCATCCAAAACCGAAAAAAAATTCGATGAAAACCGAAAACCGCATGCAAAACTGTCAAAACCGATGATGCATTTTCACATCCCAGTTATTAAAACCCTGATCGATCCGATAGAGTGGTAAAAAGTGGAGCATACAGGATTTATGAATGCCATGGACTTGGCATTCGTATCATCTAGTATCTGCTTAAATAAACAGCTGGTCTCTCGAGGACCTCAAGCGTGGTCTCTGCGGGCTCACCAGCTGGTAATGGAGCCTAGTTAAATTAAGGAAATTCTCTCAAAAGTCCTCAACAGGATTGCAATTTTGCAGTCCTGAAAAGCTATAGCTCCGGAAAGTTTTCACGAAAACCTCTAATCTAACATTTCCATTTGTGAACTATGACCTGAAAGTTTGGAGATTCTATTGGAATGTTGAATCAATCAGTCACATGTGGCCTGTAACTTGGTCACCAACTTCGAGGTGGCGTCGATAAAGAAACTCTGGTAATGTTCCGTGCTTAGCCGTACCCTCCCCTCCCCCCCCCCCCACCTTGGGGGAGCGGGAAGGGTACGGCTACACGTAGGCTACCTAGGGATCCCTGCGATATTTTCATTGGTTTGTCACGCATTCCTCTCGATAAAATTTGCATTTAGCGGCTATTCGAGATCAGTGGAGGCGCGTAATTGCCACTCAGATTGAAGAGAAACCGGAACCCAAATAGGTCAAATGAGAAAAACCGGAAATCACATCGGATATCAAATCCGAAAACCCGTTAGAATTTTTCGCGAAAACCGAAAACCAAATGGTACAAAACGGAAAATCCGCAAACCGAAATGGATACCAAAACCGAAAAACCGATCTAAAAACCGAAATAGCCAAAACTGCAAAACCGAAAATCCCAATGCCCCCCTCAGTTAAATATTTACACACTTAATACGGCAAGTTGACAAGAAATGAAGTTCGCGCGGGCATGCAAATCGTGAAGTTCGGATTGAAATGTGATCAGGTTTGTATAAATCAAAGCCTGTGACAAACAAATATTACATATTCATAAGCAGTTCATAAATTGCCTAAACGATAGGAATTCTGAGCTTACATTTTCGGTAGAATTCTTGTCGGGATCCGACGAGCAGCAGCTTAAGTCGGCCATGATTACCCTCGTGCAGGAATGATCCTGGGATGTGTGTGATCAACAGTTGAAAAAGTCGAGAAAAAAGTCGCGATAAAAAAACGGAACGCGAGAAAAAAAAAAATCGAGCGCGAGGAAAAACAAATCGAGCACGAGGAAAAAATCGAGCAAGCGAAAAACTAATCACCTTCATGCCGAATATGTGGTTGGGCATGTAAAGATAATAATACGAAATTTTTTAAAGGGGATTCCCTATTTAGTGGTTGACAAGTGAAATACTTTCCCATCATAATACCGCAATGACATTTTGCAGTTCTTATAACAAAGGAATACAAATATCTATCAAAGCTTAGTCGAGCAGTTAAAGTATTTCCTTTTATAACACTGTTTGATAATTGATTATGAAAATGTTTCTCTATAGAACGTTTCATTTGGGGACGAACGGTATGTTTGAAAACGTAGAGGAGATATTGGAAATCCTGAGATTTTTCGCATTCGGTTTAATAAATAAGAGTATAGTTGATTGACGCCTCCGAGAAGACGCATCTGTGTTCACACCTTTGGAAGCCGCCTGTGTGAATCACAAGTATTTGGCTACTATGCAAATGAGCTTATCCGAGGTTGAAGCTCGCATAAGCTCATCTGCGTAAAATGATTAAGCGGCACAAAGCTCGTCATGCCACGCCTATAACATGCGACGGTCACACGATCAAATATATAAAACAAACATACGAATTTTTGAGCGAGGTCAAGTGGGTGGAGGTTAATTAAAAGCAAAAAAACTTATAGGTCAAACATGCCCTTTCGATATGATGTTGAACGAAATCGTCTCATCGTTTAGCCGGGCTATTGAATGAATTTTAAGAGAGCCATAGGTAAGTTAGCTAGAGTGAAGCTTTAAAGACCTCTCGATACAAAGCGGACCACTTCGGTGGAGAAAGTTAAACTATAATGCGTATACACAGGGGTGGATCCAGGATTTTGAGTGAGTAGTTTCCACCCGAGGACCCACTCCTGCTAGGGGGGTTCGGGGGCATGTCCCCCCGAGAAAATTTGAAATTTGGAGCTCTCTAAAGGCCATTTCATGCATTTTTAGAAAATTTAATTGCCCCCAAAAGACTAAAAAAGCATGTAATTAAAAAGGCAAAAAACATTTATTTTTCTTGAAAGTACTACAGGAAACACTCTGATCTACAAATATTCCACCTTTAGCTACTGTGCAAACCAGTGTATATAGTGTTTTCAGGAAGGCCAAGTCATCACCAAGACTTTTCACACTGGAAAACATCACCTCCCAGTCAGGAAAATCAAGATGTGGAGAAAAAAAAATGAACCAAGTGTTAGTGTTTTTGATAACAAAAGAAAAACAAGCACAATTGATAATATAGTTTAAAGATTGATAATAAAAATCTACTTGCCTTTTTTCATCCTTGGGACCACAGGCTTACCATCCATAAAGCCCTTCTCTCTCTCAAATTTCTTCTGTGTTGTGCTCCTATAATGAATGAAATGAATGAAAGCCAGGCTCAATAAATCCAAATGTTTGCAACAACACTAAAAACAACATTTCCTGAGCTGGCTTTTATTCATTTCATTTATAGGAGCACAACACAGAAAAAGAATTTGAGAGAGAGAGGGCTTTTTATGGATGGTTAGCCTGTGTTGGGAGCTGGAATTCAAAAAATAAAACAATTATTAGAAAAATATAAATTATAAGAATCATAAAATGATATACAAATTGAAGTAAAATGATAATTTGAAATAATACTAGCCTTTCTTCATCCTTGGGAATTGCTGTGAAGCTGGTTGAGTTCAGTGAAAATGTTTGTTAACCATTTAAGCTTAACATGAAAACCCAATGTCAATGTCAATGGAAAATCATCACAAGTAAAACAAAATAGAAAATAACCTTGAAATGAGTTGAAAAAAAGTTATACAGGCACCAGTTTGAGCTTCTGTACTGTTCTCCATCAGTTTAAGGATTATGAGACTTAAAGGCCATAACCCAGACAGAACATAACTCACAAGTACTCTAGAAACAGCTGGTGCAAAAAATTATTACAAAATGTTTGCCATTCTCATTCTCCTAGGATGTAACTCAGCAAATAAATCTATTATACGTTCAAGGTCAAAATCCATGTCTCTGTGGGCATGCATCAGTGCCAATCCATTCAGTCTGTCCGGGGTCATTGTATTTCTCAAATAGTTCTTAAGATTCCGAAGGGATGATATGGATCTCTCACAAGATGCAGATGAAATTGGAATTGTGATCAGGACTTTCAGCATGGAATAGATGTTGACATATGCATCTTTGTCAATATCCTTCAGTGTAGCCTCCAAACTGTCAGGAATAATATCTCCTCTGTTATCCCTCCCCTTCCACAATCTCTCCCATAACAAAAGCTCTGCCTGTAATCCTGCATAATTTGGTATGTCCTGTCTGTAATGGTTACAAAATTCCAAAACATTGGCCTTCCAGGCAGGGTCAGTAGCTAGTAAAACAGAGGGAATAATCGAAATACCTTTATAGCAAACAAATACATCATCCTGGAATCTGGTGTTGAGCTGCTGGAGTACATGGTCAAGAAAAACTCTAGTGAGATTGATCATCATCTCTCCGCCCCCTGAGTGGGATGTTGTTTTTCCCACAGAAAATAATAGTTTTGAAAAGGGACTTTAGAATCTCCCGATTTCTCGCGATTTGCTGTTGAACTATGTTATTTAACTGCTGGTCAATTGGGACAGCTCCTCTTTGCATCATTCTCTTGAAATCATTCATAGCAGTCATAGAAAAATTGTGAATTTCACAATTTCCTAGCGAGTGTTTGGTTAAGCGAGAAGCGGCCGAAGTCCAATTTGTGAGAGGAGACTTCAATAGTTTGTCTAACTTATTAGCGTTTCGCCCACACTGAACTCCAAAACAAACACAAGCTAAACAAAATGCTCCATCGAAATATTTGGAGTAAGCTAGCCATGGAAATCTTTTCAGCCAGCCCGAGACAAACTTACGAGATTTTCCATTTTCCATTGACACGGGGAAATAAAAAAGCTCACCTGGTTTCCACACGTTTTCGACGAACTCCAGCTTCTGATGCGGCGAGTAGTTGTGGATCTCGTCGAAAACTAGGCCAATGTCGAAGGGAGAACAATCCTCCCTCCGACAGACAGGATCTCCGCGAGTCATAACACTAGTATTGTAGGAGCAACGAAAGAGACCCGCTGGGCGAGGAACTGCCCTTTTTATACTTTGTCAGTAGTTTCCAAGGTAGTTTCCAAACACAACTAGCCAATCAGAAGAGTGTTTTGAGTGAGTTCCGATGACGAAATCTTTGCTAGCCAATCGTGAGGGGTTTTGACTGTGTTCCGCCTGTTATTGTCACCAAATAACAAGGACTTACACCCACCGGTTGCGTAAAGATTGGCTCCACGAACATTTTCCGACGGCTTCCGACGGTTTCCGAGGTGTAATCGAAGCTCGAAAGGCCAGCGCGTGATCCGGAGCGCTCCCGAACGCCTCATGACCGCAATTATAACGAAATTAGTCATTCTAAACGTATTTTCTTTAATAAATAACTGTAAAACAGGAAGATGGTTTATTTCTGGAAGACGTTTAGTGATTTCCACAAAAGTATCAGTAGTTTCCAAAGGGAAATTAGAGTGTTTTCCAAAAGTACTTTTATCAACATTTAACTAGGTCAGAAAAAATTTGAGTGAGTTCCGGAAATCAGGTAAACTACCCTGGATCCACCCCTGATACAAGTGACTTTTTCAAATACCAACCTTGGACCAAGGAGCATCTGCATCTCAAACCGCATTAAGGACCATAATCAAATCAAACTTTTGTCAGTTAGACTTTGATACTTTTTGACCATATGTAAACCACATTTTTTTACAGGCATTTTAGACATAGAAGGATGGATTTTCAGTCTAGCCTATGACAACCGCAATACGCACGCTGGCATACACGCGTGAGGCCGCCTACAACACGCAAATCCGGTGGATATCCCAATCAAGGGGGCACTGCACTGAGACTACAACTACCTGAAAAATTTATGGTTCTAGTTTGGTGTAACAGATAGCATGAAATTTTTGATGAAGACCGTAATCATGAATTTTCTAAGTTTCTTTTATTCAGAATATAAGCTCAGTGTTTACCTTACTTACAGTATGACGTTTCTTACTTGACTTCCCCGGTTGGAAGGTCATCATACCAATGATAAACTCACAGGTTTTAAGTCTCGTAGACTACCAATGCCTAACTTCCATTTTGATAAAATGACGCACCGCAGATCGCCTATTGACTAGTATCGCCGCATCAAAAGCGAGTGCACAGTTTCATGAGAACTTCTTGAGCAAGGTTCTCAATCTGACTCATCCTCTAAAATTCAATGTAAAAAAAGCAAAGATTAAAAAGGAAGAAAATTGGGTTCGTCAGCGAAGTAGTGATCAATGCTTCAGAACACCTTATGTCAACTAAACTATGATTTGGTCCTATTTTGACGTCATATTTAGACTTCCTTCATGCCAAATTCTTGAGCAATGTTGACATAATTGTTGCATTTTCTCTTGATCACAAAATCCACACCTTTTGTGTTTGACTTCTCAGTAACTTCTCTTTCCGGTGGCTTATGGGTTTCTCTCACAAATATCCTCGCAAAGAGTGCATTGAATTTCCCCATATTTAAATCATTTAGTGTCATAACTGACAGTGTTGTTCGAATAGGAACATTAATGTATTGAAGTTTTCCCCGAGGTATTTTCCCTTAACTGTGATATTGACATAATTCGTAATAGTTTCTCTTTAAATTGAATTTCACGCCATTCGTGTTAAACCTCGCATTCTTTACAAGTACCTTCTCTTCCGCAATTTCTTTTGTGTACTCCACGTGACATCGCTTAAATCCAGTTATTTGTGTTTTTGTCATGGATCTAATACAAACTGACCATATCTTCCATTCCATTGTTTAATTTGATCGTTTTAGTAGGAGCGGCGATGATTGTTTAAAAATGATTGCTAAATATGTCATGCTTCTTGGATATCAGGTCGCAGGTGTTCTTTTGTTTGTTTTCAGGGCAATCAACAAAGACAATCCAGTATCAATATTTAAAAACAACAGTGACCTTGTTTCTGCCCTCCTGGGTTTTTTTCGCCACCGTTAAAAATCGTCGGAAATGTGGCCATCAGCCACAATTTTCCCTCTAATATACGGTTTTGTACTACTATCAGCTTCACAAAGCAAAGGCATTGACATCAAGAACCGTGACGGGAAAGGTAAGCTAAGCTCTTTTTGCTAAATGAAAATTTGCAGCACCGATTCACTAGTGACAATTCACCTAAAATCCATATAACCTGCAGTCTGGACTTGGTTCGAAAGCTTTCTGTCGGTGTCAATAGGAAATAATTCTACATACTTCTGTCTTCTTCTGTAAAACTCCTTTTGCTGCACACAATAAATTTGAATACTGTGAGGCTTATCTGGTACTGACATATGCCTAAATGTGACTTGATCCCCTTTAAATGTGACAATTTGTGTTTGCTTTTATTTGTTAACACCCAATGTATCGTGACTTTTGATGATATCCGTGACTGTTGTCAACAAATCTGCCCTCGAGGTTTACTGATCAATCAGATAAATAACCATATGTTACACACAATACATAGAGACGTTTACTGTCACTCGTAATCCTTTTGAAGAATGTGCTCAGCTTTATCGCTTGACAGACATCCGTGTAACTGAAAAATCAAAGGTCCTTACATGTCAAATTCAACAGTATTATGATTTGGGCCTGTACTGTTATCATACCCCCGGGAAATTTATTTGTTGTGAAAAATGAAAAGCGTAAACTAATGTAAGTTCAGCCGAATATCGATGAAATTGAAAATCACAATGAATTGTGGAACTGGTTTTGGTTTCGGCTCAATAAGTGACTTTGACTGTTCTACATCTGCATTGAACTAGATAGGAGAGTTAGTTATTGGGTATTAAGAGAGAGAATTACAACTTTAAATAATCTCGGTTCTTCGAATAAAAAACAGATATTGATACAACTCATTTAACTTGCGCATAGTTTTCCCTCATTGCAGAAGACAAAGAGCAAGGTGTTGTTCGTCAAAAAAGGACGTTTGGTAAAGTTGAACCGCCATGTAACTGTAAGTTTTCTATAGTTACATAACCCACACTAGTTTTCAATTTTCAAGACTCGATTTGTAATTTCCTCTATAACTTTCATACATTTTCTTGTTGACAGGTTACAAAAGCTACAGGTATTAGAAAATAATACGGTTCTGCTGTGAAATTTTGTGTATTCCCATCACGTTTTGGCTTTGTAACGCACCGAAATTATGAGGGGGATTTCATACGATATTCACTTCTGGGGCAAAAAATGTTCGGTCGTAGGTAAAACTCTTGTGGTAATCATTTCCAGCAATGTACGTTCGACCTGCCGCGAAAAAATGAATAATCCTACTGATATTGAATCACTTTGTTTGCCTTCATTTAGTGACCCGTGGCGTGTACGTGGAAAGGTGGGACAGGATAGATTACAAGCGCATTAAATTTCTGCTGAAGGATCCGCGATTTCCGAACCTGCCAAGTTTTGCAACATGTTTACCAACATTTGAGCAGCCAACAAACTGGGGGGACTTCTTTGGTTCGCGATTAAGAACCTACTTTGTCCCTCTTCAGACTGGAAACCATTATTTCTTCATTTGTAAGAATCCTGCTTTCCTTAATATGTAGTAAAAGAACGACCAAAGGGAGCAAAGGATCACGTAATGATCCTGACATAATAATGAAACTTCACCTAAGTAGTTCTTACAAGATCAAGTAAAACTCAGGGTCAGGCATTGTTGAAAATTAAACATATACTGTTCATCATTACCACATTATTGGCTTCAGGATCATCATAGATAAACAATAGCCTCCATCTGGTGTGAAAATATTCACGCATAACTGTCCGCGTACACTACCTGTTTCCAGATGCGAACAGTTTTGCGAGAGTCAAGCTCGAGGAAAACTGTGAGCTTTGAGGAACAGATAATGTCCAAGGACAAATATGCGAGCTTATTTTCGCACCAAGTGAGAGCGATTGTGTTTATTATCCTTGAGATAAATTTGCAATATGCGGAAAAAATGTTTACGAACAGCTTATTGTTTACTGCGTATGATATTCACCTTTGTTCTCTGGTAGGACTTTATGAACCAACAAAATGCTCTCTCATTTTATTTTATCTCAAACTAGAAATCACTCGAAGACTTTTCGTATTGGATGTAAGGTTTGAAAATTAGGGAAAATCTTCAGGGGTGCATTCTCTGATATTTCGCACTTTTAGGTGTGGAATATGAATAATCGGTCACGTGATAGTTTTGACTAATCGCACATGAACAAAAAATGTTTGAAAATCATCATATCTTAGAAAAACCCGATTAGTGTTCCAGAAGATTGGCAAAAAACGTTCTGATTTGGCTACGGAAGGGGAAGACTTATAACTAGTACAGATGTTGAAATGAAAAAAGGCAAAACGCAAAAGCAATTTTTGTGGTTTTCTTTTACTTAATAGTACATAACTACGATACAATTTCGCACTCCTTTTCTTTGAAATACAGCTTCTAATGCAGGAAGTGAACTGTTCATAAGCACAAATGCCAACCCAAAAGGTAAAACAATGATCACTGGAGTAGATGGAGGATTTCCTACAAACCACTACGAATATGACAGGTACACTTTCAACAAAGTATGGTTTAATTTGGGATTCATTTTCCACCGGAGAGGCGGAGGGTGAAAGTGAAATTAAAAATGATCTTAGATTGGCGTATACGTTGAATGGGGAAATTTTTTTTCTCTACATCGCCCCTCAATATGACTTTCACCAAGATTCTATAAGGGCAGGCGAGACCTTAATAGTCCATGGAAAGGAAAGGAAACAGAAAGAGCCAACATCATTCGATGTAATGTTCACCCTGTTCAAGTATGAGTCGCCTTTCTTTTAAGTACTCAAGAGAAATGGTCAATTGTGCAATGGAATTCTTTTTAAAAATTTGTAATTTTTGGACTCAATCCAGTTCTCCAGGACTACGTTAAAACATATCAAGGGTGATTACAGTTGTATTTAGCTTCGGTTTGAGACTTGTAAATGACCAACACGCAAAAGCCCTCAGCTAAATAAGCTATAAATATTAAAACCGTTACAGGTTTACAAACCAGAAGTCACTCCCAGTTTACCTAAAAAAAGGCGTGTACTACTACATGGAGGCAATCATGAAAGATGACCATCAATGGGACCACTTAGAAGTTGCTTTAGAGACACCAGATGGAAAGTTTTATAAAGTGATTCCCTCTCAATTCCTCTGGACGATATACCACCCATCTTCGGGTCAGTAGCTCAGTGCTCTTCAATTTGAAAATTTCTTTCATTTTTTTTCTTGCTTAACTTTGTATCCATAAATTCGCCCATTCAATTACAAAAGCCCCCCAGCCCCACACATAATCTCAATTATTCTCACAATGTATTAAACGAAATATCTGCACTATTATTCCATAAATTAAAATTAACTATACATTTTTATCGTATAATGTACGTTCTCCAGAGTACAACTTCACGTATCAGGCAACATTGATCAGAGCAGCAGCAATAGCTGGTGCTAAGGCTGGTTCGTCATTCGGAGCAAAGTGGGCTATGAAAAGTGGAGCAAAAGCTGGAGAAAAGGCTGGTGCAATGGCAGGAATGAGGGCTGGAGCATCAGCAGGAGCCAGTGCAGGGGAAAAAGCTGCTGCGAACACGATGACAAGGACTTTAGAAAATGCAATGAACTCCCTTCACGGTGATGAACTTCATAAGTTTAAGATCACTCTCAAAAGCGGAAGTGAAGTCGATATTACTGGCCCTGGAATAGGAGGGGCTGGAACCGGTGCTGCCGGAGCTGCCGGTGCTGCAGGGGTCGGTGGAGCAGGGGGAGCGGGAACTGCCGGTGCTTCTGCAACAGCTGGAGCAGCTGGAACGGCTGGATCAGCTGGAACGGCTGGATCAGCTGGAACGGCTGGATCAGCCGGAACCGCCGGTGCAGCTGGAGGTGCAGGAGGAGGAGGAGGAGGAGGAGGAGGAGGAGGAGGTGGTACAGGAGGAGGAGGCGGAGGCGGAGGAGGAGGAGGCGGTGGCGGAATAGCAGGAGGGAGTAGCGGAGGAATTATTGGCGCTGGATCAAGTGGGTCTTCGAGTGTAGGGGGTGGCAACAGCGCGGCAGGAGGAACAGGTACAAGCATAGGTGGTGGTGCTAGTGCTGGCGGAGGTGTGTCTATAGGAGGAGGAGGAGGAGGTGCAGTGGCTGGATCATCTTCTGGGATGGCTACTGGAGGCTCTAGCGCTGCAGGAATCGCAGGTGGGGGTGCTGTCGGTGGGGCTCCTGGAGAATCTTCCTACTCTTCACAACGTGAGGTCACGTATATTCCAAAACCGGGAGAGGATCCACAGACAATTGCCCGACAGTTAGTTTGGAGGGTTGGAGGCGCAAGCAAACGTAAGTGAAAAATTCCCCTCATATCTCACTGAAAAACATCAAAGTTTCACAAAGTAATTCGTCCAATAGAAAAAGATGAATTCCGAGCACAAAATAGGGACAAGATTCTTTTCAGACGAAAACTTTAAACTTTAATGCTAGTGGTTTCAAACCAAATATTGATCAGCGTATGGAAATAAAATATCTAGTCTAACAGAATTCCGAAGTCCCAGAGCGATTTTTCTGCAATGAAAAGTATCTGGGGACTTACTAAGCTTGATTTAATTATGCAGCGGTGCAAGTTCTGAATACTTAGTAGATTGTTATCAACTAGGGAAAATGTTCTTGAGCGCATAGAACAGTCAATCTCAGACGCTGCACAACTATGAGACCTGGAGTTCGTCAGTTGCCTGAAATTAGACTATTAATCTTTAATTGGATAAATCTTGACAACTGATGTCTGTCAAATTAAAAGAAATCTTATTCGTTCCACTCTCCTTAGTTGTGGACAAAGGACTATACACTATTCATTCATATGACATTCCATATGCCCAAGAGAACAGTACACTTAACTTCTGCTGGCGTTCCAAAAACAGTGATGTTGCGCTGGATCACTTCTGCCAAGTTTTCAGAGCTCATATTCCAGGCCTTTTCGAGAAAGTTAAGGACAGTGACGGCACAGTTTCATTTGAGTCACTCTGTTTACCAGGACATTACATCAAGCAAAGAAACTACCATTTCATTCTTCAAAAAAGGGACGGATCGGAACTCTTTGGTAAGGATTAATTTCAAATGCTTGCTTGTTACGTTCCATATTACATTTCCCCCCTTTTCTTGGGATACTCAATCGTTATAATTGCATCAGAGGACTGCAAAATCGGCAAGTGCAAGTTCAATCCTTGAACCAATTTTCGCTTGACATTTTTAAGTACTATTTCACAATCTTTGTGTGTCTTCTTTCGTTTGATTGTAAATGGGTACATGTAAAGATTTTTAAAACGCTACTGAAGGTCCTCACTTCTGGTCCGTCCGTCATGTTTTAGAAACCGGACAACCAACAGCAAGAGTACAGCAGAAGATGCCTTTGGTTCACAGTTTCATTTCTGTTCTTTACTTTAGTTGCGTAGCTATACTGTCCAATGTAAATTATCCAATTTTTTTAAATATGTATATATACTTTTTTAAAATTATACCACGACAAAAGAACGATGCTCCTATACAGAGATCTTTGCCAGCTTTATTGATTTGACCCTTTAATTTCAGATAAAGAGAGCTCCTTCAGAGCTTTCTCTGTGATGAAATACACTCGGAATCTGATGCTGCAATCTATGCATAAGGATTGGTATATTTGTGAAAAAAAATCGAAGTCGATCCATATAGCATCTGAATTAAAGTTGGACTTTTACAATGGTGACCCTGATGTCCTCGTTCGCTGCACGTTTGTCTTTCATCCTATCGCTCAAAATGAAAATAAATACAGGATGTGCCAGAGGGTAGTGGGACCTGTGGCACAACCAGAAATAAGTGGACAACCTCTTCCGCATCCTCCTCACTTAGTTCCGGATGCATCACCATCCCCTGCTTTGCCCTCGTGTATACCAGTATGTCCAGCAAGGAAAGGGGAAGGAGCCTCAGCTCAACCAGGAAATTTTGAACCATCCATTCCCGGCCCTCCAACGTCATCTGGGAGTCCTTCTGTCGCAAATGTCAAGAGTAGGTGACTCTTTTAATGCATATATTCAATGTGTTTTGCTTTACAGATATCTCTTGTCTCCTGTATCTAACAAGCATAGAAGAGCTGTCTTCAAACTTCTCCTGGGGTCAAAGTTTTAATAAATTTACGTTCCTTTTTTTTGTTAAATTAACAACTTTATGCAAAGTCAACACTTTAAAGTCAGTTTGAACAGAAAAAATCCAATATGGGGAGCGAAATTAGTCGAGTGGTTTGTAATGTATTGTATAATCATTTTTAAAATCTATTTTACGCTAGTACTCCCTCTTGATTTTTTTTTGTCGGCAGAGGCGTGTGTCGCCGTGAACTTCATAAACAATTTTGGATCTGAATTCAAAATTTTATCATCCCTCAAACACGAGGCATACCTAGTAACTGGATCTGGCTTTAAGCTGAAGCTTATGATAAACCGGCCCGAACTTCACAGTCACGTGACTTTCACCGCTGAAGATCCTAAATGGAACCGGGAATTGCTATTGAACCAAAAGCCAAATATATCAGAGGCAGTGGTCGAGGGATGTCCTGATTATATGGATGTCATAGTGACATCAAAAAAAGGTAAAAATGAGCTATAAACTGTTGATGATAATCGCTGAGCAACTACCCTTTACCAGCAGGATTGCAAATGATCAAGGTGTACCATGATGATATTCCCACGACACAGTAAATGAGCCTTCCAAAAAAGACAGCCGACTTGGTTTCTGAGCGTTTAAAATGAGTCAATTAAGTGTAGCATTGATACTACTACTTGACTGTTATTCTACATAGATATCATCTTATCTACATACATCTGGATACTTTTTTTTCTCCGCACAGGCGCCTCAACAAACAGGACCGGTAGTCATGTTGCTCCTCCGTCACTTCCGTTAACACCTTCCTCACCGGCTTCAATATTCCCTCCACCCTCTCCCCCTGCCTTATCTCCAGCTCAACCCTCTCCCCCTGCCTTATCTCCAGCTCAACCCTCTCCCCCTGCCTTATCTCCAGCTCCACCCTCTCCCCCTGCCTTATCTCCAGCTCCACCTCTACCTCCGTCCCCTCCATACAATTATCGAAAGCCTCCTTCTTCTCCAGTAACAGCACCATCTCCACCCTCCCTGCCATCATCACCACCTTCTTCAGCTTCAGTATCAAACGGAAGTAAGTTTACACACTGAGGAAGAATTACTACTTCTGACCAGGATTGATATCCTCAGCGAAATTCAAATTTTTTTTGGTAACTTTCGCAGTTTCGCACCGCTGTCTTTACCTTTCATGAGATTCCGTTTTTGTTATTTATGTGAAACTAAATCCCAAACTTATGTCAGAATAACGTAGCAACTCAAGAAGCAGTTATACTGATGAATGCTGTGTTCATATTTTCATTGATAGAGCAAAATCTCATGCACACAACAAATCCAAAGTCATCATATCCAGGGCTTTGGAAATATTGGGACTGGATAACTTAAACATTTTCTTAATTGTTATTATGAACGCGTAACTAACCTTTTTTGATTTAATTCATTCAGAACAGGAACCACAAGCACTCCACTATCACTATCACTTCCATGGTCAGAAAGCAACGGCGGGTAAATCAGGTAAAATTTTAGAACAAAGAATATACGACGATTCTGTTCTTACTACAACCTAATGACATAATTAGTGATTATTCAACGATCTCGGATGACCTGGCCGGATCTCTACCAAACAAAGCAACAGACAAAGAACACAACATTAATACAGCCATAATGTACGCCAACATGCCTAAAGTACAACATTAAACACACAAGCTGGAGGCTTGACAAGATTTAACCGGACTATTTTTTTAAATATGTTTGTTTCAGCATTTTGTCCCAACATGTGCTCGCAGTCTGCAGAATGTCATCCCACTTGTCCATCACACTGCTGCAAGCGCGACTTCGATGAGGAAATATCAGACAACGATGATGACGAAGATATAACGGTGATTTGAAAACGTCCATTCATTGCATGTCGCTATTTTTCTCGTTTAAAATTAACAAAGATTGTTGATTTGTATATTGATGGCGGATGGGCGTGCTAGCATAACTCCTGACCTTAGGAAACTTAAAAAAATGGCTTTCGAGGCTATTTTAGCGACTCCTGCATCGCTTGCCTGGTGAAAAAAAACAGAAGACATTTATTGTCTCTAAAATAAGTGCTCATGTATCTGTCTCCACTTTGATTTGTAATTTCTTGCGATGGAAATTGTCAAAGAAGTTAAAACTTACAAATAAACTGTTTAGAATACTACTAAATGTACGTGTCATGAAGCACCTGTCTCGAGTATCTAATTTCCTCTGAATCTCAAAAACATAATCCCAGACTCTACTGCTCCAAACTTTAAAAAACTTAAGTTTGAGACCTCGTATACGATTTGGTTTTGAAGTTCTCGCTATCTAATCCACTAATCTGATACAAAACCAAAGTTGATGACAACTCAATAAATCCCGTTTTCTTGCACACGGCGTACGTTACGCGGTTTTCTTCGTTGGTTCCTCGTGATACTTACGTTTGCCACGATTGGCTGCTTTAGATCAAATCAGTCTGCGTCTAATTTGACGATACTCGAAAATAAAGCACACACCAAAGTATGCTTCCTACATCGTTTACAACGCCTTATTAGCGTAATTGCCCAATTGTTTAACTGAGAACCACAATAAAAGTGAGACAAGGAGTGTGCCAAATGTATCATGGTACTTCACTATTCGCTGCGGGTGTTCTTTTGTTTATTCAAAACACATCGACTATTGAGAACTAGCATCAATATTTATAAAAAAAATGACCTTTCGTAAAGATTTCCTCTTGGCATTGGCGCCTCTGTAGCTGAAGACGCTATTGAGATGAGCCGATCAGTCACGGTTTGCTTTATATTATTTGCTGTGACTTCACTCACCGTTTCACATGGCTACGAAGTTGGAATCCAGAACCGAGACTCTAAAGGTAATTTCCAATAAAACTGCGTATCACTGTTTTCAAGTGACAGGTTAGTTACTCCTCCAACCCGTAATATCCTCTACAAAGTCAATCAAATAGAATTGATAAACTTTGTCTTTCTATAGTCTTGAGCTTAAGACTTGCGAAATACTGAATGCAATGACTTAGTTAGATCAACATCTACGTTACTTACTACTAGGTGCTAAAAAATGGGTTTCGCTACAGATGTTGAACTTTATCTCCGAATTTCCTTCAAATTCAAATCGTAATTGTTACATATCATATCTAGCACAGACGGGTTGTAGACAGTTTGCCTGAATGAAGTTTATCTGATTTGACAACACCATTTAAGAAAAAAATCTAAGGAATCTGTGATCATAACCTAGCTCAAACGCTTTATCACGATATACTTGATTTGATACACCTCTTAAATACATATTAAATAAAGTGAACTCCATTTTCTTTTCATTTAATTTAGCAAGGGAACAAAAGCCATGTGTTTTGTGGTGTAATACTGAATGTTTGTTGTGATCTATACGTGGAAGAATCAAAATCATCAACATCATGTCCGGTTCAGTTTCAATTGATGCTAAAATCTTCATACTTTTATGGAAAATATATGCAAAAAATTTCATAGGAAGCTATCACTTATTGAAGTACGTACATTTTCATGATAACGGTCTCAAACATTATTCATTCCTCGCAACAGAAGGTGAGCACGATGTTGCTCGTATAAAACGGGCATTTGGTAGTTCTGCACCACCCTGTAACAGTAAGTGAGAATTCAATGTTTTTTACTTTTTTGTCTCCAAATAATTGATGTGCTTTGCCTGTAGAGTAGCAAGACGTTAGAGTTCGGAGACCTTTCGTCTGTAACTTTGTGTTCACACATTATTTCCCCAAAAAGAATATTTTTACGTGACGCCTATTCGTGCTTCATTTCTGATTCAAATCTGAGAGGTTTTTTCTGTACCCTCTTTAAACCAAGTCAAAACTTTTATTACTTCATCTTTTTTAAAATCAATTCTGTTTCAGGGACGAACGGCGTTTACTTAGAAAGATGGGATAGAATTGATTACAAACGAATCAGGTTTCTACTCGCGGATCCGCGATATCCAAACCTGCCAAGTTTTACCACATGTGTGCCAACATTTGAACAGCCTGCTAACTGGGGAGACTTCTTTGGCTCTCGTTTAAGAACTTATTTCGTCCCTCTTCAAACCGGAAACCATTACTTCTTTCTGTGTAAGGGTCCAGTCTCTATATGTAATGGTAGACTGCTTTTCGAAATATGAAATACTTTTAATGAGATATGTAAATAAGTTCAGCAAAGGGGGTCTTCCATACATAAACAAAAACTGTAAACGTCTATAAAATGACCCCAAAGCAACTCATGCGCAATCTAACTGGATGAGCTCCATGATTAGTGCAAATTTGGCGAAGAAGCTGTCAGTGTTGCGCCCCGTCCAAATTTTCTTTTGCCTGAATTACTCGACTGAAAGTTCTTTCCTGAACATAAGTTCTCATTTTGACTGAATTTCATATCGGAGGGCATGACTGATAGTAACGTAACTACTCGCTGCATGATGCATTGTGACCTCAATTGTGTGCAACATGAACGGGTGTTTCACAAACTGAAATTAAAAAATAACATGTACTAAGATTCATATCTTACTAAGGGCCTTTACGGTTTTTTTCCTTTTTTCATTTCCAGCTTCTAACGGTGGAAGTGAACTTTTTCTAAGTACAAATGATAAGCCAGATGGTAAAACTAAGATTGTTGAAGTAGATGGAGGATTCCCCAGCGACCAATATGAATACGACAGGTAAATGGGAAAACACACTGTCAGTGAAGATGAAGCACAGAAACAAGTAAAACGCTTCAAACATTTCTCCTAAATATAAAAACTGAGAGGTAGATTTTTGAACGTCCGATAGTATTACTTTAAAGGCCACCAGATAAATTAATTGTTGACATATGATGATATGCCTTAACAGATTCTTAAATCAAAAGTCCCTGCCGGTATCTTTGAAAAAGGGTCTTTACTACTACATGGAAGCAATCATGAAGGACGATCATCAATGGGACCACTTGGAAGTTGCTTTACAGACACCAGATGGAAAGTTTTATAAGGTGATTCCCGCTCAGTTCTTATGGACAACAAACCGTCTATCTGCATGTAAGTAAACTATGTCTTTTTTATGAATACATTCACCCACCAATGCAACTTCTAAAAACCGATTAAAGGCTACCAATTAACCAAATAATCCAACACAACCTTCGTAGCCTTTTAAGCTTTCAGGTAAACTTGAAAATGTTGCAACTTGTTCCTAAAAAGTGAAGTCTCTTACTAGCTACCAGACCATAATTATTCATAGTTAAATTTTAACTCCAAAGTAACGTCCCCCTCAATAAGTGTTATGATTTCCAAGCAGATCAGAATGCCACCTATCAGGCAATTATACTTAAGGTGGCGGCAAAGGCGGGTGCTAAAGCTGGTTCATCATTTGGAGCAAGATGGGCGATGAAAACTGGAGCTCACGCTGGAGCAAACGCTGGTGCAATAGCAGGAATGGAAGCTGGAGCATCAGCCGGTGCTCGTGCAGGTGAAAAAGCTGCAGCAGAGACAACGACAAAAATGCTGGAAGACGCACTGAACACCCTTCATGGTGACAACCTGCATAAGTTTAAGATAATCCTCAAGAATGGAAGTGTTATCGATGTAACTGGTCCTGGAATGGTAGGTTCTCAAGCAGCAGGATCCACTGGTGGAGCCAATGCAGTAGGGGCCGGAGTGAGTGGAGGTGGAGGAGGAGCTAGTACTGGTGGCACACCAACAGGGGGAGCAGGAGCTCGAGCAGGTATGGGAGGAGTGGGGGGTGGAACAGGTATGGGAAGTGAAGCTGGAGGTGGGGCAGGTATGGAAGGAGGAGCGGAAGGTGGTGGAGGAGGAATGGGTGCAGGGGTGGTAGGTGGAGGAGGTATGGGAGGAGGGCTTGGTGGAGGGACAGGCTTGGGAGGTGGAGCAAGTGGTACTGCTGGAGGAGGCGTAGGTGGTGGGGCAGGGGCAGGGGCAGGGGTAGGGGCAGGGGCAACTGCAGGTGCAGGTGCAGGCAGGAGTTCAGTCCATTACCGGGAGTGCTAAAGGCGGTGGGTCATCATCCCAAATAATCAGTGGGGCCAAAGGGGCAGCAGGTATTGCTAGTGGAGCCAGTGGCGGTGTCCAAATTTCAGGCCAAGAAAGTTATACAACACAACGTGAAGTAACTTATATTCCAAAACAGGGCGAAGATCCACAGGCCGTTGCTCGGGAATTAGTCTGGAGAGTTGGAGGTGCAAGCAGACGTAAGTAAAACGTTATCATTTCGAAACAACCTTGAAAACAAAACATGAATATGGAAATCAAATATATCTAAAACAGGCCAAAACGTTTTAAATCAGAAAGGAGATATAAATGTTAAGAAGACAAGAGACTTTTTACTCCCCAGAGCCTATGACTGATTCTCCCCCTCTGATTGTCGCTGATTTACTTTGACAATCAATTTGGAGTCAGGTTCAGGCCACTCATCCATTGTGGGGTAAATAGTGTTTTCATTTTCATAACATGTATGAGTATTAAGGCTGAAGAAATAATACATTACTTATTTAATAAAAACGCCTGATATGAGTTAAATGGTGTTGGGTATTGTATCTCTTTACACACACTTGCTAACCACCTCTAATATTTTAAGAACACGTTCCAAGCGTTGTTGTTCTTTTCACAGTTGTTGGTCATGGATTATACACCATCCATGCATATAATATTCCATACTCGCAGGAAAATGGTACACTCAACTACTGCTGGCGTGCAAAAGATGGCGACCTCGGCTTAGGGCCTTTTTGCCAGGTTTTTAAAGCTCACATCCCAGGGCTTTACAAACATATCAAAGAAAGAAACGAAACGGTGTCGTTTGAATCACTCTGCCTGCCAGGGTTCTATCTCAGACAAAAGAACTACCACTACATTCTGCAGAAAAGAGACGGGTCAGACCTTTTTGGCAAGTATTAAGTTATTTATTGTTTCCATAAACATTATTCCTTTACCTATGTGGGTGATACAGGAAGTAAAGTTCTAGTACTTTTGTCGAAAGAAAAAATGAAAGGTAACATGTTGGGTGATATGACCTCTCGCAAAGATTGCTGACGACTTAAATCAGTCCAAAAACAAAGTTTACAAGCTCCTGGCTGGGCTCAACAAATGCGTTTTACACATGTCTTATTGACTTCTGGCTCGCTGCCTGACGGAATGTACCACCTGATCGCATGCCTTCTTACAAATGACACTTTTTAGCTATCTTTTTTTCACTATGTTTTCACCTTTAGAGAAGTAGAACATTTTTGTTCCAAATTTCGAGTCTATTGGAGAAGTTCACAATTTGTACTTCTCTTGCATCACATGCTACGTCTTTCCTCTCAAACTACATATTACAACAATAATAAGAGAGAGATGTTTTTTTCGTCTTGTCACGAGCGTGGGACAAAGAAAAAATTCTGAGTCCTCATGAGGAATCGAACCTCAGACCTTCGAATTCCGCGCTCCGATGCTCTACCATTGAGCCACGGAGACTCCACGATCTGTTAAGAAGTTCATATGAAACGCATCCCGCGTCTGCTAGGATCAACAATGTCTATAGCGTAATGTTTATAAATAGAAAATAAGAGAGATGGTAAGTTTTGAACTCGGTAAAGAAATAGAGATTTTCACTGCTGCCTAAGTAGTGCACATTACTGCGAGGATCACTTAAATTCACGTCTTTATCCGCAGTTCAAATGTATGACTTTCATATATTCTTAACAGTTTATTTCATCACTTCACGGGTTTATTTAGAACCAACATCATAACCAGCTCCCAGTTGGCTTGTTAGCTCAGTTGGTAGAGCGCTGCACCGGTATCGCAGAGGTCATGGGTTCAAATCCCGTACAGGCCTGAATTTTTTCAGGCCTTATTTTCACTACTGCCTAAGTAGTGCACATTACTGCGAGGATCACTTTCATTCACGTCATATTTCTTTGTCCCACGCTCGTGAAATGACGAAAAAAAAAAAATTTTTCTTTATTTTTTCTTTACCCAGCTAAAAACCTACCATCTCTATTATTTCCAATAAAAAGGCTGTTCTTTTGCAGATAAGGAGAGTTCTTTTACTGCATATTCTGTGATGAAGTTTACGCGCAATATCATGTTGCAGTCCATGCATAAAGATTGGTATGTTTGCGAGAAAGGGGAAAGAAAATCGATACATTCAACCTCTGAGCTAATGCTGGACTTTTACAATGGTGACCCTGATGTGCTTAGCCGGTGCACGTTTTTATTCCATCCTATAGCTCAAAATGAAAATAAATACAAAATGTGCCAGAACGTTTTAGGGCCAGTGGAACATCCCCACATAAGTGGACAACCTCTACCGCACCCCCCTCACCTGATTTCAAACAAACCTGCCTCATCTTCTGCACTTCCTTCTTGTATACCGATATGTCCACCAGGCACTATAGGTACAATACCAGGACAACCAACAAATTTAAAGCTATCGAATAAAACTCCTGCACCAACTGGGAGTATGGGCCTTCCCTCGAGACCTGCTGTTAATACAGTTAAGAGTAAGTGCTAGTCTGTAATTTTTTCAAACAATTTTTTTATACCACCCCTTCACTTTGCCGAAAACTTTATTGTCGTTTTGTAATGTCAAAGTCTGATACGTTAATGGGGCAGAAAATATTTTTAATTCATTGAATTGTTTTTTTAGAATTTGAGATTTTTGAATCAGAGTGATACACATTTTGAATCTCGATTTGCGTAGATACGAGACGAATTAAAGGCCGTTTCGCTTAACTAGCATTCATGTTTTTCATTGTGATAGAAGTAATACTGATCGAGCAAACAGCGGTATTCAAAACTGTAAAAGTAGTCATTATTGGAGTGTTCACCAATTTCATATACTTTTTATGCTGCATCGCTAATGAAAACATTTCTCATGTTGGCAACAGAGGCCTGTGTGGCGGTGAACTTTGTAAACAATATGGGATCACCGTTCAAGCTTTTCTCCTCACTCAAACATGAGGGATACCTAGTCACTGGTTCAGGAATTAGACTTAAACTCATAATAGAGAGACCTGAACTCCACAGCTACGTGACGTTTAATGCTGTGGATCCGCATGGAAAGACTAACATCCTCCTGAACGAGAAACCAAGTATTTCAGAGCCAGCTGTGGTGGGATGTCCTGTGTTCGTGAATGTATCAGTTACAGCTGAGCAAGGTACAAACGAAGAGACAAGGGATTACTGAGCACACCTGTTGGCCTAGATTAAAAAAAAGGCGCGAGAAATGACTTAAACATCTATCTGGAAATTCTCCAAAAAGTGTCTGAAAATCTCATTTTATCTCTAAAAATCTCTACCTTTTTTTTCTAAAATCCCGATTTATCTCAGTTTTTTTTCGAAATAATCACATACTTTGCATAAAATGGAAGATTCTTGTGGTGAAGTTGCATGGAAACACCTTCCATCTGATTCAAAATGATCATTTTTTTTTACTAGACCATCTAAGTGGTTCGTCTCCTTTCATATTTCTCTCTCAAACAAACCACAAGGACACTAACAGGCTGTATTTTTTCTTGAAATTATTGTCTAAAAATTCTTAAATGTTCTAAAAATCCTCAAATTTTATAAAAACCCCGTTTGACTGGAAAAATCCTAAAAAATTCCAGATACTAGTATCTAGCTTTTACACTAAACGATCAAGATAGTTCACGTTGCTGTTGAGTGTTTCACAATGTACATCGAATGCAAAATGTCTTTTGTATTCCACCACGATTTACCTCTCTTTTAACGAACTCTTTTATATTGCGGTGAAGCCATTATTTGTCTACTAACAATTCCCTTTTTGCTTTTAATGGTGACTTTAGTGCAGTTGGGAAAAGACTTTCAAATTTCGTTTACTAGAACAACCTATATTCCGATATGCGAGTAAAATGAATTGATTTGCTTTACAGTTTAGAGTAAGTTTTACAAACTTATTCCAAGAGATCAGAAAAAAAGATTAATTATCATGAATGTGTTTTAAATGGTTTCATCACGCAACATTTACAGTCTTATTTGTTTATTTAATCTTGGTATATCCTTTAGTTACCATTTGCATTTATCTTTCCCGTTACTTTGTTTTAACTCACTTTATAGTTCACTCTGGTACAGCTCCAGCAGCCCCTGCATCGCCTTCTCTCGTACCTCCCACGTCAGAAGGTACATACCATTATCATCACCACCCTTCTGCCGTTCCATCACCAGTGGGCCCAGCAAGTTCAAAACCTTCAGCACAGCAAGTAACTACACCCAAGGAAGGTAATACTGCATGTTGACCCGAAAAACCTTCACTTGCCTGTTTACTTGATTTCGGGGACGATATTAATTTTATGCCTTCTGCAATAGGTAAGTGACATCAATTTAGATCAACCAGAAAGTTGAAACAGTGCGATGAATAGAATTTTTTCCTACTGAAGCGTCGTTTTCGTTCTTTTTCATAAAGGGGAAGAGTCAAAAGAAGTTCACTATCACTACCATTATCATGGTCACAGGGTAGCCAATCCCACAGGTAGGAATGTGACAACATTGTGAGGATATTTTAAGTGCAATTTCATACTACTAAGCAGCAAGGGATACTTTCGACGATGCGAAAGCCTAGGCATTTAATTTAAAATCTTGGAATTAAAATTCAGTATAACAGGAAGATGTGGGTATGTTACTAATTTAAACACTTCTTTGCCTCTTTTTCATCTCTTTATAGTCTGTCCTAACACATGCCTTACCTCTGGAGAATGTCATCCCATTTGTCCATCACAGTGCTGCAAACGAAATTTACCCGTGGAAACATCGGGTGAAGAAGGAGACGACGATATCACAGTGGCGTAAAAAAGGACAAAACTGAACTGTTTCGATTTTTTGCCCTTCAAAACGATTTTAGTTACGGATAGAAGAAAGGAACTCCATGAAATACTGAATTAAAGATGTGCGTCGTCTTCGCTTAACCTCTACTAATTTACTTGTAATCACTATACCTGGATTTGATAATCATGTGCCATCCTTGTATATGTCGACAAGACATATCGGTGAGACATTGCTTGGTTGGCATGACCACCATTCTGGGGCCTGATTCTGTGCGAAATGGCAATATGCAATTATTTGAGCAATAGGAAAAACCCTAGTAGGGTGCACAGTGTTGTAAGTGTTTCAAAATATTCACAATTTTTTCTCCGTGTGGGATATGTAAAGAACACTTGTAGCTAATAAAGAACGACAAACTGCTTTCATGGTGGTAATTACATACCCGGTGAGCTCAGGATGCGATTACTTCTCCTCTGTTAGTCTCCTCTGTATATCCAAATCAATGATTTAAAACAAAATTAAAACGTTTACATACCGGAATGTAACTTATCTTCATTACAGTTATGGGTGTTAAAAGCATTGACATTCGTCGAAGAATTTTGTACCTCGAAGGGCTGTACGTATTCCTAGCAATTATTGTCTATTAGACTTGGCCGGAGGCCCATTTTGACAGGGCGAAAGACAGGCTTCTTAGAGACAAAAGTTTACTTCGACTTGATTCCTCCGGAACAGAGCATCATCTGTAGGCTGTTTATTACATTTTAGCCACTACACGCACTGATATAGGACGATGTACTGTGCGGTACTCTTTTATACGGCCCCTTAAAATCTAAGTCTGGTATTGTTTCTACAATCTCTCGTTATCTAACTCTGGTCAATCTTAACTTTGATGGGAAAAAGATACTTAACACTCTCTTTCTTTAAATTGCATGTTAAAAACATGCTAGCGAATTTTATTTCGACCATGCCGTGATTTCTAATATCTGTATTCAGCTTTCCACGCACATTCAGGTCTCTTGAAGCCGTTCAGCGAGACAAGAAATCGATTCCCAAACCAGTCAGACACGTATTGTCTGACTGGTGAGAGAGTTGCGTTTATCCGTTTTGTCCCTCTCCATTTAGGACCGTGCAAGCGTTTGGCGCCCTTGTATCGAAAATAAACCCTCGTTCTGAAACTTAAAGAAAGAACCTCGAATTCGGCTAGAAAGAATTGTTTTCTTTGGAAGGTTTCACGTTAGACTCAATACTGGAGATTCTTTTGCTATTTTAGAGGCACCAAAGCGTGGTTCATTGAGACGAAATCAAGCCTCTCAACTGGTTTTAATTTTTCCGGATCGGTTGAGAAGGTTACACGAGTTTACGTCCACCATTAACAGACAGTAATCAGTGAAGCAGAAAAAACAAAATTCAGGGTCAAAATTTTATAATTTAACTAACTGGTCTAAATTAAGTCCACTTCTTAAGCTCAGAATTTAACGATATATCATGATCGACCTGGCTGAGGAGTTTATTTTTCAGTCAAGACTCTTTCATTTAGATCCATCCTTTGTAGTGTTAAGAAATTGCATGACGGACTGATCGTTTGTGAAAATAAAGAGGACTAATATCTCTCTGAAATACTTGACCTTAAATTCAATTCCGTCAATTCCCAATAAATTCTGAAGATTTTCTTCTTTACAGTAAATTTTACACTTAAAATAATTGAATTGGGCCCACATTTGAAGGGAAATTCAAATTGCTCGTATCCTCTTCGCTCAAGAGTTTCGACCAATTTGCTCTTAAAACACCATCGAAGTTCAACCACCTAGGGGGGATCGATTAGCTACGCCACTTTGCTATGAGGTCAGAAATAAGTAACAACAAAATTAAGTGAGAAGCGTTCTGCGTCTATAACCTGGTGGTTCACTGTGAAAAGTGCCTTCGTTCATAACGTTCGTGTAAAAGGAGTAAAATTTCTTGAGATTTGCTCGAAAGTTAGTGATTCGACGTTTCGATGTTTTAAATGACATTATTATCAAGAACTGTGAGTTGAATTTTTCTTGAAATGACTTTCAAACTCAACCGTCATTAAGTTTCTATGAACCCTTAGTTACTCATAAAACTGCTTCACTTACAACTGTTGACTAAGGATTACATCATAACAACAGAGAGGGTTGAGTAGCACCACCCGATCAGTCTAAACAGGTGGTTAGTAACACCTACATGTCATAGCTTAGCAGAAATAAGCAGGAAAAAACCCAAACTGTTTAACACCTAACTAAAATATGTTGCTCTTACAGCCGCCACCACAAAGCTAATTTTGACTTCATAAAGATGCAGTATGAGAAGTGTACATCTGTTGATATGGATAATTATTTTCATGTACGAATCTCCGGCGTCCTGTTTCACGTCAAAGAAACACATGGGTAAGCCGCACTTTGATTTTTGTCATCAATTTAATAAAGCTTGAAAATGGGTAACGTTTTTGACCTGTAACAACGGACGCATGTCTAACGGTTCTACTTCAGTCGGGCCAACGGATTTATTTTAATGCCATTTCCTGGGTTATTCTCATTCTCATCCCTGTTCTTCTAAAATGTAATTAAGATTCGCGGATTGCCCAAAGCTGTGTTTACGAACCATAACAACAACCAGCCGTTTGTTTAAAAGCCGTTAATGAAAAAGCATCATCTTAACAAAATTATGTCTGAACACTTCATCAGTTGGTGATGTAGAGAAGAGTAATCGTGAAAGTTATAGCAACCGTTCTATCATTAGACCTGCAGTGAGACTGAGTTGTTAGATAGAAACAACCAGCTGTTTGTTTAAGTACACGTACTTGTTATATGTATGAAAAAAGCATATTTGCTCAAGTGTGTTTTGTCTAGAAACGTCCTTGCACTACAGAAAGGTAAGCATTCTTAGACATAGAAATGCTTTCTCTCTCACGTAAAACGGTTATCATTAAAGTTTTTGATACCTGTATCGATCATTTAGTCCTTTATTCGTTAACGAAGCACAGATCACTCTTCCAATTTCAACGAAACAAATCAGAATTTTCTTCAAACAGAATAATTGGTAAAATACTGGACCGTCGTTTATCCTCCAAACGAGAATAGAATGTGGAAGCATATGGGTAACTCAAATATCTTTTATCCAACCCTAATTTATTTTTCAGTTACCTACAATCCTATTTTTCTGATTTTTAAAGAAAGCGACTAAAACAAAGTAGGATTTGTTTAACATATTCTAATATTATTATAACTATTCAGTAGGCAGAAATTTTAATCTTTTGCTTGATCACCGCCAGAACATTGAAAAACTGATAAATCAGGCCAAAAGCTGAATTAACATTAAAGTTTATAATCGGGAAGCCTTACTAGTTCATGGGTCTTTTCTGTGTTCACAGGAAAACATGATGGTAACGTTTACTCCACCGCAAGAGAAGAGATTCCCAAAAAAACAACTGCTTTCCATGGTCTGTATAACAGAAAAGATCTGTTCAATTTGCTAGTGTATCAAAACCTAAATTTTGAGTTAGCACTATACCATGTAAACTGTATATGGTCAACGTAATGAGTACAAGCTTACAATTCCCAAAGATTTTGTTGGGTGCAGTTAGTAAAAAACTGGAAGGTAATTGACATGAGATCTCCCAACACAACAATACGAAAGATCGTTCAGGCTAATTGTGTTAAGATAAAGTGTTCCTCCTTCTTCTCTCTAGAGATTCATAGGAAAAAAGGAGTCGTACTGGAAAGATGGGATGGAATAGATGGATATTTGATCGAAAAACTTTTAGAGGATCCACGTTTTCCCATGCTGCCAACATATGTATCTTATACACCGATATTCAGCGAGCCGGTCAATTGGGGGGACAATTATGGGTCTCGGATCAGAGGTTACTTTGTCCCAAAGAAGAGCGGACAACACGTGTTCTTCATAGGTGAGAAAAGGAGACATGAATGAAAGTGATCCTCGCAGTAATGTGGAACCAACTTAATGACCAGCTCCCAGTTGGCTTGTTAGTTCAGTTGGTAAAGCACTGCACCGGTATTCGCAGAGGTCATGGGTTCAAATCCCGTTCAGGCCTGAATTTTTTCCAGGCCTTATTTTCACTACTGCTCAAGTGGTGCACATTCCTGCGAGGATCACTTTCATTCACGTCTTAATCCGCAGTTGAAATATATGACTTTTATATATTCTTAGCCGTTTAAAAGGAGACATGTTGCACATTTATCGAAAATGTCACAATCAGCATATGCCAAGGAAACTGTGGGTGTGGGAAAAATATGCCACTTGAAGGACCTCTCTTTACAAAAAATTATAGGGAGCTATTTCATAACATTTCTATGACGCATTAAAATTATAGAATGAAAACCTTCTAACTAAACTTGAAATTAAGGCTAAACGTTTAAGATGCGTAAATCATGAGTGAGGCAGATCTATCAAATGACTTTACTCACCCATCAGCTACGCTGATGGGTGAGTAAAGTTAGTTCTAACCGAAATCTGGAAAACAAAAGGCATAACATGCGAAAAATTATCCCTAAACAAAAAATTATATCGGAGTCTATCATTGCTAATAACATGAAGCGACTAGACGTTCTACTAAGCGGTCCCTCGGATAGGTTGTCGGTCCACTTACAGGTTACCTTGCCATACTTTTTTTGCTTTCCCTGCCTGAAGGTGGTTGGTTACAATTATATTTTTCGGAAGAGACACTGGCATTTCGAAAGCAAAGTGTTCTGTCATGAACACCACCATCCAGCCTCGATCTGGATTAGGGCATAATGGTGACTAGTAAAATAAAAATTTAATAGAAGCCAAAGATTTTTGTTAACCTTTGGACCAAAGAGTTTAACTACATATCCAGATTGTCTCTTAAGATTAAAGTTTCCTTACTCTAACAATTTGCATCAATTTCAGCGAGTGATAATGGAGGCCAACTGTTCCTCAGTGTAACTGATAACCCGGATGAAAAGATATTGATAGCTCGAGTTGGTAAAGACCACGAATCTCTTCCCATGCAATTCAGAAAGTAAGAGCTTTATTTTAATTCATAACTACGAATTGCATTGGCACTACAAAATACCTGCAGTTCATCTCAACTTATTATGGAAAGAGTCATTTAGAGAGGAAAAATGGGCTGGAGGAAGACGACAAAGCTCTCATCCGTTAAGCCAGAATCTTAAGGGACAAAGGATATGAAAGTTGGATTATCCAGGAAACTGCAACATGGTGCTTGTTACCAATATATTATTTCCTTATCATTTCTGCAGATATCCTGAACAACAATCATATCCAATAAACATGAAAAATGGCTCCTATTACTACATCGAAGCCCTTCATAAAGAACAATACGGGAACGACTCCCTGGCAGTAGCCGTAATGACACCTGATTTTGAATTTCTTGCGCCAATTCCTTCAGATTATTTGTGGACGCTGCCGCCTCCCAAGCCGCACGGTATGATCAGCGGTAGATAGAGCCCTTTTGAAAGAGACAGGCAGATAGACAAGAGGATGAATTAAGACAAACATAAATAATTAATCATTCTGAAAGACAAAAGGATAGGCAGACATGAATAGAAATTCAAAGAAGGATAAACTCGTCCATCTAAGAGGCTCGCAATGATTAAATTAAAAAAACCAGTGCCCGAAGCGAAGAAATCCAAAAAACTATTGGGGTTCAAAATTTGTTATAATTGGATTAAAGGGCAAATTTTGAACACTCATTGCTAAATTGAGCACAGTCGCATGGTGTGTTGAGGGATCAATTTCAAAAAATTAAAAAAAGTTCTCCCTTTAGAGCTACCGTTTCTTAATTTGTTAATCACATTTGACAACTGCACTTTCAGTCAACGACAGTGCCTCCTCCTTCTACCTTGTGAAGATAGCAGCTAAAGCGGGAGCTAGAGCAGGTGCCACCCTTGGAGTGAATGAAGCCCTGAAGAGTGGTGCAAAGGCGGGTGCATTAGCCGGTGCTGCAGCGGGCACAAGGGCTGGAGCCCAAGCAGGAGCAGAGGCAGCACGAGAAGCAGCAACTGAAGTAGCCACGAAAACACTGAAGGAGGCCCTTTCCAAACTGGGTACATTTCAAAAACCAGTGGGTATTCGACGGTGCCCGGAACAGTTTTTGCATTTTGAAAATTAAGATAAAGAAGCCTAAAGGTATTTGAGCGAAGTTAATGTTCGAAGTTCCACGAGATGTCTATGACTCTGTGGGTGAGCATCCAACAGACTTTTATTTTCTTGAGGTTGCATACTTAAATCATCAACGTGGATTCTGATTGTTTTTCTTCGATGAAAGTTCATAAGATCCTCATTCCAAATAAAAAACCTTTGTGCATTACAAATGCGAATATGCAACACTCTACCACATATCGTTTTGGTAGCTTCTTTTATTATGCTTCCTTATTATGAACTTCTTTATCACTTCAACTTTTTCAGACATTTAATATTTATGCAGCAAACGGTAGCGTGATACCGTTGACGCCAGGATCAGTGTCTTCATCTGGACAGACGACAAGCGCCACTGGGTCAATTGGAATTGGAACTGCAAGTGCTGTGGAGGGAAGTCAAACTAGTCAAATAAACCAAACAGGTCTAACAGGTCAGACGAGTCAACCAGGTGAAGGCGGGGTCGGAGCATCAATCAGTGCTACCATAACAGCGGGAACGCAAGGGGCAACAAATTCTGCTGCAGCAGGTCACTCGGGAGTTTTTCATGGCGCTTATGTATACAATCGAGAAAAACCATATTACATTCCCCCTCCTGGCGACAATTCTCATATCATTGCAAGAAAAATGGTGTATCTGGATCCACGAGGGCTTTCCAGAGTTCGTAAGTATAAAAATTCACCCAATGCCATTCATCAAAGTATGATTCTGTGCACGCTTCGTTTGCAGTGCACATGGATTAGTGCTAGCCCGATTCCTTCCCTTAAAGATGATTAAATTTTGAATACCTCAAATATCTTTCCGATTTCTAATATCACAAATAATGTAGTCACGGTTTTTCTTTGTGGACCTTAACAAAATAGTAAAGCCCTCTTAACATTTGGATTCTGCTTTTCCCGCTTTTATAGTCGTCAACGGAGCGCTATACGTAATTCATTCTTTTGATGTTCCCGCGAGTCAGAATCCTATCTACAATCTTTGCTGGCGAATCACTAATGGAAAGTTAGAGCTGACTCAAAACTGTCAGGTAGGGTTAAATGAAATTTACTTATATACAGTAATTATCTGACACCGACGGGTTTCGCACCATTATATTCACATTGACAAGGATTAACGTGACGTTTATAAAAAAGAGTGTTTAAGCTTGTTTTTCTAATTCCTAATCTTTATTTCCTCTTTAATTTTCTCAAATTGTTACTTATTCATTATTTATTCGAGGGTCTCAATGGGGTGATAGCTTTTACGGCTATCGGTTAAAATTTTGGCCAATTTCCGGCTAACGGTTAACACCTTTCCATTGTTTCCACCAGAGATATTTTTTACGGTTAACTTTTTTTACGACTAACGGTTATAATTTGTCAATTTTTACGTCTAACGGCTAAATATTTTGGCCGTTTTACGGCTAACGGTTAACCCCATTGGGACCCTCTTATTCATTATTAAACATTTATTTGATAAATCTAAAAGGCCCCTCTGAAAGCAACTTTATCATCATTATTATTATCATTGTTATTATTATTATTATTATTATTACTGTTATTATTTTCATTGCCACTCTTATTACAGACTATTTTACTTGAGAAACGTGTTTTCAGTGACTACTTACTTAAAATTGTGAACCTGGGCTTCTATTTTTTTAAAAAAATCTGTAGGCATTTGCCATCAAGATTCCAGGATTCGACAAAGGGACCGGAGAACATCAAACCATCTCCTTTGAGTCCATGTGTTTACCTGGTCACTACATTCGACAGAAGAACTACAGATTCGTTTTGGGGCACCAAGGAGATACAAAATTTGGTATAGGGCAAATATAGTAATATCAATGATTCTAACAAAGTTTCAATCGTAACACACTGAAATACCTGCGTTTGCAATTTTTGCATATGTCAATGATTCATCATAATTTGAAGGTAACAAGAGATATTTAGGTAGGGCGTAGGTCATTTTCCACGAGCGAATAACGCAATATCGTCAGCGTCAGGAAAAAGCGATTATGAATGTTTCTAATCCTCGTGGTCAGGATGCTGGTCCACTGCAAGTAGCCCTCGCGCTATTTATCGAGTTTCCTTGACACATCCATTTATACGGCTGGGAAAAAAGCTAACAAAAGTCTGCGCATGTCACGAATATGTCTATAAGTCCATAGCAACCGTATATATCAGTTAATATGGCGGGGATTTTAAATATTTTGAAATACTAGCTAATAAACCTTTATCGATTAAGACTGCTATGCAGCAAATTTCAACAGACTGAGTATCGCCCAGTACGCGTATCGATGCTATTGTAAACCAACACAAAATGATTTTCACGGTCGAAATACAGCAGTTTGCAGCCACATTTCAGCAAGTATACAAAGACGACACTATGGTGTGCAAACGACATTTCAAACCCCTGTTCAAGGAGTCTGTAGCTTACGTTTTAAGCTTGAACTCCTTGCCTGTGTCTTAACCAGGAAGGAAAACTTCGCCGCTTGTCAATTTTTCAAAAATTGCGCTGTAATCGCTTAGTGTTGCTATGGTTTCAAGAGTGAGTCCGCAAAAGTCCTAGAGATGCGCCGATGCTTTGGGACTCTGTCACTTCAGGGTGGGAAGAAGCACCTTGAGTTTAATTATTTTACAGCTGTCCACCTTGCCTCGGTTTAAATAGGGGAAAAGTATAAGTTTTCAATTATTCTTTTTAAACACCAGATTATGATGCAAGTGCAGCCTTCTTTCAAGTATTTTCACTTCCTGGTGCATTCCAGTTTAGCCTCATGCGAAAGGGATGGTACATTTGCAGAAGCATAAATCGAAACTATCATCGAACGGAGGTGGTTACAGACTACAACATGGCATCATCCGAATGGCTAAAGCGTTGCTCGTTCGCTCTAAGGCCTCTTGCAGCCAACGAGAATCCTCTGATGAACTGCTACGATACGATTGAACCATCTAAACCACCTAGTGTTGCTTCTACCGACACAAAACCACCACTTACAAACAAAACAACAATTAGAACCACCCGTCCTACAACTGTTCCAACCACACCACACAAGGACTACGGTAACGATAATCATTGTCTTTAATTGTAGAACAAAGATAATTGCTAAAATTTGGGTCTTATTCAAAAATTGCCTGTCACCAGAGCAACCACCAAAAACAATAAAAAAATTGGCAAATTATTACATTAGGGACAATTAAAGTTTGGCTACGTCTCCAGCTCGTCATGCATGATCGGAAGTCTACCTTTACTAGTCTCTCCCGTTGACACATTTCATGCGTATCATTCAAATAAGGGAAACACACATTACTACTATAAGTCTGCTTAGAAGAGTGAGGTCATTGCATGATTTTTTTAAAGTCGCACTCTAACGGGATAACTTGAGCTGATTAAGAGTTAGGCAGTGTACCACCGAGTCATGAACAAATTCCAACCGTGTAGGAGTCTAAATCTATTACCATTTTTTCAAACCTGGAGAAATTGTTGTATATTGTTCGAGGTTCAGAAAACATTTATATAATGATCCCAACTACTTTACGTGAAAAAAAAAATCAGTTAAACACTTGAAACGTTGACGGAATGATTTGATTGGTCATTTCAATGCAAAATCTAACCTTAACGGATATATTGATACCGGTTGATACATTTCTCATGAATATAAGCCTCATGCAAGAATTTGATAAATAAGATATAAATTTCCCGTCTACCCTCCAGGACCCTGCGTGAACTTCACGTTTTGGAATACAGCTGGGGTGCCTTTCATCCTTTACTCCAGTCTCAAACCAGAAGGGTATTTAGTCACTGGACCCAAGTTACACCTTCACTACGTTATTCGCGATCAAAAAGTAATCGATTTGAAGGTTCTTCATATGAAAAGAACTAACGTTCCAAACCAAGATGGAGAAGTTTTATCTGAGGTGGGCCTATATTATGAAAGGGTAATTTCGTGTTGACAACTGAGTTGATAACGTAAATTGGCCGCAGTAAAGAGCAAAAAAGCTGACGTTTTGAGTGTTAGCCTTTTATCCGAGCGATTGGAGGAATTGTGGGTTATGTGTGGGTTTATATGCAGAAAATGGAGCTACGCTATTGGTGGGAATATGGTGACTTTACGGTAGCCAATTTACGTTTTCAACTTAGTTGTAAAACGTAAATTACCTGCTATACTCTACCACCGACGCAGCACCACAGTTTCTTTACAAACATACCCCCTTTATTCATTCTACATCATTAAAGCTTACTTGGTTGTGCTGAGCAAATATATTTAGCCTAATGGAAAGTGCTATTGGGCGTTGAAAGTGTAAATGGGCCACTCTCATAGAACAAGTGACTTTCGAAGGACGTGCGCGAATTTAATATTAATAGATAGGTTTATTCATATTATTTGGTCAATAATCTGTTTTGTTGGTCACTGACGTTATTAAGCGCTGTGACCCAGTGATGCAACCCCTAGCCTATGGTTCCAGTGGTCATACGCTATGATACTTCGTTGATAATGTAACTAAAAATCTTTACTTATCTCATCCGTCGCCTTCAGGATCAGATGGCCTTCGTTATCTTATTACGAGGGCATAATTAATATCTGTGATTTTTCTTCAGGTTATGGATGAATTGACCGATACTCAGCAGTTGTACCTCGACAAACCCAAACTCGCATCCAGACAGATTGTGTCTTTCTGGGCCAAAGATCCAGAAGGGAAACGCGAAATTCTTCTTGATGGGAAGAAAATAATTTATGCGATTCCTGGACTGCACTGCTGGCACTACATAGAAGTGAAAGTCACATCAAGGCCAAAACATAGTACGTAGATAATACAAACACAACGAAATGGAAGGTGATCTTCGCAGTAATGAACACTACTTAAGCAGTGGTGAATATGAGGTCCGAAAAACATTTCAGGCCTTACTTTCACTACTGCTTGAGTAGTGTTCATTACTACGAAGATTGTTTTGAAATTCGTTTCTTAAGCCGCGGTTCACAGGTGTGATTTTCATATATTTACATTTTGTTATGGATATTTATTGAGGTATACAAGGCGCTTTACATGTTAATGAGTTTTTCCATCCTATCCCACTTTATCGATTACTTAAAGAATCATTTTGCCACAAAAATAGCAAATGAACAAAGTTACAAAAGTGATGGGAAAGTGGAAGATGATTTTTGTTTGTCGTAGGAGACTTAAATATTGCATTTCATCGAACAAGTTTTCCTTGCTTTTCAGACTAAAATAGTTCCTGTTTCCTTTTTTTCATTATTACAGGTCCTTCGACGACTAAACCAACAACACGAACAACGACAGTCAAACCTACAACTCAAACCCCGCGACCTGCCACAACTAAGCTGCCCCCACCACCTCCACCACCCCCACCTCCTCCACGCATACCTCATATCCACGTTCATTTCCACCCCCCGCATTTCCCGCCACCTCCCAAGCCGACTCACCCACCTCCTCCTCCACCAATACTAACACCTCTATCAACGAAGCCAACAGAAGCACCACCGCCACCCTCCACACCTTCTCCGCCAACCCCTCCAACTACTAAAACTACACCTTGCAACCCGGGTGTATCAACGACCACAAGTCGTCCATGCTCCATAGTAACAACACCTACTACTAAGACTCCACCTAAAACAATACCTCCCTGCACACCAAACGCTAGTCCTCCACCTGCTGGTTCTCCTCAATGCAAGCCAATCAATAGCACATTTGTCATTTCTCCATGTTCCGCTGGGTCACCACTATGCTTCAAACCATTCCCATCAGTCACCTTACCAACGTTACCCCCCGCACCTTCCCTTTCTCCTGTTCTCGGTGAGTAATCTTTGTGCTAACAGCGAAGCAGTAACATTTTCATCCATTATATACCAGACAAGTGAAGTCTGCTTTTCGACCTCCCTATTTGGCAAAAGCTGAAGTGATCAGCAACTGCTATTCAACTCCGACTTGAACAGGCAAAGAGACAAGATGGCAGTCGGTTTTCGACCATTTTCGGTATACTGACCAAAAACTAAATTAATTTTTTTAGTTCTTGTGTGGTTGATGTTAAAACAATCACTCCCCTCGGTGCCATCTCCACTCCGGTGAATAGTCGTTAAGTATATCAGACGTTTTATCAGAACACATACCGATATATCTATATGAAAGACTCTAAGAACCAAAGGTCTATTAAAACTGATACAAGGATAGATAATTTCTAAAACGCTATTTTCATCTTTCGTAGAGGTTTCAGCATCAGTGATAATACAAGGTAGGCAGGACGCTTAACTTTATACCAAGGTAGATCTCAGCCCAGCTGAAATCCAATTTCTTCAACCACGACAAAATGAAAGGATCAAATATTCCATATAATTTAGCATTGAAGTCATTTGTAATTCGCGACCAAACAAACAGGTTGTATGTCCACCCATGGAGGAACTTCAAAAGGCGCCTGTTGCGTTTTCCCATTCATCTACCGAGGAAACCCGCAGCACCGCTGTACAAGGGCTGAGCGAGGTTACCGCTGGTGCTCAACAACCAATAATTATGACAAGGATAAAGAATGGGGATTTTGTGCGGCATGTTTTCTCTGTTACGGAGGTAGTTCAAATGGCAACTGCTGTCATTTTCCTTTCGTGTATGATGGTAAAATGTACACGACCTGTACCACCCAGGATTCAACTAAGCCGTGGTGTGCCACCACGTACAACTATGATGTGGATAAACAGTGGGGCTATTGTGGAGGTTAGCGATGATTTTTTTTTTCGTTTGTTTTTGTTTGCTCGCCGGAAGCTTACTTCAGTATTTCTTTGGGTGATAGCTGTGTTTGCAATAAAATAATTGAATCCAAATGAATTTGAAACTCCCGATTATGCTTGTTTTGGCATGAATCGTGCCATCATCACTTTGTTGTATTGTTTTACACGCTACATTAAAACTACGTTAACAATCAAAGTACTATTACAATAGTCAATTTGATAACAATGCCCGTTAGTGCAACTATTGGAAGGATAGCAGGCGTGTTAAATATAGTATTGGAACGGTAAATGTCACTTGAAATTATGTAATTTAATCTAAGAACTGGTGAGTACAAAATTGTCACATGTTACGTAAGTAGAACTATTTATTTGTTCAATATGGAAACTAAGCACAACAAAAATAACAATTCGCTACAAAGTGTCATTTAAAATGTTCGTGTTGCACTTCTATTGTGAATTATTTGTAATATCGACAGGTGACGCGCCCGGCTCAGTTTCCCAGCCCAAAATTGCCTACGCACCATGTTCTGCTGATTGTGATGGTAAATGTGTGGACACGTGTCCCGACTACTGCTGTGTAAAGGGCATGATAAGAACGCAGGAACAACCAGCTCCGGTAACACCCCCACCCCCTCAGGTAATTCGTTTATTAAAGGAGACGGTGCACTAAGGATTAGTATTTACCATTCCACGCATGGAAAACATAACAAAATTATCTGCGCCAGTTCCAGGAGTTCCGTGAATTCAAAGTCAGAATCATTTGCTCAAACTTCACGGTCGACCGAATTCCTAGGGGAAATATGCAGTAACACACATTGAGCTGAAACACTTTATCAGCGTGTTCACTTTTCCTTATCAGCAGGTCGAGCAGGTCCCTCTGGTTCAGCAGACCTCGCAGTCTTGTCCAGCCATCTGCACCGAGACATGCGCACCAGACTGCCCCGTTCGTTGTTGTAATTTCCTTCCGTCTTCGCCTTACATGGCAAGTCCTCCTCAAAGACCTACGAACTGCCCTCCGATCTGCTTCAACACATGTGTTAGTTACTGTCCAACGGACTGTTGTAACAACCCACAGCAAGGCGTAAGCCGTAACACGTTATCTTACACTCTTAAACTACCATGCCCTACTAACTGCTACCCTACATGTCATGGCAACTGCCCACAGCAATGCTGCAAGGCAGCGCAAAAGGGAACTAGTTCTTTACTTCACTCTGCTGTGAACAACAAGGGTGTTGGTTTCTATCAAAGGATTCAAGGGGAGGGTATATCCCCCTCTATGAGCTTACAAACACCTTCAGCGTCGCCGATTGTGATCCGTTCGACGTTACTTTGTCCAAAAGTATGTAACAAGATTTGCACAAACGCCTGTCCTACCGAATGCTGTAAAAGACAGAAAAATGGAAACATCAATCAGCAAAAGTGGAGAAACACCGCCCAGGGTAAATAACATTTCGTGTTTTGAAAGAACCCCCCCCCCCCAAATCTTCGCGAAGTAACTATGATTACTCAGCTAGGTGAAGGTATCAACTATGTCCACGAATGCGAAGAAATTACTGTATTCGTACTTCCGGCTTCTGGCTTTCTCAGGCCGTGAGAGACTTCGTCAGCGGTAATTACGAGTAGGGGTCTTTGTTTAGGGAAGCCGAAAATAATCAAAGTTTTAGCTTAGGTTAGATGAACAGCCCTTTTTTGGAATAAATCAAGAATTAATTAGTGTAAAGGTTCTATTCATCACTCTCTGCGAAATGATTTGAATGCAAATGAACATTGTGCAATGTCAGGCGTAAAACTCCCTCAAGAGATGAATTTGTGTGGTTTTTCAGCTGTATAGAAAAAATGGGCAGATCTTTTTCGCACTGTGATCGGACGTTCTCAAAGCAATTGTGCGCGAAAACTAAGCTGCGTCAACATAATAAGCAAATTAAGATTCTTTCTGCACTGTAGATACCTTTGATTTTGAACTGCTAAATTCTATCTCCAGATTGCAAAAATGGTGCCATTACATTCGGAGGAAACGCCAAAGGAGCCTGTTGCAATTTTCCTTTTATTTACGATGGTGCGGTTTATTGGAGATGTACAAATCAAAATGCAGACAAGAAATGGTGTTCGGTGACTAAAGTGTTTGAGCTCGACAGAAAATGGGGATACTGTCCTTGGTAAGTTGTAAATAGCTAGTGCACCGATGAACCCGAATTTAGATATATATATATTTATAATTGGTACATTTAATGTTAGCTGAGACGTTTTCCTTTTTAATTTGTCAGATTGTTGTGATATGATGCAAAGCAGGATACTTCAAAACGCTACACTGATTACAGCAAATAAACGATGGTTTGCGAAGAGAAGAATAAGTCAAATTTATTGAATGATATTACGATATAAATGAACTGACATACGCCCTAGAAACATTTTTATCTTCGAACTTTTATTATTTTTTATCTCAGAGTTTTTTTGATACCTGATGTCTGAAGTAATTAATTCAAATCGGGTCGGTACATGTATACAATACAGAATGCAAGTCGTACTCATAACCTGATAAGAATAGATAGTAATAATAATAGTGATAATAATAATAATAATAATAATAATGATGATGATGATGATGATGATAATAATAATTGCAAAAGTAATAACATTTTGGATCAATCTGCTCTTATCGACCTCAGTTTTTTTTATCGAGCTCGGTTTGCCTCGTATTCTATCGAGCACGGTTTGCCTCGCTTTCTATCGGTTTCATATTGAGCTCGGTTAGGTATCGAGCTCGGTTTAATCTTCATTCAGCAAATGAGAGGTAATCTGGTACCAAGACTCGGGAGGGAGCATGGAACGAGCGAGAGTGGCCATGTTTCTGGCAAATCTGTCAAGTTTAGTTCGTGAATTCAGGACTTTTTAGGAGTATGTTTTCGGTCGAATTCGAAAAAAAAGAAGAAGAGTGACAGAAGAAGAGCAAAGAATGATTTATACTGCTAAGGAGATGAAGGAAATGACACTAAGGTGAGCATAGGCTCTTTACGGGAGGGTGTTCCCACTTGCTGGTTCATAGTTTCTAGTAACGTTTTGTTCAGTTTCAAACTTAAGCTCAATCCTGGAGTGTACTTTTCTCAGTTATTTTAAATCTCAGTAGTGTAATAAGAAAGTGTCTCCCTCCATTTTACCAACCCCAAGTTTACCCCACAAAAAAGTATACATGACAACATGTAACAATACACACATTCTATTTTTATTATATAAGCCCAATACACTTTCGTGTTTCTATTTTAATTGGTCGTTTGTAACGAGGAAAAGGAACAGAACTCTAATGAAATATGAAAATCTTTTGGAGAACATGACAAAAAAAAGTCTGAAAAGTAATGTATGTTCATCCCTTGCAATCAAATATTAAGAAGAATAATATTAACTATACTGAACATATGCATTATCAGAGACCATGGTTGATTGACGACATTCCACGAAATTAAGAAAGTGTGGCGGGCTACTGTAATTGTTAAAAGAAGCTAAATTTTTAAATATAAAATAAACATACAGTTCAAGCTGTGTTTGTTTCACTCATTCTATTCAGATATTACATAACACAATCACACTGTGATATTATTGATACCAGTGAGAGAAATGTATTTTTGAATCCAGATTGATTAAATGTTAGCTAGATGAAGACAGATTTGCCAATTTTGTGAAAAGTGAGTAATTTTCAGGAATTGGCTTGATAGTTGAGAGCAAAGAGGTTTCCATTATTAACAGGTCTTAAAATGTTCAATCCAGTTATTAATGTGTTAATAGATCCACCAAAAAGCCATTAAACAACTGCAACAGTTCACTTTTAACAAAATAATCAATGCTTGTTGATCTAACCCTGGTTTTTAAATGGCCTGACCTAGCCCTCTTTATATAGACTGCAAAAGCCATATCTTTAATTGGCAGTCATGACAAAAGAAAACACAAGGAAGACATTTTGGGCTTTACAATTAGACATTATAAAAATGCTAGTTCCCTTTTTTTTTTAACTGAATTGAACATTTTATGACCTGTTCATGAAATTAATACAAGTTGAGGAGGTGAATAATAAATTAACTAATATGAAGTCTGCCATTTTTGTCGTTCTCAATTCCAGGTGCCGTCACAATCCTTCAAAAACAAAATCAATGTATTTACAAATCATAACATTGTTCTGCTAATTATAATTGTAAATCTCTTGTCAGCATGTTAGATTTCAGGAACAAAAGCCAACTGTTTCTAGCCTATGTATATAATCATTTTTTGATATTCTTGTTTTTCCTTGACAGACTTTTGATTGAAAGCTTTTCACTGTTGCACTCATTACATAAAGAGTTTAAATTTGTGTTAAATGCTGCTGCATTTATCTGTATCACACTTTTACACTCTGCATACTCATAATCTTACCAAATTTCTCTTATGTTGAAGGGTCCTTTTTTGCCTTCTTTCTTTTGGCTGTTGTCCTCCTGTCCCTCCTTCTTTTCTTTGTTCCTTGTTCTTTTTCTTTAATTTCTCTCTCTCCTTTCATTTCCTCATGTTCTTTTTCTACTACTCCAGCTGGTATTCCTCCATTCCCTCCTTTATCTCCATTTCCAATTTTTCTTCTTCATTACTTACTCCTTTTTCCTCTTCCTTTCCTTTTTCCTGCTTTTCTTCTTGATCTCCTTCCTTAGTCCCTTCTTCTTTCTCTGCATCTCCCACAGCTTGGCTTTCATCTATGATCATACAGAAAATGTTGAGTTACTTGGTTCTATGTGTTTCTTGTTCACAATTTTTATGTTTAGCTGAAACCCTGAGTTTGTTATTATTCAAACAAAATAATATTTTGTGGGCCACTGTCATATCATGAACTATGTATCACTAGGGGGTGGTAATCGTTCTACAAGTATTCTCTTTGGTGGACCAAGAATGCTATTTCTTTTACAGGTTAATGAAAATCAAGGTTTTCTTACCTACTACAGTTGCAGAAAGGTTGTTGTTGTTGTTGGCAGGAAAATTCCCAAAGAAGGACACCTGCAAGTAAAACAAGGGAAGGGAAGTGTGCTGCTCAAAGGAGTCCTGCGTAACTATCATAATTAAAATACACATTGTTCCTTTGAGCATCATACTATCCTTCATTGATTAAATTTACAAATTTTAAAACACTTCATACACTTTATACAGTAAAACTGACTGCTACTATCCATGGAATTGCTTAAACAATAGAACAAGTGACATTGTTTGTGTCAATGCTTGTGAAGAGGGAGGCATGTCTGTCTACCCCAAGTGTCAATGCTCACGAAGACCCTTGTCCCAAGGAGCTTTTCTGTCTACCCCAAGTGTCGCGGCTAACAAAGAGCCTCATCTCAAGGAGCTTTCCTTTCTACCCCAAGTGTTGTGGCTAACAAAGTGCCTCATCCCAGTGAGCTTTTCTGTCTACCCCAAGTGTCGAGGCTAACAAAGAGCCTCGTCCCAAGGAGCTTTTCTGTCTACCCCGAGTGTCGAGGCTATCAAAGAGCCTCGTCCCAAGGAGCTTTTCTGTCTACCCCAAGTGTCGCGGCTAACAAAGAGCCTCGTCCCATGGAGCTTTTCTGTCTACCCCAAGTGTCGCGGCTAACACAGAACCTCGTCCCAAGGGGCCTTTCTGTCTACCCCAAGTGTCAATACTCATGAAGAGCCACATCCTGAGGAGCTTTTCTGTCTACCCCAAGTGTCAATGCTCACAAAGAGGCTTGTTCCAAGGGGCACTTTTGTCTACCCCAAGTGTGGATGCTCATGAAGAGCCTCCTCCCTAGTGTGGTGTGGTTGACTGTTTACCCCCAAGGGTTGGGTCTGTCTATTTCAACTGTTAATGTTCACAAGGAGACTGGGAATAAGTGGATTTGTCTTTCCACCCCAAGTATTGGTGAGGGGAATTTATAATGTTATTCTCATAGTCAGGGAACAAGGGATGTCAATCTATCCCTATTGCATTAAGTAACATGTCCTCATAATTGTGTACTCTTTATATGTTCCCAAATGGTGTTCCTCAATAATTGAAATGAAAACAAGACCATTACTTAACTTGATTTTTTTATGGTTGTGAGGCTCATTGTTAGTAGAATTGCTTCTCTAAACTTACATGTTCCCAAATAATACTCCTCAATAATTTATATTAAAGAATGACCAAACTTATTGAAATGTAAAACATGAACCTTTTTTTAAGCTAACATGTCATTATATTTAAACATTACACGAATACATGACGCATACCAATGAGGGACCTGTTAGCATGCCTATCCTCCAAGTGTTGTATAAAGGGTAGCATGACCTCATATATTAATTAACAACCTATTTCTTACTCATTTTGCTAGAACTTAAATCATACAATGTGCTGGTGGGTTAGATTGTAGACTTTTCGCAGGCGTGCATGCCATAATCAGTAAGGTAATGTGTAATTCAGTACAAGTCACTTTTTAAGTTTATAGTCAACAAGCTGGCATCATTCTGCTTTTGCTTCAAAATCCCAAAAAACCTCGAGCCAGGATGTGCAGAAAATGGTGTATGCACCATAGTTTGTATACAATGCCTGCTACCTTCTAAGAAATCAGTAAGCTGGACTCTGTCTTGTAGCAAAACATTGTATTGGCTGTTGTGTTTATTGCAAATATCCATTTGGAGAATTCCTCAACAGCAGTAAGGAAAAGAGAAAATTGCAATCACTATTATTTAGTGAAAATGGAAAATTCAAAAGCCATTGAGCACTTCAAGGCCACAGATTCACACCTTGAAGGAAAGAATGGTTCGGACTTTCAAGCAGTCCTATGAGGAGAAGCTCAAAGAGGAAGGAAAGAGAAGAAATGCTGAAGCTCAAGTTCTTGCTATCCCATGAGACACATGACGTCGTCCACCAAACTGCCTTGAACAAGACAGCAAATTAATTTCCCTTCTTGAAAGTATAAGAAGTAGATAAAGAATAATAAATTATTCTGTCACAGAAGGAACTGGTCTGGCCTTTGTCAACAGAAATCTGTATGACCAACTACGGCTACGGCTTTCTCATTTTTCCTTACCTACAGTAGTTAAAAAATGTGCCAACTATATTCTAACATAGCAAAACTCAGAACGTTCGGCATGATTAAATTATCATTTACGTCAGTGCGCGTCGACTGCATGCGCAAGATTTCATATGTAGCGCACTCACGTTATAA